TCGGACTATATCCTAAAATATAGGTATAGGATTACTAACGAAGTTAACTACGAACTATACTATCTAGGTAAAGGAGCGTATATATATAATACTTAAAGTACTACTTTAGTGTATTACTATATTGTTCTAATGCATTAATACACTAATGCACCCCCTAGTCACGTAATGCAGCCTCGTTCTCCATCGACTGACCTTCCTTAAACTATCCCTTGGAACGTGGAGCGCCTGTCCCGGCGACCTCATCCGTGACCTAGTCCGTAACACTAGTCACGATCCCTACCGCTTATGGAACTTCCTAAGAATTCTCTGTCGCCCGCACCCGCTGCTGAGATGAAACGGACTCCAGCATCCAAGGAATATATACAGCAAGCAATAACGATATATGACCATTCTCAGGGAGCACTCAGCGATGTTCAGCCAAAGGCTCGGTTAAAGCTCAGGTTAACGCCCAGGTTAAAGCGGCCTTCGCTCACCCTCTAGGATCAAACCGTAAAGGGCAATTCGGGTTTTCGTTCCCGAGTAATAGAGGTAGGAATAACATCACACCTACACTAGTTCTGAGCTCCAACTCCCTCTAAGGTGATAATAAGGACGGGACTACCCGGGCAATTTCGGGCAGTGCCGTCCACAGTACTGCACTATTCGTGAGCGTAGACGAGTGATTACTATCTCACAGAAGTCGAGGAGCGTCCGGAAAGGCCCGACAAGTAGGCAGATATAGGACAACCATAACGGATATTAGTATCAGTGGTAACTATGTAGAGTAGTAAGAGGAAGCCGTCGTGTAAGGGCTACTTAATACGCAGGTAATGCACGGTACAAGGAAATTCTTATTCCTAGTACGTAGGGGCACCTGTTTGCGAGCCATCCCATTACGTCCTATTTTTATTATTCCCAATACTAATTATGTTAATATTAAAAGCCTTGATATTAGTCGAAAGTCGAAAATTAGGAACTACAAGGGTTGCCTAAAGTTAGGAATTAACACTTCCTAGGGTATCTTAAGATGGTTTAGCCTAAGTATGGCGCTAGAACAGATATTTACTAGTTTATTACATAAGATATTATTAGTGCCAGCTCTAGCCGTAAGTCTAATAAAGTCATCGACTAGATATACACGGGCTATAAATATGTGTACATCTGAATTCTTGCAAAATATATGGGCCTCCCTGTGGTTTCATCAAGCTGTCTGCCTTGACAATTGCTCTCCGGGCTACTAAAGTGTGGCAACGGAAGACATGTATGCCCACTTGAAACCCTCGGCACGAGAGCATGAGTTTGGAGACGATGGACTGACGGTGATATTGGCATATCTAACACACCCGCATGTGGAGGACCAACTGCACATGGTATTTTTGACAGATGCTAGCATATTCAACTTGCGGACGTGTTAAAGTCCTACAAAAGTGATTGTGAATTCGCACCTTTCCCCTCCCAAGTCAGGTTTAAGGAAAGAAATGATAACAAGGTCAACACGTTAATGTTCGACCTATGATGAGCTTTCTACTTGACGCTTTTCATGAGCTCTCTAGTTTCCCGGTCTCGGCAATCCGGAACACATATTTCTGCGCACCGTTCTCTCCTTCTTTTAAGACTCTCAGTGCTGCTTCCACTCCATCCAACCCCCCTGGTCGCACCTCCCAGGGGTGTCCAAGAAGCCACCCATCTTGTAAGCCACGAGCAAAAAGTCGAAAGAACACGTAGGCCAAATCGGGATCCCAGTCTCGAGTGTCCTTCTGTGAGTGGCATCCACCAACACCAGTTCGCGAATGCTGCACTCCCTCTGGAAAAGTGTCGGCTGGATATGGACGGAGCAAAGTAATTGCAGCATTGGCACCGTTGGGCTTTATAATCTCGAGGAGCGGTTCCCAGCTCCCATTGCTGCTGATTACATCAAAGGCATACCGGCAGTCATGGAAGCCAAGATGATTGGCTTCTAGCGCGTCTTTGATACCAGATACTATGGCTCCAGGCCCGCCGTGATAGTCCACAATAGTGTCACCCTTAGTCCGATCGATTAGAGTTTCCACGTAGGTGGCACCCTTACCGGCGATGAGAAGTAGTGGGTGAATGTTGGCGCGGCGGGCCAGTTTGACGGCGTAGCAACCTACCGAGGATGAGGCACCATAGATAATTAATGGCAGTGGGTGAGAGATGGGTGACCAGGGCTGTGGGAGTGGAAGCCGCGAGAACAGCGCCATTGCGGCGGTCATGCAAGCCAGACTTCTCCATCGTTAGTGATAACATTTCCACTCTCTGTGAATCAACAGACAGGTGCCCGAGCTTCAGCTGGTCGCAAGACCACCCTTTGGTTGACAACAGCTTGAAGATGAAGCACACTCACGGTATGGTCGCAGCCTCTGTCGTGGTGTTAGTGCCGTAATCTCCCGCCTTGAGACGCAGCTTTTGAAGCCCACCTTCGAAAGAGATCTTTGGGGGGATATGGAAAGTTGTGTATGCCCAGGAGAGTGCATATTCTGCGTAACCTCCACCCTGACCACCCATCTCGTGGAAGGCAGCAACACGGTCGCCCGGCTGGACTCCACAACAGTAAGTCATCTCGCAACAAACTCTGCAAGGCCAATCTTTGGTATACGAAACACCAAATGGTCACCAGACGCCACCGGCTACGTAACCTTGTGACTCGGTCTAACGTTAGCAATAGAAACTGACCTTGAATTCCACTACACCCTTCCCAACCAAGTGTACAATTCCGGCGATATCATCTCCTTCATTTATATTAGTGCCTTGCCACTCAGGCCTCTTCCAGTCTTTGGGGTTCGCAGCGCAGACAACAACCTTGATGACAATCTGTCCAGGCCCTGGGATAGGGACAGGCGAGTCGATCATGGTCACTTGGGGCCCAGCAGATATCAGCAATTCCTTCATCCTCGCCCGTCTAGTCAGTTTTGCAGAGAGTATTCTCGCTTGACGACTGTTGAAACCTGACGATTGAGATCGTGACCTAATTAAGAGATACACCCTGTTGCAAAGTGTAGAGAGCGCTCGTAACTGGGCACAAGCCTTTGTCCATGATAAATCCCTCGAGTGGTTCTATTCGACATCATATGCAGCTTAGTTAGTCTACAGTTGGTGGCGTCGCTCGCCTCTTTCCGCTCACGTCGCCACGGAGATGGCACTTTGGCGAAGAGGCCGATATCGTATTTCCGATAGAGCCTCCGCGTCGTCGCACAAAACCTTAATTATCGCTCGCGTGTAGCCTTTGCCGGCGAAAAGATTGCAGCCCTAATCGATTGGGTGCAACCCTGGGGAGCAAAAGAAAAGTATGTGTTGGATCCTATGTGCATATCGAGACAAGAAATGGCAACACCATGAACAATTATAGCGACGGTCCTGAGACCGGGTTATACCATGTACCGTCCACAGTCTGAATAAGCCACTTCGGACTAAGGATGAGTACAACCCGCGCCGAGTTAAGTTGGTGTTTGAGCTTCTCGCTCGTCTATTTTTATGCCTGCATTCTATTCCGTAGCGGAATGGTTAGAGCTGATCTAGGCACTCATTCTGCCAGAACTAAAGTTGTGCAGCCTTCCCCCCAGCCTGACTGCAGTGACCCATATAGTTCAAAGCGCTACCATGTCTGAAATATTCCACTTGAACATCTGTGTAGGTATGATTCAACTGACAAGACCACAGCGATCCATTCTCTTGTCGTACTTGCAACGTGATCTGCTTACCAGGGGCAAACCCATCCAGACCAATCAGGCTTACACGATCTCGAGGCTGGATGCGGTCGTAGTCGGACTCATTTTCAAAAGTGAGTGCCAGGAGACCCTGCTTCTTTAGGTTGGTTTCATGAATACGAGCCAGACTTCTTGCGATCACTGCCACCCCATTGAGGAAGCGAGGTTGCAAAGCCGCATGCTCTCTCGAAGATCCTTCGCCATAATTACTATCACCAATAATCACCCATTGCTGACCACGAGCCTTATATTCTCTCGCTGTTTCGGCTATAGGTCCGTACTTCTCGGCAAAAAGGTTCCACGTGGAATTAACTTTGTCATTTTCCGCGTTGGTGGCACCAATCAAGGTATTCGCGGAAATGTTCTCCAGGTGCCCTCGATAACGGAACCAAGGTCCAGCAGGGGTGATGTGATCAGTCGTGCACTTGCCTTTGACTTTTACAAGGATTGGTATATCTTGATAGTCCTTACCACTCCAGGGAGGGAATGGCGTAAGCCGCTGCAGACGTTCGGATTCTGGGTCAACAAAGATCTCCTCAACTTGAGACGCTAGTGACGGTGCTTTGTACACAGCATCGGCAGTCACATATTCATCGGGGAGACTTGGCCCAAACGGAGGATCGAACTTGAAGGGTTTTCCGTCAGGACTTATGATACTATCCTGAAGCGGGTTGAATTTCAAGTCCCCAGCGAAGGTCTTGGCCACAACCATCTCCGGTGAGGCAATGAAGATTTTGGTCTCCTTATTCCCGTCCAATCGGCTCGTGAAATTGCGATTGTATGAGGTGATGACAGAGTTAGAAACACCCTGGTAAACGTGTCAGTGTGGACGAAATGACACCAGACAATCAATATCCGCGTACCTTGTCGACGTCTTCCCGAGCCCAGGAGCCTGAACAAGGGCCACATGCATTTGCTAGTACAGTTCCACCCGACTTCTTTAGGATATCGATAATGCCAGCTTTCTCCAACGTACGTCGAGTTTGTTCACTCCCAACACTAACCAAGAACGGTATCCTGGGTTTGATTCCCGCATCAAGCGCCTGCTTTGCTAGGCTTGCAACTCGATTCATGTCTTCGAAGGAAGAGTTCGTGCAGGACCCAATCAAGCCCGCAGACAGCTCAGGCCAGCTGTTCTCGTCGACAAATGCTCCAAACTGTGAGACTGGCGTCGACAGATCCGGTGTGAATGGTCCGTTGATCCGAGGCTCTAGTTTGGACAAGTCGATATTGATGAGCTGGTCATACTCCGCATTGTCATCTGCACGAAGGTTGGGAAGTCGAGATTGTACCCTATCTCGTATGTAGCCTCTCCCGGTGGCCGCCAGGTAGGATCCCATCGCCTCAGTGTAAGGAAATATCGACGTTGTCGCTCCAGTCTCCGCTCCCATATTAGAAATGCTTGCGAGGCCAGTACAAGACAGGGTGTCTACGCCAGGCCCAAAGTACTCAAGCACACTTCCGGTTCCTCCTTTGACGGTGAGTTCATTTGCGACATATAAAATGATGTCTAGTTGGTAAGGTCAGTCACAGTAAATTTGAGTTGGGAGGGCAGACAGATTGACCTTTAGGCGAAACCCAGGCAGAAAGCCTTCCAGTGAGCTGAATACCTATAATTCTGGGTGCTGCCAAACTCCAGGTCTGTCCCGACATAACGTCCACTGTATCGGCTCCTCCCACGCCAACCGCAGCCATACCGAGACCACCCGCATTGGGGGTGTGAGAGTCAGCTCCAATCATTAAGCCTCCAGGGTACGCATAGTTCTCCAGTATGACTTGATGGATAATTCCAGCTCCTGGGCCCCAATATCCGATCCCGTATTTCTGCGAAGCTTTCTCGAGGAATTCGAAGACCTCCTTGTTGGTTCTGATTGATTCTGCCAAGTCCAGCTCGCTCCCCTTTCTGCCAGTAACGAGGTGATCTGCATGAATAGTCGTTGGAACAGCTACCTTATCCAAGCCTGCCGTCATGAACTGTAGCAATGCCATCTGTGATGTAGCATCCTGACAAGCCACTCGGCTAGGCCGCAATTCAAGATTAGACACTCCGCGCTCGATTTGTGCCGAATCGGGCTGATCAAGGTGACTATACAGTACCTTTTCTGCGTAAGTCAAAGGTCTTCCAAGTCTGGACGTGGTTAACTAGTGGTTCCATAGCTACTTCATGCTTTTGAAGCTTACCTGGCCCTAACCTTCTCAATATTGCTGTCCAGCTCTTCGTAATTAATGTAGCGATCTTTTTCAAATCGACTCATTGGAGTCCTAGGGAGCGACGACGCAATATTCGCATATCCACGTTCGACTCTGCGAAACATACGGGAGCAGCCATTGTAGCCACACCGTTTCGCAGATAGCGTCCGAAGCGACCGCGAAAGTATGGGCAACATTGTGCATAGGTGTAGTTGGGCTAGGCAAGTAGCATCAACCAGTGGTGGCCCAAAATCGAAATATAGTCCTAAGATGACCAGAAAACCCGAGAGAACGTTGTAGTAAGCCTAGAAATGGGAACCTCGGCTGACTCTTTGGCCGACAGCGAGCAATTCCCGACATCGGATATTGTGGTCTCTGCCCACTTCTGTTATGCAACGTGCGCCGGTCATTGTAAGGATATGCGCCTAGCAATAGGAGACCCAGTGGAGGATTCCGATGCGAAAATTACCCTTTATGGCCTCTTGAATTGCCGCTGGTAAAAAAGCATCTCGTGGTCATCCTGCATGCTCTGCCCATCAAGGTCCTATGTAGCCTGAGAATAGATGTATCCCCACCCACCACCAGCAGAATCGCCCATCATGGCCGATGACAACGTAAGAATGACGCATAAGAGATCCAGAGATGTACAACGATCTGGTCAAGATGGCACACATTATTCTGGTCGAGGGGAGTGTTTATCAGAACGCAGGGTGGATTGCCCTAGCACGGGAATGACGGTGATGCTCGATGATAATGTCTACGAACCTGCTGCCGAGCCTGTCTGGATGATCGTAAGAACAATATGGCCGCCATTGATGGCATCGGTCATGGACTTGCTCGATTTTTTGACATCGATGGTGAGGTCCTTCAAAAAGGATGAGCCGCGGAGCTTAACCAAGCAAAGTCTAGCGCCGAGAATGTTCCTTCGGACGTTCTTCTTACTCCAACCTACACTTGACCTTGGTAACCTTGGTAACAAGTTGAGATGGTATTTCGATCGATCTTTTAGTTGGCTTTCCTGCGACTCGCTGATTGTTTTTGGCAATGAGTCTGCATCTTGATGACTCAGCCGGTAGGAAGGAAACATGGCTTCAGTAGAGGTACACTGAACCCCGCCTTGACAACGTCGTATTCTTTCTCACATCCAGCCACAGAAGCCAAGAGCTATACGTCGACATCCGAGCAAAGCTTGTAATGAATGCAAACAGCAAAAGGTATCAGAGCTGGCCGCTTTACTGCACCTGAGGAGTCCAGTGTTCCATACTGATAAATCTTCTACAAGTTACGGTGTACCGCCGCTACTGATTATCCGCAGCCTTGTTCTCGTTGCCGAAAGTTGGACTTAGTCTGCCGAATCGACGACAACTTTCAGCGCGTGGATAAACGCCGGTCAGTGGCGCAGTAAGCTTTCCCTGAGCGGTGGGATTCGTGCTCGACAAAGGCTAATATCCCTCCCCAAAGGCGAACGGAAGCTTTATATCAGGAAAATGCATTACTCAGGCAACAAATCGAGTCCAGTCGCTCTCCGCGCGGCCACCTTGATGGACAGAGTGCCCAAAATTACGACCCGGTCGTCGGCACTTCACCCGACGGCGTCGCTGGGGTAGTGTCGCTCTCATTTTCACCCATGAGGGACGTTGATCCTGATACTACACCTCGATCATCACTCCCCATTCATGTGGAGGAATCCGACCAAAGGACGAGTACAACATGGGACCCATCATTCAACCAGGGTTCGCGACCTGCAATATCCAATGACGCTCCCACTCAGCCTCGAGCGCTTGCCGGAATCAGAGTCGAGGCCGAGGAGATCGATGAATTATTCAGACTGTATTTCCATTTCGCTAAGTATTACGATGCGGAAGGTCCCTGGCTGAGATATCATCCAGGTATTACTTGCATTACTCCACACACCTGCCCTCTCTTGATCCGAAGATATCCCCCAATGAGTATTATGATCAGTCACCCTTGCTGTTCTGGTCCATTATTGGGGTGGCTGCACGAAGATTTACGGCAAACCCCACGCTTCTTGGCTCTCTTGCAGAACCAGTTGTGCACCTGGCTTCGCCTCTCCTACACCCTCCGTCGGCTGTGATTCCAGCTATACAAGGGCTATTACTCCTTTCTTCATTTCCATTTCCAACCGACTCGACATCTAAGGACATTTCCTATACTTTATCCGGGATGGCAGTCAATCTGGCCCTACAAGTTGGACTGCACGTACCAACATTCTTCCGAGACTACAGTCGGTCTAGAACAACGCTTACTCAAGAGGAAATAGCCATGAAAGTACAGTTGTGGTTCTACTGCATTGTAATTCACCAGAAGTAAGTCCGCATCCTGAATCAGCGTGTGAGATTCTGAACTCACTCAGACCAGGGCAGCATGTGGGCTAGGCTACCCTATCATGGTATCGCCAGACCGATTACAGAAACAAATGGATCTCCGAGGCCTTCTCGAACGAGTTTCTCCTAATCTCCTTCTTGAGATGAAATTGGGTAGTCTCTTGAGTCGCATCAACATATTATTCTCTCCGTCGACCTTTGTTTTGGAAGAGATACAGGACAAACAGTCGATGTTCGCTCGGACGATGATGTCTGACATCTTCGAGAACCAGCTCAATGAGCTTGAGTCGGAACGAAGATTGTCAAGCCTGGAGGAAACCTATGTCAACATCACACGTCTCCAACTCCGCTTGCACTGCCTCCAAGACCGCGAGAATCCTGCCAGCAGCCTCCAAATGGCTAAACTGGGCATCGCTGCGACCTCAATAATCGACTTGATCGAGCATCTTGATACCAAGACATCATTGGTCACGTACTGCCCGCATTATATCTACCGGATGACTGCTCTCACCGCGTCGGTTCTTCTCCGCCTTGCAAAGCAGTCCCAAGCTCAAAGTTCCTCGATCGTCTCAAACATATCCGGGGGTGCAAGTCTACAATACAAGCCGTACTTCTTCCGAACGATCTCCCTTCTGAGGAGGATGTCTGTCGACAGCAATGACATGCCAAGTCGCATGGCCAAAATCTTCTCTCAGCTTTGGACGATCGACAACCTCTTTGAGCAGCAACCAAATCGCTCCCCAGACGACGCCGGCACAGAATCTGCCGCACCGCTCTCAACATCGTCCCCGCTGATCGTTCAAAGCAGACTATCCATGAGCGTCCTGCATGACTGCATGTGGCGCTGGAAAGATCATTACAGATACTCGCAATCGTCAAGAAACCCCGGGATAGATCATTCTCGCACAACAAGCAACAACAACACGAGATCCGCGGCGGAATCTGCACCACCGCGGCAGCTCATGCTCATGTCTGGGATAAATTCCACAGCACAAAATCTGACAACCACCGCGGATCCATCAACTTCATTTTCAGTGCCGTCAGCCAACAATCTAACTTTTAGTCCTGGCATGGCCACGTCTGACAACATGATGACACCTTCATTTGTCGGAAATTTCTCGCCGCTTGGAGCCCTGCCGTGGGATGCCAGCTTGAATCAGGAATTTGAGATGATGGTTCAGAACTTCCCAGAGTCATGGCCGGTTTGAGCAAGTCAGGCCAAAAAGATTAATGTTAGAAATGTAAAAGATTACAGTGCATGAGCAGAAATCGTATGAAGGACGTCTTCACTGAAACAATACTCGGCGGAAAAATCGGAGAGGTCTGGTAGATTTCATGAATTCCACCATCCCAATATTGGAGAATCTGATATCAAAGTGAATGGAAGGAAGATTATCCAAGCTTGAGTCATTTCACGGGAGTGGGCTGACTTGTGGCACGGCAAGAATGGTAGAGCACGTGGAACCATAGGAAGTAAGGAATACTAATCATGGAAGCAAGAAGCGAACGGTGTCCAAAGGGATGGAAGGAGCGGACCTTTCAGCCTCGCCACTGTTTGGTTGGCACACTAGGGGCGTTGGTCGCTGGTGCCTGTGAACAGGCAACGTGGCTGGTTGGATGATGGTACAACAGGACATTAATCAGACAAACATGTTGAGTGCTGGCGGGTGCCTGACAAGGCTTGTATGATGAAGGTACAGATGGACAGTACATACGAGGTAGGACAGGGCAGAGTTGCTTGGATTATAGTGGCAAGGCAGAGACACTGATAGGGACTGTGATGGGTGATATCAAGGAAGGTTCTATCTGGTTCCTCGGACAGCCTTCGTCACGAGGACTACGCGCACTAGTAGGAGTCGTAGTAACTACTAACTACATACAGTAGGAACTAGTAATAGTAACTAGTACTAGTACTTGTACTACAAGTAGCTGTTAGGCGGCAACAGGGCGACGTGTTTGCGTTTGCGTTGTTCCGTTTCAAATGACTGCCAAGACCGACCGCCCGCCTCACTACCTTTTTGCCTGACACAGCGCAGGCAGTCACGCCCCAAACCACCTGGCACCTGCAGCTGCACCTGTACCTGCGAGTTACATCACTTGCTCATTCAAACTCCAAACTCGCCTTCGACTTTCTGTCCCCCCCAAGCTTCCCTTCTTGTGATCTCTCACCTTCCATCACCATCGCCTCTCTTCCTCCAACATCAGGGTTCTTCTTGACAATCAGGAACCTTCCCCTCTGTTCATCTCGTTACCATTCCTCCCTGTCAAATCCTCTCCGTCAGGTCCAGAATCCCACACCTCTTTGAGGACCACATCGCATCCTGAAATCAACCATCTCTCGCCCTCCTACATCGCCCACCATCATGTCTGCAGATTCCCACCCTTCCCACCCCAAGGGAAAGGTGAATTTACAGTATGTACCATCTGTTGTCCTTTTTCCATCAATTCCATCCACTAATCGTCAACCAGCGACGCCTCCGGTGCCGAGAAGAAAGACGTAAACTCTCCCAACCATCCCAGATCCGTTGAACCTCACACTAACCATCCTCAGGAACTCGACACAGCAACAGCCATCCTCAAGAAAAAGAAGAAACCAAACTCGTTGATGTGAGTATATCCTTGAAAGACTGCAAGATGAAGGTGTCCAAGTCTAACAAGTATTACAGCGTCACAGACGCCACCAACGATGACAACTCCATTATTGCTCTTTCCAATAACACCATGGAAACCCTACAGCTCTTCCGAGGCGACACCGTACTGGTCAAAGGGAAAAAGCGCAAAGATACCGTCCTGATTGTCTTGGCCGATGACGATTTGGATGACGGCTCAGCTCGAATCAACCGAGTGGTGAGACACAACCTGAGGGTCAAGCATGGCGACATCATCACCGTCCATCCTTGCCCAGACATCAAATATGTAAGCATCGCTTCTTCTCTCATTCCTATCCACTACTAACATCTTCCGCAGGCTAAGCGAATTGCTGTCCTCCCAATTGCCGATACAGTTGAAGGCTTGACTGGCTCTCTCTTCGATGTCTTCCTTGCCCCATACTTCCGCGAGGCCTACAGACCAGTCCGACAGGGCGATCTATTCACTGTTCGTGCCAGCATGAGACAGGTCGAGTTCAAAGTGGTCGAGGTTGATCCTCCTGAGTATGGCATCGTTGCTCAAGATACTGTCATCCACTGTGAAGGTGATCCAATCCAACGAGAAGACGAGGAAGGAAACCTTAACGAGGTCGGATATGACGATATTGGAGGTTGCAGAAAACAGATGGCTCAGATCCGAGAATTGGTTGAGCTTCCTCTCCGCCACCCTCAACTCTTCAAGTCTATCGGTATCAAACCCCCACGAGGTATTCTTATGTTCGGTCCTCCTGGTACTGGTAAGACCCTCATGGCACGAGCCGTCGCCAACGAGACCGGTGCTTTCTTCTTCCTCATTAACGGACCCGAAATCATGTCGAAGATGGCCGGTGAATCTGAATCAAATCTCCGTAAAGCCTTTGAGGAAGCCGAGAAGAACTCCCCCGCCATCATTTTCATCGATGAAATCGACTCCATTGCTCCCAAGCGTGAGAAGACCAACGGCGAAGTCGAACGACGTGTTGTTTCTCAACTGCTCACATTGATGGACGGCATGAAGGCTCGTTCCAACGTTGTGGTCATGGCTGCCACCAACCGACCCAACTCCATCGATCCCGCTCTTCGTCGATTTGGGCGTTTCGATCGAGAAGTCGACATTGGTATCCCAGACCCCACTGGTCGTCTTGAGATCCTGCAGATTCACACCAAGAACATGAAATTGGGTGAGGACGTCGATCTTGAATCAATTGCTGCCGAGACCCATGGTTATGTTGGCTCTGATATTGCGTCTCTTTGCTCTGAGGCCGCCATGCAACAGATTCGTGAAAAGATGGATCTCATTGACTTGGATGAGGATACCATTGATGCAGAGGTCCTAGATTCATTAGGCGTTACCATGGAGAACTTCCGATTCGCTCTTGGTGTGTCCAATCCCTCGGCCCTTCGCGAGGTTGCTGTTGTCGAAGTACCCAACGTTCGTTGGGACGACATTGGTGGGTTGGAAAATGTCAAGCGCGAACTCATCGAGTCCGTCCAATATCCAGTCGACCACCCAGAGAAATTCCTCAAGTTTGGTCTTTCTCCGTCTCGAGGTGTGTTGTTCTACGGTCCTCCGGGTACTGGTAAAACCATGCTTGCCAAGGCTGTCGCCAACGAGTGTGCTGCCAACTTCATCTCCGTCAAGGGTCCTGAGCTTTTGAGCATGTGGTTTGGTGAATCCGAAAGCAACATTCGAGACATTTTCGACAAGGCACGTGCAGCAGCACCTTGCGTCGTCTTCCTCGACGAACTTGACTCGATTGCCAAGTCTCGTGGTGGCTCTCTCGGTGATGCCGGAGGTGCATCTGACCGAGTCGTCAACCAGCTCTTGACAGAAATGGACGGTATGACATCGAAGAAAAACGTCTTTGTCATTGGTGCCACCAATCGACCTGAACAACTCGATAACGCTCTATGCCGACCTGGTCGTCTCGATACCCTCGTTTACGTCCCTCTTCCCGATGAGGCCTCTCGTGCAGGTATTCTCCGAGCTCAGCTCCGAAAGACACCTGTCTCCGATGACGTAGACATCAATTTCATTGCCAGCAAGACTCATGGTTTTTCTGGTGCTGACCTGGGCTTTGTGACACAACGTGCCGTCAAGCTTGCCATCAAACAATCTATTGCCCACGACATTGAGCGACAGAAGGAGCGTGAAGCTGCTGGTGAGGATGTCATGGAAGATGATGACGAGGAGGACCCAGTTCCAGAACTGACCAAAGCCCATTTCGAGGAGGCCATGGCAGCTGCCCGACGATCTGTCAGCGATGTCGAAATCCGACGATATGAAGCCTTTGCCCAAGCTATGAAGCAGAGCGGCGGGAGTGCATTCTTCAAGTTCCCCAGTGCGGGAGAGAGTGCAGACGCTGCCAATGGCAATGGATTCGGGGACGCTGGCAATGACGATAGCTTGTACGACTAAGGAATCAAACAAGGAACTTGGTTAATTAAACACGCGTGCTTGGTAGCTAGACTGGCGATCACTTTTTGGGACTAATCTGCATGGGAATGTGCGCAGAAGAAGATGAAAGGCGTCGAGCAATTCCTGGTCAATCTTGCATGCAAGTTCAGACCCCTTCTTCCAGGCATGGTAGTGGATCAACAATTGCCAGATCGTGGATCGGCACCGGGCATGGGCCGTGGGCATGGCTTGTACTCGGCCAATTGCCCCATTATTGCAAGGCCTGGCAAATTGTATTCTACATAGAGAGAGAGATAGCAGACAGAATGTGAGCAAAATAGACGGCTTGATCACTTTTAAACTTGCGATCGCATGTTCCATGGCTTAATGGTTTCACGGTGCTATCGTGGCCTTGCGAATTGTGTTGGCAAGGCTGAGCGGTTCAATGATGATGACGCATAAAATGTCACAAAGTGTGAGCGACCCACATGCGGCGCTTCCGGAGCTGCCGCCTTATTCTTCCTTGCGTTTTAATTTCCCGGCCTCTCCATCTTCACCTTCACTCTTACCACTACACAGGACCTCGTACTATCTCTCGCGTGACAACCTTCCAATACCTATATTCTTCTCTTGGGTCTGTTATCTCGTTTCCAGCCTCGTTCGCATACCTAAAAGTCTAGCAATAATGGGTATCTCAGCCCGCCTATTGCGCCTGGGAAGGCCGCAGGTGGGTGATTTTGATGGGGACATTCATGTGCTTGATGCCTAACCTGCGTGATAGAGATTCCTTTACTCCATGTCGCTCTCCACTGGCGCAAGTCTAATCACCCTCTCGCTCGTCCTCAATAAACTGTCCGGCCTCTATGGCATCCTCGCCCTCCTCACGGGATATCATCTCTCAACTTTCCAATTGTCCATGTACATTTATTCCATCTTCGCCTTGGGCCTAACCGTCTACCTCTCCCCTCACATCCGCAAGCAGTCGCCTTTACATTGCCTCGCTCTTGCGTGGTTCTACGTTCTTGACAGCATCATCAATGCCGCCTTCACTGCCGCCTTCGCTGTAACATGGTTTCTGGTTCTGGCGCAGCACAATGCAGGACAAACTGGTGATAACAAAGGTCCTGGCGCTGGAACTATGCAGGATACCGCGGGGTTTACGGATCCGGTTCTGAATGTCAGCAACGTCGAAGTTATTGCGTCGCCCCAGCCGGGTATCCCTGGTGGACAGGATGCTGTTGCTGCCGCCGTGCCCGCCTCAGCTCCTGCAGGCACTTCGGGAAGCAATGCTGGAGCGGAGCTGAAGAATGCAGTCCTTGGGGCTGAAAGCATGAACTCCATCGGTGTTATCATCACTCTATGGACCATTCGCGCCTATTTCTGCCTCATCATGCTCGCCTTTGCGAGAATGGTTCTTCGACAACACATCGCAAATTCCACCTTCAAGCCGACAACGTCCTACACCAGTGCGTCCACCGATGCCAACCTCGCAGAGAACCCATTCTCTGAATCCAAGCCCGACGGCCAAGGATGGAAAGGCAAGCTGGGCCGCTTCATGGTCAGCATTGGCCGAAGCTACTGGTTGGGGTCCGACGAGGACGACTCCTGGATGTATGGCATGAAGTTCCGCCGCAGTACAGAGGCCGGCACCATGCTGAGCAAGATCGAGTCTGGCCCAACCGAGAGAGAGCGGAGACGACGTTCTGGAACAGGACCACCGCTTCCCACACCCGGCTCCGTGCCCTTGTTAAATACTAATGTCTCCGGGAAAGTCGTTGGTGCTGCCATTGCGACTGGAAAAGATGGTGATGCCGCTATGACGCTGCAAGTGCCCAGTCAGAATCTGTAGTATGTTATTCTGGAATGGAAAGGTCGGTCATAATAGAGGAGGGAAGGAAGTAATTACCAAATTTGGTCTACCGGTCCGCGTTGTCTCTCGGCTAGTGTGAGATAATGTTGTTGGAGAATACAAAACTCAACATGGAGATGATCTGTTGTTCGAAAAGCGAAACATGGCTACACAATGAAGGTTGCCAGAAGGATGTGGCGAGAAAAACCAGGCTCGGCGGCACTGGCTGTACCTTCATCAACATCTCTTTATCGACTGTTACATCTTGCCTCTAATCAATACCGACCAAGCTACCGTTATTCCACACACATCAGCTGAAAATTACTTAGACACGCTCAACAGAATGCCATGCGAATTAATTTCACGGACGAAGCGCTAATGCTCAGGGGGGTTGACCATTGGGTATTGTTGTTAATAATATTATTGCCTGCAGTTGGTCAATCACACTGTTGGTCGGCCACTGGCAACGGTGCAGAACTACGAGGGCGTTCAGGATATGACTGATGCTTGCAATGCATTGATAGTACTAGTGGTACGAGAACATGGGGATAATGATAGGAGCACCTACGGTATCTAGGCTTGGGGATCCAACAGGCACCACACGGGTGAGGAGTCAATGGGGATACTATGATACCGAGCAGTATATCAACATATTTTTACTACGTGGTGTCGATATCTACATGTGGATGGGATTCCAGACTCAGAGGTCAAGATCAAGATGGCGCTTGCATATGTACATGTTTATACCATCTCAATCCCCCTTCGCAGCGAAGTCAATTGCGGTCACACTTATCTCCGACCAAGTCCATTCAGGGCAAGTACGACTGAACTGCTGATAGTCCCTTCCTCATTGTCACAAACTCAATTGAGACCTCATGCCAAAGAATGGGCGCCCCAGTGAGATCGATCCTCTCCCTAGACACCAAACTATGGGATTCCCCGTTCAAAATTCAGAGGGCCGGGGGGCTTGTAGTTAGCCTATCTGGCAACAGCTTACTGTCTACCAGAGGCGGATTCCATGCTCCTTTTACAAGAGTATGATCCACAGCTTGATACCATCAAAGCTGAGCTCACTGATTCGTCCAAGTCTGGGTAAGGGAAGGGACCAGCCCGCGCCTATCCGATTAGATCAATGTCAATTTCGACTCTTGTCGATTCCATCTCGAGGCTCCGGTCGAGGATGAGACAGTTGAAGATTGCCTTTCCAACGGAAGAAAGCCATCGCTAAAGCCCCACAAAGCAATAGCTAGAGAGGACCTCAGGGAAAATGAGCACTTGCATTCCACTTGTGCGGATTCATGCCCACATGCCTCTTACGTGATGTGGAAGAGTTCGCCATAATACTTCCCAGCCATCACAATTGGGGCAGCATCAACGCCCTGCACTCTCCATGCAAGTTACAGGCGGTGCGTACACCTCCATACGGAGTGCTGTGAACGTTTTCTTTTCCCCCGTTACTTGGAAGAGGAATACATGATAAGGCCTAATTCAGCTCAAGCGAGAAGATGCTTCGCCTTGTCCGAAGCGACCAGCGAAATGTGCAGTCTTTGTATCCCAGATGCATACATACACCCTCACACGCCCACAGCAAAGACTGACCATCGGGACAGAGAGGTATTCCTAGTCGAGACTGTCATTAAGGCGTATGATAAAATCGATAGGCTGCCGACCTTGACCTAAAATTGACTGTCAGGCTGTCACGCCACCAATAAACGGACTTGGCAAGCCTGACCATTCTGAGAAAGATTGAGACGACTATAGCCCTCTCGAGCCATTAATGCCCATCGACAGCTCGGACGAATTGCTGGACCTTCCTGCGAACAATTGCATTGTTCGTGCCAAAGGAAACCGGCCTGCCCGTCACGCAGTGACAGTATTCGCCATGCAACCAAACAGAGCACTTTCAGTGGTGTCTCATACTGTCTGTCGGGCTCTTTCGCGACACGGCGCGTGTAGATGCTTCCATGCAGCAGAGAAACTGATATAGGTTTCTTTGGTCACTGTTTTATTCTATCCTACCGTGAAGCATGTACTATGAAAGTCGTGGGGTATATTAGCCACGTTTCTTCTCCTTCTGATACAAGTTAACATCCCATCCTGACGCAAATGCAATAGTTACTCCTCCCCGAGAACCGCCGACTTATAGTTACGTAGAATGAACCCCAGATGAAAGCAGACTCTTCATGCTCGGCCAGGCTGGTGATCGTTTTCTGCCCTCTTTGCAAAGTCCCATCGTTCAAATTTTTGATTGGGCCATAATTGATTTCTTTCATACACAGCGGAAAAGAAAGAAGAAGAAGAATTATCTTTCAAACATGCTTCCAGCCATTCCAGATTAGAATGTGCTGCTCGTCGATGACACAGATATCTCCGTTCTCGTCTCGTTTCTCGAGGGAGGAGTCGGCTTCCTTACGCCAGCGGTCCATCTTCCGTGCTACGCCCTTGGAGGCGGCGGTGACGCGGCTCAGGAGGTTTCGCTTAATGCGGTTCAGCCAGACACCGGTGACGTACTGTGTTCCCGAGACGAAGTTCTGGTCCGGGGGTGTGTGCGTCAGGTTATACGCGTTGACCGTATAGCCGACGCGCACACTCGGGTTGACGTAGATGCCGCGCGCGGCCGTGCCCATCATCGCCATCATGTCCGCGTGGATGAGGCAGCACTCGCTCGCCTCGAGGTGCTTCGTCGCCAGGCTGTCTGGCAGTGCGCGGAAGCGCAGCCCCTCGTAGAACGGCGCCGTGTCCATCGCGATCATCCCGTTCCAGCACGACTGCACCTTGGTCGCGCGTCCCTGCAGCATTGCCGTCCGCGAGTCCATAGATCGAAAGTACGGGAACGACTTCATGATCGTGCTGTCGCCTTCGCTATCGCGCAGTACGAACGTGTCGTAGTAATCCGGTGGGTAGTGGAAGTCCAGGGCGCACGCGGAGGTGAAGGACCCTTGGTTCGTGGCCAGTAGCGTCAGAACGTCTGACGGCCGGAACACCACGTCGTTGAGGTACAGGATCTTGTCGTATTCGATGCCCCGGGCGTGGTGCTCGAAGAGCACTTTCAGGGATGTGTTCCGCAGGCGTGCTAGGTACGGTATCCGCCGCAATTCCTTGCCTGCGCCCACCGTCGTGGTCTGGATCCATCCCGACCGCGGGTTCCCCTGCCCATCCAAGGGACCAACGTTGATCTCGTCCGCGTGTGAGGTCGGGTCGAGGATCACGGACCGCGGGATCTGGTGCTCGGCGAGTATGTCGTCCAGGATCTTCAGCACGTCCTTCGTACGGTCGAGGCTCCCGCTCTCGTATATGCTCACGTACACGTTGTCTTTGCCCAGCGTGCCGATGAGGTCGAGCAGCGCCTGGCCCCACCGGTCTTGGATGATTTTTGCATTTGTCCAGAACTGCGCGACGATGAAGACCTTCTGGTTCTTCACAGAGGATGGCAGCGAGGCGATGTCCGTGTATGTGTGCGCCTGCAGGTTGCGGGAGAACTCGCGGTGCTGCTTGAGGATCGTGAGGACGTCGAAGAGGACGATGGCACTTAGCATGTAGACGAGCCACTTGAGAAGCCTCCGGCGGCCGGAGCGGCGGTATCTGCGCAACAACATGGGTACGACACTGGCTCTCGGAGTCGGAGGAGCAGGAGCAGCTGGGGGGGATCCATCTGCTGTGTTCTCATGGCCTCTATAGAAAACAGATGAATTCGTGCAATAGCAGGTAGGGGGCGTTTGCATCAGACGCGCCAATGCGTTGACATCTCTTGGGGGCTGAAGATCCGCAATGTCTCTCTTTTATTACCCGCTGCCACCTTGTGAATCGATAAGGAGAAATGGACAGGTCGTTTGTGCTGACTCGTGCTGTCCCCCTGAAATGACTCGTGCAAGGCTAGATCTTGGCATGGCAGCCTTGCAGACTTCTGTTCTATCCTCATTATCAGCTTCGAGGAGTGAGCAGAAGAAGACAAGGTCACAATTGAGGGTTGCAGTTGAGGCTGTTCAAACAGTTCAGAACTACTCATTAACACAAAGCCATATTCTAATTTTCACGGTATCATTGCTACTTGGTGTAGGTGATGCTCAACTCTCTCGGCATCTCAGGGACAGGTGTAAGGGCAGCACCACCTTCCTCTTGTTTGTGTGTGAGGTTGAGTATTGTGAATTCTCTAAATGTTCATTGTATTTTCTAGGTAGTTGCGATAAAGTCACTTTTATGTGAGTTGCGCGACAACCGACGAGGCAGTGAACAGGCAGTGAGCTGGTCGTGAATACAAACCCTTGTTTTGGTGATAATACTTGTCACATTCTGTTCTTCTGTGACTGTTTGCGTCGTCAGCGTATGTGAATTCGAGGTTCATCTCATGCCTATAGATGTTTCCTCTTGTGCGACACTTGGGCTTCTTTTCATCCCAAACACCTTGTCCATCTCGTGGTCTTTGATCTCTACCAAAACCAGCTGAACCGATCTCTTCTCTTTGTCAGTGCTTAGACAAGCTCTTTCAACGTCAAAACCTCGCGCGCCGTCGTCAAGATGCTCTTCATCAACCCACTCGCGCTTGGCTTGTCCACCTTCGCATGTCTCACTCAAGTCATTGCTGCTCCAGCTGATGGCTTCGAGACCATCGTTCGCAACACCGACATCGAGAAGCGTGATGAGCCGCCCCTCAAGTTCAACATTGACCCCGACATCACCACCAGCACTGACTGCGGCCGCTGGTACAATGCCAACATCAACGTCAAGTTCGCCCCCAACCCAATCTTCACCAGTGGAGCTTGCGATGCCATCCGCAACTTCATCGGCGGAGACAAGGGAGACATGGATGTCGAAGTGAACTTCCTCTGCCCCAACAAAGGACCAGACAGCGAAGGCGATCTTCACACCAAGTTCCATGTCCGTCTCGACTACAATGTTCCTGTCGACATGAACAAGAAAGGGGAGCAACAGATCCCGGCCACTCTTCATGTGTACAATGTCAACAAGGGTCTCAACGTGCAGACTAGCAATGTCCATCTGGGCGGTGTTGCTGATAAAGGCAAGAACACCATCAAGTACCAGTTCATTTACTGCGTAAGTCATATCCCATCCGCTGCCACATTTTACAAGAAGCTGACAGCACATCCAGGAATAAATGCACGTTCCAACTCGACTTTTCTTCAGCAAGTGACTGAGAAAGTCGTGGCATTTCACCGACTTGACTCTTTGTTGACGTCACTCTGGTCTCTGCAACCATGTGTCCCTTGTTATGGTTGAATCTTTCGAAATCGCAAAAAGGGCAGCGATTCGTCGATGGAGCAGATGCTAGCAAAAGGACAGGGTCATGCGGGAAAATCCTGATAAGCCAGTCGGACCAGACAAACTCAATACCCAGTTTTCATCACAGAGTCACATTAGTGACAAGCAGGCAGAATTGCTCAAGCCAGCCTAGTTTAGTTGAGCAATAGTCCCTAGACAAAATGGGATGTTCATCTTGCTTCTTCTCCTTTATCCAGCTTCTCGTAGCAATAACCGTACCACGGATGTTGTGCTCCGAGCTCTGTCTCATCCAGACCAGCTTCAAGAATGTCCTTTTGTTAGAGGCATTCGGAGTCTTGCTAGTGTTGTCTCCCCAATCATGTATCCTCGTATAATTGGTGTCCAGATACTATTACATTATGTAGCACTGTTGCAGAAAACCTCTTGTCAAGCGGCCTCCCAAGTGCATTGCGCGACGCAGGATCGCATTCCGATGGTGAGCCATCTCGAGGCTTAAAATTGGTTGTGATAGAGAATTCTGGGCTTCATCATACCAGTTTGTCGAGTAGCTGCCGCCGCCTACGATCCACTAGTTCATCTTGAACCTCTTCGAGAGTCGGCAGTCGCCATTGTACTCCGTCTCCTGCATCTCCAGGCAAAGGTTCCCAGTGCTCATCAGACTGATCGCCCTCTGCAGAATGAGTGATCCTTTCCACAGCCTCTTTCTCTTTCCTCCTCTCGTACTTCAGCAGAGTGCCGTCCTCTTCATCGAGTCCGAACCCGAAATATGTTGCATCGAGATTCTTACGGCTGATGTCTTGACCAGCCCGCGGTTTCTCATCGTCCTCATCTCCATGCGCCCTTCGCTTTGCAGCTCTTTCAAACATTTCTTTCACACCAGGTAGCTCCCTCGCCCTCCCGAAGTACCTGTAACCCTTACCGCCACCCGGGACTTCTCGTCCTTGATCATCGAATACTGTTCCTCCACCTCGCATGTAGTTTGGGCCACCAAGCTCTCTGATTCTCCTCTCCCATCCCCACTTCTCCTTCATGAGCTTATTGATCTCATCGTTGAGATCCCGCACTTGGAAGTCGGACAGACTTTCGTCCTGGATCTTTGTCACTTTTCGAGACACCTCTTTTAATATCTGGCCGCGCCATTTTTCGCATAGCGGGATCGTGCTGACCGTGCTGGGGGCTTTGGGCCGGCGGAGTGAAGAGCTGGGCAGTAGCCCTGATTCGGCGGCTTGTGCTGCGCGGAAGCGAAAGAGCATGGACTGCGCCTTTTCTGAGTTGCGAGCCATGATGAAAACCCAGACTTGGAATTATTGCGCGCTGGCGGGGAAGAGAGTAGCCTCCTAGAGCAACGCCAAAGCAGTATTGAGGACCGCGAGGAAATTGGTCGAAGGAAGTCCAGTTCTGATATTAAGGACATACCATTAGCTTCACTTGATTCGGTGTGTATGAGAGGCCCTCGGTCTACAGAGTTTGGGATGCACCGGCCCAAAACTGAGTCTGGAGAGGATGCCAAGCAAAATTAAAACAGCGTGCGAGGGGGACCTCGTTCAGGAAAATAGAGGACGCCGCTCTATGCCAGAACTTCCGTGTTGAGGCTATCACTTTCCGAACATAGAAGCTAAACCTGCCTAATAAAGCGATACCTATATCTTTTCAAGGTCCAGCAAAATGAATTTGATGCGCTCATTGTTATCTTCCAGACGTGGGGGTGCATAGCGAAGGCTGCTGAGAGAAGAAGCCGAAAGCCTCGTCTCCACGCACACCAACGAACACTGATATTATTCCCTACAACGCTGACTCGGGTCTTGTATGTGTAAGATACTCTAGAGCTACCTCCTAGCACTGAAAGGTACACAGTCAAAGTTGTCAACTCTCATCTCAGAGGCTGATCCGAATCTCAGCCTTTGGTGGACAAAACATTCCCCTCAGACTTTCTCAACCAACACAGCCTTGCCACATTCGAGACTTTTTGAGCACTGCCTCTATCACAAGGACCGCTCTAAGGCCATCGGCTACTGAGAAATTCGGGGCTGCTTCTCCCCGAGCTGCGGCAATAAAGTGCTTGAGTTGGTGCGAAAATGAGGACTTCTTGTCTACCCAATTCTGAGGCCCTGCATCCTTTTCAAGTGGATAATTCCAGTTCCGCTCTATTTCTGGTCGATTGCCATAACGGTAACGAATTCTCCAACTGCGAGTCAGCAGAGTCCAATTAAAGCATGGTGCAATCGTCGACTCACAGTTTCGGGACACTGATCGAACCCTCAGTTCCAAAGATAGTAAGGACATCCTCGCCGGTAGCAGGAAAGAGTGGCATGTCACCAGTATCAGCTTCCCATGACACTTGTGATGCGGCCGTGCTGTACGAGATCAGCAACTAGGTTTCCAGAGTGTACATTGACCTCCTTTGATATCCTGAAATGATTACTCTGTGAACAGGAAGGATCCAACAGCGCCAGACGAGTACTTCATCGACACCTGGACTGTTGAATCAACAGGATATGGCCTCTCTTTTGGCCCTTCGATAGCATGAACTTCTTCAATATTGCCCAGCCAGTATTGGAGCATATCCATTTCATGGATGGCGTTGGTTAAGAGCTGTTCTTCCAATCAGTATTTACGTGAGCCTTGGTGCTTCAAGCGGTTCATAACACGCCTCCAGACCCAAGCTGTTGATATCAAGGAATATCGAAGTATTTCTGTGACTTGCGTTGCGCCCAGACTAAAACGGAAAGTCAGAAATATCGTTGCGCCAAAGCGGAAAAGCCATGCGCTCTTCGCCTTACCTCCATTCACTGCAACCACTTGGCCTAGCTCTTTCTTTCCGAGAACATCATTGACGGCCCTGACATAGCAATTATGCCGTCTATGGTGCCCGCCATGTAGATACCACGAGTGTCTGTTTTACAAATTTCGAGGAATTGTCGCCCTTCATCACTTGTGGGGGCCAGAGGCTTTTCAATGAATACGGCCAGGTTGCTGCCCACCAACAGTCTGGCCATTGGTATGTGAGTATGTGTTGGTGTCGCAAGGATGATGGCATTTGCTTCCACGTCACCTAATTTATAGGCCTCCAAAAATCCTTCGAGGTCTGGGAAGCTTGGTACACCATACTGCTCTGCAATCTAAGCGACAACATGGTCAGAATCACTTGCTCATCATCAGTATTCGACTTTAACATGAGTTGGAGAAGACTCCAATGATTGCTGCAAGTTCTGCAAGATTTTGGTTAGTCTACAAGCAAGGACGGAGTTTAGATTCGCGAGTGGTTCGAGGCAACAATGCAACATACCGGCTTCCTCCTCATCGAGAACAACTTGCAAGTGTGACCGCCCTATGAAACCATTTGCACCTGTAATGACCTTTTGTAGGCTATCAATACTTGTCCTACTAAAGATATCACTAAGGCCACCCAAAACTCACAATGCGAAGTGGACGTCGCGACATTTTGCCTATGGAGTACGCTCCGCGCTCAGAAAAGGAATATTTCCTCAAAAACCGAACTTTATGAACACAGGGGGCCCCCATTTGACCTTTTAAGATCTGAATTTGATATTTCCGAATCCCGAAACGCCTCAAAGTGTACAATAAAATCGTAGCCATATAAAATACTGTCTCCAACTGTGAACCCCACCAAGGCTGCGCCATCCGACAACGACTGGAGTAATAAAAGCCTGCCCTTCTGAATATAGGAAGCAGGACTTCGAATACTTCCGGTCGTTCCTCCGCTGAGTAAGATGCATACCATGATTCCAGGTGTATACACTTTTTGATTGCTCTACACACATAGTGGGTACAATGTAGTCGCCTGTGTCTTCATGTTGCCTTGATCATTATGCGACAATGTTGCTTCGAAATTCGGAAGAGGCTATTTCCAGCGTCTGAGGCACAGGGCCGGACGTAGGATCACCGATCACTTGAAAAAGATTAGATTGGACGTTGAAAATCATTTCGCCTGCAGCCCATTCATACAGCGAACGTTACATCGTCATCAATGTGAATGGAAGCATATTATCATTAACTATCCCTCCCACTGACAATGCGTCCTTGAGAAGTGACTAATAGCCATTCTTTCCTTTGATCACGCCTTCTGCACCGCCTCCTCGGCCATACATGTCTCTCACATCCGCAATCAAATGCTCTGGCTTTTCATACGCGAAAAAGTGTCCACCTGAGTCATAAAACCTCTCGAACACAACATCTCCTTGAGTCCTCGTCCAGGTACTTGGATAAACCCTGACTTCCGCGGGCGAATGCGTCAACCCCAGCTTCACACCTCCGATATACTGCCTGGTGCGATCTCTCGTGACCCGCCGCGCAGGGTCGTCCCACCTGTGGACCTCTTCGTAGTAGATTCTCAAGCTCGCTGCAGGGCCCGCCGTCGAGAACCAATATATGCTCATCCACGTACAGATCTCGTCCTCGGTCCATGGATATTTGTCGCTCCACTCACATATCTTTTCGTAGATCCACGAGAGCAGGCCGACCGGTGAGTCGGCAAGCGAGTACCCTAAAGTCTGCGGTTTTGTGCTTTGTTGGGTGCGGTAACCGGAGCTCTCCCTTAACATCCATTCTGTGCGCTCGCGTCCCTTAATTTCTCGCTCGGTGAATGGAGTGGTGGCATACTCCAGGGCTAAAAGAGGGTTGCTTGTAAATTTTGGCTGGCTACCCTCGTCCATGTTCACGTGTATCGCCTTGCAATGTTGCGGATAATGGAGACACAGAGTGCGAGTGATGTGAAATCCCCAGTCGCCTGCTTGGGTAGCGTACTCAGTATAGCCAAGCTTGAGCATGAGCTTATGCACGATTTCCGCATACTGTGCTACCGCAAATCCTTTCTTCTTGGGGGCTTCAGAGAAGCCAAAGTTCGGTAGGCTGGGCGCAATGACGTGAAAGGCTGGTGCTTTGGGGTCACTGGGTGAAGAAAGCTCCTGCACGATTTTGAGCGCCTCGATGAAACTTCCGGGCCATCCATGAACGAAGAGAAGAGGGATCGCGTTTGCTATACGGGACCTTTGGTGTATAAAGTGCAATTTGATGGGATCGAAGCCCTCAACGGTGATGGAAGTCGTGAACTGCAAGAAAGTGGCATTGAGTCTGTGCTCCGCGGCGCGCCAATCGTAATTCTCTTTCCAGTACTGAGTGATTCGCTTGATATCTGCCAATGGGGCGCCATACTCCCATCCGGCCTCGTCGAGTTCGTCAGGAAAGCGAGCGAGAGATAAGCGAAGTTTTAAGTCGTCCAACTGCTTCCCTGGAATGGAAATAGTGAAGGGCTGAATGTCAGCCATATGGTTAGCGCTGCCGTTGTGTGCCCAGACTACCGATCTGTTTGAGATCCCGCTGGGAGGGTTTTTTGCAGCTGGAGCAAATAGCCAATGAGGCTTACGGGAGTTGGTAGATATGAAAAGGGCTCAGAAACATACTGTGAAGTAAGACATCTTGTTCACCTTAGACAATTCTTTATATAACATTACCAATCCGGTAATGTGGTAGTGAAGCCGGAGTAGTACTTACCCGGGAGGACTAGCCTTACTAAGTGGTCGACTTTTGGCTTTCAAGATGACATATAATCGAAGAGGTACGCGTCAAGCAATCATATTCATGAATCAGAATTGTATGCTTTTGGCTAGAACTATGACTTGCTTGACGGGAGACCGACCTAGCCATTGCTAAAACCTCCGGGTGTGATTATTGAAGATAACAAGATGCAAACTCCCATCTGCTCTCAGCCCACACGGCCTTTTCTTCCAGCAGAGATACAACATTTATTGCTTCCATCGTGATGGCTGATTAGCTCAGAGCATCTCTTGTAGAAAGTGTCAAGGTCCACCGAGTGCCTGGCATCGGTGCTATTGTCATCGATAAGACGGGTAAAACACTCTTCAACGAAAGCTTCGGGACATTGGATGCAAATGACCATAACGCGAGGCCTTTCACAAACGATACGCAACTTTTCCTGTGGTCGTGCACCAAGTTGATCACCAGTCTATGTGCTCTTCAGCTCCTGGAGCAAGGCAAGATATCGTCCTTGGATGACCCCGTCAAGAAGTATCTCCCACAGGTCGGCCAGTTCGAAGTATTTGAAGGGTTCGATAAGAATGGTTCACCTATTCTGCGAAAGCCAAACTCCCAAATCACAATAATGCATCTCATGACACACACCAGCGGACTGACTTATGATTTCTGGGAAGTCGACAAGCCAATGTTCGATTATCGTGCTTCGAAAGGCCAGCAGTCAGGGACGGATGCTCTGGAAGAGGAAAATGAGTTTCAATTCTATGATGTTTTTTTTGGCGTTTGATCCTGGTGAGAAACACCACTATGGGATTAATATGGATCATTTGGGCTTCGTCGTTGAAGCTGTTAGTGGGATGCGGCTGGAGCAGTATATGGAACAAAATGTCTTCAAGCCACTGGGTATGGACACCTGCGGACCGTATTTTGAAGGTGAAGACTTTCTTCGTGTTCACGCGAAGGGCGAAAACGCCAACTGACCACTATCGATGCGTTTCGGCCACCTAAAAATCCATGGCGCTGTGGTGGAGGCCACTCCCTGATTGGATCTTTGAACGACTATACTCGACTCATGTTGGCATTATTAAATGGCGGTACCCATCCAGGCACGGGAAAGCGGATTCTGAGACCAGAAACGGTGCGGAGCTATGTCTTCAAAGACTTCATCCCCATGTTGGAGCATCGCCTGATGGGATTGGCAGATGCACCAAGGGCCTTTCACCAGGAGCCTCAAATGCAGGGGATGTTGGACATTCATTTCGAGATTCCTTGTCCCCTCGAGGCTGGATCATGGGCAGGGCTGGGCAATCTGTACTACTGGATTGATGCAAACAAAGGGATTGCCGAAATAATTGGAACCAGTGTTTTGTCGTTCCTCGATCATGATAGTCTGGAATTATTCGAAAAGGTAGAAAAATTTGCGTATGCTTAAATCATAAAGTTGACAATCCAGATCATAGGCCGTTCCATCTCTGGCTGCTCAAGTGTACGATCTGCTGGCGACAAGGCAGGAGAAGTGCAGCCCTCAAGAAAGATCAAAGTGTATCAGGAGACGGTGACAGTCTACAGCTGATATGTTTTCTGTATCTCTTCAGTGAACTTCATGATGATTATGGGATCCATTGCCCCCCATTTTCCTGCCCTCTGCGTAGCTTCAATAAAATGCCTGATGGCGATAAGAAACTGTGCAGCTCATTTGCAGCACTCTATCCGCCGTAACCCGTGGCAAGAGGTGTCATCAATATGGATGCGATTTTCCGCTTATCGTTCGACTCAGATTGTGTTATCGTTTCGTTGTGCTTGATCACCGATGTTAAAAGCGACCATACGCACTCGTAGACGACTTCCTTATCCCACGTAATTTTCTGTGGTATCTTCATGGTAGGACATAATGCTAGGTAGCGACAGCCCTATGGTTCATCTCTGAGGCTCTCGTGCTTGAGATCGATCAAGGTACAAGTCCCTGGTGGTGCAAATCCTCTCCATTCTTGATAAAGCACTCGTTGAGCATGCCTTGTTAGCGCGAGATAGTCATTCTTGAGTGAAAATGCTCTAGACAGTGCGTTATCGAACCCGCTGTCAAGTCTGGCATAAGAACTCGCCGGTGATACAATCGCATCAAATGTGGCAGACGCCGGCAATTCAGCTAAGCGGTGTTCATGGACTGTGAGCGTCACTGACAGGGGAAGGGATATTCGCTCATGGCAGAATTGAAGGCAACAAGATGGTCATGGTCCATGAAGAGAAGGCGGACTTGAGGAACTTGGAACCCAGAGGAGGTAGCCATTGTCGTCAACCTGCAGGTTGTCTATCACATTGTGCTTCAAATACTTGGGAATATTACGTTTTCACAGTCACTGCAGACACCCAAGGTTTGTAGTTGCCTGGAGGAGATGTCCATCCAGCAAACTCTGAGTGTTACAGTGGTCATACCCTTGGTATTCTCCTCACCCCAACGACACGGCGTATGTACATATGTGCGCCACGGCCCACCAGCAACACTGACTCATAATAAGTAATCATGCCCCCACCATCAATCCAGGGACAACTCCAACTTGCCTCCTTCTGACCTTTCATTCTAGAAAACTTCAAGGGTGGTCAAAAGTCACCAGGAGGATTGAATTTTGTCAATCTAAGATGGAAGCACTCGAACTACAGCGGTCCCGCGCTTCAGGGAATGATTCGCGCCGCTCCTCTATTGAAGGACCTGTCTTGTCCGATCACGACACCATCGAATCGCAATTGCCGCCGGCTGACCAAGGGAAAGATGCCTGGTTGTTCCTGACCTCCTGCTTCTTCCTTGAAGCATTGATATGGGGTAAGTCCATCAATTTGCAACTATTGTTCAAGCAGTTGATGTTTATTCCACAAATGCCAGGATTCGCCTTTTCATTCGGTGTCTTTCAAGACTACTATAGCACACATGAGCCATTCGCCCGCGAAGGCAAAATTGCCATCATTGGCACAACGGCAACTGTACGACAATACCTCATCCTGGCTTCTTAGGCTTGAACTCACACATCATGTAGGGGATCATCTATATTTCTGCGCCAATTGTCTTTGGTCTCCTGCTATCTTATCCTCACTTAAAGCGCTGGTCTTGCCTGTCCGGTCTGATAATCATGTGCTTGTGGATCGGTTTAAGTTCGTTCTCGAGAACGACCTCAGACCTGATTCTCTCGCAAGGGGTCGCCTATGCCGTTGGGGCTGGACTTGCCTATGCACCAACGATTCTGTTCCTGGATGAATGGTTTGTTCGACGAAAGGGTCTCGCTTATGGAATAATGTGGGTAAGTATTTTTCGACCTGGATGTCAATCCTCCTGTGATACTTTGTTCCTTCCGACTAACTCTTCATAACTCGTAGGCTGGCACAGGAGTATCCGGCATTGTGCTACCGATCCTGATGCAATGGCTTCTCAATTCCCATGGACCTCGAACAGCACTCCGCACCTGGGCAGTGGCACTCTTCATCTGCACAGCGCCATTGATATACTTTGTCAAACCTAGACTTCCTATCTCTCATGCCTTCCGCGTGAAACGCTTCGACTTGAGCTTCGTATGGAACAAAGTCTTTGTCGTGTATCAAGTCTGCAACATCGTGGAAGCCCTAGGATTTTTTCTACCTCAGACTTATCTACCAAGTTACGCTCGCATTGTTGGAGCGGACAATGTGACTGCGACACTGACGCTAGTCTTGGTGAATGTTGCCTCTGTTTTTGGCTGCATTGTAATGGGCACTCTTACTGATCGTTACCATGTCACAACCTGTATTCTGATCTGTACGATGGGGGTAGTTCTGGGTACATTTCTTATATGGGGATTTTCAACAACGATTGGGCCGTTGTATGTCTTCTGCATTGTATATGGTTTTTTTGCCGGATCTTTCAGCTCCACTTGGCCTGGTGTCATCAGAGAAACTCAAAAACAGAAACGAGCTGCGGATTTGGGCATGGTATTTGGCTTCCTAGCTGCGGGAAGAGGCATCGGTAATGTGGTGAGTGGGCCTCTTAGTGAGGTTCTCCTGGCAGGAAATCCATGGCGGAATCCCGCAAATTTTGCATATGGATCGAGATATGGGCCCTTGATTGTATTCACCGGGGTCACGGCACTGCTAGGAGGGCTCAGCATCATTGCAAGGCCATTGAAGTTGGTGTAGATGAGTGGTGGACACTGGTATCCATGGCTTCACTACAACCCCGAAATCTCCTTTCAATATCCCACAATACTTTCCAGTCAAAGAGATTTGCCGAAGTCCTTCAATCAACCGCTGCTAAGAGAATCAGGCACTCCCCGTGGCATCACTGAGAATTACTGAGAAAGGCTACATGTGCAAGTGTTCGACTACTTGGTCTGGGTGCAGCTGTGGGGTTTTCCCCCTCCACAAAATGGTCATGGAACTGTTGGTACATCAAACACCGATACCAAACGGCATGTACACCATTGAGGCCCTTCTACTCGTTCCCAGGCGAAGCAAGAACACGAGGCAGAAATGATGAAGCCCGATTCTGGTGGATCACGTGACTGAACTATCGTCTCTCGAGCGTCAGGACTGTGATACGCAACCTAGGACTGTGCAGCAAGGATGAAGACATTCTGCGTGTTTACTGCATAAGCTATGGCAGTGCAGACAACCTATTTGATTGATTGAACCAGTTGCCCAAAGCGGACTAATCGGTGTCCTCACATGACAAACGGGAGCGAGCCTTGTGCGGATCAAAGCCGTGGGACAGTTCGCCTAGAATTCGCCTTTTCCGCCCAAAACACCATTCAAAACAATCTTGAGCCGTAAGCCAGGTAAAAATAGCCATGTGCTCCCTTTATGATGTCTGTCTGTGTTTTAGGAATCAAGAGCGTTCGGGTTCTCGTCAACTGCCTTTTCACCTCCGCAAGTTCGACTATCCATCGACGAAGAGTCGCCAGACAAGCCAAATTCAAGTTGGTGACAAAGTTCAGGACATCCGAAGACTTGCCTGTCCCGTGTCACACGGGCCACTCAGCTACACCCTATAATGTCGTTGGTTATCGTCTTACATTGGATACGCAGTCGATCCATCCGTTCATTGTCTCCAGTCCCGTGCCATTTCAGATCTGCGCCACCCTGACTGTAAAGCTCGACCAATATCGACTTCTTCCCGCAAGCTTCAGTTCCACTAGATGTTCAACTATGGAGACCTTGACGAGAACAAGCATCTATTACACAGTCTTACAGTTTGCCTGAGCGATTTCTCATGTCTCTCGAGCTTCACGGCCACAAGGAAACGTCTTGAGAACGCCTGGTCGACGGAGATGTATAAAGAACCGGTGATTCATCTCTTCTTTGTCTCTGGGATGGATATTCGACTTTCTCCCTGTGACACAACTTGAATCTGCAACGCCTGGCCTAAGAACAGAATTACTATTCAAATTCATAGTAAGTTGTGCAAGCCTCATGGTTTTTGGTTGCTAATGCTCTCTTTAGCACCTTGAAGATGAGTTCAATGTGCCCTCTTGTCCCTGGCAACACGCTCAACAACACCCAACCATCACAAGTGCCGAACAATGACACGCTTAAGACGGGGCTTGATTCGCCGTATTATCTGGCATCCGCATATGGCCCCAAGCCTAAGATCAGCACCACTTCGTCGAAGAAAGAGCAATTGTGGTACTGCTGCCATTGCAAGTACGGTGGCCTAAACCTGAAGCTTGATTCGTCTTGTCCGCAAAGTGACTGCGGGCATAGACGCTGTGCACGTTGCAGAATAGAAAGCAGTTGATGAAAAGCTCTCTCACTCTCACAAATCAGTGGTCGGATGCAGGCCATCGAGTCGTCCTGCCTCGCAAGCCTGAAAGACAGCGGATGATGAGAGCCCAGGGCGGTGGGCTCTGCTTTGAGATTTTCGGCGGAAATTTGTTACCAGATACTGGACCTTCAGAGATTATGACTTTCGTTATTAGCACAATACCATCAAGCATCACAATGACTAGCAATTCTCACACGTCTAATGCAGCCCTTTTCCGGACAAAGTCATGATCTCTAGGCTTTGCCTCGTGTGACACCTTCCATTTCATGCTGCTTGCCATTAATATAGCACTCGCATTGATTCCTCGGGGATTGATATCCGTAGCAAAAGGCTGATTTGAATGGGGATACGACTCCCAAAGTGACATCTTTCAGCTGGCAACGATATCTATCGGGTATGGCGCAGCGCCACCGGCCATGGGAAACCGATTTGGTTGATTTCAGGGCTCGGAGACCCTGGGATGTCTTTTCTCGACGTTAGATGAAAATCCTAGACCTTAATCCTGGTCGTTGGGGGTGTGGGTCGAACGGTCACCGAATTCAACGTGGTGGCGTTGCATACCTGATACAAGGTAGGCTGTGCCTTTTGTTCACTTCGTTGGCTCATTCGTATCCTTTGCCATGGAGATTTACTCCAGAGGGGGGCAGCTCAAGAAACAGGACTCATAGCGGGGATTTGGCGGCGCCACGGGCAAGCAGGGCAGACAAGGCTGAAACACGGCAACCCTGATTGCCTCAGGCAGCAGCAGTAACGTTCAGCGGTGTTTTATTGCGGACCCAAGTCCAATTTCATAGCCACAATGACGAAAGATGAATGGGCCAAGTGGAAATCCGATCAGTGTTCGAGAAGCTAGTTGTCCAGTCAGTCTTTTTTTCAAAGACTCGTATCCTGGAGTGGAGATCAAAGTCGTGTGCAGGGCAATTGTGTAAGCCTTGTGACGAGGTTGGCGTTCTCACCAAATACGAGGGAAACGTGGCTTAGACATTCCATGGCTTTGGGACCGGCGTTGTCTCTTGTGGATTGTGAAATGAAAAGTCGGACAAGTGATGTTGAGGATGGAGTCTCGATGGTAGCTAGCCAGGCAGGGATGGGTGGGAGCATATCGAAGGTGTCAGCAATCTCCACTGCAAGGCTTTACGCAACAATCCACCGTACATATATATGGCGGATCAAATGGTGATGAAACGCGGGGCAGAAATGCGGAGAAATTTTGGTGATATCTCTTGCATCTGCAACAAATTCGTCTCCTGGGAAACTTTTGACTTGAGCCACTAGGCGAGGGCTCGTGGTATCCTCTGACTGTCACACCGTTGACGGAAATGATCCGGTAAATTCTTGTAGAGCGATGAGCTGCTCACCCAGACCCAGTTAAATTTCCCCCAACTTGCGCAAAGTGCGGTCGCATCGATACTACTACCTCCCTGCAAACCATACCATGGCACAGTGGTTCCAACGCAATGCCTCTCCAGCCGTACAGCTCGGCATCGCTGCGACTTGTGGGGCAATTGCTGCCTCCACACTATTATATACAGCTCATGCGATCCACCAGCGGCAGGTGACGGAAGAGCTCAAAGCCTCCATACCCGAACTCTCTCTCGATCACCACGCCACGCAACTGACAGAATACGGAGGCGCCAGTCGCGGGAGCATCTCGGATAAACAAGACGAGCGGTCCGCAAAAATGGCCGCGCGTGCAAGGAAAGGAGATTATGACGAGGAACTTATCCTCGAACAACTGGCTCGAAACCGAGTGTTTCTCAAAGATGAAGGTCTAGCAAAGCTACGGAAATCGTTCATCGTGGTTGTCGGCCTGGGCGGCGTTGGGAGCCACTGCGTTGCAGCGTTGGCGAGGAGCGGTGTCTCACGAATACGGATCATCGATTTCGATCAGGTCACTCTGAGCAGTCTGAATCGTCATGCCCTGGCCACACTGGCCGACGTCGGCACGCCCAAGGTGCACTGTGTGCGGAAACGGCTGGAGCAGATCACCCCGTGGACGAGGATTGATACTCGGAATGAGCTTTTGAGCTCGCAGTCCATGGAAGCACTCTTGGGGGAGTGGGATTACGAGCTGCGAGACGACGACGAAGATAATGGCCGAGATCCGGACTGGGTTGTGGACGCGATCGATAATATAGACTCGAAAGTCGCGCTGCTCCAGTATTGCACGATCAAGGGAATCAAAGTGATCAGTGCCATGGGTGCCGGCTGTAAGAGTGACCCTACTAGAATACAGGTTGGGGACATCTCGACCAGCACGGACGACCCGTTGTCGAAATCTACGAGGCGCAGGCTGAGAGCAATGGGCATCAAGGACGGAATACCGGTCGTCTTCTCGACAGAGAAGCCGGGCGAAGGTAAGGCTGAGCTCCTCCCGATCACAGACGAGGAATTCGAGAAGGGCAATGTCGATAAGCTTGGCGTGCTGCCCGAATTCAGAGTCAGGATTCTTCCCGTCCTCGGAACGATGCCCGCCATATTCGGCTACACGATCGCCAACCACATCATCTGCAGCATCGCTGGGTACCCGATGGACTACCGGATAGGAGACAAGGGGCGAGACAAGATGTATGACGGCATACTCTCTGGATTGCAAGCGCTGGAAGAACGACTTGTCCGATCAGCCAACGGACAAGACGCGGTAGGTCTCCGCCTCCCTCTCGGCCGCGACGACATCTCCTACCTCGTCGAAGAGGTATTCCGAGGCAAGAGCGTCGTCAGCGGCCTCTCAACGCGTCTGGCGTTGATACGTTGGCGAAAGCCCGCTGCTGCATTCAAAATCGACGATGAATATCTAAAAGAAGGCCAAAAGATGATCAAGCTGCCGCTGACGGATCTGGTTTTGATGACTAAAGAGGAGGCTCAGAAGCATGAGAAGCTGGTCTTGAGAGGCAATTCGACCCCTGAGGATGTTTACGAGCCGGACGTCCTGGTTCTGGTCACAAAAAGACTTAATGAAGAACGTTCTTATGACCGATACAGATGATTGAGATATACTTGGCTGATCAGTCTAATCAAAGGAGAGCTATGCGGGACTGATGTTTGGTAAATCTAGAATTAGAGAGCTCCGTACTACTCTATGTATTTGTGTACAAGACAACTGCCCTTGTGCAAGCGAGCGAGGAGATCACTACTCCATCCTGAATCACCTTAACTTCCTGAAGCCACGTTTTGAACTTTGACCGCCAGACCTCACAAGCACAGGAGTACTGCTTAGAACACCCTGGGCATGCAAGCCTCCTACATCGCCGTTCCTCACTACATACGACTTGACGACACCCATTGGCACGGGAGACAAACAGAGGTCCAGCGCTGGAGAAGTACTGTCAGCAAGGGCCTGTGAAAGGGGACGATGGAGTCATTCTCGGGTCGATGAGAGAGCCCGGGCTGGGAATCTCAGCGCGACGCTGGACAGAGCACCGCGCGATGCCTTGGTGGTAATGTTCTCGCCAGAGCTGTTCCGAAGACTTGTCCACCGCAAGACAAGAAGCCCGCATCCTTGTGAATCTATGAATGTGAGTGTAGTACCGCTCGTTGGACGCCGTCTGGATGGCTCGAATTAGGTCCGGCCCGAGCACGCTGGCGGCGCCTCCGACCGTTCTGGTCCCTGACTTGTAACCGAAGAGACATTGCCCTAGGTTTCTCTTGTATACGTCGCACCATGTCTCGAAGCGGTCAGGCTGCAGGTACCGTGCCGTTGCGCCCTTCATGTTGTCCAGGAGGTCATCGAGCCAGAGGGACATTGCCCCTTCTTGTCTCATTATCAAGCTGTCGTGGTAGTTTACGGGCCATCCAGAATTGAGTCCGAATGGCACCGTGGATGTAGTGTCCGCTTGTAGATCTTCGATTTGGTCATCGACGGCACACCGGGCTGCTGCACGGTGCGTAGGGAGGTCAATGTGTAGCCTCTGCGTCCTGATGCGGAGGAAGGGTATTAGCAAGATACCAATGTCGCTGGCCACTCCATGCCGACCTACTCGGAACGCTCTCGTGGTAGGCAAGGTTCTTGTCACACCATTTCCTGTCGTACATTTCTGCAAATCTGATAAGTACTGTTGGAAGGCGGAAATCCCGCCAACTGTTGACCTGATGGGCAACCTGATATCAAGAAAAGAAGCGGGTATTCTGTGCGGATTTTTCCACACTGCTGACAGTGCATTCACCAATCTGGTAACCTGAAGCCAAGCTCGAACAAGTTGGCCAGGGTAGGCTGGATTTGTGGGGCCGACGCTGATTTTGATCTCCTTGAATCTATCGACCTTCATGCCTTTAAAGAGTTGATGGTCAAGGTGGTGCGACTTTAGGCTACGGGTCGGGCCCCATGACTCTCCTTTAGAATTGAGGATTTGAAATTCTGTGTCCGGTGCTGTAGGGTCGATGTACAGAGAGAGGGTGAATAACTGGCAGAGGTGGATGATTAATTCGTCGTAGAGTTGCTTATTTACCACAAGCAGCCCAATACTTCTTTGCCCCAGCATTTCGCAAATATGGCAGAGCGAATCTCAGCGGGAAATTTGGTGAGAGATCCTAGGGACTCCATGTTGATTGACTATGGGAATGAGTCTTTGGGAAGACTGCAATGTCTGGAAAGTGGTCTATCTTGTGAAGGTGGTGGGATCAAGTAGTTAGTTTGGGGTAGATATGCAAGAACGAGATACTTAACCTGGGAGCACCGTCTGCAGCTAAAGAAACAACCTGAATCAGCGTGAGAAAAGCAAAAATCTTTTGGAGGACCTCTACTTTTCATCTGGAATGTTTTGATTTAAACTTCTGAAAATTCAAAAATTTAACGACACCCAAGGTGTCTGGACCTTTATCGACTGGTATAACATCAAGAGGACTCGGAAAACGGAGCAAACGTGAAATAGGATTTTGAAAAAGATTATCGAACGATTCTTTTCCTTTCCCCACAGAATGTTTTCCAAGCAGCAATTGTCGGACTCATTCTTGCCAGGGCTCAAGGTCCGACTCCTAAATCACTTTCCAACTGCAGAACCGCAACTCCTGTGCGTCTGGTGGCAGCAAAGTCACGAAGTTTGGCATGTGCAGAACATTGCTTGTCGTAGTAATTATAATCCTCCTTTGAATTGAAGGTTGTGATTGAGATTAATGTGTAACCTTGAGAGCGCTCTTCAGCAGCGTTTTCGATGCGACGTGCTTCATTGGCAACAATATATGATGCGCCATCCTAAGCAGCATATAGTTAGAGGGAAGCTTATGAAAGTTCAGGCCAGCCTTGCAGCTGATAGTACCTTCTGGGCAGTCTTTCTTAATATATCGTATTGGGCAAGGACAGCATCGATATCCTCTTCGTTTGGTATTTTGAATAACGTAACGCGTTTTATGTATTTCGGTGCCATGGCTGCTGAATAGAAATAGAAATATAGGAATTTGAAAAGTGGTGGCAACGAGACATCTTGACCGCTGTTAAGGTCATTTCTTCAGGCGGGATTCCGGCGGCTTAGGGGTGGTAAATGTGGTGCACTTTCCGCTTGCCACGGAAGATGATCGGCTTCCCTCCGCAGATCATCGGATAGCACCAATGGTATATAAGTAGACATTTTATCCCCAGGTTTCACCTTGAGATGTCACTCGATGGTGGTAACCATCTCAGGTAGCAAGGGAGATCTGAGCTCGCCCTGAGCTGGTAATTCTGCCAGATATACCATTGAAGAGCATCAATACTGATAATATATGGTTAGAGGTGTCTTGGGCGGGCATCCATAGTGGAAGAACAGCAGTGCGGAAGGGCCCGTCACACAAAAGATTCTGTATCTACATCAATCTGATGTCTCTCGACCGAGACGACATGATATCTGGAGGGACCCAGAGAAAGCGGCGCGTTAGAGACAATTACAGTAAGTAGAGAGCCCTCAAGAGCCCATACGCGGAAAGAGCGCGCCGCACAGTTTGGCTTTGGTTGAGGAAGGTGGGAGCCATTGGCTGGCAACAAGAACGCTGCGAAGTCGGCCGCACCTTCTCCATCACGGTCGAAACCCGTCTTGGCAGCAGTGGGCTCAAGGGCCAATTGGCTGGGCTCATGCCGCTTTTGGGTCCGAATGACTACTCACGAGGCTGCAGTGAAGCCTTGCCAATGTGGGAACTTAAGTACCCAAGATCATAGAGTGACAGTGGTAGAACAACTTTACGGGTCTGTCTACTTGCCCAATTGTGTGTGGGCGTCAAAATCCAGCCTCTGATAAGACACGCTCAGACTCCCGCGATGATCTGGGAAATTCCTCCTAGGTCACAAATACGGTCGAAGGACATCCTGGGTATGGTCCCAGACCTTTTGCTGCGCCTTTTCGCGGAGCACAGGCATGGCCTTTACATTCGGAGTACAATCGCACTTGTGGTTGACAAGAAACAGCCCATCCGCCTGCTTCTCCCGCGAATTCACGCCCGGCTTGCCTTTCCATGATATGCCGCGACCACCGAAGGCTGCGCTGGTACTTTGAAAGAGATGTCTCTGTCCAGACTCATCGTTGTTGTATGAAAATGCTCCAATAAGAGGCTCCAGAAAAAGCCAGACGACCCATGCCATGATCGAATTCTTGTCCCAACCCCTTCTCATGTTACCCGTATTGACCGCTCCGGGCCAGGAGTGAACGAACGTCACACCAGGATTGTCGTTGGCCAGCTTTTCCAAAGTGAGCGTGTTCATATTCGCGTATTGCGTCTGGGCAGCGATGCCACCAAAGTTTCCAGGCATTTTCAGATCTAGGTCGTCGAGATTCATAGTCGCCTTCTCCAAGCCTCCTGCCAAAACGCTGACGACTCTTGGGGCTCCTGATTCGGCTAGGAGGGGAAGAAGATGTTGAACGAGGAGCATTCTCGAGTAGTACTCCAGGCTTTGAGCGACTTCCAGGCCCTCAACGGTCTCCTTGCGTGTGCCGAATGGTGCATAGCCCGCGGTAAGGAACAGCAAGTCGACGCGTGGCTCCTTATTCTTGATAAGCTCACAGACTCTCTTTGTTTCCGCTAGAAGCGAAACTTCGCCTTCCGTCCAAATGATCTCAGCCTTGGGATTGATGGCTTGCAAATCCTGGATGAATATATACATGCGCACCTCGGAACTCTTGCGTCCCACCAGGTAGATTCTCATGCTAGCACCCGTAGCGACTAGGGCCTTGACCGTGTATTTGCCAATGCCTGATGTACCGCCAACGAAGATGGCGACGCGTGGGGCCGTGGCATCATTTATTCGAGCGTTAGAAGCTTTTATTTCTGCGTAAGAAACCATTGTCAGAGATGAAGGATGCTTACCCACAGATCTTTGTTTTGAGTGACTGAGATAAAAAGATCCTCTGGATGTGGTGAGGGGTAGATTGAACCCAGCGCTGTATCAACTTGTCACTAAAGGTAACACTACCCAGGTGCTGACTAAAAAGTAGAGCAAGGCTCCCAGGGGTCGCCGTCCTCAACCTCGGAGTTAAGCCATCTTCACCTTCATCTGTATGCAAATGAGGAAATGCATGTGACTATTCTCGATGATTGGTAATTAGGACTATTCTATGACTGCTTTAGCCTTTACTTACCCCTGGAATGGATCGCCGAATTGCCGAAACCGGGTTGCTGGAAAATAGCACTCCAATAGAATGGGACTCCAACCCTCTCCCTTGCAACGCTGGGTGGGTACGAAATATTGCCGTTTCTGCCTCAATAAGGCGATAGGGTTAGTAAAAGCTACGCGACTAGATGACTCTGGGTGAGACCTAGCGATACTTCCAATTACGATGCCAGGATTTCCTGGCATAGAAAGTTGTGATGGAAAAGAACCTCCTTTTCGGGGGTGTTGTTATACGAGTCGTGGTTAGACTTGGTTTGCATTAATCCCCTCCCTGACTCTGTTCTCAAATTCGGGACGAGCGGTGGCCAGGCAGCAGCGTATCTCTCAGTCTCCATCGGTGAAGTGTGCAATTGATCTCACTTTTTATCAAATTTTGCATGGCCTTGTAACATGTAGGCCTCGTTATAGCAGTTGCCAGCACACATCTATGTCGCGCAATCCGTTATTCAGTGCCATCTCCCGGGTTTCCGCCTTCCAGAAATCGGAAGAACTGCAACTTATTTCCATCGGGGTCTTCGATGGTAAATTGTCGATAGCCCCAGGGCTGGTCTTTGATTGCGTCGACTATGTTAACTCTGCCCTCTTTCTTTAGTAAATCATAGTATTCGTCAACAGCTTCCGTGCCCAACGCTATCATGGCTGTGGCTGGATGAAATGTTTCACCGTCCTTAGTCTGGAAGAGGTAGATGTTGCCCTTCATTGCTCCGATACCAATGCCGACTGAGCACATATTCGGCTCATCAGCATTTTCAGGATCAATACCACCAAGTTTGAAGTGGAGATCTTCGGTGTAGAATTTGACAGTTCGACGAACCGAGCTGCTGGGGAAGTGAGGTATCACACCCCAGGCGGTATTCAGGATCTGTTGTGCCGTCATTGCGATCATGTAAGATGTTGATGAAGAGGGATACCACCACACAGGAAGCTGAGAGGAGAGGTTATGAGCTTGACCCAGGCATCCAAGCCCTGTGTACCGTATTCCACAAGGCAGCATCCCTTCTGTCCTGATTAGGCTTAGACAAGTTGTGCTTCTTGGCAGGTGTGGTGCCCCAATTCCGATTGCGCCATGGCAAGATATGCGCCTTCCAAGTTGGAGAAATGCGCCGGCATCACCTGACTTGGCCTCGCACCCGATGCCCATGGTGCTATCTCTATCAGTCACATCTTGTGTTCAACATACCAGAAGGCCTTTCTATCCACCACCCGCCAACGACGCTGCTTTCTCTTCATTCCTTGCCCTTTGTTGGCTTTCTCACTCATCTTATTATCCTCCTTGGAGCCTTCGTTCCACATGCTGAACACTTCTCTGCGCCGTGTGGTGGCGCGTACATGTTCGAGCACGCCTTCTCCGGTCCCCTCCCTCTCAACCACACCCACCATAGCATGCTTTACTTCCCATGCTCACCAGAGAAGACACTCTTCTTCGAAACCTCCTGTCCCTCCCAACAATGGCTCTCCTCCTATCCCTACTGCCGTGAAGCAGGTGAATACTCCTTCGTCCGAGTCTAGGCAGGCCACAACCGAGTCTCGCTCCTCACGACGACGAAACGCAAAAGAAAAGCTGGATGCCAAAGACGAATCCGAGTACTACAATTGGGCTTCTTCTCTACCCAGCGTGCCCAGCCTCCACTTGAATCCCAAAGGTAATCAAGTACTCTTCGCTTAGCATGCGATCTGCAAATCTTTCATAGCTAATATGACCTGTAGATGTCTATCTTGCTGCTTTCTTTGGCACTTACCGACCCACTTCCATAACCGGCCCCGTTGTCCCAGAGTCCACAATGGACGCTGTCGACAAGATCTTTCAACCCAAGCCTAAGAGGTCTCGTACGGCACCCCAAGATGTTATTTACACTCTTTCGTCCGCCGTCGAAAACCTCAACGATCAAATGACCACCAAGAAAGCCGACCAAAAGGCCCATATCATCAAAGCTCTTGTTCAAGCAAACAATAATGTGGATTCCAACGAACCCCATCATCTTGATGGCGCACCACAATCCATCAATTCTAGTTTACCCAATGTGAGAATTGCTCTCCAAGAGATTGCACGAAGATTCCGGCCCTACAATGTCCCTCCTGCACCCGTCCCCCTTGCCGATCCCCATGCGAAATCTGTGCAACACCAGGAAGCAGAAAACGAAATGTTCCTAGACGTTGAGGTACAACAAGCAGGTTCCGAGCCTTATGTCCAGCGCGTCGTCATCAATGGTCAAAATAGTGAAGATCCAGAGACCAGGGATTTCTTCACAAGCAATGGTGCGCCCACAGTCGAAGTCGAAGACCCGGCTGGTTTCCAGTACATTGTTGGTCCTGAAATCAATCAGCCTTCCGTAGGCCGTCGGCGACAAGGGCTATATCGAAGCCCTACTATGATGGCCATCAGTGTCAAGAGACAACGGCGACTGAAGATGAAGAAACACAAGTTCAAGAAGCTGACTAAGCGATTGAGGACTCTTAGACAAAGACAAGGCAAGATCTAGATCGCTCTTCCTTCACATCTGAAAGTTTGGCTGGAGGGACTTCTCCAAATCGGTTTCCTATGGTTGCCACACATCCTAGCATCTTGGTGGCGTTATAGCGGGATCTTTATGTAATGTTACAGTACTTCTGTCTGGCATTGCACCGCATACAACCGTCGATCCAATGAGTCTCTTCTCTCCTTTTTGACCTTTTCAAGTATTTTCATGCAGCTGCATAATGCATTCAACGTCTGGGGTTGAAAATGGCAGAACGGTGCAAGCCGGTGTTTGGTTTTTAGAGTAGTCGAGGCGCGCACACACACACATAGAGAAGCAAACACCGTTACACGTTCCCGACCTTACCAGAAGGGATGGACATTGTGGATGGGATTGAGGATTAGCAGAGCAGTGAAAGAGAATCAATTTGACCAAGCTAATGAGCTTAACGGTGTTAAATCTCAGATTTCTTCAGTCATTCGGTGTACTTCAAGGATATTTACATCCATGGCCGATGCATACAAATCCCAGAGTTCATGCGCTTCCCGACGCCCTTAATTCCTCAAGAACAATGAATAAGCAAGCAGCTAGAAGACCACCGAGGCTTTCAACATGAGCCGCGCTGACATTTCTGATACTCTCTTTCATATGCGCCCTGCACCAAGGATTGCCGCATTGGGGTTATGAAGTTACCGGATTGGGAATTTCGCGGCCCAGCAGACCAACTGTGCCATAACTCTCGGGTCGGTCCTGTCAGTCGCGCATCCCACATCCAGGAGGCTGCGCAAACTAAACGCCCTGGACCAAACGGTATCTCACTTGATGGAGCAGCACTAGGCATGGACTCCTTCTAGTAGTACTACGAGTATAGCATACAGTAGTTCGTTGGTACAGCTGTGCAGGACGGCAAAACCTTCACCCCCCATCCTCCTCGAATTCACCGGACAGCCGTGGCATCTGCCAGGCAGAAACATGATGGGGCGGCCCAGAGCAGATGACTTAGTTATCCTGGAACATAAATTAAGTTGTGAATAGTTGGGGAACAAAGCATTATCTATCTGTGGTACTATATAGAGTGTACAATATCAAATCCTCTTGCTCTACCCGCGCATAAGAACGCGATGGAAGAGGTAAGAACGGTTCTGGGAAAAACTCTCGCCCACCCTAACCTGGCCGTTAAGCACACACACACACACACAGCCGCAGTCATCTAGTACCACCTCAATTCAAGGATAGCATTCTAGAGATGCTCGCCTTCCATTCCGCGTTTCCTGTTGTGCGCGCCCATCCAAAAAAGAGGTGTTACTGGCATTCGTACATAATTTCGGGCGAATTGGGTGTTCGACCCGAAGTAGTGTTGGGTGGAAGGTTGTCGTGATATGTCTCCATTGTCGTTCGTGGAAACGATTTTTTGAATTCGGTTTTCTTTGATGTCCCATCTCATGGTCGTGCATCCACCTTGTCTTGTCCCCACTCGGATTCATCGATAGCGCTTTTGAGGCAGCCGCTCCCGATGAACAGTGACGTCCGGGGTTAGCCCATAGACTTGTCTAGCAGTGGACATCGGTCTGAGCCTTTGAGTTCATCAACAGAGCAACAATCAATCCATACAGTCCCAAGACTTCGGCAAAAATGAGGATCAGAATCATTCCGACGAAGAGGCGGGGCTGCTGAGCGGTACCACGCACGCCAGCATCACCAACAATACCGATAGCGAAGCCAGCAGCAAGACCGGAGAGACCGACTGAGAGGCCAGCACCGAGTTGAATGAAGCTTGTGAAGAGTGCTTCTTTCTGGGACAGGTTGTCGGAGATCAAGACCGAAACGACCAGGCCGTAAATACCGATGATACCAGCCATAATGACGGGGACGATGTCTGGATTAAGATTAGTTTAATGTTTTCGAGCGAGAAGCAGTATAATCAAGCATACTCTTGACAATAAGATCAGGTCGAAGGACACCCATGGCAGAGATACCGACGCCGGACTTCGCAGTTCCATAGGCGGCACCAAAGCAGGTGAAGACAATGGCAGATGTGCAGCCCATGGCACCAAAGAAGGGCTACACAGTTATAAGTCAGTCTTCTTGTCTTGTTTGTAGCAACTCGAGAGGAGGTGCAGGGACAGTGAGGGCCCGTGTTATTGCAAGCTGAGGTCGTGATGCAGGAGAGCATACCGCGTAAACGGGACTACCGAGTTAAAGAGGTTAGATATTGGTCATTGATATGCGATCAGGTAGGGGAATGGGTGTCAAGGTCAGGCAAGCTTATCGAAGAACCGAACGCAGGTACAGCGTACGGTCCTCAGTAGGCGACATTGGGGGCAGGCTCACCAGAGATCTGAAGACATGTTTGGCTAGCTGAGAGCTTCGGTGATAATCACGATGATGGAATTGGCGGAGGATAGAAAGAGTGGCAGTGAATGGGATTGAAAAAAGGCGATGAGGAGTGAAAAGCTGGGGGACAGATTGATGATGCTGGGATGGCAAAGATGGATCGATGTCCCTGCGAATGTATAGCAACAGCAACTTGAGGCAAGCTTGCTTCCTCGGCCGAAAGTGGTAAAGCCTGCCTTGGCGTGGGTCTGATAAAAGAAACTCAGCCGAGAATCCGCCTAAACTTTTTGACCAGTCGCGATATCACGTGCTTATCCACCATAGCTGCTCCACGTGACCGTGCCGAACAAGGTAATTCTGCCTTCAAATCGCTGTTCAAAAATAATTTTTTCCCTTGCCAGTCACCCCTCCACCTGCTCTTCACTCACCACCACTTCTCAACTGCCAAAGCAAAGGGCGAGCCAACGCAAGGAACCCTTTGCTGTCAACTCTCAGTACTCTCTTTCTTTTCATTTCGTCAAAGATACCCCAGATACCCTTTTCTGCGACAGTTTGCGCCAATCGCTTGTAATATTACAACGTCGAAAAGCTATGGCCGACAATCCTTCTGCGGCATGGCCCGTAGCAGATTCAGCACTCACCACTAAGATCCTTGATCTCGTTCAGCAATCCTCTCACCAGCGCCTTCTCAAGAAGGGTGCGAACGAGGCAACAAAGACCCTCAACCGTGGAACCTCCGAGATAATCATCTTGGCGGCGGACACCAGCCCACTGGCCATTCTTCTGCATCTTCCTCTGTAAGGCCGGGCCACCTCTTTAAAATTTGAACTAAATACTGACTTTGCGCAGCCTCTGCGAAGACAAGAACGTGCCCTACGTTTATGTTCCCAGCAAGACCGCCCTGGGCCGTGCCTGCGGTGTCTCGCGCTCAGTGATTGCTGCCAGTATCACGACCAACGAATCCAGCGACTTGATGCCCCAGATCCGCGAGCTGAAGAACCGCGTTGAAAGATTGATGATTTAGGCAGATTCACCAGTTAATCAATGGTGGAATTGGGTCTTCGACAAGTTGAGATGTACCTAGTGAAAAGATGGACAGCCAGCAGACGCCATGAACCATGTATTCCGAGCTATTCATGTTTTCTCTAATTTCTCTCTCCCAAGTGCTGTCTGGGCTTCACCCAGATTGCGGTGAATAAAAGGCTACCAAGGGCTGTTCGGCATGTATACACTCTGGACCACCATATTTGTTGTACCGTGACATCATACGCAGACCTTTTCAAATCAATGATTCTATCACACCGCGCATCACATCCCGTCGTTATCTCACGAAATATCGACCGCCCCGCTGACTCCGAACGTGATAACCACTGCAAATATCTCGACTTTCAAGGATAGCGATTCGCAGACAATTCCGACCCGCTGGCGGGGTAGGGGACCTGCTGCTGAGCATCCTTTGGATATTCCTGAACGTTGATGTTTGTGCCGTTGGACATTGCGAAGTTTGCACCGTGACTGTTATTCTTACGGAACGCAGCCATAGCCACGAAAACCAGAGACACAACAAACATGACACTTTGTGATGGCCCTTCTGTCAGCAAGACAACAACACGTAAATTATAGAGGAATGGGAGGGGAAGCTTACAACTCGCCTGCGCCCAAGGCAGCAATGGTCCTTGTTAAATCGAGGGCGACAGTGAGGTCGTCGGCAAAGGAGCCGGTCGAACTGACATCGAGAAGGAGGCCGATCTTGGCCGAATGGTCTGCCAACAATGCGAATGTCACCAGCCACCAGAGAGTGCTCAGTGCATCTAGCACAAAGAGCAAAATGACCGGTTTGGCATTAGGCGAGAAACGCGGGAACAAGAACACCGCCAATGGCAGGTACACAGCTGTCCAAGCGAACTGAGTTGTTTGACAGCATTCGCGTTAGCCTGCTTTTACCCTGCTGATGACATACAGAGCAAGAACACTTACAGCGAACCAGCAGAATCCAAAGCCCGGGAAGGGAGTGACCTGTGCTCGCAAGACATTGTTAGCGTTCACTCAACACGAATCAACACCTCTACCGGCTGAGCTTCCATGCTTTTCCATCATCCGCCCTCATGTAGATTGGACTCACCAGGTAAGTAGGATCAGCGCCACCAAGGTATTTCGCCGCCGCGACCGCAGACAGAATCAAGATCAGCAATGCCAGAGCACCTTGCGCAATGCGAAGAAAGATCAGCCAAGCAGGCAGGCCGAGGTCCGAACGCTGTTGTGCCATTTTGAAGAGTTGATGATATAGTTCTTCAGCGTCGACGCGGGCGAGTGCTTGGAAAATGAATATGCTCTACGGAAGGAAGATGGGGGACCGTACTATACAGAAGGAAAAAGAGATCGATGGAAAATCAAGGCAGATAGAGAGAACAAAGGTATACCCTCAACACTCAGCCTCAGGGGAGCGGGGGCGTCATTCAAGTCATTCTTTATGCATGTACCAGGTAGAACCTCCTGGATATAGAGACATTTCCCTACACGCCATTCCTAGCCTCTGAATCCAGCCATCGGCCCAAAGCCCTAAGAAGTAGGACTGATCATTTCGGTTCCAATTCCGACTCATGAGACTCACTTTTCCTGGTGGCGAACCCTTCCAATACGTCGTTCAGATACGAGCCGAAGAAATTGCATATCGAGACATGCGCCTCAGTTGAATACCTTGGCCCCTGTGGGGAGTGGCCACCATCTATTTGCAAAGACAAAGGATCAACCACTTAGTGATCCGATCGCCAGAACCTCGTAGGCAGACAGTTAGAATGGCTGCATTACAGCGGGTAGACGGCAGTCTTGATCGCACATTTGCCCAGAGTCAATTGACCCGCGTTCCACGGTTCGTGTGAGAAGAGGCGAGATTCTCCACGAGCGTGACATGGGTTCAGCCTTGTCGCTACGTCTTTCGAAACCCTGGGCGGCACTCCTCAAGCCACAAGCGCCTACAAGGCAGCTTTGCTTCACGGCACACAATCATCTTAGGCATACGAAGTGCCTGGCCTGTGTGGAACTTCAGAAAATCTTGTTCAAGGGGGAGCAGCGTGAGTCTATGTACCTCTTGAAAATCTTGTGCTAAAATCTCTCCTCTGAATCCAACAGCCATTTCTACTCTTCGGCGACCCGCAACAGGTAATCCAGTACTATGCTATGAGTGTATTATGGCCTGGAGCCTCGCGGCCGGCTCACTGCAGCCGATAATTTCAAGCACCCCTCAAGATAAAACAGGATTCAGCGCCACAAAAGGCGGGGCGCCGGAGCAATTCTCAGAAATAGATTGAGATCGACAGACAAGCCGGAAACTCGGCCATTCGTGCGGACACGATATATTTATCACAGTGTAACCCGGCAGGTTGGACCAAGCCTCGAGCACGAATTTAAGATTGTATTCGAGCATGTCAGTCCACCGCATGATGTTTGTGCGTCATGATGTTCAGGGGGAGAAGGGGGGCCAAATCACCACAGCCAATGGAACGTGCCAGTGGTTGATAAGTCTGCACGGAGCTTCCCCTTTTTTTCTCTCGTATATGTGCAGAGTCACAAACCAGCACACTTACGATGCCGGTTGAAAAGAGCCCAGGCCTGAGTGTTGCCGACAGAACCCGTCCCCATTGGTAATGCCAAGTGTTTCACGCTCTGGTATCAGGCTCGATCGCTTCTTGTTGATTGGAGCAGATATGATTGACGCTCAGGAATGCTTGAAGGGACCGAGTGCGGAGTAAACCTTCATCCTTCCTGCGTGGAAAAGCAGCACTCTATCAATGATTTCGCACTGAAGCATAGCAGAAAGGACTCCGAAGCCGTAGTTGGTCGAGCTTGCCTGCAAGCAAGGCCAGAGCTCAGTATGCGGCTGAATATTTGGAAGTATATCATTCTTGAGCAGGGAAGTCCTGCAAGGTCTAGATCACCAATTCGACCGTTGGATGATATGCTACTCCCTATTTTATGTCAACAAGATTTAAATGCCCAGGCGCTTTGCTTCAGATTTGATCAAATTTGGGATCTCGTCCAGTAAACTCGCGCCAGACGGTTGCCATTTCAATTGCCCTTGGGCTCGGGATGATGTCAAGATTGCATTGGTGCCCCAGATGGCAGCAGCATGGTTACTCATTTTATTGGCCTCCGCCACAGTGATTATCAACGGTATAGCAGTTGAAAGTGACTTACCAATTGCCCATTTTGGGGAAAGTAAATACCATTTTTGTTCCAGACTGAATTGCTTCCCTCGAGGGCAGCGTCAAGGAGCGCAACAGTCAGGTGGCCCAGGTCATATATGTGGACGTTGCTCCAGATATTCAAGCCCTTACCGAGCTGAAAGCCCTTTTTCCTCTCGAGCGTCAAGCGTGCGATCTCAGGCGCCTGACTACTCCACTGCTTTACTGGGCCATGTTCCTTTCTCGACGTCCCGAGTATCATTGTACGACTTGTCTGACGCCTTTCCATAGCGACTCTCCTCGATCTCTGCTGCCGCGACCATTGTAGCTCCTGAAATTTGTATCCAGTAGCCTGGGTGCTTTCTAGACTTGTCACTTCATCCCTCAAGAATCGCATTTCCGCTCGGTAAGTGATTGGTGCTAGCGAGATCTGCAATTGTCAATGGAAACCCGGTCAGAGCAGCACCCGGGCAACATACGAAACACAATATCGGCATTTCTAGCCTCCTTGCGAAAATACCAGTGCTGTCGAGATCACCTTCAATTATGCGAATGCCTGGATAGGCTTCTTTTAACTTAGAAGCCTTGGTAGCATCACGATTCAAGCATGATATCTTGACATACGATCGTGAAGTTGCAATTTGATGGAGGATTTCTTCACCAACATACCCGGTAGCACCCTGTTCTTGCCACATCAGGACGGATGACAATAGGATAAGGAGTGTACTTAGAACCTACATTAGTATGTTTCTCATGATGCAATTGTTTTCCGATGGGAGCTGGCTGTCAAGAAATGTTCAATTATGTGGAAGCTCTTCTGACATTAAATTAACTCGAGGTTTCATCTGGGCGCGCATCCTGTTGTTGCGTCTTGTAGCACTTTGTTAGTTGGCTTTCCAAGACGATTTGGGAGCGTCTTTCCAGGGATGATTACAAAACTAACTTCTAGAACCCATGCTTGATCGAACCACGATTAGAAATGGTTCCACATGGAGGCAATTCCTTGCTTTCCCGTTTCGAATCTTGGGTGCTTTGGAAACGATCCTATTGAGATCCCCCCCCCCCCCCTAGCTGTTGGTGTCCTAAGCGGGATCCTTGTTGCCTCCCCAAAAGAGGCCTCGTATGAGCCATGCACTTGGAGGTTGTGCATCATGCCGCAGACGCCATGTCAAGTGTGATCAAATTAGACCAACATGCCTGAATTGCCCGGCTGTCTCCCTGGTTTGCGAAGGGTATTCAACAGAACTAAGATGGATGGCTGAGGAGCAAGCGACGCAGCCGGTTAGGAAGCCCCTTTTAAATGGTATTTATTATTGCGAGTTGATATTGGCCCTACTAAATCTCTGCAGAGGAATCCATGGTCTCCATGAGTACGTCCATGGCTACGATAATATCTAGGGATACTCTCGAAGTCTCTCTGTCGAGACTTGACGCACGCGTAAAGGATGCCGATAGTGCAGAAACTCAAGACACCACGGTAGGACCCTTTGGGATCATTGATTTTCGGCCCTCTGGAACTTTGGCACCTGCAGCCGTGCCATCTGACCAGTACCAGGTTGGACCCAAGAAACCAAACGCTATCTTCGAAGATGATTTTAATGCTAGTCCCTTGACCGAGGGACTACTAAGTAATCCAAATGATTTCTTAGATTGGACAGACCTTTTGGCCCTCGACCACGAAAATGATGTTTTCCTTTCGGAGACTGCGTTTCCCAGCGAACTTCTGAATGCAGACTCGCAAATTACAGACAACGGATTAGCTCTGAGAGCAGGTGGCGTACAGGGCGTACAGATCCCTGACCCAGGCCCAGTTGATCGGATGTCACCGTCTCCGCCAGGGTCGATTGGCCTGACATCTCCCACAATTCAGAAGCTGCTACGATACTTTAGAGACCAGGTCATCCCTAAGTTCTCAGCAATTCCAGACAGCGATAAATCTCCGTGGAAATCCTGAACGCGTCTGCCGCAGTGCAAACACTGGCTGAAATGACATACCTGGTACTCCTGACGTAAAGCATGCCAATATGGCCAATATGTATGCTCTCCTTGCGATATCGGCACACGGCCTTGCTTGTGCCCCAGATGACTCATCAGAGACCCTCGAATACTGGCGGCAACTTAGCACTCAGACAAGTACGCAAGCAAAAGATCGCGATGCTGCATTCATAGACATCCATCACATCGTCGACGTAGACTCGGAGAATCCATGGATTCACATTCCGAACTCGTCGATAGAAGAAAATGACAAGCGCTGCATTCAAGGCCCGAATCATGCAGTCAATAGGCTTCTACTGAGATTGGGGCCCCTCACTTATCCTTTCGGACTGAAGAGAGTTCGATTTGCTTGGAGAGGTAGATGCGAATGAGCAAACCATGTTCTCCAGATGTTCTTTCCTTCTCTCCACGGACTCCATTGTGTTGATGTTTTTTTGATATTCCACTGAACTCAATGTTATCGATAATATTGGCGAGCCGTGTGGTTTGTGAGACCAGTGTCAGCCAGGTTTCTGGAACGCCGTATATTTGAAGATATAAGGATTCTGTATCTTCGCGGGGGTCCTTAAGATTCAAGCGCTGCAGGATTTCGATGTTGCACTTGCATTCCGAAATCAAGCTGGACCAGGTACTGTTTGGCCAGCATTCATGGCTGGCTGTGAGGCTCTCACTGAAGCCCGCAGAGACAGGTTGAAGCAATGGATCGAGAAAGGCTTCGCAACTTCTGGATTTTTTGCACTCAAGGTTGCTCGGAAACCATGGTTGATGTATGGACCACACGTGATGCTGTAGCAGCCAATAAGAAATCTCCGAGTACATTTGTCTGGGAGAGATCGGGCAATGAGTATTACTTGGATGGACGTATCAAGAGACAGGGGTCTGTGGCTTATGCTCGGGTGAATGTGCGTTCAGGCAGCCGGTGAACGGTCTGTCCGTTCCAGCGTTAACGAGGCAATCATTTGGTCTGTTGATTGGGTCGGTTACGGTCGTCTTCACTATCTATTGCTATGATCATATGCTCAAATATTTCATCTAAGAAGCTCAGCTTTCACTGGGGCTCCCTCAGAAACTGGTCTATGCCCACCCAGTTACCATAAATCATCACCGTATTGTCTCCATATCACCTATTTCTCGGTGATTTGCAAGCCCGCGTCAACGAGAAGCCTTCTCATCTCGGTCCTAGGTTGTCCCTGCAAGAGTGAGAACGGTTTTCTCACCCCTCCGGTTCTGAAGCCTTGCAACTCCATGGCAGTCTTCACTGCAGAGGGATAGTTGTGCTGTTCAAGAAAGTAACCACTTGGAAAGATTTTCTCTCAATTTTTACGTCTGAGTTCTAGATCTTTTTTCAGGCTTCAATCGGCAGATTAGAAGTGGTCGAGACCGCGGACAGAAGCTCTCGAAGTTGTTCATACTTGGGAGCATTGTAGAAAGGGGGTACGACCATCAAAGCTGATGCCCCGGACTATGTAGCGTGGATAGAGAGGTCTAGAACTTCTTGTGTGTTTGTGCTCCCAACACCTACAACAACAGGACACAGAATGATGTTGGAAGTCATATTTCTACTGCACGTTCGAACATCGAAGATCTCCGCTTCTACCAATGACATGTCAACCTGTTCCTACGGATTCGGGTACTCAGAAGACAACAGCACTTACTTGGCATTTGTGTTTCCTGCATCTCTACACAGCGTGTAAATTTTCCGCTATCCCAAAGTTTTGTAGGTATACCTCGCACAAGACTCGGAATAACCTGACTATTAAGATATGCCAATTAAAAGTCACCTTCGCGCCACTATCCCCCAAATCAGGTAACGCGCGTTGGTTAGATTTTTCCGCATTCAGATTACTGTTCCGACGGGGCGCTTATCGTCTTTTGAGTAGACGAAATGATGGCTGTCTACATACAGCGGCTAGAAACAATTGAGCAGATTAAGATATGCAACGTCACCTTTCGTTCCGAAGCAAAGCTATCGGAGGTGATTCCCAAGTCGGCATGTTTTCTTGCCGGCCTGTCCAAAGACTAGTTCCCTGCACAAACAGATAAAATTGACAACCTGAACGTCACCTGGGTGCCTTATTCACCGAGGAGCCTTTGACTTCTACCCAGCGAGAGAAATTAACATTCGGAACAGAAAACATCAGAGAGCCTCCAAGATATTGATATGGCAAACCGAGCACCGAACCTTGATCCCCTGGTGCATTCAATATCAGATCTCGAGAAATATGAGAGCGAGGCTCTTCCGTCCGCACATCGAGGTAAGCCGGACCTCGTTTCTCCGTGTGTTACTATGAATAACTGGGCAGACCATTGCAATCAGGACGCCATGGATCTAGTGACATATGTCTGCTTCATCCAAGCCATGAAAATCAGGCAATGAAGCTAATAACGACCGCAAGGCTTCGTGATAATGTCGCTGCGTATGACCGCTACAAGATTCGGCCACGTGTATTGCGAGATGTATCCAAATAAGACACATCAACCACGCTATTTGGGCAAAGAGTAAGTCTTCGTCGTACCGAGTTCCACCCATTTCGGGTTTCTCATTTCATTCGGTAGGTTGACTTAGTTTCGTTACAGATAACGTTTCCGCTAGGGCTCAGTCCTTTAGTGATGCAAAAGTTGGCACATACAGACGGAGAACTTGGGACCTCTAGAGTAGTAGCTTCTCTGGGAGTTGCAATGTGTCTCTCGTCATACACGAATACCCTACTAGAGGATGTGATTGAGGTTGGCAACAACAATCCATATATAATCCAGATATGTGTCTTGGGGGATCGAAATATCACTGCACAGTTACTGAGAAGGGCTGAAGCTACGCCATATTCTCAATTTCTTTTCTAGGATAGCATCCTTGGAATTTTCCAGAGGCGGGGGCACTGGTAACGATTATGGTAGTTTCTGCAGAGGCCCTGAGATATCTTGATCGTCGACGGCATTGTGATCTCGAACCATGGAGGACGTCAACTTGATGGAGCACCTTCGACGCTTGACGCTCTTCGGGAATGCTCTCCTGTAGCTCGCAGCCGCATTCAAATCGCTGTAGATGGCGGCATTCAGCGTGGTTCGGATGTTTTCAAGGCTCTTGCCCTTGGTGCTCAGAACTGCTTCATCTGCCGCATCGCAATATGGAGCCTCGCGTATAATGGGCAAGCCGCTGTTGAGTTGGCATTGATGATACTCTTATCGGAATTTTAGGTCATAATGGCACTCGCGGGCTGTAGAGTCGGACTGTTAATGAGATCAGCGACAGGCATACTGCTGTTCTACGAAATGACGGACTCTTGTGTAAATTGTGATTAGAGTTAGGGACGAATACGAGTACTACAACATTCTGAATCATTATGATTGTTGCCGTCGAGATTGTATGCACTGTAACAATGCAAAACGTGTAGAGATTGCAGGATTAGATGAGACTGCGCGTTCAGATGTAAGCAAGTCTCTGATCCGATATTGCTCTGTAGAACTAAGAGACATAGACTTATACGCTGAACAAAGAGTAGTGGGACCCTTGAAGTGCTTAGCTCCAAAAGTAGAAGCTCGTCTTCATTGAAACCGTATGAGTTCCTCTCAGGCCTTGCTGCTCGGCATGTAAAAGCTGGTTGGGATACAACTTTGTTAGTGTCCGAACTATTAGTCCACTTGAGACGCTTCAATCAACCAATAAGAATTTGTTTCCTATCTCTTTTCAGACATCTACGAGAGAAGTCCCCCACGGAAAGGGGAAAGACTTTCTGGCCCGTTCACATCTAGACCATGGACATAGTCTACGACACATTACCGAACCGATTTCAACATCGAACAGAACTTGTTCTAGGAGAACGCGATCAACATTTAGGCCACCGTCCCACTGGGTATAGACTGTATAACGGAGTCCTTCGTTCCCAAGCAGGAAATTTGCTCTCACATTCTCTCCACAACTGCATAGGCACGTTCCTCCCATTTCGCAGCCATGCAGGCTCCACCACAAGAAAGCATCGACTACAAGATGGAGAAAGACATGGATCTGTGCATTAAGGCGGTTGATACCGTGCAGTCCAACATCGAGGCGCATTCCGAACCATTGGAGCATACATCCACTAAACAGGGCCTGAAATCTCGACATGCCCAGATGATTGCTCTCGGTGGAACGATTGGGACAGGTCTATTTGTTGGTTCAGGTCAAGGGGCTCCACAAGGGCGGGCCATTATTCTTGATTGTTGCCTACTCGTTGATGACAGTCATGGTCTTCGGCATTGTCACGGCAACGACAGAGATGAGCTCTTTTCTTCCAGTCCCCGGGTCTTCCGTCGCATACTAGAGAAAGCGGTATTTGTCCAGCAGTATGGGCTTTGCGCTTGGGTGGTTGTACTGGTACATCTTCTCCATAACTGTGCCAGCTGAGATCACTGCCGGAACGTTGGTTGTCCAGTACTGGAGCCCGCCAGTCCACAACGCAGTGTGGGATTATGATCGTGATGGTTGTTATTGTCGCCTTGAACACTCTTCCTGTTCTCTTCTATGGCGAACCGGAATTCCGCTTCGCTTCCATCATGGTCTTTGGTATCCTCGGCTTGCTCATCATGGCTTTTATCTTCGTCCTTGGTGGAGGAGCAAACCATCAAAGACTAGGGTTCCACTACTGGAACAATCCAGCCTCCATCCATGACGAATTGGTCACTGGAGCATCAGGGAAGCTTTGTGCCTTCCTTGGAACCACCATCTTCTCCATGTATGCGTTTCCTTTTGCCCCTGAACTGCTTGTTGTCACTGAAGGGGAGATGGAATCTCCACGACGAAACCTTCCAGTAGCCGGAAAGCCGTACTTCCGCCGTTTGGTCATTTTCTACGTCTTGGGTGTCGTGGCCATCAGTGTGATTGTACCTAGCGACGATCCCAAGCTCCTTAATGGTGGTGCTGGCGCAGTATCTTTACTACGGGCTGTTGCTATCAAGAACGCTGGTATCTCTGGCTTTGACTCCGTTGTCAATGCTATCATCCTCACATCATCGCCCGGCAACTCGTGTCTTTATATGGCCGGCCGAGCTCTGTACTCAATGGCAGCCGCTGGATCAGCCCAAAAAGTCTTCATGAGATGTAACAATCAGGAATATCTTATTATGCAGTGGCTGCCGGTGCCTCTGTCAGTCTGCTATCATATCTCGACTCGTCGAGCACTGAAGCGACAGTCTTCATCCGGGTTGTGAATTTGATCAACACAGGTGGATTCAAGTCATGGGTGGCCGCCTGCGTTATCTACCTGAGGTTTAGGAAAGCCACCTCACCGCTCAAAATTCCAGCTGTACATGGCGTACACTTCGGGAACGTTCTTCCTCCTGTTGCTCATCCTGAACGGTTTCAATGTCTTCGTTCATGGCTACCGGAATGTCTCAAGCTTCTTGATTTCCTAGATCGGGATTCCAATCTTCTTGGTGTACCTTTTCGGCCACAAGTTCCTTCGCGCAAGGAACGAACCGTGGATGATCCCTTACGACAAAGTCGACCTGTATTCTGGTCTGGGGGAGATCATTGCAAACGAACTGCCGCCACGGCCACGTGAGAAGTGGTATCAGAAATGGAGAGCTGTCTTGAGTGATAGATTGTAATATGATATAGGAGTTTCCAAGACCACGAACTGTATTGAAGATTCACCTTTCCAAAACATCAAGTGCTACCTACCTAGGTACTTAGGTCGATACGACATATAAGAGACTGATTAGTACATAAAAGGTACTGGTAGGCTGTCCTCGCAGGCCGCATGATATTTTGACATTGTTACTGTTGCCAGAAGTATAATCACTGAGAATAGTAAAGGCATTGGGTCGTTGGTTTCAACTTGAACAAATCGATTGTGCTGCTTAAGCTGTAAGAATAGTATGAAGATACACAGGTTGGAGTGACAAGCTAATTGAGTCGCAAGGCTGTTGGAGTATGTCCAACAGTGTCAAACCATGCCGGCGCCTAAGACCCTGCCAACCTGGACATGCTGATGTTACAAACGGGCGACAGGATCTGTGTTTTGGGAGATCAGAAATTGGTACCTTCATGGCGCACGGCCGCAAATTCTAACCTGACTTTTTCTCAATCAGGCTGAGGATCTCTTTCTCGAGGCTCTCTGGTTTGGTGGTGCTGGCGTAGCGTTGCACAACCTTGCCATCGCGATCGATGAGGAATTTCTCGAAGTTCCACTTGATGCGCTTCAAGCCCAGCAGTCCTGGCTTCTCGGACTTCATCCACTCGAAAACAGGCTCGGCTTCTTTGCCATTCACATTTGTCTTGCCAAGCACAGGGAATGTGACACCGTAGTTCAACTGACAAAACTGTTGGATTTGGTCATTGGAGCCAGGATCCTGACCCCCGAATTGGTTGCAGGGAAAACCAATGATGACAAAATCGTCAGGGTGCTTGGACGACACTTCCTTCCACAGCTTCTCAAGTCCGGCAAACTGTGGCGTAAAGCCACATTTCGAGGCAGTGTTAACAGCCAACACGACCTTCCCTTTGTGTTGAGATAGAGGATATTCCTGATCTCCTTTATCCTTTGGTGTAAACTCGAAGAATGATGTTGCAGAAGCCATTTGGGGGGCTGGTTTGGATTCGGTGGCGAAGGAGCGGGAAAGACAGAGTTTTGCGGTGGACTGATATTGAGATGGAGTAATGGAAGAGTAATGAAGGAAAGGCCTGGTTTTAGAGGGAGCTGTGATGTTAAAGGCCACCTGACGCACCACTCGGTAGCCTTGCATAAATGTCGGGAGCTACGGCCGGTGGATGCGAAAGCTAAATTGTGCAATTGGATCTAGTGGAAGGACAGAGTATCTGATGCAGGTCGGAAACAGGGAGAATTTGGAATGTTTTCTCAACATCCGAGGCTCGTGATAGTGACGCCATGCTGCGACGAGCGCGGTGGGCAGCAAAACGACGGCGATCCGGATCGCACATGCTGCAGTACTCGTATGTCAACCCCGCCTCCCTCGCCCATCCCCTGTTGCGCCATTTTTCGGCTTCGGAAAAGTATTTATCCGAGTACGGAGAATCTTCCAGCATGTTACGCAGGGGTTGCCGCAGAGTCACATATTAACTCACGTGATTTTAGATAAGATAAGATGGAAGGCGTCGCCCAAGCGACACTCCCCTTCCGCCTTGTCCTGTACACGATGGTCAGACACTCTCCGACTGGCTATTTGATCATGTACAGCATGTTCTTCTTGGCGAGCAGACATGCTCCTCCCGAAATGATAACAGAATCCGAGCCATCCAACGCCACCTGCTTAGATTGGATCGGAAAGGCTGTCTCTGAACTCTCGGTCAAATCCTAAATGCTGAAACCTTGCCGCTGATTTGATCATAAGCTCAGCTTTGACCCCGTCAAGGCGATGCGGGGTTATGGGGTTGGCAGGTTGGCAGGTTAGCAGGTGTTCGGTCGCCTGATGCGAGACAGCGCACGCCCGTGTCGGCACGGTTAACACAACTCGCTGTATCCGTCATTGCGGGCGCTGGAAGGTGCATTCCAGGCATCATTTGGCGACGGTGACAGTGAGTATATGAGACTGCGGATGGAAGGCATTTGAAAAGATCCTCTTTTCTTCACTGCCAGCATCTAAGGCGTTCCCCCTTTACCCAAAACAGTCATCTACCAATATATGCAATCCCTAAACCGTCGACTGCCCAAACTAGTATATCCCCAAAGGACCCTTTCGTTACTCAGCTGTCAACGGCTTACCTACCCCGCTACTAGTCATACACTCGATACTGCGCGTTGCAACACTGCGCATTCGCTTAAGCAGCCATAGGTGGTACATGAATTGAAGATCATTAGTTGCATAAGCATCTCTCATCAAAAGCCACTCACCTCCACATTGCAATAGCTTGAACGGAGGCGCCTACAGGCCGATATTACCTAAGCTTTGACGACCACCGAACTATCAGCTCCTCCACCTCAGCCTTCCTTAAGTCGGACATCTCCACAAACGTTCAGCGGGCCAGGAAGCAGAAAAGCAAGAAACGCAGATCAGCCAGCAGTCAAGCCCAAAGCCAGTGCTTAATCCACAATCCAAAATGTCAGGTGCATTTGCCACGCCCCACTCCCTCACAGGAGGAGCGGGCTACAAGGCGAACCAGTCGTACGACGAGTTCCTGCGACGGCATTCGGGATTCTACCGACGACACAGCGCAGCATCGAACCAGATGGAGGGCGACCGGCGCGCCTCGCTGGCTGCGGACGAGAATGCCCAAGCTGCACAGACGGCGGCCGACAACGTGCGTCGCGGGTCCATCACTGGTGCTGGCGGGGGTTCCGCGACTGCCAACACCAGGAAGGGCAGTGTCGCCGTTGCCAGCGACGTCACCCGCAAGGATAGCATCTTCGGCCTCGAAGCCACCGCCGGCACGCGCATGAGCGAGAACAGAAGGCCAAGCACCTCCCTTGCCAGTGACTTGCTTCACAAGATCAAGGGAGATAAGTAGGTACCCAGATTTCAATGCGATCGACTCGCAACGAATGTGAGGAGACGGAGCAAAGTGTCGTGGGACAGGTGCTCAGGAGCATTCTTGATACCTATTTACTTTGTAATGTGGCCAGTTATTTTTCCGCCAGTAACTAATTCAGTATGTGATACCGACCCCTAATAATATTTCCTTCATTCAAGTTGAGAAGAGTAGACGTGACTATTTCCTCTGCGCTTCAATTTTCTGCTGCTCCCTCCAACTTGCACCCCATGAACATAGCAAGGCCATGCCGGCCGAGACGACGCATAGGGAATCAACATCCTTCCTCTGCTGCACTCCGTGTTCACAAGAGGTAAGCCTCGCTCGAAATGACGATCTCCAACTTGCCAGCCAGGAACAGAACGCCGGCTCAGCTATCGCCTATACATACATATATACAGATGCACGTAGATTAATCATACCACTTATCCACCAGGGATCCATATAAAAACAGGGCCCACACAGCATTTGCGGAATCCCAAGTCGAGAATGAACAAGAGAAAGATAGCCAAAGCGCAAGAAAACGCCGCTCCAGCTGGATCCGCGCTGGTCCCGACATTCAGGACTCCTTCCGTGCAAGATCCACCATCATGGGCAGGACCAAGACTACAACCAGGGGGGTAAGCAGGTGGGCGGGCGGGCTTTTGGGCGGCTGTTGGGCGTCTGCTGGGCGGTAAAAGCAAGACAACGCAACCTGGCTGTTGCAGAAGTCACAGCGTAATGGCCTTTTGGTCTGGTGCAAAGAAGGACTTTCTAGAACAAGGAGAATTCAAGATCTTTGTCAGCTCGAGCCGTCGAATTACCTAAGTAGTCTGATGCAGGTTGAGAGTCAGCATTCGAATCAGCACTACTCAGCCTTGGAAAAGGGTAGACTGCGATCAAGTGGATGGGTCTCTGTCGCCCATTCTGGTATATAGTATCAAGAATCTCGAAACCTCGCCAGGGTCTGCGTGAGCTGCAGGGTCTTCTGTACATGGAAGGTCTGGAATTTTGGTGCGTGCAAGGTGGAATGTGCCTACATGGAGATGAAGCAGAGGAGCGCAAAAGCAATACGAAGCCCGAAAGTGGGCGGACGAGAAGAAAGAGAGGGAGAAGAAAGAGAGGGAGAAGAGAAGAGGCACATCGCGCCACCTGCACAACAACACACGAAATAAGAAATCAGACCCCGATGAAAGTGATGTGAATTGTGATACCATCACGACTGGTCATCGTGTCGTAGCATGACCAGGATGCTGCTCAGCTCGTGAGATGATGTTGTCTCCAACGCTGCAACCATAGGGTACACTCATGGTGAACGGACATCATCTTCTCCACTCAGACATCTAACCAATCCTGTATCTCCGATCGTACATGGCCTTTGGGCGTGCATTCAAGCCTGATGTCTGCCTAGGGAAGGAAAGGACTGGCACATGGGCTATTGGAAAATCGATATTTCCATATTTTCCCCATTCCAGTCCACCGGTATCGGTCTGAACAAAGTGTGTGCGTCAATGTTCATGTTTATCATTGGAGGAACAGGGTCGCTGGTCTGAAGGCGGGGCATGTACCCCTACGATGGAGTTCTCAACATGATCTCCATCTGTTACAGTAGCCTGAATTGCTCCTTCCCTCGTCCTCGGCGGGGCTTTTTACGAGTGTCTGATCATCTCTCGATTTTTTTGGCAAAAAGAAGCAAGTGCGCCACCATCAAAGTGCACACCGTGTTCGCCGACGCTGCCTCCATGAAATTAATATCGACCTGAACGCCGATCTGATGCAAAGGGAACAGACACATTAATGCCAAGGCTTCATTGCAGACAACAACCTCTGCACTCCGATTGTGCAACGAATGACTGGGCCAAGTGGATCTGAAACCTTAGACAGAACCCTTTAGGCTGATGCAGATTGACGTGCCGTGAACGAATCATGCCGCCCAGGACATTGAATGGTGGAAAATGGTTGTGAAACTTTTCGAAAGTCGCATCACTATTACAAAACAAGTCGTTGAAGGTTCTTTTGAATCAGGATATCTTGTACGTCTTCCATGGTGGCTTTCAGTAGGTTGGTATCGGTAGCGTTTGTGAAGTGAATGTAGATTTCTCGATCACTGTTTCGATTGATGGTCCGGAAACGGTTTGCGAAGAACTGTTTGGCGGCTTCTTCATCTGCGTCCTTGCCCTGATAGTCTGGAAAATGTGCTGACAGGGACGATATAGGAAGCTTCTCCCGGAACAAGTCGATTTTGTTCAAGAACAAGATGATGGGCTTGTCTTTGAACCACTCTCCATTGACGAGTGACTCAAAGAGCATGAGCGCTTCGTGCATTTGATTGGCATTGACGTCTTCGACGAGGCATTGGTCATAGCCGGACAGCGCAGCCATGAACAATAGGCACTGTACCCCTTCAAAACAGTGGATCCATTTCTTGCGCTCTGATCTCTGGCCACCCACGTCCATCATTCGGAAGGTCAGCTCGCGCAGGTCGAAAACGGTCTCGGTGATGCCCGTAGTACGGAGGCGGGCGTGGAGCACGTCTTGATTGTTAGGAGTCCAATCCGGGTCAAACATGCGATCAATGCCCTGGAAGTAGTAGTTCAGATTGTCATGCAGAGCAAATTCGTGGCCCTTGGAAACAGCCTTTTGGACACCAGTGTCCTTCCACAGGGCAACCATCGCCTCTTTGACTTTTTTGTCCCGGAAAGCTTCATGTGCATCAACATCAGCGTCAATTCCGTCCAAGAGTTCGGCGTATGCTTCGTTCTCGTCACTGGCGAAGTCGATCTTTTCATCCTGCATGATCTCATTGAGGACGCGGAAAGCGACAATAAGGTTCGAGTAAATCACAGCCTTCACTTGAACACGCTCATCATCTTGGAATCCACTAGAATGGATGATTCGCATTTGTTTGATAATGGTAGATTTACCAGATTCACCGGCACCTGCGAAGGTCTTGTTAGAGGAGGGCTGCATTGAGTCGGGTGCGCCATGAAGATCACGTACCGAGGAGGAGGATCTTCACCGTCCGAGAGTGTTGCTTTCTGTCTTGTCGTAGCTGACGTTCAATGCGTGCATTTTGCTGTGCAGCCTCCTTCTCACTAGAGTCAACCTTCGAACCTATGCAACCCATGGTGGACAAGATCAGGTAGTCGATATGCTATCGGAAGCGGAGGATGCAGGTTCTTTCAATCCCAATGGCTCTTGCAGATTACCTCTCTTTCATTCTTGATTCAGTGGTGATGGGTGGAAATCTGGGGTTCAGGAGCTCCCGGGCTGGAGGTCAGGAGTGACCAGGGGAGCAGGGAGCAGGGAGCAGGATGTAACCAGGATGGTTCTGGAAGACTTAGCCTGTCAGACCGTCAGAATCCAAAGTGCAACATGTGAGTGCGTGGTGATTGACGAGCTATGAGGTGACTTACAGACTGTTGTTGGTGTTGGTGAAGGTATTCTCCTTCTGCGACGGGGTGAGGAAGCGCACCGCGTAACTGAGTGTGTGAATGGATGGTCGTCTCGCTCAGAGTACGGAGCACGTTGGATCAGGCCAGCAGCCAACAAAAGGTACGGAGCACGAGTACTCGTACGATCGAGACGGAGTGGCAGCGGTTTGAGAGAGATGTGCCAGTGAGGGACGCGTGTGGCATCGATTGAAGGGATAGTGGGCCATGAATGAGCCGGGGAATGGCGGACGGGTATGGTAGCCAACCTCAGATGGGAGACGCCGGGTGGATGGTGGCGTCGAGGTGCTCAGTGTCAAGCCAGTAGCCGATGCAGCGGTGGAGCAAGAGGCCCAGTGGTCGATGGTCGATGGCGGTCGATGGCAATTGATGGCGCGCAGTGGAGGCTGCTAAAGGAAATCCAGAGGAGCTTGGACACGGAGCTAGAAGCTGATCAAGTGTAGTGGTGAGGCTTAACCCGTGAACTTGTCAGGGTTTGCCATGTTCCGTCTTCTCCGACGACAGTCCACAGCGGTGCAACTGCTAGGGCCTAGAGATGATAAGAGGGCCTTGCCCGTCCTGGCAGTTTCAGGGGCTGCAATTTCAACTGCGAGGATTGCATTGCCGTCCTCGATAGCGCAGGAACCGTTGGTGGTGCATCGATTCATGTTGATCTTGGATATCGCAAAAGATCATGTACGGTGTGAGGATAGTCTGGGAGTGGGCGTGGGTGGGTGTTTGTGCTTGTGTTTGTGTCTGTGTGGGACACCGCCACGTTTCCCCTCCGGGCGGCCACTTCCGCTAAGACTGCCGTTCCTGGGGGCACCGTCCCGGGCACCTACGGATAGAGGGAGCTCCATTTTGGCCCCCGAACACCCCCGAGCACCTCCCCGAAACTACACCCGATATTGGGTGTAGGGATCTCTGTCGTTCGGGGCCTGGGTAGCCTCCAAGACAGCCAGAGAACGAGATCTGAGTATTGATAATAATGCCCATACCAGGGTGACCGCTATATCAACATGGAACGTCTTTATCGTACTTGACACTGAATGTGGTCCTGTGCGAGTTACTCCCGATAACTAACTAACGGAGGCAGACGGACAGGAAAAGTCTTTAGTCCTTGTAGCTCATTTCACTATCTGACCTGTGAGCCATGTCTGGCCCGTCCATGGCCATTCTGGGTCCAACAGAAACGACGGCGTCGTGGTTCAACTCTGATGCTGCATGTCCACCCTGGGAGCCAATTTCACTGTGGCCTCCTTGTTGTGCCAAGGCCAGGAGCAACGAGCATCCCTCGCTGCACAAGTCATACGAGTAGTAATCCATCTACGAGGCATGGACAATACCTATGTGGGAGAGCAGTGGTCTCTGTAACAAGGATAAGAACTCGACATGCACTGGCATGCTGTGATACATACATTGCTCCTCGCAAGTCCTGAGTACGGAGTACGGAGGACTCGTACTCCCTAACCCGGCCCTCGGCAGTTGGTCCCTGGAAAGGCAGCAAAAGTAAACCATCTCAGCACGTGGAACTCAGAGACCCAAGCTGCACAAGGCTTCCCTTCCCGGCTGGTGACTTCGGGCCATGGCCGTGGGCCGCGGGGCCCGTGAACCCTTGTGCCTCGTCTTGTGCCTTGTGGATTGTGCCTTGTTCTTTGCTCTTCAATTGTAGGACGCGGATCTTCGGTCTTACGAACACGTGGCTCAATTGCCCGCTCCGCTCATCATGATCTCAGTACCAGGCATTGCACCTTGCACGTTTACCTTGCCATGGATGACATATCTCACCCACAGCCTAATTCAAATATCGAGCACATGATGGGTGTCGCCACTGCATACCATCATGTCACGCTCAGACCATCCTGCCTCATATATGACCATTTCAAGCCTTGCCGTGGATGTGCTTCTTGCACCTGACAATGATGGGAGCATTTTCCTCGCACACTCACATGCCTCTACTTACTACACCCCTTTCAAAAAGGTGAACTGTCCAAGGTTCGAAGCAAGCTGCTTCCGTACACGTGTCAATCATCTGGCGATTCAACCAGGAAGCATGGAATCTGCCAGTTGCTGTAAACAGCTCGTATAAGAGTCATGGCATTTTCAGGAATCCCAGCCCCAGCTAACCTCGAGCTCGGAAGCTGCCATCCCAGCAGCCTCCTGCATCGCAGGCTGTTGCCGTTGAAATTGCTCTGCGACTACGGTTCAATCAATGGATGTATCGACTCTAGGATTTGATGGTACAGGTCTTTCTGCTCCGCGCCCCTCCCCCACCCAATCGATCTTGGCTGCTTTGTAACAGATCATCACGGGCAGATCTGTTGAGTTGACGTACGAAAGTACTGCTGCTTAAACGCAGAATCAAGACATGAAGCGACCCAGTCGGTTACCATAGCCTGAAAAATCTCGTACTCAGCAGAACTCTCAATGCGCAGCAGTCAATTTTCAGCCTCAAGGCTGGGCTTTACTACCTGAGTTCATTGCTGACAACCCTTCCTTTTTTAGCTTTACGCAATGCGCCTTATTGAATAGCCTTGCCGGACCGCGATCCATTCCTGTGGACGGTTACCTGACGTGGTGCAAAGCCAATCTCTGCAAAAGCGGTCGCCACCCTGGCTCGGCGCAGTCCGATCCGCCTCTCCTGACTCAGCCGGGTCTTGGAGGTGGTCAAGTCATACCTGATTCAGCATGCAGAGAAGCAGATGCACAGTCCGGAGATTATCCCCGAGATCTGGAACAATTCCAAGCACCTACTTGTACTCCGTAGTCGCATCTCCTGAAGGGTATATCACGCCTGATTCACTAACCCGGATTCACATGGTCATGTGACTTTATGAGGATAACGTGACTTTGCTTCCCACGTGCCCACACACCACGTGGTCATCCGACTCCAACTTCCCCATCCCTCAAGCGTCACGGGACGCATCCGAATTGCAGGGCAGAACATGCTGACTACTCCTGGGATCCTCGCTTCTCACTCCCCATCGCGACCTGCCCGTGACCAGTATACTACAAGATAGTGAATATCGTCATGTGTTTGTGAATTTACAGTTTCGACCTGTGTCCCAAAAATTTGGAATGATGTCAGCCCCGTGAAGCATCCTCACCACCACGGTGCTTTCAACTACCCAGCCTTGGTCGGAGAAAAGTTTCTCCCGCCTAATATTTCAACCGGTGGTGTTTGACTCACACAGTAGATCTGCATTGAGCCGCCAATACGTGCAAGGTCACAATTGTGCAGGCCCTGGTGGCTTCTACAGGCGTTTTCTTTCAACCACGCTGGCATGGCCGAAATGGATGGAGAATATCGGCCTCGGTGCACTATTCCGCAGGTGGCCAACCGCTGACCTCATCGAGTATTGGGCGAGAACCATGGCGTAGCCCAATTGGCCATCGCCTCGACCTTCCCGCCAGGCACGAAAATCGCTGAACCACAAGGCTCATCCGAAAACCTATCCCCACTCGTCGAGGAAAATACGTCCCGTGACTCTCGGTTGGTGGTTTGATCCCGGAAATCCAGTTATGCCATCATGCTAACCTCCAATTCCGTGTAGATCAACGTTTCCAACTGCCTGCAACCCTGCCATACCGAATCCCTTCACAAGCACTAATAGCAGTTGAGCATTGTACGCAGCATGCTCAAGCAATTGTAATCACCCTCGGCGACCATCTAATAAACTGGTCAATCGAACCGTCTCGATCAGCACGCTTGACGCATGTGTCTTACCACAACCTCGTGTTTACAAGAACCTGGCATGAACAGCCACTGAGGAACTCACTATCGCTAGCACAAGGAAGACAACTCATGGTGCAATTCAGCTGGTAAACTCAATCTACGATTACTGTTTGGGGTTATCCTAACAGAGCTACGAAGCCACACGAGGGAGGATATCCATGGTATGCCTTAAAATTGGGCTTTACCTTGGAGGCCAGCCGCAAGTGATCCAAGCAGGCGGGACTCGAATCCGTTGTTGGTACTTCGTGAAGGGTTCCTGGCAGGGAAGCGGGAGCGACAGTCCTCCTTAAACTGGAAGTAGAAATCTCCTGTTTGGGTAGGTGCCAAGACTGGCAATACACGAACCGAAAACCGTCTAGATGGTTGTATGAAGCTGCAGAGTGAGGTACAGAGACGGCAGCCAGCGGGGTTGTGAAGCCTCCTGGTCAGATGTTCGCTTATCGCTTACGACCTCTCGCAGGCAAGACTCACAAAGCAACGACTTAGGAAGAGAGATTCGGCATTTACACGGGGGCAAACCGCGAAGTAGGGATCTTGGTGTATCTCGGCTCCTCTCTCTGGTAGTGCCTGCAAGGAAAGGAAGGGAAATGGGGGCCACAAAGCAGTCAACAATACTCGTTTTTGCTGCCACGCCAAGACTGTTATTGTGAAGCGCTCTATAGTCGCTGGCAGCACAGTCAGGAAGCGGCGTCCAGCTTCTGCCAAGAATGCCCTCTTGTAGAGATTGTGCCCCTTGGCAAGCCGGTAAGAATGGTCATCCCCAGGGGCTTGTCTCGAAAAGCCTCTGGCAAGGTTTGAACACATGACCTGTGCTGAGACTTGGGACAACGATCATTTTCGAGAGGCCCAGCGATTCGTGCAAGGGCCCAAGGCCTTCAAGAGACGTATGGGTTGGGGCTACCGATAGCCAATGAGCAGGCCCATAACCGATTACGTTTTGCAGGCAAGCGTCCGGGTGTGGCATATTAAGGCTCTCTAGAGGCCGTGTAGATGCCATGTTGGAGCTTGGGAGACTTTGAGGAAACCGATTGAACAACGAAAGTCAAAAAACGCCACAAACTGCCCGTCTAGGTAAGTGTGTAAGTGTGCAATGCAGTACAGCATGCCAGCACTGGGCACCCATCGCTACCAGGGTAACGGGTGACTTCTGCTGATGCTCGCGTAGGCCGAACCGACCACTCGTCGTCCAGAATGTACTGCCAAGGGCGATCGGTCAGCAGAAAGTATATTACATGATCAGGAAGAAGAGGACCCCCCAACAGGTCCTTAGTTGTTGCCATGCATTAGACTGGGACCGCCCTGCCTAGCTTGCGGTGGTCCCATGGTGGAACATGCTGCTTGAAGCGCGTTGGGGAGGACTATCCGCCTTCTATCAGCAGCTGATCGCGCTAGAAGAGTGTTTTGTGCATTCCAGCGAGGATCCTCGTGCTCTAGTGCCCGATACAAGCATTGGAGAGCGAGGTATTGATAGACTCGGATAGATCCAAGTCCAATGACAGCAGGCCTTAAGCCCAAGCTTGCAGGATGGTGGCCGCGGCTAGTTGCAGCGCGTTGCTGATGCTTGGAGGGGGTCTGGGGAGCCGTATGACTAGTGTGGTGTGGTGTAGATGTGCGAGGACTGGAGGAGTTTATATTGCACGCAGGCAAAGCATCTGCGGACCCCAGTGGTGTGCAGCGCGCTTCTGGTTCGCTGCTTCCTCTGCCCAGGACGCTAGGGCACCTACCCAAATAGGCACCTTCTCAGAAAGGGAATTCTGCTTGGACAACACGTCCCGCATCTCTCTCACGTTTCAACAAGCTGCCTGAGACTCTGGGTTTCCTTGCCTTCAGTAGCGAGGCCCTATTGCGCACTCATGCAAGGCCAAGCCAATAGGCGTACTATCACACTGCAGATGGTGCTCTTACAGATGCCTCTAGGCCCCCGCGTTCGCTGACATGAGGACCCTGACGACTGCGGCTTGGTCTCGGTCTTGGGTTTGGCCCATTGCCCACGGCAGGGACATGGGTACGGGGGACGTTTGAAGCAGAAGCAGCATGCAATTGCGGATGTCTGCTGGCAACACAACACCACCACTTACTCTGTACTCTGTACTCCGTACTCCGTACAAGTCTGCGCTGAACGAGGGTGCCCAGTGCCCAGTGCCCGGTGCCCGGTGCCCACCCACTCGACCCCCAAGCTTCTTCCATCATTGCTACTGATGCCAAACCTCTTTTGGTAGTCGGCATACGCAGTCCGATTGGCTCTGATGAAGTTCACGTCAACCATCAAGGGTCCTGCTCGACCACACCGTTTTCCCGACGGTCAATCATGCCAGGTTTGCTGCCAGCATCACTCGTGCTGTAGTTGCTCCCGCTAGAGCCCGCCGTGCCCGCAGCGGCCGTGCCTTGCGTGGTACTGTCTGAGACCCCTGTCAAACCACTATGATAGCTTCGGGCTGGTTGCTGCGAGTTGCAACAGTGGCAGAACAATAATCCCCGTCTCCAGGCTAGCGCCAAAATATTTGGAAAGTCGCAATCAGAATGGTAGGCCCGAATTATATCTTTACCGCCATGGAACCGTCAGATCTGGCATCCATGAAACTCCAAGCACGTCCGACCGTTGTGCCCTACCATTACTCAACGCTGACTCAAATCTCAAGTTTTACCTCTCGACATCAGATAAGATTCCAAACATCCATATAGACCAAAAACGTCCTCGTTGAATGACCTCCCATCCCTACCCTCAAAACAACATGGAGTATGGGTATGTGAGCTCCCCTTCACAGTCACCGAATCAATCAATCTTCGCCGCCGGCCAGTATTTCGATAGCACATCTGAAAGCTCAAGTCCTGATTCACCGCATGTAAGTATATGGTTATGTTTCCACCCTGGTGTTCCAACCTTTGCTGACCACGCCTAGCAAATGGCATCGATGATGTTTAACAACAATCCCATGCAATATGACATGTTTCAGTACGGTGGCACATCAGCGACGTTTTATCCAGCCACGCAGAACACCAAGATCGCAGTCGAATACAACAATGCCGCCACTCTAGATCAAGCCGATCGACGGAGGCGGAGGTCGGGTAGTGCCTCTACGACGACCAAAGACAAGGACACGATCCCCAACATGCATTTGGTACGTTTTTTCCCGATTTCACCAACCATGTTCACGCAGATGCTAATACCAAGCAGAGAAGGCGTGCTCAAAATCGGGCATCTCAACGTGCTTTTCGCGAGCGAAAGGAAAAGCATGTCAAAGGCCTAGAGCACCAGCTCGAAGACCTACATGAAAAGCATCAAGATCTCCTACAGTCCTACACACGGCAAGCAGACGAGGTTGGCAAGCTCAACAACCGGATAGCCGAACTCAGCGCCGAGCTAAATGCTCTCCGGACGTGTCAAGACCAGTCGTTCAGCGAGATGCTCTTGCCTGACAAGTTCGACAAGTTCGATGCCTTCTCAGCACATGATATGCTCTATAACGGCCCCGACTCCTATTTCGACAAGAATGCCGTGGACCTGAATTCAGAGTTCGCCTTACATTCTTTCGAAGATTCGCTTTAAAGAGGCCTTGGTCCGGAGGGCGCTCTTGTCATGTCTAATTAGGGCGTTGGTTTTGGGGAAGGATGCCAGAAACCGTCTTCCACTGGCAGGGAGGCAATTTGTCGATTACTTTTGTCCATGCACTTGAGCGAAAGAGCGCGCTGCGCCGCATGAATTGGAGCAGGGCTTTGGTTTTCCCCTACAGATGGGAATACTTTTTGGAAAGTTATAGTTCGCAGCCGAATACGTTAGCCATGTTGGGCGGCAAAGACCTAACCATTAGTTTAACCACGATATTCTCAGGGTTTCAGATATGGCCCGTTCAATGCTACATACTTGGCAGTGAGTCTCTTTGTTCCTCTGTACATCCTCCGCGGTTCGAGGTGAAGCACCACCGGAGAGAGAGGGAGAGAGAGGGAGGGAGAGGGAGCAGGCGGTGCCGTAATCGCCTCGTTGCAAGCCACCACGTAACTGTGAAAATCGTCGGGAGGACAAATCATGAATTATCGCCCGAGAGGGAATTAGGCACTGAGGGACATATTCACGGCGGGGCAGCCGTATCAACGGCCCTGGGGCAAGGGCACAGTCACGACAAATTTTGGTGTGGTCCATACCACGGATCTCGCTAATGAATTTTCTACTTTCGCCTGCAATCTCTTTCTTTTCCCTGCCACGTTCTGGAACTGAGAAAGCAAACGACTTGAACTGTGTGTCTGTCAACCGTGTGGCACGGGCCTGGGGGGCTTGATGGAATCGTGTGGTCCCGTTTACCTGGAACTTCCCGGTGGATGGCCTGATGCTCGTGTTCGCAAGTCCCTTCCCAAGTAGAAAATGGAGTCCAGATCTGGTTTAGGAAAATGGTGCTTTGGGCAACGGCCTGTGAATGGATGGTCGTCAAATTTTCGGTCAGTAGACTTTCAGTTAACGATGAAGATAAAGTCGAAATTGGGTCTCGGCACGAAGTAGCCGGATCATTGCAAGGTATTCCGTACTCGTACTCGATACTCGGACTTGGGAAGATAGGCTTGTTGGCGGACTACCAGCGTCCAAGCGTTTCAGCGAGAGCAAAGAAGGTGTCGATGATCTGATCTTTCGTCCGATTTGGAACAACTTCGAACCATCTCAGTTGGTTCGAACCATCGCTGGAGTTTGATACCTCGAGAGCACCGACTCCAACCACAGGTGCCAGGGGGGCCAAATGCTGGTGCCAAGCCTGGTGCCAAGAACTTGGCGCACAATAAGATCAAGCCGCTGAACTTACGGTTAAAGCTGAATCGCCCCGTCATCCAGAATCCGACGAGTGGACAAGGCAGGGCAGGATGATGCCCGGGCTTCTCCAAGCGAGGTTGAGATAACCGCCTGTTGGGCTTTCACGTGGCCTCTACACACACCAGAGAGTATCGCTTCCGCCTTCACATGCACTCTGACCCCGGTTTCAAGATGCAAGAGGCGGACTGATCCTCGTCACCTCCTCTCTTTTCCTGAGTATCCTGACACCTACCCACCTTCCTAGAACGGATATCTCGACTGCCAAGGGGTATTTCCACGCTTTTGCGATCAGTCAGCGTGCATGCGTACTTCTCCCTGGGTGTTGGCTGGCTTCCTCAATAACGGTACTCCCGTATTCCTGTTTATCGGTGGAAACGAGGGGTTCTGAGAGGGCCCTTCAGGAATGATCTGGCCAAGCTCTGGCGGATGTGAATGCCCTCCTCCGGCCTGCATGTCCAACTCTATATCCCGGGGTCCGAGGTCCTGCGCCAACCTGGATCTCCTTCTGCAGGGTACCCCTGGCCTGGAAATTGTACGAGTAGGCTGAGTTGATCTCGATCACGTCGCCCGCTCCAAACGGCGGGTTTCTCTTCCTAAAAAGGCATTTACCATAGCTGGGCCTGCTCAGAAGCGAGAGGCCATATTGCATCTTGATCTAGAGACTGCCTGCCCCAAACGGACAGACAAGTGTCATTTCAGATTGTATACCCCACGAATGTGACCCTCTGAGATCCCTACTGTTGTATTGCACTCCCGCGACTTGTAACCTGCCACAATGCACGCTATTTGATATAATCAGGCCGTGACGTGTCCAAGCTCGAGGAAAAGCCGCCTGAGGAGAGGAACCGGAAGCTTCAGGATTCAGCACCCTTTCGGACTAGCACCGGCTATCTAGAGGACGCAAGTCTCTCTACTCGCATTGGAAACATTGCCACCACTCGGAATCCTCCAGTAGGGTGGAAACCGTAGAAATGACATCATCATCTAGAAATAGCTTAGATGGCGGCTCCAAAAGGGTGTGCTGATGTAAAGTCGACCCATGCAAATGCCGCTTTCGACAGACTTGACGCGTTCCATCCGCAATGTACCGAAACATTGTTTATCGGCGTGACCCGGTGACGATCAAGGATTGAGACGACCGATGTCAGCGTGCATGTGAAGCCAGATGGCTCGCAGCTTCACAAGGCTGCCCGCATTTGCTAACATGGAGGCAGCGTGAACGCCAAGCTGGGAGAAAGAGCTGGGTGGTATGACCATGCCATCATCATGATACATCAGGTCCAGGAACATACGTACCAAGTTCTTTTGCACGCCCTGTACTCCGTATCTGAGTTCCTAAAAGCCTTGAAGTGACGAACTGAGATTCCCTATTTCTTATCTGAGCATTTCTGCACTCTTTTCACGCAAGCCTTGATACACTCAAGGTTGACGAACGGCTCTCGGAAGGACACATGATCATAGGCGGATCACGATGTGACCGAAACCCCTACGTAATTCTGCGAGAAGGGCTCAGGCATACTCAAGAAGCCTCTGTCTCTCCTCAGTAAAGAGGATGATCATTACGATCAGCCCTCTCCTCCATCTGTTGAATGATTGATCGACAGGTACCCACCGTGAGTGGGGCCATATTAGATAAGATATGACTAATACGTCAGCCACACTTTCACGTCTCAGCCTCGTTGTGGCGTCAACTCATCGCACTTTCTCGATTGGTCAATGAATGTAAACAGAGGTGAGCCGCGGGTCGAACAATGCTAGACGGTCACCATTGACGACACCAACACAAGGTCCTTGCGGCCATCTACACTCGTTTCCTATTTCTCACCCCTCGCTTGCACTATGGTTGATTCCACTGGCTGGCACCTGGCAGGGGAGTTCGTCACCTCTTGATCTCGCCAAAAAGTCCTGCCGCAGACACGCGACAAGATCGGTTTCCGAGCCACCACATGCAAGAACAGGTTCGCCCCAGATCGCATTGCAGCGTAGGATATCCCCCACTTCGACAGCGCCGTCCAAAAAGAGCTCCTATTGCTGAAGTCCGAAGGACCATGTGAACGATGGCCGCCCATTCCTACGGTTTGCGCAGCAAGTTGAACACACAGTCCCCCTCGATACGAAGCACGCCCGCCGCTTCTCCGATTCTGCCCAAAGCAGGAGTAGGAGGACCATCCCGGAAAGCTCGACCAGCAGATGTTTCACTACACCTACAAAAAGTGATTGGAACCACCACAAACAGTCCCAGTGGGCTCTCCTGTTGTCCCGCCATCAACTCATACGCATACTGTGCAGGAGCAGTAGCGGTACTCGCCAAAGTCGATGCTGAAAATGCACCCGCTCACAGGTACTACAAGGCCCGGCCGACGGCGCCATCTCTGAACCCTCCGACCTCCCACTACGAGAATTCGCCCGCGAGCACACCTTCGAAGAGGCGGACCAGCACGTTCCCCTTACGGAAAGGGCAGGATGACTTCAGTGGCAGTTCATTTGGTCGAGAGTGGCTGGACGAGTCTGGAGCTCATACATGGTCTGCAAGAGAGAGAATCAAGGCTGCATCCTGCGTTTCCCTCAGTCGAGATGGTCGTTGGCTTGCTGTGGGAGAAACCGGCTATAATCCCAGAGTGCTTCTCTTCTCAACCAGCGACGATGCCTCGTCTGAAATTCCCACTTCGATTGTCTGCGATCACACGTACGGGGTTCGCTGTGTCGCTTTTAGTCCTGATATGAAATACCTCGCCACGCTGGGCAACTTCAACGATGGATTTCTTTTCATATGGTCATTGAACCAGAAGACAGGTCAATTAACCCTGCACTCTGCTAACAAGTGCACAACAAGTGTTAATGATATGGCCTGGTGCGGGATCAACTTAATCACCGTTGGTACCCGGCACGCCAAATTATGGCATTTGGCGGAATCTCTGAAACGCTCATCCATGAGGCAACCACGATTTCGACGATCAGAATCCCTGCCCTCAAGTCCAGGACCGACACCTCTGTCAGGACGAAATTGTTTGCTTGGATCTATGGTAGATTCAACTTTTACCAGCGTCCTGCCTATTGACGCTACCATAGTCATCCTGGGAACTGAGACCGGTCATTTGTGTCTGATAGATACCTCACAATCTGTCCTCGAGCTCAAGGTGCTGAAGAAGTTTCATATCTCGATTACGTCGATTGCTTACCTAGCTGAAACACAGCAATTACTCTTGGGAACTTCCTTAGGTCTCTTAACTGAGAATCTCCATGCTTTACGCAAGAAGGAATCCAGCACCCACACCAAACCTTTGCTTGGTGAGTCGCAACATAAGCCACCTCGTATGTCAGCGGTTCGACGATCGCTTGGCTTTCTTTCGTCCACTAGTCGCCACGTCACAGCCATTGGAACGATACAGGAGCATACAATTACCCTTGATAGCGAGGGAAGCCTCCAGATACAACAGAATCAATCAGAGGACGGACAAGACCAACCCATTTTTGCTGCTCACAACAGCATTATCCAAGGTGTCCAAAGTCTCCCAAACGGGGCTGCGCTGGGTGATTTCTTCACATGGTCAAAAAATGCAGAGATCAAGTTCTGGGATGTGAAGGGTAGCCTATTAAACCAGGAGAGTCTCGACCTGGGACAACCTGAATCTGACGGTGAGACATTTGAAAATGAGCTAAGTCGAATGCAATTTTCTGAACAGTTGAATGGTTTTGTTGCTGGAGACCGTTTTGGCATGCTTAAACTCATTAAAACCCCTCAATGGCGAGTGGTTCACACCATTCGAGCTCATAGTGCGGAGGTGACAGGCATAGCCATTCACCACACCGAGAGCATAATCGCCACTTGCAGCCGCGATAGAATGGTACAGCTTTTTCAAATCAGCAGTGACAATTTTGAGTTGCTTCAAACTATGGACGATCATGTTGGAGCTGTGAACCAGGTGCTCTTCACCTCCACTGGAGAAAAGCTTCTTTCTTGTTCAACGGATCGATCGCTTATCATTCGCGACCGAATAACCCGAGATCAGGATGGCGTGCAGGCCAGTCTTTACTTGTCGACGAAGGTTCTTACTTTGAAGGGTTCACCGCTTTCGATGACACTTTCAACAGAAAGTTGTCTTCTGGTCTCGACGATGGATCGGAGGATTACGAAAGTCGATCACACAACTGGCACGCTATTGGATTCATTTAAAGTCGGAGACTCCGAAAACGATGACACCGTTTCATTGAACTCCATCATCTGCAATCAAGCTTCAGAGGGTGTCGATGTATTTCAAAGGATTGTGACCGGCTATTCCTCCATGGACAAATCCATTCGTATCTACAGTGAGAAGAACGTGTCGCTACTAGGGAGAGAATCAGGTCACACAGAGGGCATCAGTGACATTGCCCTCCTTGATCAGCCTAATAATGAGGTATCTGGGAGGCTGTGCACTATCGTGAGCACGGGATTGGACGGAACTATCATGATCTGGACATTTTCGAAGGCGACATCCCTCTCCGCACCAGATGGCTCACCTGAACGATCTCATGGACTTGGGATATCTACGGACGACCCCGAATCGCCAGGAGTAAAGCCCAACTCTGCTTCTCTCCCACCTTTGAGGAAAGTCCTAACAAAAATGGACATCGCTGAACTTACTCGGCCTAAAATGTCGCTATCACCATCTTCTCCAAGATCACTTTCACCAATAAGACTAAAGCGGAAGACCTCTCGACTTGCTCTGTCGACCACCGTGGAAGATGTTGAAGATCCATCTCCCAATTCAGGGGACAATGCCTCGAGCAGGAAGTCACCTCAGGCAGAAAAGGGGCCAAAACCAAATCCCCGTCGTTCACCGTCCCCTCCACAAAAGATACATGCAAGGCCAAGGCCCCAAAGGTCACGAACAGAAATCAGTAAAGATAACGCATATCGAAGTTTGGATGGACAGGAGAGATCTCCATCACCACCGGCTTTCACGATCTCGGTACCTACGACTCCGAAACATCGTCAAAAACCCAACAACGGAAGGTTGCGAAGACCGCCTTCTGTTCCCACAGACCTTAGAGGTCAAGCGATGGCGCAAGGCCGACGTCAAAGTATGAGCCAAGCATCCGATTTCGGCACCCTAGGCATGGCCACCGAGCAAGCTTGTCGAATGCTGAAGACCTATCGCAGGAAGCTGACCGGTAGTAAAGAGTCGCTCGATCTCGATGATCTCGAGGATGAGATTACAATAACGCTGAAAGTTATTCGAGAAAGAAAAGACAGGGCTCCGGTGGGCGACGGAGCCCGACGTCGGCTCAAAGCGAAAGCCGCTACAGAGAGCGACATGGAGCAACTGGCGGTGTTAATGGGCAAAGTCAATATGGCGGAGGCCAATGTCAATATTAAAATGAATTCAGGAAAGGATGTCGTGGCGCTAAAGGATTGATTCGTCTACTTTGTTTTCATATGTGAGGGTGGCAGCCGCCTCGTTGCTGAATGTCCTGAGGGTCATAACATTACCAGCCACAGAGACCAAGATTTCACGAGCATAGGGAGAAATGGGGTTTCTTTCTTTCCAAGAGATGGGTTCCGGCTGGGCTTTTCTGGACTTTTCCTTTGCCTATAAGAAGAAGAAGAAGCAAATTAACGAAACACAGCGGATGGATCAGTCGTATATTCGCGCACCCGTGGGGCCCAAGGAGTGTACGAACGTGCCTCCTTTTCTCCCCCAATCAGTGGGACCATTCGACAGCTCGAAATCACATCCTGCCTTGCCATAAATATGAACTGAAGCAGGCAGGACAAATATATAAAGCAATATAACTACTCTTTCCACGTAGCAGAAATACAGTTGCCATCGGAGAAGATATGAAATTGTTTCGTGGGTATGTGAAAGCACTATCGATCTATGGCCTATGGCATGGTGCCTCGATCCTGATCCCATTGCTCAGATCGTTGGAGGATTCGGAGTCAATGCCAACTCCTGATAACCTCAGCCTTGATAACCTGACGGAATCTAAATTATCTAGCTCTGGAATGGGTTAGTCCGGCATAGTAGCGGCAAGATCAAAGCGCTAAATCCCCCTCTACTTACCTCAGCCTATTACTGACCTTCCGGATAGTCTAATTCAACACTGAGCTCTACTTCAGGGGTGATGCAGGAACATAACCCCTGGATCTACGACGGGGAGATCCAACGGTCTGCCAAGTAAGTGACGAATGCATGGGGCTTGGAACCTCTTTTCTTGGCGATCCCGATGATAAGCCTTGGATATCACTATGCTCTGGGTAAAAACAATTGTCACGACTCCTACAGCTTCATTACTATACGAGTACGGATACAGTCATGAAGTATACCAGGGAGGACGCCAAATTTAAGTAGTGTTAAGTTAAGATTGAAGACTCCCTGCGTTGCCGGTCTCAAGACTGAATCCTGAAGGGAGTCTGTCTGCGCCACAATGATCTCTAGGGGCGGTTTTTGCCAGGCGACAAATTACTACGCACCGACAGCCGGGTCAGACCATGGTTTCCAATTTGCTTAGAGCGCGTCAGTCTGACCGCTACTAAGAAGCAAGGATGGTTAACCCGGAACAAAAACGTGGAGAAGAAGCCCATACACCTTGGCGCCAATTGTTCGGACTGGTCAGCCAAGCGTTTCTTCCGATCTCTTCCCCATCAGCGAAATATATAAGACGATATTCGTGGACTCGCATCGGATCTCCGAGCAGGACGAGTTTTCTAACCCGAGAAGATCGTTCCAACAGTTGCCTTTTCAAGTACTCGCCTTGAAACTCATAAACCAACGTACCATACACCTACCACCCGTTGCCAACGACCTTTTCATCATGAATTGTCCATCTAGGACCGACGACGTCGAATTAGAACATCCAACATGGAACCAAAACCCGCCTTTCTTGGCGGCCGATCTCACTACCTGCCAGGACCTTAATGGGATCGCCAACGCGAGAGAGCATACAGGGGCCAACAATGACGAGGTCGACTGCTTGTCTCCGGCTGTCAAAGCAACTCTCTTCGAAAAGCCTCCCGACGCTGTTGGCTCTCTGGTGTCCCGGGCGAGGGTCTCTGGTAAGTGTGTACCATGTCTCACTTCGCCCGTCTGATCCACAAACATTCTACCTACTCTGTTTCTACCCTTCAAAGTCCTGTGAACGATGGGAAGGATCTTAGATGCTGACCACACGCTGTTCGTCTAGGACATGCCTCGCTCTCCAAGACGGTTGCCAATGGTGATGGCAGCAACCGTCTTCCGACTGCCCCAGGAAAATCTAGTCCTGCTACATCCTCTCTCCGGAGCTGGACTACCTGGGGCCTTTCCGTCGCCATCACCTCGTTCCTACTCTCCACTCTTGGTAGTACCTTTAGTGCGGGCGTCGGACATTTTGGTAAGTGCCTCACCATAGACTATTCCTTCGAGCTCTTTTGACTAATGCGTGTGGTATTAATGCAGCCAAGGCACCGGACTCGCGAAGCCCTGTGCCCTTGCGCAAAAGGTCGACCTGCCCGGGGAATAACACGAATGAGGACCTCTACAACACTCCACTTCACGTTGGGGCCGTCTTCATCATTTTGTTCGTCTCGACAATGGCATGCTCGTTTGCCCTGCTGGCAGCCCGCTTTCCCAATTTTAAGCTTCCGCGGCGCTTCTTCTTCGTGATTCGTCATTTCGGCACCGGGGTTCTCATTGCGACTGCGTTTGTCCATCTTCTTCCTACTGCTTTTATCTCGCTCGGAGATCAGTGTCTCCCTGGCTTCTGGACCGAAGACTATCCCGCCATGCCAGGTGCTATCGCCTTGGCGGGCATCTTCCTGGTCATTCTGGTGGAGATGATCTTTCACCCGTGCCGACAGATTCGTCCCACGTCAGAGAGCAATCTGACCGATAGCCATCCTGCAGCCACCAACGAAATGGATGAGACTAACACCACTAGCCCCTCACCAAATCCGACAGGACCACTGCGAGACATGGGTGTTTTGATCGGGAGAACTTCAAGCATTGGCCGCAGCCTCACTCGGGTCAATGATCATCGCAACATGGATCACATTTCATCACCGGAGGTCCCTACAGATAAGGAGCGGCAACTGCCCGTATTGACCCAGCACGACACTGTTGTGTTATCCATGAGCACGCTGACTCCAGATCAGAGGCTCCGGAAGGCCAGATTACAGTGCGTTCTTTTAGAAGTCGGCATTCTATTCCACAGTGTTTTCATCGGCATGGCTCTTAGCGTCTCGATCGGCAGTGAGTTCGTGATCCTTCTGATTGCCATTGCCTTCCATCGTAAGTAGCTTACCGAATCCGGACTTTGGTGAATTCCTGTGGCTAACCATAGCTGACTTACGATTACAAAGAAACATTCGAAGGCCTTGCTCTGGGATCCCGCATCGCCGGAATCGACTGGCCGGAAGGCACGTGGCAGCCGTGGTTGATGGCGCTTGCTTATGGATGCACGTAAGTCTCCCATCCTCAGCAATGTCACAACCTCATCTCTCGTTCGGGGGTCGAAATTCTAACACTTCTTGGAGCAGGACTCCTATTGGCCAAGCCATTGGCCTTGCCACGCACTCCCTGTACAGTCCAAGTTCGGAGACCGGCCTTCTTGTTGTCGGCACTATGAACGCCATCTCAGCGGGCCTCTTAACATTCGCGTCTCTGGTCGAACTGCTCTCCGAGGACTTTCTCAGCGACAACAGCTGGAACGACTTGCGAGGCAAGAACCGTGTCTTCGCCTCGCTGCTGGTCTTCTTCGGCGCCTTTGCCATGAGTCTCGTTGGCGCGTGGGCGTAAGTAAGTGTGCCGACACCGACTGCTCGTGAAAATGGCCCACGCTGTTATCGGTCCACTCCGTGTACCGTATAGAGTAGGTCAACTTGCGACCTTACCACGCGAGAACATTCCTCTGGCAAAAAGAAACTTGCCCATCCCATCCCAAATCTGTCAAACTCAGGCCTTTCGCCCCTGACGATAGAAGGACACTTAGTAGAGCTCATCCAAAACTTAGTCGTTCATTTTAGAGCCATTTCATTTCTCCTTTGTCCTTGGCCAACCCCAGTCTAGCTCTCAGAGAGGAAGAGCCTGGAAAACCTATTTGGCTCCTACATTCACTATGCATTATTTTAGTCTATATAACCTTATACAGGGACATAGATCTAAATCAATATAAGACGGATTTATCTATGACATGGCCATTCATAGCAGACATTAACTTCAAGCCCAACACGTCAGCTGGCATGACAATTGGTTCACCCGGTACGTCTGGTTCCTCTTTTCTTTCGCTCCCCTCTTCTCGATCTGTGGTAGTCGCATCATTTAAGGGTTGGCATTCAGCGAGATGGTCTGTATTCCGTGGACTCCCCGGACGAGCCTTCTGCGTCCTCATCCCTTATTACGCGGCTCCTAGGTATTGTGGTCCAACCAGGTCTCCTGGCCAGTGTTCATCGAGCCATGCACATTCTCGTTCCTGTTCTCCAAGCGCGACTCGCGAGGATCCTTGGGTATCTGGCCTTTTACTACGACCATGTCCGAATACAGCTCCCTCTGTCTCACCCTTGAGAGGCAAACCCATGGCCTCTAGGCGGTGGGTTCAACGCCATTCAGTAGGATTTAGTAGTCCGTAGTGCAGCTGTAGGATCTAATCATCAAGGCTTTCGCTAGAGAAAACACTGGCAGCACGAGTGGCTAAGGAGTATATGTAGATAATCCAGATTCCACCTTATTAAGTCACGCTCGCAGCGTGCAATACATCTTTCACAGTACATCTTTCTATCCGGGTTACGTGGTGGTACATGCTGAATTTTCACACTTTCCTACAATTTCAAAGAATGATGTCTCCTGAGAATGAAATTCGAAGCCGCTTCTCAACACGATCTATAGTCACCGGACATGTGCCACTCAATAGCAGAGGTCTAGCTTCCACACAAAGTGTTTTGATTTTCGATGGTTCAATCTTGCGTGTACTCTTCCATATGACGGCATGGAAACGGACGAAACAGATTGGTAAGCAGCTTGAGCGGCCATGGTGTTTGGGTTGGACCTGCGCAGGGAGGTACAGCCCATTCATCCTACTAGTGATCAGTCCCGTGAAGTGTTTCTTGTTCGATTTACTTACATGTGAGTGGCCACAATTTGATCTGGTTCCGGAGGTGAATGTCGAAGATCATCGTTGCACTGGGGCCTGTATGCAATCCTGCACGCCCCTGTAGCCGCAAAAAACACTCTCCCTGGAAGCATAAAGAGCCGACGAAAGATCAAGAAAGGCCCGAACGGATCCAAGTCAAAGAAGCCGCCGCTGACTCCCCATGAACTCCCAGCTTCTGTTAGTGATCGACTGCTTTCATCCAGGCAGTATCGGTGGGCGGGCCGCCTTGTCGAATCCAGAAATCTTGCTGCCGAACCCATTGCAATCCATTTTGTCTCAATAGTTCCTCAGCACCAGCTTGATCGCGTCTTTTCACACGTCTTAGTGCTTCTTCAGCGATTGCCAGTTGTGTGGGAGGTTCGGGCTCATCGTTCAGATCATCGTTCAGTGCATGTGATCCGAGGTCGCTTGGAATAGGTTCAACGATCTCCGAAAAGAGCATCTGTGCTTCTGAGTACCGTCCGTCGTGTTTCAATGCATCTGCCAGAGTCGTCCGCACCCACAGGCACTCTCTATTATTTTGGTTTCTCTTGTCCCCCACAGTCTCATCGACCACTCGAGTCAGGTCATCGATTGGCTCACGGCTTTCACCCTGATCCAATTTGATCAAGGCCCTGAGATGGGTCACCTGGCACTCGCGCTCGAAATCATCTTTGAAAATGGTAGACATTTCAACTTGGTTCAGCAGCTCTAGAGCATCCTCGTAATGATTCATCTCTCGTAAGGTGGTGGCCAATTGTATACCAGAGTCAACAGTCGTGTTGCTGTTGATGCTGAAGAGCTTCTGTCGAGCCTCCCACGCAAACAATAGATTGTCTCTTGCATGAAGATACTCATGTTGCTTGCGATACACTGACCCAAGGGATGTCCTAGCCATGAGAGATAGACCGTTTTTCTCGCCACCTATTGGGGCCCAATTCTGCAAGATCGAGTTGTACATCTTCAATGCTGATTCTGTCGCCCCCTGTCGTTCCAGGACCCACCCCTTGTAGAGATCGTTGACTTGATACGCCCACTTTTCGTTCCCAAGTAATCGAAATAATCCTTTCCCTGACTCCTCCAAAGATATGAACGCATTTCCGAATTTCGTAAGACAGTACTGAGCGCTTCCGAGCAGCTGGAGAGCCTCCAGATAGGGAAGCGATTCCCCTCCCGACACCTCTTTCTGAATACGTGCTATCTCAAGCAGCTCTGTCTCTGCCTCAGCAATGAGTTGCCGTGAAAAGAACTCATTGACCCATGTCGTCCGGGCTTTCAAAGTAAGCGGGCTGTGTTTCCCCAAGATTCTGGTGTATCCATCCACTACGATCTTTTTGTAATCATACGCTTTCCGAAAATCATCATCCGACATTCCACCGATGCTGTAAAACTGACCGAGACGCACCGCTGGAAGATAAGGAAGTAGATGATCTTCCCCGTCTTCTGTGAGTTTCTGCCGCAGCCTCTCATGCGCCGCAACGAAAAACTCACGCACAGGAACCTTACTTCGTTTTGGAGGTGGCAGGCAATGTGCCCAATCCATCATCTGTGTACGAACATCAATTTGGACATTAATTGTCGTAGCTTCACTCCCGCCTTTGATATCAACCAGTTCTTCTGACCACGTGACAGCCGCAACGCTTAGGATAAAGTCTGATAGCTTCAGGATAAAAGAATCTGGGGGGTCATTTATCGCAGTGGTATGCTCTGGCCAATGGAGAGCCGCATACTTGTAAGATGTCTCATCATCCTCAGAAAGTCCAATCTTCCTATCGTTTAGGAGTCCATGTGGGAGTAGGTGCTTCCGCTGCAGTGATGCTGCGTATCGTACCGACGCAAAAGGCTCCTCGCTGAGCTTGCTCAAGCATTTTTCTGCCAGTGTGAGATTTGGGTCCTTCTCTTGAGCCAAACGCTGCCAAAGATACTCCTTCATGGGGGGATGTGCAATTTCCACTTTGCCGTCAACGAACACCACAAACGGGCGGCAAAGCCTCTCCACCGTTTTCAAGGGGTCGTTTAGTTTGTGGTAGCTCTGCAAGGCGTTTCTGGAAGTGTCAAGGGCCAGGAAATGTGATAGCTCATCTACACTTAATGGCTCGCGAGCAGCAACAACCATCGAAAAGATTTCAAGCCGCCTCTTCTTGTTTCTTGCTGGTAAGGCCAACTCTTCTCTGACCCAAAGCCGGTCAAAATATTCAAAAAGACTTGGGGGCGTCTGGGCGAGTATTTCCATTTGGTCTTCTGTTGTCTCTGCTGCTTCAAGCTCGTCAAAAAGAAGTTTTGTTGCCAAAAATGACTCGAAATAATCTTGGGGAATCCTGTCAAGAATTTGAGAACCAATGTTCTGTAAACAAAGGCAGCGACTAATCCTCGACTTGGCATATAGTTTCACATCATGTTGAATTTTGTCCTTATTCATCATGATTTTCCATCTAGATTTGATCCGAAGATCATATCTAGAGAACACGATCAATTTGAGTTTGGGGAGATGACTTAAATGGTAAAGATACTCGAGAAGAGCATTGGCATTACAGTCTCGACACTCGCTCAGTGCATCGACAATGATGGTTGTTTCAGGAAACTTCTCAAGTCGCAATATACTTTCCAGGACGTTGTGCAACAAATTCAGGTCATGCTTTGAATATGCATTGGCTAGAGGAGTAAGCTGCAGAACTTCTTGAATTACGTTGTCATGCCATGGGGCAACCTTGAGGGGTGTTTGGACGATTGCCAGGAGTTTTGCTAGCAGTGAAACCACGAAAGTCACACTCTTTGGCGATGAGTAGAAATGATGGAATAAAGTGAGACCAGCTCCAGAGTGTTTCGAGACATAATCAGCCAAGCACGATTTACCACAACCTGTAGGCATTAGTAGTAGGTCGCACAGACGGAGAAGTAATCACCTGGGCGCCCTTCAATCCACAACAATCCATCGCAGCTAGACTTTTGCCATGCCTGAAAAGCAGGGTCTTGGAAGAACCATCTGCATGTTCCCGGCTCGTTCTCTGGCGGGTCGAAGTTGGACTGCTTTTCAACGACCAGCCACTTGGTAATCGTGTCTAAGCACGCTATACTACGAGTGCCTGCCAAATCGCCGTCAATTCCAAAGAACGATTAGATGGTACCGAGGGGCAGCCACAATGAGCCAGCACACTGTACGAGTTTGAGGTTTCATCGTAAGAAATGGCACTCACGAGTTTCTGCGGCAATACTGAACCTTCTTTCCACCGAGGCCGTGTATTGATCGATCTCTGTAAACATCCTCCTCAATTTTATACCAGTTCCAGAAGCAGCTTTAATAGCTCGTAGGGGCTTGGAACGTCGCAGGAAGAAAATGGATTTGACTACATAAGACAAAATCGCTGCAAATAGTTTTGTCACCTGTTTGAATAGGTCAATGTCGGCTGGGAAGAGGGCAAGCCTTCTTTCTGCGGAATCGAGTCTCTCGATAATTTCGACGAGGTTGGTGGCAAGGTCCTGGCGAGTCTCAATATCGATTGTCGCGAGCTACATGAGTCAGTAAGCAGGATGAATTTATGGCTAGTGAAACCTACGCGAAGCAGCAGCCTGATCGAAGCCCAGGCAAAAGCGACCGGTGCGCCCTGACTTTGTACACCAGCGTTTACAGCATCCGCATGAGCGTCCAGCACTTGACAAGCACGCTCAACTTTATCCCACCATAGGGAGCCTTGTGTTGAGCCCAGAATTTGCAGATCTTTAGTTCGTTCTGGCAATGATCGTAGAATAATGTGAGCCTGAGGTTGCTTGGAGATGATGCTTTGAAGGTAAGCTTGCCTCTTTCCATTGGTTGATTGACAGAACAACTTGTCAGGGTTTTAGCCTCACCACCCTTTCAAAAAACAAATGGATCACCCGACCTATTTGCCGGGGAATGGAAATGGGCTTACCGCTGCGGCCTGGGCCCACGCTATCTCCACAGGATCCTCACCACCAGCCCCACTATCACGATCAAGGGTCGTTGAAGACATCTCTGCCGCGGTCTAAGATACGCCTGAAACGCAACTTCAAATACAGGATAGATTGTGACACACCACACACATATATATATCTGCAAATAAGCTTGCTAATGGTCTCGCATTCAGATAACGCCTTACTTCTGAAATCTGGAAAAAGGCGCCCTTGAAACCGGTGGGCGTGCACATTCGTCGGCAGAATGACCCTGGCCATGTCCATCCCTGCGCCCACCAACTTGCAGGGCCATGGTGTCGTGTCCAGTCAATTCTGTCACATGGCTTGTTTTGATGCATGATGTTTGGCAGCCCACTAATCTCGTTGAGGCTGTAATGTACGGATGCCCAACTTGACGCCCTCCCGTATCCAGAAAGGAACCTGTTGCAAGCTCCTTTACGGTCCGAAGACACTCTTCTTTCCAGAGCCGCTCCTCTCGAGTAGTGTGGTAATATGTGCAAAAGCACATAAACGGCCAAAATATTGATCTCTTTCGATCATGTTTTAAATTTGTCCGTCAATCGTTATAATGGCTGACCCCCGGAAGCCATACCTGCCACGGCCGAAACCCTTGTGCAACAACAACTGCGGAGGGGTGTTTGATGAAGACAAAAGGCTGGGCGAAATCACATGTCCATGTGGTTATGGCTACTATGACTTCATCAAGAGGGAATTTATCGAGGGATCGCTGGTAAGAAGCGGGAGGGCGCCAACCAAGGCTGAGTATCAAAAGCACGTCCAACAGTGCAAACATAAAATGTACGGCACACCAGTGGTCGGGTTTTTGGGGGCCATATCACCGAATGGAACGGCAATGCCTTATAGTAGTACTGCTACTAGTATGAGGAACGATGCCGCCCCAAAAGATCGCAATTCTATCAAGGTCTCTAAAAGGGGCATCGAGTATGAGCCATTGGATTATTATCTTTCGGAAATTCTGAAGAAATCTGTCAGAATTGAGGTCTGCCCCACAGTCCGCTCTTTCAAGGCTGGTTCTCTGATTTTAGAAGGGCGAAGACGACGATGATCAGACCTATTATGAGATATATGGAATATCTTCTCTTGCACCAGTATGTACAGTCCACAGACATAGTAACGGATACAAAATTAAGTTTGCCGTGTGAATTTAGGACGCACATAAACACATCGTCGAAGATTCCAGAGCTTGGAAATCCGCAGCCACTCGGAGAAGCTCTTCGGGGCTAGCATATAAAGACTCGGAGATAGCAAAAAGGCGAGAATCAATCAGTAGAGGATCTCATTCTTCGAGTCGCACCGCAGAAACTTTTGAAAGTCCTTCAGCAGAGATGCGACAGAATGCTTACTCCCAACAACTCCAATCGCAACTATACCACTATCAGCCAAACTCACAGACGACTTCTCAATATTCTGGATCTGCATCGCTTTCTGAGGCCGACCCGCTAAGCGGATATGCCAACCTTAGTCCCTATCACCCCATGGCTCAAGGGTCGACGATAACGACAACACAATACATGCCCCACATAAGCCAAGAACCCTCTCTATACACGAACCCAGGATATCCATACCCGGGCCAGAGCCTCGGCAGTGCTATATCGACGAATCCAGAGGTCACACGATCAAGTGAAAGGTCTGCGGTGTCACGCCATGGACAACTCCCAACTAGGACATTAAATTCTATTTCTTCGACCAAAACACCACAAATTTCGAGCGGAGGTCGTGTTTCAGAAACCAGCATCAATAACCTGAGATCAGAGTCGCAGCATCGAAGAACGGATTCAGGAATTGGAGGGGTACAGGGCGGGTTTGCTGGGCAGCACAGCAGGAACAAAGGTGCTGACGACGATAACAATGACGAAGATGAAGCATTCTCGGACGAGTACGAAGAGAGAAACTCAAAGAGACCCTCCAGTAAGAAAGATTCAAGGCAAGAGCCCAACGGTGGAAGGCGGCGTATGCAAGTCAAAGAGAACAGAAGTGATTTTCCAATTCCACGACGAGAATCAAAATCATCGAGTTATTATGACCAAGATCCCAACGAGCCTCGAGGTCGCAATAATAAAGGAGAACGTCGCTAAGAATTATTCACAAATGAGTTGTACCCAGTCCCATGAAGATTAACGAGAACGTTCGACTTCGATCGGCGATCGAACTCCGCTTTCGCTTCCCAGCGGCGGCCCGGCCCTCGTCTCTTCCAGGTTCTTGGCTTGAGGAAAAGCCGCATCCACAATTCATTCAGTGCTCATCAATTTCTCCATTACTCTCTTCAAGTGCGACATCGGTGATCCAGTACCAGACAATCAAGACAGAGCATAAGCTCCCAAGAAAGGCAACGAAGCACACTGCAACAGATGCCCGCAGATATGCTATATGTACAGCATGTTTAATGTTTGCTGCAAGACCATTCGTACATTGGTTGTCGTGACGACATTCTTTGATGATCTAAAAAGCCCATGTCAGTGACGTGAGGTTGGATAGCAGCTCTTCCTGGGGCTGGGCAACCTTCTCAACCATGCCCTCCTCGACTAAATTGCTCAGACTGCGTCGCATGAACTCTGAAGCGGACCAAAGGAACATCGTGTTGGATAATGCTGTCCAAAGCGAATCGGCGAACGTAGATATCAAATGAAACGCTGCATAAACAACGGCTTGATCTGCGTCGCTGTCAAAACAAAGGCCCAACGGCACCATGTCACTTTCGGGATCAAGCGAGAGACTTACGTCTCATATGCTCCTCTAGGGCTACGAGGAGGCGGGGCAGCAGTGCCGATTCCACCATTCCATTGCCTATCCCAAATATCCCGCTCAAGGGATACAATGCAAGAGGAATGCCAATGTCTGTCGCCCAAAACATTAGCTATTTTGCGCCAGCCCTGACTTTCAAGTTCGACTTACCAATGCAGGTGAGGTAAACAAAGATCGACAATATCCCAACCGCAGAGCTGCACAATATTGCCCCCAAAAGAAGCGGGCTCTTGGTCTTGCTTGACTTCTTGATCCAGAATGCTGTGATGGCAGCCCCAAATGGGACGAGAAACCAGTAAGATCGAAATGTGTATTTTCTGCTCAGACCAGAATTCTGAGAAATCCATGGTATGAGGAACAAGAACTTTTACGTGCAAATCAGTAGATGATTGGTCTTTCGAATGCTATCTTACCACAGAGCTTGCGCCGTCCTTGAAAAATACTGCTGCGAACACCCAAAGAATGTCATCGCGTTTAAGTGTGGGCAGATCTTGTGGCAACAAGGAAGCATCCGACGAGACAAGGCTTTGATGTAGCCAAAATACGGCTGAGGATGAGATGCCAACCAGAAGTAGTGGTGACCAGAGCACATGGTACCGCGACTCCTCCATCACCCACCCGAAGGCAAAACAAAACGCGACAATGGGCACAGCGAGGAGCACCATACCTACCATTGCGGATGCGCCAAAACTTGGTGGGCCACTTCTCTGTTCCAACCGCCCGCCCGATGTAAGGGGCATGATGCGCATATCAGGCCGGATATCTCTTTGCGATATCATCCAGATCGCTATGATGCCAGCAAGAATCGAGACAACTAGACCTTGCCTGAAAAGAAGTCTGCCTATATTTAGCACGTCACCTACAGCCCTCAGGATCCGCCGAAATCCAGAACCTACTTCTTTAAAATCGAATCGTTCCTGAGGTTCGACTCCGCGAGTTGGCTTCCGATAAATTGCCCCAGTGCTGCGAATGCATGCTGAATGGAGGTCCAACGAGGCCGGTCAGAGCACGAGAGAACTTCCGGGACTACAACAATTCCATCTTGTTCAATATCTAGCAGATAGTAGAATCTTCCAGCCAGGACGTACCGTTGAACACGAGACTGGGCACATACACCATCCCTGCAGACCCTCCTGCCGTCAGAAGCCGTGCAAATATCAATGTCATCAAGTTGGGGCTTCGTGAGCTGCATGAAGAATTTACGGTCAACGATGTGGCATCTCGAGGTATACCGAAAACCGGCTGTACTGACCAGAGTACAAGACCTGCGCTGAAAAGTACATAGCTCAATAGAATTGGCCCATGCCAACTCCACTTGTTGCAAGCAAGAGAGTACTGTGGTCCTGATCAGCTTGTGAGATTTCGCAAACGTCACGATCGGCTGCCAACTGAAGGCTGCGCTATCGCCATGAGGGTGGCATAGCCGATTTTAAGCCAAGCCGCATCCTCCTGTGCTTTGAAGCTGGACCCTTAATTCTGTCACTATACAATATCCATGGTGATGAAAGGTCTACTGTACCGATATCCGTGAATCCTGTAGCGAAGAACGAGCCTTCGCAGAAGTCGGCGGCTGAACTATACCTGGCGTCAGATGCAGGAATTTTATAGAAAAGATTTTTACACGTACCCGAGCATGAAAATCAGGGCCGGAAGCCATAGATTTCGTGGTATGATCAAGAGTCGTTCTGGCCAGGTCGGTGTCGCTTCCGCGATATCTTGGGCTTCTGATCTGCGAAGCGCCGTTCTCTCGGTCCCAGCCTCGGCCGCTGCTTCGAGCGCATCTCCCCCTTGCACCATGCTTCGTATTCTGCAAAGATCGGATAATAAGGCCAAACAGAAAGCGTCATCATTCAGGTTCCCATTTGGACTGGAAATGCGAGAAGTTGTATATGAAACAAGAACTCCAAACATCCATACCAAAACCGCACTGCTCCTTCAGCCGCAGTTCTCATGCATCTGTCGACGCACTAGTAGTATTGACACCTCCCGGGCAGGCAGCCTGATAGCCGTCAAGTGTCAATTTCCTTCCCAATTCCCACCCCCCTTTACATCTTCCTCGCCTATTTGTGGCTTGGAAATGCAACACACCTCGGCTTGATGCCAAGCTAGATAGAGCCACCGACAAGGGTTGTCCTACACATGGTGTCAAAAAAGCAAAAACCAGTAGCTGACCTTTTATCCTGACCGAAGCTGCACCGTGTACGCGCCGTCGATGCATCAGGCTGAAGGTTATTTACGGGGGGGCTGTGCGGTACCAGCGCGGTCATCTCACACCATATCCGTGCCTCCAAGTTGAAATAGAATCTCAGATGCCTAAATAAATCATAAAGCCAAAACCTTACAACATCAACTTTGAGACTGGTGGAGATGAACGAGTACGAGTGGCTCACCATGTGGCGATGAGATCCTGTTCCCAGTGTGGCTGGAGCATTCGGCCCAGGTGGAGATGCTTCAATGCTTCGCCGTATTCGCTACGTCACAAGCAATCGGAGGAGCACCACCCACCGAGCACACTCCTTGTTCCGTTGTGCAGATGTCTACAACAGAGTGCCATAGCAAGTAGCACACGGCAGCTACCACACCTGCAACAAGAAGGAAGACAGCGCACAACTTCATCAGCAATGCGCCACGCACCAGCCCAGGAAACGCATCTCAAATACCTACGCCAAGCGCTCTCGCTGGCACAGCTGTCCGAGCCCAAACCGACAAACTTCCGCGTCGGATGCGTGATCGTCTCCTACGCCTTGGGCACAGACGACACAGCGGGAACACCACTGTCGACAGGTTATACGCTCGAGCTCGCGGGGAACACGCACGCCGAGCAGTGCGCGCTGGCGAAACTCGCCCAGCAGCATAACATCCCGGAGGAGCAGTTGAATGAGGTACTGACGCCGGAAGTCAACGCCGTGCTGTATACGACGCTTGAGCCGTGTGGGAAGAGGCTCAGTGGGAATCTACCTTGTGTGGAGCGAATCATTGGTACGCGGCAGGGTAATAGCAGTGGGGGGGTGAGGAAAGTGATCTTTGGAGCAAAGGAGCCGGGCACGTTTGTGCAGGAATCTCAGAGCCTGCAGAGGCTCGACCAGGCCGGTGTCGAGTGGGAATTTGTTCAGGGGCTTGACGACGAGATTCTGAAAGTTGCTATGGAAGGTCATGTTCAGAAGGACAATGTTGGTCTGGAGCATAACCAAGCTTCTTCACGGCCCGGGCATCAAGGCCAGTCAGTTGGGAGAGAGTCACAGTCGCTGCAGCAAGGCACGAATGTGGCCGATATCAGTCCGGAAGAACGGAAACGACAGGAAGCCCTACCGCGAAATCCAAAGAAGAGAATGATGGAGGTCGATGTTCCTCCCTGACCGGGGTATCATGTATACAGATGAGTAGTTCAAAATGAGTGACACTGGCCATTCTCATATATTCATGTTGGAAGTTCGTGCGGTGGATCACAATATCTGCATCAATCATCCATCATCAGCATCGCCCTTGTCCTTCAGGCCACCGCCGCGCCGCCTAGATTTTGGGAGGCATCGTGGGGAATCATATCTGAACAAGTTAAGCGGTTGCCTAAATCTGTTGAGGTTGCAAACACACTGGCATTAATCGATACGAGCCTGCTCTAGGCCCCTACGCTTGACCGGCAGATTTGATGCTGTCAGGTTGTTGGACAGTCTTATCTTGTTACTGCTAACCTTGACCTGAGACCGTGGCTTTTTGAGTCGTCGCCTCGCCACCATTACCGGAACGGAGGACTTGGTTACTAGATAGTTGGAGAAAGATCCAAGAAGAACCCCTTTCAGAGAGCTGCGTCCACGCGTACCGACGACACATAAAGTAGGTTCTAGTTCGTCAATCTAGAGTCGCCGGATGTTAGATAAGTACGGTGGGTTAGGCATTGCTCAGGGTGGACTTACTGCTCCAAGAATTAAATGTTTCGGGCTCTTGCAATGAATCACCTCGATCATACACCTCACTTGTAGGGTCGTTTTTCTGACCAATTTTATGAAGTTCTGAGTGATTTCCTCGATCGCACGCAATCTCTCCAATTCCCTCTTCGATGTTTTTCTGGCATCCATCGAGCCAGTCAGGCTCTCGGCTTCGGTAGCAGGAATGTACCTATTTTTGCTGTCCAAGCCGATGCTGGTGCCCCCGCCTTGGGTTGTTTGCCGTGTAAGAGTAGCCATAACCTCAGAAGCTTCCTTGCCAGCTTGGGTGCCTTCGGCCTGAAGCATCTCCCTATCCGCTTCGCTGGTTTTCCCGGCATTTTCATCCTCGATTGCGTAAATAGCAAGTAACGTATCGCCATCCCGCAACATGGTGCCCACTACCCATTCCATAGCGTACATAGCTTCAACGCTGAGATCACTGCAGACCAAGTACAACCTTGCTGTCCGGTGGCCAGCCTCAGATTGTTGATTAAAATGAAGCCAGTCGCCTCGCAAAACTATTCGTACATGGCGATCGTGGACTCGGGAGTCAAGAGGAGATACGTTGAGTCCAAGGCTTTTTGCTTTTCTAATTGCGGCTTGGCCTTCGTCTTCGTCTTCGTCCTCAACCGATGTGGTGACAGATGAAGGACTGACAAAATTATTATCCGGTCGTACCTCTGATTTTCCTTCGGTGAGGCTTTCGCCTGTAGGACTTGTAATCGAGATCGAAGGCTCGAGGAGGGATTTTACAGATTGTGTAGTTGCTGACTGCCTCCTTTCTGTTTCTGGCGAGGTTGTCTCGGCAGAGTCGGGTGATTTTGGATCCTCTACCTGACCAGTATCCGACGTTTTACGTCTTCCGGAGCGGCCTCTAGTGTCGTCCTCATCACTACTAGGTGACATGACGTCGTCGTCGCTAGACTCAATTAAAGCTTCTTCTTGGCCATTTGTGTCTACCGACATCCGGCCTTGTACCTCCTCAGAGTCGTCAGTTGCCACGGTAGAGAAACTACTGGATTTGTTGGAGAGTCGACGGTGAGCTTGGTCATCCACGATAGTGCCAGATTGGGTTGTCAGTGGTCTGATAGAGGCTGATGGGATGAGCAAAGTACCAGACTTTGATGGTTCTGGCTTGCGTGTCTTAGAAACAGGGGATCTGGAATGTGAAAGTCTTGCAGAAGAGTTGTGGTTCGGAATGGAAGATGGAGGTAGATTTAGCGCAGCAAGATCTCCTGACATAGCTGCAGCCATAGCAGAGCTTGAGCCCTCTCGAGGTCGTTTAGTGTCGGCTTGTGACCGTGGAGTAGCCCCAGCGCTGGAAGGAATCGAAGCCATGTCAAACTGGTAATTTTGCTCAAATCCACGTTTATCGTCATCCTCGACCTTTGGTAGGCCGGTGGGTCTTTCATGCTCGGAAGAATTTCGATGCCGAGTAGCAAGTGGTATACTCTTTGTGAGCACGGGAGAGTTCGGCTTGCTCGTGTGAGGAGAGGTATATGTGGATGGATCTGAAGGATCAAGCTGAACTGATTTCCGTCTGGCCCCAGCTGGCGGGCTGGCGAGTCCACCATCCAGGCCGACGGACGATCCATGTCTTGGAGCACGTGTAGGAGAATCGACATCGAGCATGCTTCGAACGGGAGGAGGAGTGGCAGTCCGGGCAGAGGTTCCAACCTTGGGCATGGGACTAGTGGGTCGTTTGCGATCGAGAGCAGCGATGACTTCGCGGTTCTCTTCATCTAGGAGAGCTTCGAGGCTCATCGGAGCTCGGGCTTTGGAAGATGGCCGTGCCATGAGCAATAAGGTCGGAGAAGGAATATGTCAACAGATGTTATAAACAATGAGAATGAAAAGCGAGGGGTGCACGACATAGAGCAGAAGACATGAATATCGAAAAATGACGATGCCCACGAGACCGCAACGCAGGCACACAAGGGCAAGGAAGTATCGTGTTCAGCAATGGACAGCGAGAGGTGACGGAAGACCTAATGTATAAGTGACAGGCAATTCCTCTTCTTGGCCGTGCGGGCACGTGTGGGGTTGGCGTTGCTTGAAGCAAAAGGAAGGCACAAGCCAAAAGCACAGCCGCCTTGCCCAGAGTTTCGGAGTTCCAAGTCGCGGCAAGGTCGCGTCGTGTGTGAGGAAAGGGTGATCTTGTAAGAAGTCCACCCTCATTCATGCTGCGCCAGATAGAAAAAACTGCAGTGGAAAGATGGATAACTTTCGGTCCCTGGCGGGACGATCGCTCGTTTTCTGAAGCACTGATCCTGAGGGTGAGTAAGGGCTTACATGCATAAGGATCACAGTTTGACAGCTGCGTGGGTATCGATTTCCTGAGGTGCCGTGGTGGGGCAGCCTTATCGCCAGCCTTATCCTTATCGATATGGATCTCGCCAAGACATATCGCAATCACGGGATCGCAGTCACGGGATCTCCCCTCCACACTCCTCGCTCTCCAATCTGGACTTCACCTCCAACTCTTTTCGCTCCCCAATTGTCTCACACGCAATAACCGATAATGTGAAAAACCTGCCTCAAGCCCGTTTGGCAGCTTGTGTGGCTCCTAAGATGGCCCTATGCAACACACCTTTTAGCTCCCGGCTGTAACTCATTCTCGACAGCTCTTTAGCTCAATCATTGGCTACTCTCGTACCATTCTCCCCTCCCAAATCCAAAAGACTCGTCGGCATCAGCCTTGGGCCGTCGTCTGGATATCCGGGTAAGCTTGGAAGATGCTGCTGCTGACTTACGTAGCTTCCAGATTCCAGCTTTCACCATGCATCCACCTCAAGCTACAAATTCCCCAGCCTTCCCTTTTTCTAGTCCCCCAGCCCTGAGCATCCTTCTCACAACCACCGCATTGTGTCTGTGCAGCGAAAATGCTCCTCTCGCGGCTACCACCTGTCCTGTTGGCAATAGTGGCTTATTTATTTTCTATGTCATATGCTCAAAGTCCATGCGGTACAGATCAGAACCCGTATTGTGCAGGCAACGACCTCTTCGAGCAGATTTGCTGCAGCTATCCCAACGTATGTTACTGGGCAAACCGAGATGGTCAGCCAGCATGTTGTCCTTACGGACAGGTTTGTGATGGAATTGCGCCGTATACCACCCGCACTATAACCATTCCGCCATCAACGATTACCACTATTCGTCCAACCACCATAACAACCGCTCCTCCACTCTCAACCGTCACAAGCTATGTCAGTGGTGGAGGCATTGTGGTCGTTACTGTGACGAATCCTCCGCAAACCAGCACCACCTACATTTCAGGCTGGTGCAAAGATGGACCGTGCTCAACAGTTACTTCTGGCGTGGTTGGGGTCTACTCTACCATCACCTCAGGCGTTGTTGGAGTGTATTCAACTGTGACTCAGGAGGTTGGCCAGGCCTACTCGAGCGTCTCAGGAGTGTTGGTCGGTAACGGTGCTTCAAGAACGACAGCTTCAGCCACCTGGATACTTGTTGTAGGCATCGTTTTGAACATTGCTTGGAACGGCGCTGGCTAAAGTTGAAATGTGCCAGAGCCTACGATTGGTCAAATCGACTTTCGCCGCCAGCCGTTGGAGGTTCATTCGCCGTTTGAGATGATTGGCTATCAATGGCACCTTCAACGAAGATCTAAGACATACCACGGGATCTACTATGCTATGTGAGGAGCAAAGCTTCTTCAGCCTTGAGAACTGTTCTCGCGAGCAGAGCATTTTTAAGGAGGTTCTCTTGAGTTCTCCCCTACTTCTGATCGTGCACCCATCGTGCAGAGTCTCGGGAAGGAGCTACATAATTTTCGGCGTGCAATTCGAACGGATGAAGCAAAACAAGACATGCCCATCCTTGCGCACCCAATGATACGAGGGTCACTCTCTGTTTGGACTATTTGCATAAACATAGTCGTGGAAAGTCCGATTGCTGCACCGATTGTCCGTTATTTGATTCGATCGCCGGTAAGCGAAGGGATCAAAGATGTTTTTGTGGTGGGCGAAGAATAGCGGCTGCCATGATGAAGTCACAGCGCTCGTATTCCGGGAAGATGCGCGATTTCCACAAAGCTGTCAGCGCGAAAAGGGACTCAGGACCTTTGTTTGGTTGCTTCGTCACAATAGCCTACTTCGTGCACCCAAGAGGTTACTTTTAACTATATATTTGCAGAAGTCCCACACTGCACTCCGGAGATTCAACGAGGCATATCGATCAATCTGCAAAGCATTCTACCTCCGCTCAGCAGCTTCCTCTTCTTCAATTGATTTTGGGACCGAGACAAAGACTGGGACAGTGACGCTGTTTAAGTTTCTCAAAGCCTAGGATTATGGTCAGTCTACGGGAAACGCGAAATCTACTCGAAGTTATATCCTACCTTGGCAAAAGCTCCATCGGGAGGCACATCGCCGTTCCACTGATCCTCGACCTTTGAAATCCTCTGACCATCCGGAGTCAGATGGATCAGGATTCTAGAGTCGACGAGTTGTTCCTTGCCAACACCCTTGACCTTGTACAGCGTCTTGAGGCTTAGTTCGATTGGATTGCCGCCCTTTACAATGTCGAAATGCTGCTGGTGAATCTCGCTCATAGAGGCCTTTAATCCATAGAACTGTGCTTCATATTGCTTGCGACCCTCAGCTATGGTTAACGGGTCATGAAAGCTGGCATCGTCGGCCCACAGGGCGAGTTTGCGCTTCGTCGGATAGCCTGCGAAAAGGTCGAGAATGGAATTCGTGAGCAGGGACTGTTGCTTGTCCAGCGGCGAGGAAGAGTTGGCTGGCAGGGAGGTCTTGAATTTATAGTCGGGCGGGGTGGTAGATGGGGCTGACATTATGGGCCTGACTTGGGTTGGCGATATTGATGCTGTTGTTGGTGAAACTGTTGCTGCTTTCCTCACAACACGAGGAAATGTCTCAAACACTGTTGGTGGTAAAATCCGTACAGACATAGCAGGGGCCCCTAGGGTTTGGAATAAAAGGTCTATGTACAGCAATCGTCGAATGAATAGTGAATACCTTATGTCGTCAGGATCAAGGTTGCAATTCCAGCAATGCTGTACGCTAAACCGAGATGATGATCGGAGGGAAACAATGACACCAGGACTTTTAGCACATGTACATTTGGAATACGATCTGGGGAAAGCCGAGAAACGTCTAAGGGGACAAGAAAAACGAACCCGTCCAATCCTCAAAGTATGCAATGCAATGGCACGAGCATGCCCCTGAGCTACGATACAAGTGGTGATGAAATATCCCAAACCGATGACGCTGATGACGGCGAGGCGGGATGATGTCAAGGATTTGTGGCTTCTCCTGGCCCCTCCCGTCTCTCCCTTACTTTGGACGTACATGGTTCGGATCGAACTTGACTTTTATGGGGTTGGGGAGTTCTCCAAATTGGTGGCAGTATCAAGTGCTCAACATGGAGGTATCTACCCGTATCTTAAGTGCGAAAGCTCCGGATCGGTGTCTTATCCTGTTCGTTGCTCGTGAGTGGGAGCCTTGTCGCATCCATCCCCCTTTACCCCGACGACGACAAGCTAGATCATGCTGAACACTGGTCCCTCCTCATTACCCAGCTAATGCAGGACCGATTGCATCCATCTTTGAGACTGAGATAGAGAACTTGCTAAGGGTCCTGCCATGAGAGGAGTCGGCGCCATTCTGATCGTAAGCCGAGTCAAAGATGGGAAATTGCGACGCTGGATGTCGGGGGTTCCTGTTGCTCTGAGGCACATGTATCTCGACTGCTTGTCTCGCACAGCGTGCCCTCCCAGCTTTCCTCAAGCAGTGGTCCATCCAAGCTGCCCTTCGTGGACCCTTGTGCTCCAATGTATCTTCCCATCTCCCACACCGAATAACCATTCCGAACCCTGTATCTCCATACCTAGGCGCCTGCTTGGTTTTAATTTCAGTTTCTTTACAGAATTTGTTCGTCGATTGCAACATGCATGGCGGGATTCCACTGAGGGACCAATCATGGATCTGTGAAAGACGAAGAGCAAAGCGGAAAGGGGAGTCACCATTTTGTTTTATACTTGACCGTATTTGATTATCCCAGAATTGAAATGACGTCAAATGGGAACGCGTTTCGCCAACGTGAAACCGCGTCCTTTTCAGTCACTCAGACGTTCTTTAGTTTTGTTTGGGGCTACGCTCACTTCACAATTCTTTGAATCGAACTACATTACCTTTAAGCTTGATAGCTTGTTTCCATATACTGCCTCGAATTTCCCATTTCCAAGACACACTCTCTGTCCTTCTCGTTTGCAGCAATACTCAATCCTCAATCCTCCAAGCATGGCTCCCAAAGCCAAAGCCAAAGCCAAAGCCAAAGCCGCGCCAGCAGATCCTGTGTTCTCCGAGGACTCAGCCTCTGAAAACGGCGAAGATAGCGGAGATATAAGCCTCAATGATCCACCCACAAGCATTGACCCATACAGCGTCCTCTCCGTCCCTTCCACCGCCACCGCTGACGAAATCAAAACGGCCTACCGCAAACTCGCGTTGAAACACCACCCGGACAAAGTCACGCCATCCGAGCGAGACTCTGCACACCAGAAATTCCAAGAAATAGCCTTCGCATACGCGATCCTAAGCGACGAGCGCCGCCGCAAACGCTACGATGCGACGGGCAACACGGCGGAGTCGGCAAACGTGGATGACGCCGACTTCAACTGGACGGAGTTCTTCCGGGATATGTCTGCGCAAGTGGTCAGTGGGCAGCTGATCGATCAGATTAAACGAGAGTATCAGGGGACCGAGGAGGAGAGGCTGGATGTCCTGGCTGCGTATGAGGACTCGGAGGGGGATCTGGATGCGGTGTTTGAGAGCGTCATGTGTTCTGAGGTGTTGGATGACGAGGAGCGGTTTAGGAAGATCATTGACCAGGCGATTGCTCAGGGGGAGGTGGAAGGATATGTGAAGTATACGAAGGAAGCAAAGAAGACGCGCGAGAAGAGGAGGGCGAGGGCCAAAGACGAGGAGAAGGAGGCGATGCAGCTCGCGGAGGAGCTGGGGGTCAGGGATAAGTTGTTCGGCAAGGGTGATGGTTCTAAAGCCGACGCGGGCAAGAAGAGCACGAAAACAAAGAGCAAAGGCGATACCGACACCGACACCGACGGGCTCATGGCGCTGATCCAACAACGGCAGAAATCGCGGGCTCAGAACTTCTTCGACGACTTGGAAGCCAAGTACGGAGGCGAACCGGCGAAGAGGGGCGCCGGCAAGCGCAAAGTCGTTGATGAGCCCCCCGACGAGGCGTTTCTGAAGAACGCGAAGAAGGGCAAGAAAGGCGGCAAGGCTTGAACGAGTGATTGATGTTTACGGGTGTCGTGCCTCGCCAGCACGACATGGAGTTTGGGGTTTGAAAAGGATGAAGCTATTCAGCACGTTTACGGACAGCATGGTGAGGGCTAAATCATGGATTGTGATGGCATTTTGAATTCAGCTGCAAGGAATCTCATTTTGAGAGCCTCCTTCTGCCACTGGGCATGCTATGGCTGGGATGGTCTCTACGCAACCAGCACTCTCGTCTATGAGCAACGGTCGACTGGGTGTCGGTGGAATTCTGATGCATCTCAAGGAACTGTGCTGTGACCGGGCTGAGTATCACATAACTTGGTCTGGATGGACCAGGTGCTACAGTCAGCGAAAGAGCAGTACAGTGTGATGGCATGAACCACGATGGTGGCTTCGCATCACTTGCAGCCAAGACAGGCGAGACAATGACATGACATGCCATGCCATGCAATGCATGGAATCTTCTGCTCCAAACGGGCAGTCGTTTGAATGGATTTGGGGATTGGGTTGGATAATCATCAGGCAATGCCAACAGAGATGCGTGGATAGTGGCGATGTCATGTTGCACCGTCTTCGAACTCTGGTTCTTGATTCATGAGCATCAATGTACGAGCTGTAGTCACATCACACACTGGCTGGCTAGCTGGCTGACTGGCACCACCACATCCTCGACTACGAGGCCGCCTGCCTGCTCCTCCAGCCTCACTCAGGTCACACGATTGCAATGCAAGTAATACGTACTGCTAGATCCTATCAGTAAGAATGAAGCTAGACATTGTGGATTTGTGATTGGTGTTCGGAACATCGGCCTTTCTCTGGCATGGAGGTGCCAGTGATAGGATGCACGGGAGTATTAGGACGGTTATGGTCGTGGGTCTCGCTGACCTGCGTGTACTACTACGAGGAATTGAGTGGTTGCAGCCGACTTGGACGCTCATACCGCAGTCTACCGACCACGTTAAAACGCGCCTGGTCGTGGACGGAGTACTCGTAGCTATTTATGAGTTCATTTTAAGATTGCAGCAGGCCTGCCGACGGCTCAGTGGCTCTGGTATGGGCGTGACGGGGCGATAGAAACCACGATCCGGCCAGGGCTTCGGCACTAGAAACGCCAGCGAAGACACCAAGAATGCCCTCACCAGCTCTTGTAAAGGGAACCTGGTTGCTGGTGTTTATTATGGGTCTCGGATTTAAGCATGTCTCCTGGTCACCTATGGTGCGGTTTGCCGTGTTGCCGCGGGCGGGCAGGAGCATCTCCAAGCCGCACCTTGGGTATGCAAACGGACAGGGACAGGGATCGGGCGGTGGAGACGCGCCACCGGTTAGAAAGGTTAGGACAGACACGAGTCCAAGCCAGAAACGATGAGATTGGGCTGCCCGGCCCAAAAAAAGTGTGAGATGGGCTCGACGCCATGGGAACCAAAATTACACCTTACAACAACCACACCGAGCTCGGAAGTGGTGTCTGATTCAAACACGTGTACAGGAAGACAGTGTGTGCGAAATGACAAATATGAATGGAACGTGTAGGATAGAGGCGTCGGGCAACAGGGTCTCGTTCGGTGGTTTCTCAAGCAGGCAGACCTGTCTGAGGTGATGATTGTTGTTTGCACCATGAATGGGGGGAAGATGTTTCGGTTGGAATGTGAATCCCTTGGACCAGTAAGACACGGACTCGCTTGCGACCCTTGAACCTCGACTGCAAGACTTGGTCGCATTTCGGATGGCGAGCCTGGAAGGGGAAGCAGCGGAAGAGCCAACTGAGCTTCGGGAATTGGGGACCCTGGGGGTGACACTTTGAAGCCTGACAGGGGCTTGGAGACCGGGAGGAGGTTGAGTGGAGGGTACGAGTAAGCTACTGATTATTGTTAGACCAGGAAGTTGTACCAAGCACTCCGTACTCTGTACGGGCGTGTACGAGTAGAACATACAGAACTCGAAGAAGAAAGCCTGGCAGGCGTGGGGATAACCGGACGCAGCGAGGGATATTTCGGTGCAGGCTGGCAGGGCAGGGAAATGCCGGCTAGTGCTACCGAGTAGGAGTATGCTAGTACGGAGTATACTAAATGGTAGCAAGCGAAGAATGATGATGGTAGGGGAAGAGTCTGCGCTCTCAGGATGCTTGGAGCGAAGCATGCCTCGAGAATCGACACATGTCACCAATGCACCCGCGAACGATGACTGCAGTGTTGGGTAAAGATCCCAAGGGTGCGGCAAAAAGGAGTCATACAATCCTTGATGGGAATTCGTGATTGGAGGCCGGGACCGTCAGTGGCGTGGCGAGAACGGGCAGCTGGTCATAATTGAAGAACGAAGAAGAGGGCGAATACCAGAGCAGCTGGAGAGGAAGGGAGGCTGAACGAAAGCAAGATTGATTGTGATGCGAATAACCTGGGAAGCTGGGACTGCTAAGTAATGTGAGGTATGGTATGGTGCGCATTCATTCCACAATTGAGCAAATGCCATCAGAATATGGAGTACAGACTCAGTCACAGGTGCGGATGATTGTTGAGTTAAGTGGTTACAGTAGCGTGGGCAAGAGCATGCCGACGCCAGTGCCAGTGCCAACGTCAGTACCGAGTGCGGGAACAGCGATCTGAATTCAGTTGAAGTATTGGTAGATACGAGTAGGTACCTAGAAGTACACAACTATATCGAATGCCTACATATTACAGTATTCGTACCGAGTACTGCACCGGTCTGGCGGTTGGAGCAGCTACTTAGTCGCAATTAGTGGCCGTCGCGGGTGAGAAAAGGAACGCGAAGCCAAGGAAGTGCACGAAGGGAAGGAAGGGGCACGAAGGGAAGGAAGGGCACGAAGGGAAGGAAGGGCACGAAGGGAAGGAAGGGCACGAAGGGAAGGAAGGGCACGAAGGGAAGGACAGAACCGAGACCTGGGCAGCGACTGGCAGCCCAAGTTGGCGCTACGGAAGGAGAACAGCCGCGCCTGCCATTTCCAGTTGGACGGTGGACTCCCAGTGGGTGCCTGTGTGCCTGTGGCTCGTCGGTGTCATCAGTCATCACCCATTCTTTTGCCCTTGGCCTCGCCCTTGCCCATCTGCACCTGCACCTGCACTGTGGGTGACTGGCAATTGCACTGGCACCCGCACCCGCACCCGCACCTGCCCTAGTCTCTCTGCTCTGTGCTCCTGCTCTCTGACGCTCTTTCCCTCGCGCCAAGGCCAAGGTCATCCCCTTTCAAAATTTCTACTGCTTGCAACCTCTCCCCCAACTGCGCTTTTCTCTCTCGCATCAATAACATCTCATCACATCCTCATTGCGCCTCTTCTTCGCGTAAAGAGGTTCTTGTGGTACTGTCAACCTTCACAGTTGTCGTACCTTGATTCCCTCATTCACTAGGGTTTCTTCTTAATTCTCTCGCCGCAACCGCTGCCCATTCCACCTCAACGGGGTCGGAATCTCGCGTTGCCTTGCGAATCTCCTCTCAACCTTCCACCTGGAAAAGTCTTCTTTTTCATCCCGATTTCTGTCTCCACCAGCTCAAGAGCGGCTTCCGTTCACTCGAGACAGTCGCCGCTTCGTGGTCACGCTCCAAAAAAAGTCAACTTTCATCCATTCCACTCCCTGCGGGTCCGGGTGACTTTTTTCCATTCACTGCCTGCCTTTGTCATCCGCGGCGTTTCAGCCTCCCAATCAACCTCGCAGTCTGAGCCATCCGCCCTGACTCGCATCCATCGATTCTGATGACATCCACTCCCCACCGATCTTCTTCTGGTCGAACGAACAAGTCTCAACCTCCTTCTGCGACCGGATCGAATTTGGCTAATCAAAGCCGAACCTCGTTTCCAACCGCCTCCAAGCCTTCTCTCTCGACACCAAATGCATCCGAGCCCAACAACATGTCTGCAGCAGTTGGAGGTGCTCCCCCAGCCCATGGTCATAGCGACTCCGTAAATGGAAGACCCCCCACCATTCCTGCAATTCCCTCGGTCAATGGCGCCGTCGCAGTGCCTGACCATCTAAGAAAACCCTCTAACGCCGCACCGTCTGGAGGTGCAGCTGGCTACACCCCCAACGGTGGCGCTCAACCTGGTGCACAAACAAAGATTCAGTTCGGCTCCCTCCCTACCGGCAATAACAATGCTTCTCCAGCCGTTGGTACCCCTCATCAAAACAATGCCAATCTCAGTGTGAATCAGCTGAATCCTCGAGTGCCCTCGCCCTCAAATTCTCCCTCGCCCATCCCTCAGCCTGCCTCGGTCAGTGGTGGCCGTCCTCCCTCCACATTCCAAGGCCAAGGCAATGGCTATCAATTTGGACAGATGCCTGGTGACCCCAGTGACCCCAGTGTAAGCTCAACCCCTTCCCTGTGCTTCTTCATTGCAATCAAATTCAAATCTGACATGGATCAGGGTCTTGCTCGTGGTGTCGCTTCCCTGCAGTTTGGTCCCCCCCAAGAGCATATGAGACGCGGTTCCGCCCAGTCTATTCATAGCGATGTAGGCAATCCGGGCTTACCGACCGGTCCTGGCCGTGGCGGCTTTGGTGGACCTCAAGGTCGTGGACGAGGCTACAATCCTGCCTACAACCAGCAGATGCCATACTCTCCTAACCACACTTTCCGTCCCCAAAATAATGGACGCAACATGCAACCCGGCTACCAGGGTCGTGGCCAGCAACTTTCCTACTCCGGGTCTCCCGCAATGGGCACCCGCAGCCCAGCTCTCGTACACGCTCAGCCCGGAACCCCCAACATGGGCCCAGTACACATGATGCAGCAGGTGCCCGGACAGAATGGTGGATATTATCAAGGAGGACCCCAACATGTAAACAACCACCACCCATCGTCTTTTTCTTCTTCTCGCGAGCCCGCAAAGGAAAGAGGTAAACCTACTAGAGGTCGTGGTCGTGTCAATCGTGGCAATGGCCGTGGCAAAGCCTCGAGTAGAGGTGGACATGAAGAAGGACCCTTTTACAGCAAAGATCCAGCTTCAGACCACTACCGCCCTGACCTTGCGGCTCTCCACATTGCCCCAGCTCCCCCTTTTCTTCCTGATCTTTCACCCGAGAGTGGCAATTTTGAACATTTTCTAACACAACGACAGGGCTTCGGGTTTCCCACTCAAGCTGACCCTAGTATCCAAATGTTGTACAATCAACAATACTACGGCCCTGGTGCAATGCAGGGTCAATATCCTCCTCAGTATGCAATGGGCCCCCAACAGTCTCCACGACCGCCTTACCAGCAGAATGTCTATGCCCCAAACATGCAGCCTGGCTACAGCAACCAGGGTGCTGCCCCTCCCTCCATGTCTCGTCAATCTTCTCAGATGTCTGGTCCTGATCGCCCAGGCTCGAGCATTGGGCAACAACCTCATACGCCAGCTCCCTCGGGCCCAACACATCCCACAGCTCGCACTCCCAGTGTTTCTGCTCCGAAGCCGAGCTATACCATTCCTCCCAAGAAGAGTGCTGCCATCACCATCAAGAACACTGCTGGTGAAGTGGTGTCCTTTGGCAAACCTCCACCATCGCCCGCTGCCTCCACTCCTTCTCTTCCTCCTCCGTCTGCTCCAACTCCTCCAAGCCGAACGGCAAGTGCCGCTGACAATGCTCATGCTCGTGGTGAGAGCATCAGTGCCAACAAAAGTGCCGACGAGGCCAAGAAATTGATGCAGGAGGCTATTGCGAAGAAGATTGCTGAGGACGAGGCCAGAGAGAAGCAGCAGAAAGAAGCCGCCGAGAAGGCCGAGCTAGACAAGGAGGCCGCTGCGGCCGCTGCTCGCAAGGCAGAGGAGGAGAAGGCAGAGGCGGAAGAATTGGAACGAGAAGCGAAAGAAGCAAAGGCTCGCGAGGAGGCTGCAGCTGTCGAGAAGGCAGAAGAAGACAACAAGAAGGCCGAGGAAGACAAGGCCAAAGCTGCTGCTGCACCATCGAAGCCAGATGACGACGACGAAATCGACTACGACGCGATCGAACGTGAAATTGCTGAGCAAGAGGCCGAGGAAGCAAGAAGAGCCGAAGAGTACAACCGTAAGAAGGCGGCCGATCTAGAAGCCAAACGCAAGAAGGAACAAGATGATGCTGCAGCTTACGAAGCCAACATGAAGGAAATGGAGCGCAAGGCCGAGGAAGCAGAACTTGCTCGAGAAAAGGAGAAGGCGGAAGTTGGGTCTGGAGACGAAGCCAGCAAGAAGATGTTTGCTGAGCTGAAAGCCAATCCCTTTGGAACTCCGGCATCGGTTGAAAGCCCTGCTGCCCATACACCCGTCGAAAGCGGTAGTGCAACACCGGTGTCCGATGTCTCTATGCCAGCTCCAATCCGAGCTCCGGGCAAACGTGGCAAAGCTGCTGAACTCACGCTCGACACCAAGAAGCCTATCGAGCCACCGGAGCCCAGTGCTACATTGAAGGCTCTACAGGCCTCCAAGAAGCTGGTGGACTTGTCTAAGGTCGTCTACCCAGCTGATGTCGCTTCTCCCAACCCAGCGCTAAATGCAAATGCACCAGCTGATCGGAAGTTCAAATATGACAAGGAGTTTTTGCTTCAATTCCAGAGTGTCTTCAAAGAAAAGCCATCACTCGATTGGGATTCCCGCATCCGGGATGTCATGGGCGAAGGTGACTCTGCTCGACCTGCTGGCTCTGCCAGAACCCCCTCAGGAATGGGCAACCGCAGCGCTTCTTCTCGTGGTGCTCCTCAGATGGGTAGCTTCGGCCCCATGGGTAGCTTCGGCGGTCCTCGTCCAAGTCTCCCGGCTGGTACGACTTCTGAACAGCGATTTGCGGCTTCAAACGCAGCTCTGAGAACCGGTGCTATGGCTGCGAATCCGTTCGCTCAATTTGGCCGTCCAGGCCAGATGGCTCCACCGATGGGACGTACCCCATCGAACAATCCTCTCGGCCCTATTCCAGGCTCGCCACGAGTTGGAAGCACCCGTGGAGGGTCTCGTGCTGAAAGCAAACGCGGTAACAAGCACGGCAAACAAGGTTTTGAGGAAAACAAGTCTATGCCTCTCACGGCCGGTATGAACATCGGCTCACTGGAGACCTCCTCTACAGGCTGGAAGGCCCGAAGTCTTGGTCAACCCGCCGTTGCTGGTCCTGCCCTTGGTGGGGACGGTTTGATGGAGCCAGACGTTGTCCAACGCAAAGTCAAGGCTGCTCTCAACAAAATGACACCCGAAAAGTTTGACAAGATTGCCGACCAGATTCTGGAGATCGCTGCTCAATCGAAGCATGAGAGTGACGGCCGGACTCTTCGTCAAGTCATTCAGCTGACGTTCGAGAAGGCAACAGATGAAGCCCACTGGGCACCCATGTATGCCGCGTTTGCAAGACGCATGCTGGAAAGCATGAGCCCCGATATCAAAGACGAGAACATCAAAGACAAGAACGGCAGTGTTGTCACTGGCGGGAACTTGTTCCGAAAATACCTTCTTAATCGATGCCAGGAAGAATTCGAACGTGGTTGGAAGATCAATCTACCTGGTCGCAAAGAGGGCGAGACTGAAGAAGCAGCCTTGTTGTCTGACGAGTATTACGTCGCAGCTGCTGCCAAACGGAGAGGTCTCGGTCTGGTGAAATTTATCGGTGAATTGTTCAAGCTTTCTATGCTGACCGAGCGAATCATGCACGAGTGTGTCAAGAAACTAGTCGACTACGAGGGAACTCCTGACGAAGCAGAAGTCGAAAGTTTGACAAGTTTATTGCGGACCATCGGCCGACAACTCGACAGTTCTGAGAGCAAAGCACAAGGCCGGATGGATCTGTACTTTGAACGAATCAACCAAATCATCGCCATTCCTGACCTACCCAGCCGTCTCAGGTTTATGCTTATGGATATCGTTGATCTCCGATCCAAGGGCTGGGTGTCGAAGGAAGACGACAAGGGCCCAAAGACCATCCAGGCAATTCACGAGGAAGCTGAACGACGCGCACGTGAAGACGAACTCAAGAGACTCGCTTCACAAGGTAACCGCGGTGGTGGTGGTAGAATGCCTATGGGCCGTGGCGACGCTCGCAGTTTCAGCCAGTATGGTCAAGTACCACCTCCGGACAATTCCAATCGCGTTGGTACCGACGACTTGAGGAGACTGGGCAACCGTAACGCTCGGAACCCAAGCAGCACTGGTCCTGGTTCATTAGGACCCTCAAGCTTATTGGGTGGACGCACAAACAGTGGACGCCGTGGTCTTGGACCCGGAGGCCTTCTCAACCGAGGAGATGATAGCAATAGCAGTAGCCGTACCGGCACACCTCCTGCGGGCAAGGACAAGGAGAAGAAGGACGATTCGAGCACAAATGCATTCAGGTAAGAATCCAACCTTCGTCGCTTCCAAGGATTTCAAGCTAACTCCTCACAGTGCTCTCGCTGCCCTTGAAAATGACGCACCTGGATCGCCCCCATCCAATCCGGCATCACCACCCACACAAAAATCACAGCCAGCCATCGAACGAGAACGATCGAGATCACCAGAAAAGACCACAGGGTGAAGGTGAAATTAATAACCTAACATCTGTACAACATAATGTGATTCGACCACCTAATATTTGACTGACGGCCGCTTGTGGGGAGGTTGAGAAGTGTGCATTGATACCCGGCGTGAGCCACATGTTTAGCATTTAAAGCACAGCGGACCATTTTCTTTTCTCGAAATCTTGGGTCTTGTGAAGCCCTTCTTGAGACAAGATATCAACCTTTCTTCCAGCTTTCTTCGAAATCAATAGAGAATGTGTTTTTATCCGGCATACACCAATTCGAGTGCTTCGACTTGCGTCTTCATCTACTGGACGGGCGGAGCACCTATTTTCGGCGTTGTGTTTCTAACCAAACCAAAAGTGTTGTATGGGAAAGTACGGGAAGGGTTGGGAGGGAACATGCGATGGTTGTTCGCCATTCAACATCCCATGCTGCGAAAGGAAACATAGGGTCCCCACCAGATCCTGGAATCGATTGCGATCTGTTCTTTCCTGTTTCGGCCCACACTGACCATGCCCATTTAATCGTCATCTTGGGAGTGCGGAGCAGGCTAGATTGAGAAGCAAACGGAGATCTCGAGAGACCAAGGCGGGCCATGATAACCGAAACAAGCTCGCAACCGAGCATGGTGTGCGAATAATTTAGAGGGGGGGGCCGGGTCGAGCTGAAGTAGAGGCATGGCTCGGTGGGCGTGGTCAGCTTAGTTTCGTAGCGAGAGATGTTGAAGAGTGACACTTATGTACTGTACATTGATTCAAGAATTCAGATTTTCATATTCATCAGTTACGTTTTTAAGTCTGTCGCTCTCATTATTCAAACGATAGTGATGTATTTGTGACCTTCTACTGCCGGTGTGTAGCATGTTGTATTTCCCCCTTCGAGAATGCTGGCTGATTTAACAAATCCAACAGCTCTAAATTTTCAGTGGTAGAGACTACAGTTGCGTCTATGTTTTCAATGAAGCATGTTAGGTATGGAAGAGAGCCTCGTTATGGTTTGAAAAGAAAGCGAAAAGACTTGGCTACATAGCGTGTATCAATAGATGTGCATCGATCAGGTCCATCGATCAGGAATTCCGCTTCTCCTCCAGCTCCTTCTTCACCCTTGGATCTTCCCTGACAATCAAGAGTTCACCCCTTCCGATCTTCCAGAGCGTGAAAGCAGCATTGACGAAGAAGACGATGACGAGGAAAAGCGTCATCATGGCCGTGACAACGCGGAAGAAGGACGAGTCCATCAGCTCTCCAAAGAGCAGCGTCGACGTCACCAGCGTGCCGGTGGGGAAGATAATCGCGTTCCACGCCGGCGTCCACTTGAGCTCGCGATGCCACGCACGATCTATCATCGCGCAGAACGCCAGGATCAGCCAGATGGCGCCCAGCCCCGTCATCAGCAGCGCCAGCAGCTGGCACGCGACGTCCATCGGCGCCGCCGCTTCCGCTGTCAGGAACGTGCCCCGGTTGTACTCAGGGAAGTGGGTTTTGGATGCGGAGCCGAGCAGGATCAGCGCCGCGGCCGTCTGGCCCATGGGCCCGACGAGGATAAAGATCGTGGGCGTCTGCGCCGCCGCGGGCCAGCCGTAGGCGAGGAGCTGGTGAAACAGGTACGTGTATAGGATCAGACCGAGGATCAGACCGACGCCCGCGGCGCAGAACGACGTGATGATGATGGGCACGGCCAGTCCGGCGGAGATGCTGTGCGAGAAGTTCGTCACGACGGCGCCCACGATGGCGAGCGTCGCGACGCCCACCGCGGGAATGATGATCAATGTTGGGAGCTGGCGGTCGAGCAGGGAATGCTCGCGCACGAGCGTCACGAAGCAGAAGAACAGCATCCCGAACATCCATATCGTTGCAATCCACCACATCGCCACGGCGAGGTATGTCCAGCCCGGGTGGGGACGCGCCCACGATGCATTGGTGACGGTCAGGGACACGAAGGACGTCAGTGTCATGAACGCGATCGCCCAAGTCGGCGCCAGGCAGAGTTCGGCCACGTTGCTTGTCAGCTCGGCCAGGGCGCGCCGGCGGTAGAGCGCGAAGTGAAGGATGAAGATCCCCGAGAAGACGATGTACAGTGTGAGGTCGACCATGAAGCCGATCGTGGCCAGGACCTGGATTCCACGGAATTGGTACGGGAATTGGTGGAGGAGCGTTGAGATGACGCCCGAGTTCATGCATCTGTGTTTTGCACGGGAGACAGTTAGCCCTGGTCATTCGACGTGGTTCTGTATACACATGTGCATCATAACTTCTTTCATACATACACTCAAACATGCATGTTAGAATCTTGATTCGAAGGAAAGCCTGTTTGTTTGCTCGTGCACATGGACGGACTGGACGGATACCTAAAACGATATAGATCGACTTACATAGTGAACCAGATAGGACCAAAGTCCTGCACCAGTGCGCGGAAGGCACTCCTTCGCAAGGGGCTCTTGCAAGGACTATTGGTCGACGAGTTTCTTTCAAAGTCTCGATCTTGGGTGTGGGTGTTGGTGTGGGTGTTGATTTCGCCATCCTGGTACATTTCTCGCAGCTCGGTTGCTGGATTGAGGTCGTCGTTGGCTACGACCACCATGATGGACCGAGTTATGTCTTGTTTGCAAAATACTGGAGCGCTCAAGTTTGTTATATATGTAAAGAATCTTGGGCCCACTGAGTTTGATCGATTTATTGTTGTGGTATCGAAAGGTCGGACTGTAGATGCGCCATCGTCAAGCTCTCCGTGGACAGACTCGTCTTGGAGTTATATCAAGACGCAAAGAGAGAGTATTGAGAGACAACCTCAAGCCCTCAAGCTACGATGATATGGTATGGTATGCTGTCTGGAGAAGTTTCTGCCCTTTCTCCATGCGAGAAGAAGGATTCATCCAGCCACAAGGACAGGGCGTGCTCGGTGCTTTTGCAACGCGCATGTAACGGTGCTTCACCTCGTGCCACGCCCCGGACACAAGGCCGAGACTGGAGCAAGAAGGGGTAATGACGAAGGGATGTATGTACTCGTCCACGCTTGGAAATTGATTAGGTAGCCAAAAACAACTTTGGTGCCAACAGCCCGCTCATTTTCCGGGGTGGGCTTGAGTCATACGAGCAGAGCGAATCGCCGCTTGAGTGGATGGTGCGTAATCATCGTCATTTACATTAAGACTTCGAGGGACGCTACGGAGCACCGGGTACGGGGAGCGGATGAAGAGACCAATCCTCACAGATATAGAAGGGTACGGCGACGGCCAGGTATAGGCGAGTGAATTATGGGCATCCTGGGCCCCCGTCCCCGTTCCAAGGGTTCATTCGGCTATGGTTCGGTGCTTGCCTCTCCCCAGGGTTGGACTGTTCCTCTCAAACGTTGCTGACTGATGTTTTGTGGCGTCCCGGGCCCAAGAGGTTCATTATTATCGGTGCTTTTTTGAGGGTTACTCAGGGAGCCCAGTTGCCGACCGAGCCGAAGTCCACGCTTGTAAGTATGTGAAGTACGAAGTACGGATACGTTATTAAATGCAAATGCTCTGCTTGCTGACTCGCCCTCTGGTACCTCGCTGTATTCCTCCGCGCAATGGACTTCGTAGTAAGTCCGATTTGGGCAAGGCTGCCTGAGGCACAAGGGGATTTCGTGGAATACAGGCGAGGCAGAGCTGCCTCACGCATACATAATTGTGTAGACATATAGACGCCTCTACCGTTGCTTAGATAGCTGCTATCTGCGGGACCAGAACGACCTCACAGCATACACCCATTGGAGGCGCTTAACAAGCAGAAAGACGGACAGCCAGGGACAGTCTTGTTTCCAATACCAGGCCAGATTGGCCCGCTTGACCTGTCCAAATGCATTCCTCGTTGTCTAATTAGAGTCCTGGGTATCGTATTTTCCTAGTAGTAGACAGTAGTAAAAGGGGGTCTCTCCCCAAAATGAAATCAGTTCAGCAGCGAAGGGTTAGGGGTTGAGAGTCATAAGTCTTCCATTTCCTCATCTCCGTCCTTGTCACCTTTGCCATCATCAGGTCCAAAGACATCTTCAATATTGCCCATGCCCTCTTCATCACCGTCACCTCCTCCGCCATCTTCCATCATGAGGTCTTCGGGTTCGGGTCGGTCTTCGGGCTGTTCTTCATCGTCATCGGGACTTTCCTCGCCTTCACTGTCCCATTCGTCCTTCAGACCCCATCCCACGCCAGACAGGCAGTATTTCTCATGGGGAAGCTTGAGCCCGCCCACCATCGGGCCGCCTTTATCTCCGTCCTTCGCCTGCGAAGTGAGTGATATTCGATTCCGTTCATCGGCCAGGGTTTTGAGGAACTCCTTGGGGAGGCTGCCTTGAAATTGATGGCCGACTTTCGAGCCAATGGCCATGCGTAGGGCGGCTATGCTAATGTCTCCCTCTTCCAACTGCTTTTGGTTTTGCTTTGCGCCTCGGCCTTTTGTTTGGGTGCCGCCGTCCGCTTGGTCATATGCCTCCGACTGAATGTAGAGTGCATCCGTGAGAACGGTGCTGGTATATCGATACGCGAAGTCCATAAGTTGTAAGGGCACCCGTTGTTGATATGCGACTATGCCGTGGGACACCAGTAGCAGATGGATTAGACGATGGTCTCGTGGTCTTCGAGAGCTACCATTGTCGGAGAGGGAGGTGAGGGGTTGTGATAGCAATGCTTCTACTTGTGGCTGCGCAGTGGTTTGAGAAGGCAGTGTGCTTTGAGTTTGTTGTTGTGTCGAAGGTTCTGCTGGAGGTGTGAGAGGTCCGGGAGGGTTGGCCGGCGAGCTCATGATGATGCGCTGGATTGAAAGGCGTCTGGGGGAGGGAGAGAAGAGGGTCAGGAAGAGGAGAGTTTGGCTTGAATAGGACAAGAATGTTCAGGGGGACATGATTTTCATCTAGTGACTGATGTACTACCCCGTAGACTTGTGCTGGCAATCACTGGAAGCAGGAGAATTGATGGAAATCTGATCCACTGGCACTTGAATACTGACTGTACTCGTACATTCCTACGCAGGTCGCGATTTAAGGGTTGCGAAGGCAGAAAATCCGGGGAAATTCATTAGACCGCTTTAGCGAATCTACCCCGATATAGATTAGCCTGTTACTAAGGGAATGTTAGGCACATGCAACGTCAGCTAGCTTCCCAAAGTCACGGGGTCACAGGTCACGGGCTACGAGTCCACCCCCAATGCCCTTCGGTGGCATGCTCATCCTTTTCCCTCATCCCCATCCTTTCGTCTCGCGTCCCATCGGATTCCCGTTTCCAGCCCCGTGCACGTCAGATTGATCATTTCTGTCCTTTCTTTTCTTTTCCCCCAGATTGAACTCGTCCTTCTATCATTGCCCGGCGTGTATAACACTCATTTCCTGTCCTCATTGTATGCCACATGTTTTAATACTAGGATCATCTCGCTTCGGCCTTCGAGCCTCGGTATCACATTTGTCTGTCACTGCTCGAGTGTCGTCATCAGGCTCCCAAATAATGCTCAGGCCATAACTTCAGCTCTCGAATCCAACCACGATTTCTGCTCCTCTCAGCCAGGGAAGGTTTCATCCCTCTTTCCTTACCATGCAGTACGTTCGAAGCTTAGGGAGCGGTGTCTCCAAAACCTGGAACTCCATCAATCCGGCCACACTGTCCGGGGCCATTGATGTTGTTGTGGTCGAACAGCAAGATGGTTCTTTGGCCTGCTCTCCTTTTCATGTCAGATTCGGAAAATTCTCCCTGTTACGCCCATCTGAAAAGAAGGTCGAGTTCAAAGTCAATGGCGTTAAGCAGAATTACGCCATGAAACTCGGAGACGGAGGTGAAGCATTTTTCGTCTTCGAAACCTCAAATGATATTCCCGAGGCTTTGCAGACTTCTCCCCTGGTTTCTCCCGCCAACAGTCCACCTATAGCTGCTTCCGATAGGCCACCTTCGCCGAGTCTCCTTGAACCATCTTTCTTAGATATATCTGAGGCCGAGAAGGCCCGCAACCCACTGGACCTAAACTCGTCTCGACCCGCAGTCCCAATGATCAGACGAGAGGGCACTAGTCTAAGTGACTTAACCTCGTATGGATCATCTCTATCGTCCTCTTCATTGCCAGAAGGAACGCAAGCCCCTCCAACGCTTGACCGTTCTGCTTCTGAAGAGGTTCTCCCCGTGTCGACCCGAGAACATCTAGACCTTGTCAGTGGAGCATTTCAGTACAATGGCATTCCTGTTTCACCCCAACGCAATCCTGATGGAACCTTTACAGCCAAGGCTGCCGCAAGCCCTCCAGCATTGAAGCCAAAAGAAGCTTATGATAGAGCAATCACTCTATCGAAGAAACTATCTTCGTCCAACATCCGTTCCCAGGTGACCGAATCAGGTGATCTGATGCTGGATATGAAAGGCTATAAAACAAGCGAAGACGAAGCCCTTCGAGCTGAAGCTGTGGCAAGGAAACTTCTCTCAGAGGAATTGGAAGGGAATTACGACATTGGTTCTTTGATTGGTACAGATGATGAAGGTAATTTGTGGATTTACAGCAGTGAGGAAGCTAGGGATGCCGCGAATCGGAAAGCCAGCAATCAAACTCTGGACGCCACAAATGTGTTATCAACCACCGATACGGCTTCTGATCCTGGCTACCATAGCGACAGTGATCGCAGTCCATCTCCAGTACTTAGTGCTAAGTCACATCCGCACGGTCATCAACGTGCTCAATCCGAGGAATATCAGCCTCCTCCTCGGATGTCGGGCGAGCAAGGCCGGAACTTTGCAAAAACACTGCGCTTGACGAGCGACCAATTAAAGTCACTAGATCTAAGATCTGGCGAAAACACGATGTCATTCACTGTGAATCGAGCCACATGTACAGCATACATGTATTACTGGAAATGGGATGTTCCCATTGTGATATCTGATATTGATGGGACTATCACGAAATCCGACGCACTTGGACATATCCTAAACATGGTCGGACGTGACTGGACCCATGCAGGGGTGGCAAAGTTATATTCGGATATTGTTGCCAATGGATTCAATATTTTCTATCTCACAAGTCGCGCCGTTGGCCAAGCGGACACTACCAGAGCCTACCTTAATGGGGTAGTCCAAGAAGGTTGGAAACTACCTCGTGGACCAGTTATCATGAGCCCAGATCGTACGATTGCAGCCTTGCGTCGCGAGATCTACCTTCGCAAACCTGAAGTGTTCAAGATGGCATGCTTACGGGATATTCTTGGACTGTTTCCCGGAAAGACCAATCCATTCTATGCTGGCTTTGGAAACCGCTTCACTGATGCACTCAGCTATCGCAGCGTCAATATTCCATCGACTCGAATATTCACCATCAACTCCAATGCTGAGGTGTCGCTCGATTTATTGACGTTGAACAAATACCGGAGCAGTTATGTCACAATGCGTGAGCTTGTTGACCACTTCTTCCCACCAATTTCCACGCTGGTCAAAGAAGGCGGTGAAGATTATACCGACTTTACGTATTGGCGTGAGAATCCTGCCAACTTGGATAACTTCGTACCAACAGACTCGGAAGGGGAAGATGACTTTGATGATGATGACGATGAATCCGAGGATGAAGATGAGGCGGAAGTTGCATCTGACAATGAGATGGGCGATAGTTATATTTCGCGAGCTAGCTTGGAGGAGTCAGGATTGGGAGATTCCATCCGTGAATCCATCGAGGTAGAAGACGCCGCAAAAAGCCTCGAGAACTCCAACTATCTCGATGTGGAGGAGGACGACGACGACGAAGACAAGGAAGATTCAACATTAGAAGGGGATTTTACCGACGATTATCTTGGAGATGGTTCAAGGCGATCAAGGACGAAGTCACCACCTCAGACGCCAGTACCCTCTGCGAAAGTCTCGTAAGTCCGAGCCAACGGCTCAAGGCGATAGTCGCCCATTACCGCGACTGGGACGTTCGTACGCAAGACAGATCTTGAGACATGGGAACATGGCGTTTGCCAATGAATTTTACATGGATTGGAGGTACGCATGGCATAGCAGGGTTCTACAAAGACAATTGTAAGGGAGAAGCAAACCTATGTCAAGGGAATGGATTCGGCAAATTTCCGAATGCCCTCGAAGCATTGGGGATTGGAAGAAGCGATGTGTGCAACATTTGGGTTCGTTCTGGTACGGCGTTTTCGAATGCGTTTCATTGTAAATATATTCCAACTGATCTCAATGCATTATCATTCCCTCTACTTCACACATGGACCGCATATACTCATCTGTTCTTGTCAGTGGTAAACAAAGGACAAGCCTGTGTGCGGGCTGTACATGCTTTCGACTGGATCGGGATACATAGTAATCGAGGCTGTTGAATGAAGTAGAGAAAAATCCCGCTAACTAGAATACCCAAGTCCCCATAACGGTCCTCAGCCAAAACAAGCAGAAGCAGGATCTGAAGCTCTAGCCAGAAGAGTCATTCATGGCTACAACGCTAGTTTTGCTGGTTTCTCACAAGACACCCGCTCATCTAAGTCGGATAGAAACGCTGCAAAATACTGCAATGTTGAGTGCTGGGGATTCTATCCTCTATCACGAGCCATGTAAAGCCTCATGCTGAGGAAGAGGGGAATTCCCCGTAGTTTCCATCCCTCTCACTCGTCATCCTTCCGTCAGGACGAACTCTTGTTGAGTCAAGCGGGGGACGAGAGGATGGAAGAACGTGTGATGGGTCCAGCAGGTTCAATGCTGTGCCTTCCCACCCTTTGCACTCTCCTTGGCCTTGACCATGGCGTCCACGCGCTGAATAGCTCCGAAGCCTACAAGCATACACTCACCGACCCACAACCACCAAATCCCGCTGAAGGTCTCGACCCAATGCTTTCTCAACCGTGTTCTCGCCAAGTACAGGGTCTCACCACAGTGCACGAGACCGATGAACCACAGGACCGCAGGCGCAAGAATGTAGCTTAGCTGTGCCAGACCGGGCACCCGACCGTCGAGAGACCAGATCTTGTAGATGACACTCCCGGACTCGGGCTGCAGACTCTCACGGAAAGGGAACGAAGTCGTGATCAAGATGACCAAGCCGGCAAGGGCCCACTGGAATACGGAGGTTGGAAGCTTGTAACCATCAACGACGATGTCGCTGAGGTCGAGTTCATCAAGGCAGTCCTGATGCATGGCGACGAGCCTCTCGCGCGCCTGCATGAGCGATTCCATCGGCGGGTCCAAGGGAACCACGTGCCGCCCGAACGATGACTTCAGGATCATGTGTTCGTTGGTGATGTCTTCCATGCTGGCTTGCACGGTTCCGCCTGATGGGATGTGGCAGTACCGCTGCAGGTACAGGCGCAGTGACAACTGGTGGTCTGCGTTCATGTGTGTGATGATTCGGCTTTTCACAGCTGCCGGATCTGGTGGACCGCCTGTTGCTGTTGGCGCTGCCATTTTGTAGCTGATGAACTTTTCGGACACTTGTTGTATGAATTTTCGATATCGATGATGTGCTGCGTGGCGGATTTCCGAGGTTGTTCTGAAGCCCTCCCAGTCAGGTAGTATAAGGTGTGTTTTTTTTTTCTGTTCGGTTTCTAGCGATCCACTCGAGCGGGAGGCCTCCCACAACTTGCCTGGGAGCTGTGTTTGCTGGGGGTTGATATTCCAGGAGTGAGGGCAGGCTTCAGCACCAATATAGCCACTAAAATACTTGGTGCGTAATTACGGCGTATTGGATGCTACTGCGAACCGGAATTGAATACAAGCGATCCGATATCGGTGAGGGAGTTGCAAGGCTCAGTATGTTCGTATGTACCCCGGAGTGCATACAGTCCTCCAAGCCACACCACCGCTTGTGCAGATCAACAGGCCCTGGGCAAGATCAAGGTAGGTATTGTATTCGTAGATTGCTGAACGGATAAGGATTTTCTCGCGTGACGAATTAATCACTGTGAGTGAGCACGAGCGAAAGGAAGAGAACAATATCCGTCATTCACACCGAATATAAATTTTGCGTCTTTCTCTTTCTAACGAGGCCTAACCTCGGCGCATACGGAGATCGCCGATAAATTATAAATTTATAATAGTAGCTTTTACAGTATTGATGCAATAATATTGCGATAATACACGGTTGAGTTCCTTAATAGGGTAGATATAATACTTGCCTAGGCTGAGTAATAGAGTATAACAAAGAGAATAACGATTTACTAGACTGTGTCTAAAATATCGGCATTAGTACCTAGTACTATGTAAGTTGACCTTCTCCGTGCTCCTTCTCCCTGCCCGTAGGCTTGAGCCTCTTGTAAAGATCATTATCATGAGTATATACCTAAGTTTGAGTATATTATACTCTCCTATAATATATTATATATTGTCTACCGCTGAAGGAGCAATCTCGGGCCGCATAAGTAGACAGATTAGCACTGCCCTCTGAAGTCCGGGCGGGCCGGTTAAGTAGCCAGTCCCCTCAGCTACCCCGTACCGTTGGAATTAGTCTGCCCATGCAGAGGCGGGAACCGGCGTCGGCATGTGTGGGCGGTCTTTCAAAGGGTCCAAGCTGCAATCCTCGAACTTCTCTCAGACGTCAAGTAAAGCAGCCTGCGTTGTTGCAAGTACTATGTATATTTCCGTTTCTGATCAAATACTGGAATACCTTTGAGAACCAGCTTAGTCCGCCATATTGACACAATAGCGCCCACTATGCCTCCAACGCGCACCACACGATATCGAGCCCAGCTTGTGTGCATTCAATGCCATTTGCGTAAGGTAAACGCTCTTCTATACTCGTGTAATTCCCAGCTCACAACTCATCAGGTAAAATGCGATCTTGAAGAGCAACCAGGCAGTGTCTGCCGGAACTGTCGAAAACGCGGCCAGATCTGCAGGTACGAGCTCCGCTCATGTTATCATAAAGCTAACTCATACGATATAGCCCTCGAGAAGGAGCCTTTGCAGCAGCAAACAAGGGCCCTGGCCTTAGCCCATCCGGGTCGCCAGTTTCAAGATCTATGTATACGCCTGATCCCGGAATTATGAATGATGTCCAGACAGTGATTCTTTCTCAACCTCATGCCTCCGGACTCAAAAGCCCTGGGCATGGTGTGGCAAGCCCGATGAGTAATCTCACTGGCTATGTTGGCGAGGACTCCTTCATGTCCTGCCCTTCACCTCCCCTGGGACAAAACCCGAAGCGCTCTTCGGACCTTGTGAACAAGGTCTCTGATGACATATTGAGGGTTACAGGGGCTGCGGCGATACCGTCGCCAGTCGTTCTCAATGCGTCTGTTGATGCATATTTTGCGCATGTTTTCCACTATGTTCCAGTTATTGATCGTCGAGACTTCCAAACAAGGTCTCCCTCCATATTACTAGTGCAAGCTATTTGCCTTGTGGGAAGTTTGCTCCGTCACCCAAGACTATCTGGATCTCTAGACCCGGCCCAACAGCTCTACATCAAGACCAAAGCTTTGATCAATGTCGATTACGAGAAGGACAATTTGACAAAGTTGAAAGCTCTTTGCCTTATCGCCCTATGGCATGTGAAGCCGCCTCGAGATTCCAGTCTTGACTGTACTTGGCATTGGACGGGAATTGCTACGAGATTCTTACTGCAGCTGGGTCTGCACAGGGAGTCAACGTACCTCAAGATACCGGGTTCTGGAGCCCCTCGTCGGATTTTCTGGTATCTTTTCGTTAGCTTTATCCTGGGAAACTCGTCGCGCACTTATGCTGATTCACCAAACAGGCTCAAGACAAGTGTCAAGCTGCATGTTACGGAAGGCCAGTGTCCCTATCCACTCACCAATTTGATGTACGCCAATTGGAACTCGTGGACTATGAGGTGGCCGATCAGCAAGCCGAGATATCTCTCGCCTTCATAGGACTCTCAGTCATACTAGGCAAAATGCTCGAGAGTCGAACGCAAACTGCACTGGCTTCTTCCACAGAGGTAATCGCTCCATCACAATTTCGAAATCTCTGACTACTGGCAATCTAATAGACACTTTACTTGTAGGCCATCCCAATACTCGCTAGCTTAGCAGCATGGATCGACAATTTGGCACCATCCGCACGCCTATACGATTTGAATGGGCATAGACGGTACGTTCCAAGCGTACACGAGCTACACATCTTTTACTTCGTGACAGTCATTCTCTTCTTCCATTTCTGCCGACATACGGTGCATCTACCATCGGCCGGGATAACATCGCTGATTGCTTCGTCTTGCATTGCACGCTTGTACGAAGAAATGGACCAACGTGATGATACACACCGCCTGTTAGTAAACAACAACTGGTATTTAGTGGTCGGATGCATCCCTCAAATCAACTACGAGGACAGCTCGTACAACCGGGATGGCACGTGCACTGAAGAATTGACTATCCTGACGTCGGTGCTCAAAGACAAACGTTTAAGATGGCCCCAAACAGCCACTCTTCTCCGCGCCATTGCTCAGTTGCGGCGAGCCAAAAAGACCGGACACCAGATTCTTGAGCCTCAATCATCGAAAAGCTCCTCTGTCAATCATGAATATCTGCCGACTAGCACTCTACGCCAGCTTTTCCCCTTTCCAGAAGGCCTCTGTCCTAGGATGATGTTGCTCGAGGATCTGGACTTGGAAGATTCGATATTGGCCTCAATGGAGCCTGCTGTCGACGAAGATTTCGACTGGATGTTTACAGAGTGCGAACATATCTCATGGGATATGAACCTTGAGTCTCTGATGGAAGGAGATATGCTCACTTCGAACCCTTGACTAACTAACCAGGGCTCACTACAAACGGCTCGAAACCACAGCTTGGGTCACAGAAATCGACAGCAATCCCAATAGCTTGTGTAGAGGTTGCAATTCAGATGACTTATGGCTGATCGAGTCCAGCCTTCCTCGCAAAACATCATACAAGTCCCTCTTTGAGAGGCTTACACTCAGATCTGAGTGGCCCTCAAAGTGGCTTTCCTCGGGCAAGGAACGATTCGTGAGAGCTCCATTGCTCAGATTCACCCTCCAACGCCGGTGCTCGTCTGGAACATAGAAGTCCAGCACCATCTTGGTTTCTTCGCATCTTGGGCCGTCAAGGTTGATGGAGAGACAGTCAAACCACTGATCAACAGATAATGCAGGGTTAACAGCAGGGATATCTGTCATTCCACCCTGCCCGCCTTGGTCCCGCGACGTCTGTCGAAGGTCCTGGGCCTTTGTGAGATAGAAATTGCGCCAAGTCGCATTCTCTGCACCAAACCCCAACTTCTCGAAAACTCGGGACAGAGCACTCTTCACCACTGGCGACGCAGGAGCAGCGTATAAGGCATGGTCCAGCAAAGTCGCCGCAAAGCGCAAATCATTGTCGTCTTCGAATTCCCGGGCCCTTTGAACAAGCCCGTCGACTCCTCCAAAGCATTTCAGATACCTCTTGCCTTCCTCCTCTGGAGGGTGCTGCCATAGATGCGCCGGGTTTCCATCGAACCACCCTAAATATCGTTGATAGACAGCTTTCACGTTGTGGCTGACGGAGCCATAGAAGCCTTGTATGTGCCACGCCTTTTGTAAGCTCGTCGGCAGTCGAATTTGCTCTGCAATCTGAATGCCACTAAGGCCTGTATTCATCATTCGCACTGTTTGATCGTGGAGATAGGCGTAAAAGTCTCGCTGTTCTGACAATAACTGGCAGATTTCTTTTCGGCCCCATGTTGGCCAGTGATGTCCTGCAAATAGGACGTCCGCTGTCCCAAACACTGAAATCGTTTCGTCAAGGTATTTGGACCATGCTTTAGCATCCCGGACTTGAGCTCCTCGGAGTGTGATGATATTATGCATAACATGAGTAGCACATTCCGCTATGCAAAGTGCTCGATGGTCCGGAAAGTAAAAGTTGATCTCGGCTGGCGCTTCTGTCCCTGGAACCATTTGAAATACAATCCTGATACCATCAACCGTATGTTCTTCGCCAGTTTGCGTGACGAGAACGGTTGGGGCCACAATGGCACTCTGTCCACTTGAGCATCCTAGACCAAGTCCAGTGCCCAGCTGCCCATCAGGCTTCTTGAGTAAATGGGAACCAAACATGTATTCCGCCCGGCGGCGCATGGCTGGACCGGCAAAGATGTTTTCTGAAAGCACCTCTTCCATAAAGCCATTTGGAGCATAGATCGGAATCTTGAGATTTTTGTTTTGCGGGAGAACGCCAGCAGCACCACCAAAGTGGTCCATATGTGAGTGCGAATAGATTACACCCTTGACCTCGACACTGCCTCGGTGTTTGCGATATAAGGCAAGCGCCGCTGCCGCACACTCGATGGAGACAAGAGGGTCGACAACGAGAACGCCCGTGCGTCCTTCGACGAAGGTTATATTGGAGATATCAAGGCCACGGACTTGATAGATGCCTTCCGTGACCTTGAAGAGGCCTTGTCTCGCGCACAGCTGCCCTTGCCGCCACAATTTTGCATTGGCGGTAGGTGGACATTCAGCTTGAAGGAAGTCGTATTGGTCGTTGTTCCAGACGACGCGGCCGTCTTTGTCTCGGATAATGCAAGGACTGAGCTTACCAACAAATCCTCTATCAGCGTTCTGAAAGTCAGTTCTGTCCTCGAAGCTGGGACTAATTTGATCGGTGGCCATTTTGGTAGGTTATTGGTGAGATCAGTTTCAGGACACTGTAGACTGAGGAGGAAGTGATGAGCGTGTCAGAAGTCCTGGTTGATTCCGAGAGAGGGGCCACCTATATTGTCCAGTTTCGAGACTTGGCCTGGAGAGAATCTCTAAAACTATCTAGCCTGCGGTTGAGACGAAATCGCGAGATGCGCACGGCATATGATTTTCCTTCTCATCGCAATGCGACCCCACGGCGGAATCAAACCATCGAACTGTAAGTTTGAGGGTGCGGAGAGCACCGGACCTGGGGACTAAGCATCGATTGAAATCAACTCGTGTTTGTTGTTTCGCTACGAAGCTCACTCACAGGTTTCATGGATAGAGACCCACGTACCGACATTGTTCGGTAACGCTAAGACGTAGCCGATCCACTTGCCGAGCCAATGAATCGCAACATAAATGTAGTCCCCCGCAAAAACCTGAACGGCACTTCATTTGGGAGAAACAGCGCGACCACAATCTGGGGAACCTCAGCATCATCAACGCCCAAGTATGAGTTCGATGGCCCATGGGAGTGTGGTCCAGAACGCTCTTGAGCCGCTCTTCCGCCGCGGATCCAACCACTCCAAACTTGCCGAGCCGAAAAGTGTTTGTCCAACAACAATATAGAGACCTCTGGCCTGCCTGCCAGAGCCATCCCTGAGACACTGTACAGTTGCTATCGACTTTTCTTCCTTGCACCAGCACCATCACAAGCTTGAATACTAAACTTCTATCGGCGCTCAAGAACTTGAGATGGCCGCTCACGGGAACATGACCACCGACAAGGACATATCAAAAGAAAACTTCATTGAGGATGTTCGAGGGCACACTCCTGTTGACCTTCTGGAACAACAGAACGCCGACGAAGTGTTCACTCCAAAAGAAGCCCGGGACATTGTGCGCAAGATCGACTGGCGACTGATCGTGCCCCTCGGCCTGATGCTAGGTGCCAACTTGATAGACAGAACCAACTTGGGAAACACCTCGATCGCCGGGATGACAGCTGATCTAGAGCTCAACGTCGGCAGTCGCTATGTGAGTGTCCTGACTGATGAAATGCCTACTCATGTTGATTGCTAGTTAGAACATCATCCTGCTGGTGTTTTTCGGACCGTACGTGTTGGCACAACTCCCATGTGCCATCATTGTACGCAAATGGGGACCACGAACATATCTTCCGCTGATTACCCTGCTCTGGGGAATCGTTATGCTGGTAAACCGGCTGGCTACCTTTTGATTCAATTCCAGACCGTTGCTGACCATGATCAGTCTTTTGCCTTTGTCCGAGACTGGCGAGTCATGATCGCTCTCCGCGTGCTCCTCGGTGTTGTGGAAGCAGGACTGTTTCCGGGCGCTATTTATCTTTTGTCTTTGTGGTATACAAGATGTTAGTTCCCTAAGCCGATTCAAGAGCATGACACTCATCGTTACACTATCAGATCAGGTATACAAGCGGTACTCATCTTTCTACCTGATCTCAGTCATTGGAGCCGCATTCTCCGGAGTGCTGGCATACGTCTTCTCTTTGATGAAGGGCCTTGGTGGACTCGAGGCTTGGCGCTGGATCTTCGTCATGGAAGGCTTGATCACGATCATCATAGCATTCATCGGCTATGCGATGATGGTAGGCGTTCCTCAGGATTCACACAAAGCCTGGAAATTTCTCAGCAAGGAAGAGGAAGACTACATTCTCCGCACTCTCGAGAACGACCGTCACGATGCGGAACAAAATGAGGAATTCCAATGGGGCAAATTCCTCAGACCAGCTACGGATCCGAAGATCTGGGGCTTTGGATTTTTGTTTTTCTTCTCAACCATTGTGGCCTACGCCATCTCATACTTTCTTCCCATCATCCTGTTGAGGCAATTGAAATTCGAACTCGGCGTCGCTCAGCTCCTGAGCACTCCGCCTTTCATTTGGGCATGCATCCTCATGCTCATAGAGGCTTGGCTTGGTGACTGTTATCATATTCGCGGTCCCATTATTATGTGCAATTCAATTCAGTCCATTGTCGGATTATGCCTTCTGGCCTGGACAAGCACGCCAGGTGTACAGTACCTGGGCGTCTGCTTCGTCGCCGGAGGGTGCCATCCTAATCTACCTGCTGTCATCACGTGGCAAGCGAACAACGTCCGCGGTCAATGGAAGCGGTCCTTCTGCAGTGCTTCTCTCATCGCTATGGGAGGCGTGGGAGGAATTGTAGGGTCTGTCGTCTATCGAGCTAAGGACGCACCGAGATACTTGCCGGGAATTTATGCCAGCATTGTGTAAGTGAAATACTGTTTCTTTCTATCTGAGAGCTAGCTTGTTGATGAGGATAATTTGCTAATACTAAGTTATATGTTTAGGTGCTATGTGCTCACACTTATTGTCAGCGGCATGATGATGTTGTATTTCTCCCGAGTTAACAAACAGGCTGATAATGGACACAGGCTGATTGAAGGATTGGAAGGTTTCAGATATACACTCTAAATATACTGAATAACGATGACTGCTTCAGTAAGAGGTTTTGGTGACAGCCTTAGCCCCAAGACGCGGACAGCAACTGTAATTACTTTTATTAAATCGTCTATTCCAATCTTATAAGGACCATGTAGACTCCCTATCTCCGCTAATACTGTATTCAGCCCTCTTTCTCAGGAATCCCTATCTCTAACTTCTTTACGCACCTGGCCTGCGGCGGACTTATAGCTCACTCCTCGCACCCTGGTTGTGTGTCTAAAGGCCACTTCTCACCCCTGAAAATCGATCTCGTGCCTGCGGATGTGGTGTAATCATTGAAGATGCCGCTACCCCCTAAGAACTTCCTCTGAAATCTTCGTCTTTTAATTCCTGAATGGTCCAATAGTTTATAAGCGAGCAATCCATAGCCTTGTCTACTATAGCTAAGACAATTGTGTATTCCCGGTCGCATATAGAAAGCATCTACTTTCACACAATGTTCCTCACCTACAAAAGATTTTGTCTAGTGTCTGAGTTCGGCCCCCACGTTTGTTTGGTGAGGTCGGCATCTTTTTCACAATCGCATAGGCCGGCATCTGCGTTTATCCTCCGGCTATGTTGGCATAACGCTACAATCCGCAACCTGAAGACCCTGAACCCCTTTCACCTATAGTTTGGTGTTTAGAACGGCCAAATTATCTGAATCAGCACTCATTTTGCACGTTCCAGTAGCGTGATAGCACGTAGTTGCGTGTTGCCTCACACAGGGAACTCAGTGCTCACGTGTGGTGTATCCATGGTGTGTGAGATCTAAGAGAAGAGGGAGGTCGGAAGCTGTTGGTAGTCAAGGCAAAATGGAGTCTGTCCTTGCTCACCTGGTGGACAGGAGCCTTTGATGACTTACTTTGTCCCGGCTCCATTCAGTGCTATTTCGTTACTCGGTCTGCAGCCTTCACTGAGAACTTGGACGTTCTGGGTCTGAGAGAAAGTTGCGGTCGATGACTGGATTCTCCAGTGGGTCAGTAGAGGCCAAGGTGATCGTACCACTGGAGCTGGGTGTGAAGAGCTCGATAACCATGGCAAATGCGTGCTTTTTCCTGAAGGGACTTAGTCGTTCATAATATAGGTGATGTGTTAGGGGTTTGCAGCTTGCTTAACTTGCTTACCATTTGCGATATCATCATATTGCTTCAGTCCGCCATATAGCTGTAAATAATTAGCCATTTCAACCTTAATGCTGAGCCTTCTAAGAGAAAGATTTGCTTCGGTATTGAAGATCTCGATGTTTGGCTATTTCAGCGTTAGGCCCATAGAATTTCTGCCAGCTTCTTTCGGATTGCTTCTTCAAAGAGGCTCATTCTTCAAACGCTCGTCAACTGCGCGAAGGCAAAAGCTCCAAAAGGAAGGATGATAGTACTCTAGTCTTTGCTTCTTTCCAGAGCATGGATGTAGATTCAGCTGCATCTCCGTGGTAACTAGGAAGCAGGGCTTTCAGTAGATTCTTTTCATTCAGCTCATAGTAGAACATACACGAGACGGTCATTAGTGAGGCCTTCCTTTACCTCGTAAAATGTGAAAACGATCTAGCATCCATTAGTATTAGAAACTCATGTGGCACGTAGCTCCCGGGGTGAGAACTTACCAGGTGCTCAAGCAAGTTCTTCCCGACCCGAGGAGAATTCACAAAACGTCTGATTCCCAATCTCCCTAGCTCAGCCTTGGGTCCAATGTCAGCTCTCTGGAGGATTATGGGGGACAATATGCCCCTGATTCATCACCGCCATGATAGGTTCGGAGAGAATAGACCTATAACAGCAGAGACGACTATCTCCTTAGCCGCCACCGCATCCCACGAATGCCCAGGTTTGTTGACGAGACGAACGCTTCCAGCTCGGAGTTGGGAGCCTCCTTGCGCAGGATCACTTTATCAACAATCGTCTCCACCACTATACATAGTATCGATGTTATTCGAATGGTAGTCATTGGTAACAAAGTCGGCTACTATAGTCGGGGTTCATTTATGAACAAGACTTCTCATGGCAATTTTTTCCAGCTCCTAGGCTGTAATCATAACTGTGCGTGGTGCATGGCCGCAGCCATGTGTGTTTCGCCATTCGTAAGCATGTCGTGAACAAGTGGTAGTCCTTTCGATTCCAACGATTTTAGCACTCGTTCAGATATTCTCGCCAGATCGTGCGGCTCAGCGTGGAGTGGGCCATCGTAGCCGTGTGCACTCTTATCTGCTTCGAACCATGGTTTGGTGTGGAACATCTCGGACTACTATGGTAAGTGATTTTCCCTCAGTGGGATAGATGTTACACAACCATCTCCATGTCCCCACCTACCGAGAGTCTGCCGAGAAACTGAAGGCTGCCGAACCCCACGGCGGGGTGCCCACGACTTACATACTAGGGTACGGAGAAAATCTGTGCACTGATTTAATCAGCTCGTGACCCGAAGTTGCCAAAGCACGGTCAAGGACTCAAGGTGTACTTATTGTTGAGGCCTTGTATGTGTAGAATACTACAAGGTCACATGTGTGCACACAGTGTAGCGTGCTCGTGCTCCACTAGCTATTGGCGGGACTCGGGATGAAGATTGAATAAAATGTTGATGGATTTTTTCACAGAGATCAAGTCCAGATACAGCACCTCGCCACCTCGCACTGACTCTAATACAATCTAATTTATCTTTGGTGTTTTACAGAAAAAATCGAGGTTCTGTGAACCGGGAACACCTCAAGAACGTCCACGTCCATTCACCAGTTGGACCATTGCTTTCCAAGGAACACCTTCCCTGGTGGATTATAAAGCTTCTGGAGTACACATGGGATTCGCCATACGAGGCATAGCACTGTGGCTTGAAATAATACACGAAATTTTGGCGTCTGGTACCAAACCTTGACAGGAGGCACAAAACGTATCAAAGCGACTCAGGATCAGGATCATCTTGTAAATATCTACAAGCAACATGTCCGCGGAATGGCAGCGAGTAGCACGCTGGCTTCCTCAGGAAGTCATAAGGTTGGATCCTGACTGATTTTGCACGCTGATGGGCCCGAATGGATGGCTTGAAAGTCTCTGATTCTCTATCTGATGTTGCTTGTTCTCTTGCTATACATATTGGGCTGCAGAGCGATCTTTTCTTGCTCTTTTTCCATCAAGAAGATGCCTAGTCCACCTCTTTTCACCCTTTTATCACTTTACAGTAATATCGTCGATACTACAGGGAAATAGGAGGGGGAGATAGTAGTACATACTCTACATCTATAAATCATTTTAGCGTGCGTATAATTCGTAAAAGTCCTTATTTCTATTGATACTATAAAATTTATGTAGGAGCTATACAATAGTAAAAGTTAAAATTTAAAGATAATTGACGTATTGACTCATCCCAATAATTTAAACCGTCTGGATATGATGCTGACCACTGGTGGAAGACGGCATTGCTCCAACGCACATGTCAACAAGAAGCCACTAGTTCCGTCAAGAATATGATACTCTCAATTAGTTACTTTATATATCTGATACTCGACGGCCGAGCCTCTGTCATCGACAATGTATCTCCCCTGAGCAACAAACAGAGAAGTCTCAACCCATTTGAAGTTAGGATCGCTGGTCTCTATTTTTGGCCCCGCGAACCATTCATGGTCGCCGTAACTTGTCGTTTTCGCATCATCTGCCGCGGCGAAGACTTTATTCCCGGCATCATCCAGCTTCAACACCCCGTTGTAGTGGATGTACAGGCTGTGGCCCTCTGAGGTGCGTGCTTGTGTACGCACGTCCAGGTGTGCGATGTTGGTGGATGGATCGAGCTGTGTGTTGAGAGAATGCCTCAGACAATGCACTAATTGATACTTTCGAAACGTTTCAACTGGGCAGTACAAAGGGCATGACACCGAGAGAGGACAATGGAACACCACGAAGTGATTCTCCTAGTTTGATGCGCTTACCAGCAACCAGTCAGCCCCGCCAGGCTGGACCTCCGCCTTCAGTCCAGGGCCCTGGACAAACCCGTGCGTGATGGGAAGGATGAGTCTTGATGGCCCGCTCAGGATGCCGTCGAGCTTGAAGGACTCCTTCGAAAGGTATGCTCGCATGATGAAGGCAAATTCCAGCTTGGGAGCCATTCTTGCGATCTAACGTTTAGCCTTTGAATGGCGAAGGAGAGGAAATTTCAATTTGGTGTGAACGAGGAAAATGTAGCCATGTTCGAAGGTGGGTACGTCGTATTTCAGTTGGAACAGCCCATGGTCCAGAGGTGAGACTTCCCTTTGCGTTGTCTTCTTTTGATCCTTGCAAGTGTCGCACTCTCTCTCAACATACGTGTGCAACAGTGCAATTGTCTCTCTGCGTGGGAAATGAGAGCCTATCACAAGGTCAAGTAGGCAGGAATTAAGCCTTTGTTTTAGCAATACGACTGTGATTGTTACCTGCAGCTTGCTGAGCACGATGAGGTTGCAATCTCTTGATTATGTCAGTGCTCGAACGCGAAATGCAACCGGTTCACCTTCTGGATGCCAACAGTTCATGGTCGAGCATGCAGGTATCGGGAAACCCGATAATCATGGGTTTTCTGCCTGTCCTTGGATTCAAAATCGTGTGGAACAGCCCGATACGGGATCTCACGTCTGGCCGTCGTCAAGGCGTGCCGGCTCATTTTATGGAGCCAGGTTGAAGTGCAGCCAATCAAGGTAGCGGAAAGATCTGCTGGAAGCGGTTAGCTTCTGGGGCGGATATTCAGGAGTTGGATGGACCGCTTGTATCCATCGTCGCTTAACTCGCTCAACTCGACCAGAACAGAAACCAGAAACCAGAAACCTTTACCAACCCCATGTAGAATTACCAACGACAACGATGACTTGGTTGCCTTAGTACGATGTACTGACTAATTGCCCAGTCATGCATGCAGCACGGTTGGATTCTATGTGATGACATAGGTTGTTTTGTTTACATGTTCACGTTCAAGTTCGTGATGGATCCGACCTTGAGGGTTGAAATGCCTTTTCTATTTAATGAACTCGATGGACACAGTGAAGATGCCTCTCACTCTCACTCATCCGTCTGCTCAATTCCAAAGAGACACTTATCACTACTTAGGACGGCCAACATTTGCACAGATTCCAATCTATCCACTCTCGGTCTGGCTTCAGACTTACCTGCCCTATCCCCGTGCTACTTATTATATCAACTGTTTTTGAGTCAAAAGCAGCAAAATCTGAACATGAGTTCCAAGCCTAAAGTTCTTTACGTGCTCTCCTCGGCCGAACAAGGATGGTATCTTGTGTGTGAACCTACTTATCTCCATTGATACGGCCCCTCCAGATGGCATTCCAGACTAACCATGTATCCCCCCCAAAAGCCAGAGTTCGCGCACCCATGGCAAGTGCTCAACGAGCACGTTGAATCGGTTGTCGCCTCACCCAAGGGCACCAGCGTCGTGGACCCGATCTCCGTGAAGCTCTTCAAAGACGATGCGTACTGCCAGGAGTTCTTCAACACGAAGAAAGACATGTGGGAGTCGACACCACTCCTCTCATCCTTCCTCGGACGCGCTGGTGAATTCGACGTGATCTTCATCGTCGGCGGGTTCGGGCCGATGTACGACCTGGCGACCGACAAGACGTCGATCCAGTTGATACGCGAGTTCCACGATGCGGGCAAGATCATCGTCGCGCTGTGCCACGGCTCCGCGGCCCTCGTCCACGTCAAGGTCGCCGACGGCACCTACCTGATCAAGGGCCAGCCCGTCACTGGCTTCAGCGACTTGGAGGAAGAGCAGGCCATCGCCAATAAGATCGCTCCGGCGGGCATCCCATTTGATCTGGAGAAGTCCCTCAATGAGCACAGCGGCGGCCTGTATGAAAAGAACCCCGAGGCCTGGTCTCCACACGTCATTGTCGCTACCCCTAAGTTGCTCTTCGGTCAGAATCCAAACAGTGCGCATCCGCTGGGTGAGGAGTTGTTGAAGGTGCTCCAAGGGAAGAGTTAAGTGGAGGGATTTCTGACCATCGCTGGATCCGGTTCGGTCTCCCCTTCGCGGGCTGAAGCCAGAGTTCCAGGCAGCTTCGACAGAATCCGCAAATCGAATAGTTTTGCCTCGTCACTTGATGTCGCACGATGGAGAGAGATACGATGTACTATGTGCCTCAGCATTGATTGGCAAACATGGAATAGCAATACGCTTGCACGCACCGTAGAAATGGTGTCAACCCTATGTCGCAGAGCATAGAAACCGCAGCCAAGCACCTGCTGGAGTCGGAGTACATGGTATGTAGACGGTGAATATTGCATAGGCCTAAATATTATTACCGAAGTCATGTACGTAACGTGCACGACTGACTGGTCCAGTGCATAACCCAAGGCGAAAAAGATGTTCGTGTAGTACTGAAGTACCATCTCCGTCCTCATCACGCGAATCAATTTTCGATGTTCAATGAATAAAGTAAGGGAGATATCAAATATGGCACGCACGCACGCACACACGCGCGCATGGGTGTGTCATTCCCAGTCTGTGAGGCGTCCCATCCGCTGTAATCAAAACGCCGTTTCCTCATGCTCCGCTCGGCCCTATGTTTCCCAGTCATCATCCCAATAGCCCCGTCCCTTGTGCCTCAACGCCGTTTGAAGAGAAAATCCCCATTTCATGCCCGGTTATCCAATTTCGTTACCCATCAATTCATTATCTCATCCCTTTAATTCACGCTCGGTGCGGATTTATCTCCATGGGACCTCCTAGTCGTCGCATTTTCTTCCGTGCATATAAGAACCCTCAAGTCTTTGGTTTCTTGGTTGGGCCCAAGCGTATATACGAAGCGACGGTCTTGGCGTTGCTATAATATAGTTTTCGGGAGTGCTGTTCCATTTATACTGTTCTGGATTCCAACTCTTGAGCCTTGAGCACGCCGTGTGCTCGATCTTCCCTACACTTTAGGCGGTGTTGGGAGGGGCGTCGCCGTGCACTACGTGCGCGAACAACAATAATTCTGCGCCCTGTGCGTTTGCATTGGATGACTGGGTTTCGCGCCAGTCAAGCAACGCCTCATGTACGGCCTCATCGCTGTCAATGAGAACAAAATCGCCATCCTCATCTCTATATCGTAACCGAACCGAACCAGAAGAAATGGAATGGTTCGTAAATCGCGCCAGTTTAGCGTCGATACGCTCTGCCAAAGAACGGAATTGAATGTTGCTCGCAATAATCATCGAAACGTAATTTTCATCAAAGCATACCTTCGCTTTCAATTGGCTTGGGAGATACGAGTCACTATCACTGGAAGGTGAGGATATGGGGGGGGAAAAGGCCCTGCCTTGTGATAGTGACGCAGCATGTCCTGGTTTTCTTGGATCTGCGCCATAAGTTGCATCGTAGGTGTATCCATGATTGGGAATAGTTGGCCGCTGACTTGAAGGCAAGCCATACTGCTGGTGTGGGGTGCTACCTCGTGATGGAGGATTATTGATTGGAGAATTGTTCTGACTTCTGTTCGGAGCACCCATCTGTTTTGCCATATGTGCAGGAATAGGTGGTACACTGGGAGCATGCTCCCCGGAGACGTACTTACGACCTTGTTGTACCATAGGATGAACATCTGGGCTGCTGGCAGATCGCATTCGAGGAGGTCCCATTCCACCTGCCGATGGAGGACCTCGTGATCTTTGACCATTTACTAGATAAGGGTTGCCGGTGGCTTGCCCATTCGGATTTCGTGCCATCGCCGGCGCAGTATTCCGGTGAGACTCCTCGGGACGATACAGTCCCGCACTGACTGGAGTTGTTCCTCTGTTGTACCCAGCAAAAGCTGACTGGGAGCTCGATCTCGAGGACATTGAACCGGGCGGTCCTGACGATTCCCTGTCGATGGGAGAAAAGTACGAATTGCCAGGATGCTCTTGAGGAGATTGTGTTGGAAGTCCTCGGGTATTCAAGGTCAGTCCGCCCATCTCAGAGGTCGGTATGCGCATACGTGGATTGCTTCCTCCACTGCCGCCTGTGGCAGAACGAGCCCTCAGACTGGTGCTTGAAGCATTTCTGCTCATGGTAAAATCGGAGTATCCACTAACGTCGGTACCTCCATATGTCGTGGCAGACATCCGGCTATAGTCCTCATCGTCATCCTGTGAATGTAGATATGGATTTTCCATGTTCACGCCCTGAAGTGAGAGGAGTTGCGTGTCAGACGTGCCCCTAGTTCTTGCTTCCAGAATACAAGATGATCGCTGTGTCTGAATCATGGTATGCCACTTTTGTAGTGTCTCGTCACTCTTGAATTTGATAATGAATGTATCCACCGCGGGTTCACCTTTCCAGGAGATTTGCAACGAATAGTTGCCGGGAGTCGACTGAGGTGTTACACCAATAACATTGGTGAAATAAATGCGTCCTTTCAAGTTCATTTTTGGTTTCCCACGCATACTCAGCGTCTGGCGAGTGTTTGCCAATCTGTTCTTGGGCTTGTTAGCGTTGACATCTTTGCACATAATCAATATGCGACTGAATAGGTAAATATGATATTCCTTCTCGTCTGAACGAAGTCCGCTGTCTTTCATAACGCTGAAACTTCCCAGAAGCAGCAGTTCACCAAAGGATTGGATTTGTAGTTGCTTCCAGTCATCTATTCGTTCCTGCAGGTCTTGTAGAGCATCATCGCGAGTTTCCTTGTCAATCGAGGCGTCGGCTTGCATGAGAACGTCTTGGATGATACCAATGGCGCTGTTCAAGTCCTCCTTCAACGTCTCGTTTTCGGTTTGGTTTTGCAAATCCTAGATGGTCAGCATAAGTTTGGAGTAGTGTAGAGGATGAACTTACTTTCAACAGCAAGGGATATTTAGTTAACCTTTGGAAGGGTTTGAGTAGGAAGCCGTTCAGAATGGTCGGATTCGCAAGCATTTGTCGGGTAAGCGTCGATCTGGCAGTGGCAACCATAGTATCCCATTGCTGTTGGCAAGTTGTTTCACACCTCCTCTGATTGGCAATGAAGGGTTCATATTGCCTGAAGGGGTCTTTGTAATGGACAAAGAGTCGACCCCAGTTCTGTTGATCATCAGGGACCGCATTCTGTTGTTCAATCCGAATGAGAAAACGCTGAGCGAAATCTAGAAGGTTGTTCAGATTGAGGAAGATGTTGTGGATCGCATCGCCCCCCAAAGCGCCGACTTCCTCTAATTCCCTCTTCAGAGCTTGTAGATTCTGTAGATGGTGAACATATTGTCTTTCGGTGTCAACGAGTTCCCGCAATATATATTGCCTCCTAGTCATCGTCTTGGGACTTTGTTCTGGGGCGCTGGCACCGCTGTCACTTCCTTCACGTGACTCGCCGCTGTCTGTTAAATCGGGTAATTTCCCACTCATTTCGAGAATATCCAGCACCCGGTTGACAAGTTTAGTGACTTTCACAAAATTGGTTGTGTTGTCGCTGAAGAGTTCCGAGACGCTAAAGGTAGCTTGGACTGGAATGTCCATTTGCTCCATGCAAGACTTGATGAACAACATGGTGGCGGCTTTCCCGACTTTGTGGGCCGGAGTCGGGCCAAGTTTCACATCTTGTTCTGGATTGGAGGCATTGAATATCGTCAAGAGGGGCAAACCACTTCGAAAGCACTGCCACAGAGAGGACACAGGATCTGTCAATCCTTCGGCTTCGCGCTCATCCATTTCATCGAGATAGGGCTGGAAACCTGGAACGCCAGCCAACCGCCGGCGCAGCTTGATGCAGATTTGGTATAAAGACTCTCCATCTCTTACATTTATGATGTTGTTCTTGTCCAGTATAGGACCATGGTCGCCGTTCATGGCTGGCGGGCTCGCCAGCATGCCAGACGCGATTCAACCGGTATAAAGAGCCGAAAGAATGTGACAGGGAGGGAGGAAAGTGGTGGCTAACGCATGTAATCGAGGTGACGGGTCAATCAACAGCGCAACAACAGCAGCTTGCGCTGTGAATGAAGACTGTTTTGTGTATAGTTAGTATTGGAGGGAATTGAGCATATGGCGGGCGTCTGCAATGCAGAGTAAAAGACAACGAGGGGCGTCTGAGACACAGTCAGGACATGGTTGCGGTGTGAGGGCGCAAGGGAGTGTACGGGGAGAGATCTCGTACCAGCAACGGTGATGGGAAAGATGACACAGATAGCCCAGGTCTGGCAGTACGAGGCTTTTAGGAAAGGGAGGTCAGTTGCTATTGTTGGAAGGGTTTGATTGCGATCGCGGTCGAGTGGTGGTTGGCAGCTGGGATTGAGATGAATGGTTGGTGGACGAGGTGCAAAGACAGCCAATCAATGGCGGTGCGAATGGCGGTGCGAACGGCAGCCAGCGCGAAGAGACGAAGAATGAGAGGTGGGGACAGACACAAGATTCTCACACCCAATCCACTTGTATAGACAGTAGACCAGTGGTTGTCGTTTGTATATCTTGAGGCCTGCTGGTGGTGGTGGTGATGATGGGTTATGGGAGGTTGCCAGATGCAAGACGTGAGGTGAGGTGATGGGATGGGGATGGATGGTGTTGAGAATGTGGAAAGGTGAGCTGAGCTGGTGACTGGCTCCCTTGTACGGGGTACTCGTACTGGAAGTTACAGGTGGTGTGTAGTGGGCATGTTAGCACTTTGGGTGCTGTAGGGACCTACTACGAGTACTAAGTTAACTAGTAGTAGCAGTTGGTGGGTTAGTAGGCCCCGTTATTGCTTGGGGCGAAGCGCGGCTCTGGGTGTCCCGGGGGTCGTCAGCTGGTAACTAATGGCAGTAGCTTGCCCAAAGAATGGGGACGGCAAGCCGGCTACAGCTAGAAGTCCAAAGGCTGGGTGGTCCCTGTCATCTAGTTCTCGAAGCCTAAACAAGCTACCACTTGGCCAATGCTTTAGGTAACCAAACCCCCGAACGACAACGAGATTCTCCCACCTGTTTAACTAGAAAGGTTCACCTTGACCCTGCGTACCCTCTACAATTGGTTTACCCTACCACCGACTAAACTCCTTTTGCATCCTTCGCTCCCCACTCCATCAATTGATCCGCTTTCGAAGGAACCAGAAGACCCATTCTAAACGTTCCATCGCGGCCCAAGTTCATTCACGATCCGTTGCCGCGGGTTCTAGCAAGACACCGAGCGTTACTAAATTCGTAGAGTGTGTGATATACTGGACCTCTACCGACACGAGCAAAAACTGTTCCTGTTCAGGCTCCATCAAACCACTAGGGATCGTTAGCAGCTCCTTGAGAGGGTGACTCCACCACCCGAGATCCCCTCCCGTGTGCTTCCCCCCCCTTTGCCCCCAAGCGTTCAGAATAAGGCCGGCAAATTGAGGGACGGCCACTACCGGGGGCAACGATCGACCACCCGCTAGTTACTCTTCCCCGTGTGCTCCCAGCAGTCATTTGCGTGGCAGATCGGCTCTAGCATTTCTCGTTTACTACTCTGCTGGGGACCCTGGGAGCTTCTGCATGGCACACACTTTGTCAGGCCGCCTCGAGCTTTGACCTGCACTTGCGTGTAGTGCTTCCGCACCCGCAAGGGCAAGGCTTGTTCCGCGTTTGGCGCTTGAACTTATCCAGCGTTGAGGCACCACATGCAGAGATTGAGCACGAAAAAGTGTGACAAGGTGGTAACATGGAGACAGCTCTTACAATCATGATGTCCGGAGTATACAGGTATCTACGGATCTAGGGTTTCGTGATTCAAAGACGATGGCCATTGAACAGCCCACGTGAAAGTGATAGATAAAAGGCACGCCCACGCTCACCAGCAGAAGGAAAATTTTGCACATGGCGTCCTCCTCACGTGTGTTTCAGACTCTGCCGAAAAAGGGGTAGTGACTCCTGGGCGCACAAACAAATTCTCCTTAAAGTTCCCTGCCTCGCCCATCGCCAATCACCACGCGCGCAGCATCCTCGAACCCTGGCCCTCAAACGCGTGCTGATGCTCGGAAAATCAGTCACAATCAAAAAGCTTGATCCTACTGTGTCGTTAATTCCTATTACAGGGTCCCAAGGGCAAGTCTATGGAAACTGAGATCTCAGATCACCGTACAAGGAAGGGGCTTTTCCGGGTTCGGTAGGTGGCTAATGCAGTCCTCGGGATCCTTCAACGCGCCAGGTATGAAGGACGAGATTCATGGGTATATAGGGTATATGGGTCAAGTGTTCGAGGTACAAAGAGTATGAGTACAGACGGAACGCAGGGCACGGATACGAACAAAGCCACGTATGGAGTATACAAGGCCACGAACAGCCAAATCTTACCCATCCGTACATGGCTTTCGATTAAGTCAAAACCCCTATCAAACACAACAATTGAGCTAGGCTGGGAAGAGCCATCAGTTGGTGAGTGTCTCAACAACGCTGCTAGATACTGCTGGTGCGGAGGACGAGTACATACATGCGAGGACTACAGGTCGCGTCAGCTCCGTCGTGATGACACTAGTAACCCCACTATCACGGGACTTGCACAAAAGCCTTTTTTTATGACAAGCAGCTTGTTTCCGGTGCCGTACCGAGGTCTCTCTTCATCGATGCCATCACTCGGCTCAGATGGGGCGGCTCCTTGAGAACAGCCCCGTCGACCATCGGACAGAGCACCAATTATTATCCCACCCAGCGCCACTGCGAACCCCGCGATGGAGAGAGAGGGAGACTCAGGATTTGTTGGAGGCCTTTCTGACTAAATCACAGTTTTGTACGAGAACAGGTTTAAACGTTCTCCTCTCGATCCATGTTATTTCATTTCTATCGTTCACTCTTTTCTATCATCAGTTAATAGACCGTAGACCATCTTCCCTGCGCCCCATTTCACACACCACAGTGACCATGGGCGACCTCCTCGATAAAAACTACCTTCTTTCTCTGGGAGAGATAGACCCCGAGTTGAAAGCTGTACCGACCAAAGCCCCCCCCTCTCTCACCATCCCATCTGACCATGTCCATCTAGTTCCTAGAAAAGGCCAAACTTCCCCCTGTGAATTATGACAGTCTGGATGACTTCAAGCTTCTCGTCGAAAAAAGAAACGAAGAGACTCTGCGAGTACTCGGCCCCGCTCCTCCTGAGATCAAGCAGTCCGAAGTCCAATATCCCGCCGACGACGGAACCTTGTTGAGGGCAAAGCTCTACCAGCCAACCACGAAACCTCAGAATGGAAGCCCATTGGTAGTCTTGTTTCATGGTGGTGGTTTCTGTATAGGTGCTCCTGAAGGAGAAGAGCAAACAGCTCGAAATCTGGTCCAAGCATTTGGCGTTGTCGCCATTTCGGCCTCTTACCGACTTGCACCCGAGTTCAAATTCCCCTATGCCCCAAAGGACGCATGGGCCGCACTAAGATGGGCCGCAGCGAATGCAAAAGACTGGGGCGCTGATCCATCTCTAGGTTTCATCGTCGGCGGAACATCTGCTGGCGGTAACATCAGTGCAGTTTTGGCCCACGTCGCCCGAGATGAGAATCTGTCACCTCCTCTGACCGGCCAATATCTCGCCATTCCTGCAATTCTGCCCCAGGGGAAGGAGCCCGAGAAATACAAGCAATATCTGCTCTCCTATGAGCAGAATAAAAATGCTCCCGTCCTGCCCCAGGCCGCCGTGGATATGTTTATGAAAGGGTACCAACCCGATGACAACGATGATATCTGGTATTCCTGCTTCAATCACCGAAAGGGCCATGCGGGACTTCCCACAGCATTCTTCCAAATCGACGGAATGGATGTTCTTCGAGATGAAGCCATCGTATACGAGCGAGTTCTGCGCGAAGAAAATGGTATCAAGACCAAGTCGTTCATCTACCCTGGTCTTCCTCACGGGCATTGGGGTTTTTTCCCTTTCCTGGAAAGCTCCAAGAAGTTCCGCAAGGAGCAAGTCGAAGGATTTGGTTGGTTGTTGGGTAGAGAGCCTGATTGGACCAATGTCAAGACCCAGGCTGTTGCTGCAGGTGTATAGAGTGATGTCAATTTAGACAGGCCCTGTTAGACAGGACAGGACGATCCGGCCATAGACGGTCAAGATGCTGAATTCGATGCCAGTAGCAAACCCGGCTCGACCAAATATGAGGAAAGCTGACTATTTCTTCCTTTCCCTGATCTTGAACTTGATTCCATTCTTATTCACGCCTCCCACTGTTCTGGCCATCTTTGCTCGCTGCAGGTCCAGCTGGTCGGCTGCTGCCATGATCTCGCGCTGCCGCTTCTTCAAAGCCTCCAATTTCGCAACTCGCATCTCTTGCAGACGCTTCCTCTTCTTGCGTTCTGTTCGTAAACGAGCGGCTGCATCCTGTGCTGCGGCGAGAGCTTTCTGGGATTTGGGTTTGGACTTGGTGCTGGAAACATCTTCCTCGACATCAACATTTTCGACGACATCTTGCGATTGTAGAGGTGATCTCTCTGAAGCAATATCAAGGGACAGAGCTGCTATGGGCTCGAGAACTTCCGCGTCGGGTTTCCGCTTCTTTCCCTCGGGTTTCTCGGTATCGTCTTGTTCCATAAAAATCTTTCTCTTTGCCTGCCCTTGCCCATCGAGTGTTACTGCATCCATGCCGACCTCTTGCCTTAATCTCTCCATTTCCTTGCGTCCCTGTGCCACAACATCTCTCAAGTAATTTGCATCCTGCGTCTTCAACAACTTGACCGCATCGTGGCTAAGAGGCCCACCTGCATCGCCGTTTGCTTTTGCTCCTGACTTATGCTTTCCCAAGCCGGCCTTGCCCTGGCTGAGCATACCAAAGGCAAACTCATCGGGATTCTTCTCGCGGACTTTTTGGGACAATTGGGCGATTTTCTTCTTCTTAGTGTTGTAGTCTTTGGCACGTAAGGAGTAGTCCTTGTGCTTTTCTAGTAGACCCCATTTCTCGCGGGATTGGATTTGACCACGTTCTCGATGAGGACGCCGTGCTACGGCATTGCGGAGGGAGGACATGGTGCCTGTTTAGTAGACTTTCAACGTGGTCGTAGAGTGGAGGTGGCGGCACTCATAACTGTTGGTTTTTGGGAACTTTCTACACAAAAAAGTTCCGCAAGTTGCTCGGGGTTGAATCTCCAAACTGTGAGCGGATGGGGCATGTCCCGTGACCGAAGCCTTATCACATGACTCGGCTCTCGGCCTACCTGCCTTCTTACTAATCTCAACCTCACTTCCTCACGCGCTCAGTCAAGCCTTGTCGAAGCAGTGCTCCCTTCTCAGAATGACTTCTCACTGTGCAGACTTGATTTGGGTGTCGAAGAGGGGATTTTTAAACCCAAAACTTACCATAGACCGGTTTCCGATTACAAATAGTGATGCTGGTCTGCCCATGGCAAAGTTGCTGGAGTTTTGAGTACTGATATTCATTCGTTGTCTCATTCATCATGGCGGATGCTCCAAGAGAACTCACACCACCCATCGTCCAGGGACAGACCGCAAAAGAGAAAAAGTATGACCGCCAGCTCCGTCTCTGGGCAGCCTCTGGCCAGCGTGCGTTAGAAGAATCACACGTGCTCCTGATTATTGGCTCAGAATCTATTGGGTCCAACAGCAGCGCCGCTGGAGTCGAGACATTGAAGAATTTAATTCTACCCGGTATCGGCCAATTCACCATCGCCGATTCAGAAACAGTGAAGGAAGCCGATCTGGGTGTCAACTTCTTCTTGGAGCCAGACAGCCTGAACAAGTCCAGGGCAGAAGCAACCACACGCTTGCTACTAGAGTTAAATCCTGATGTTTCGGGCCATGCCATCACTTCGCCCTTGTCTGAATGGCTGCCTCTCGAAGATTCGTTGAGACCGTTCAATCTCATTCTTCTATCTGCACCGATACCAACAGAAACTCTTCAATGGCTTGCATCATATGCTCACGCAAACTCATTACCACTCATATATATCCAGTCGGCTGGATTCTATGCCTGCTTCTCTATTCAGCTCCCTTCTGAATTCCCCATTGTCGACACCCATCCCGATCCCGAAACGATGCAGGACCTCCGCCTTCTCGCACCGTGGCCCGAACTGGAGGCAACAGTGGATGCACTTGGCGACATTGCGAAACTCCGTGACCACGACCATGGGCACATTCCCTACATTCTCCTCCTGCTCTACTACCTTCGAGAATGGAAAACCAGTCACGACAACTCCTACCCCTCAACCTTCAAAGAAAAGACCGAATTCCGCGATCTCGTCCGGTCCGGCACACGAACTAACAATCCCGAAGGTGGCGAGGAGAACTACGAAGAAGCCACAGCCGCTGTTCTGAAAAGTATCGCGCCACCCCCAATAGGAAGCGGCTGTAAAGATCTCTTCTCCATGGCTCAAACTACTGAGCTGGGCCCCAGTTCATCGAACTTCTGGATCATAGCGCACGCTATCAAGGTCTTTTACGATGCTCACGGCGTACTACCTCTACCGGGCTCTTTACCCGACATGAAAGCCACGAGCGAAGAGTACATCAAACTCCAAAACCTCTACAAAAGCAAAGCACGCTCGGACATTGCCGAGGTGAAGCAGACGGTACAACAGCTACTTGAGACAAAGCTCGACAAGGCCACCACCTCGCCCATACCAGATGTCGAGATCGACTCATTCTGCAAAAACGCCTCGCAGGTCCGCGTCCTGACAAACCCAGATGGCACACTCATACCCTCACTTCGCATGATGAAATCAGATCCAAAACTCCTCGCAACTCTCCCTTCCATCGTCGAAAACGATTGGGAAGGCCTCTTTCCTGTCTTTCTCGCATTGAACACAAATACTGGCTCCTCCTCATCCGATATCGACCCATCAACCTTGTCCTCCGACCCCGAAAAACAGGAGAATCTCACCAAGGCGGTTAACGAAGCCCAGCGCGTAGCTGGAGGCGAGCTGCACAACGTCTCTAGCGTGCTAGGCGGCATGGTCGCGCAGGAGGCCATCAAACTGCTTACGCGTCAGTATGTCCCTGTCGATGGAACATGCGTTTTTGACGGTGTGAGGAGTAAGGTGGGCGTTTTCAAGCTGTGAAACTTATCGTCTGTGAAGATATGTGAGCCGTGGGACAAAATAGAGCGCCGCTACCAGGTCGTGGCTATTAGTGCTAGCAATTTGTGCGTAGTGGCGTAGTAAGGTGCTGGATGACTAGATTGTAAACGGCGGGCTAGGACGCTGGAGGAGCTTAGAAGCAGATTTGGAACTGCGGATCGCATCATATTTCGAACGAAGCGTCGAACAATACATACATCCATACAAGTAGCCTGAGTTTAATCTTTTGCTGGGACGAAACGTTAGAAACGCCTAAGACGTTAAGCATTCATCCTTGATGGGACCTTATTGTCCCAGACTATGCACGCACGATGCTACCAAGGTAGATTGTATTCGCTTCAGTCGCCATACCGGGAAAATATTACCGTAAGCCCGAGCCTGCCCTATGCAATATTGAACTCGTCGGCACCACCACCACCCATCATCAATTTCCGATTCAAACGGACCTTCTCTCGCATCTTCTTGGCTGACTCATCTGGTTCGCCACCATCGCCAGCGCCTCCAGCACCACTATTGGTAGTTTGACCTTCTGAGTTACCGCCCCTTGCCCTACTGCTCTTCCCGCCGGCGCCAGAACGTCCTTGTCCGACCAAGTTGACACGGCCAGGCGCATCTCGAAGTCCGAATGCCTTGGCCAGGTGCCCCAAATGCAGGTCTTTGATGTCAAACCACTTTCGCTCTGCTGCAATATGCGTGGCATAAGCCCGGACATGCGACTGGAACGCCCGTTTGGCAAGGTCTTTGATTTTCGGGTCTGAGAGAACCCAACGCTCGATTGAAAGCTGGAACTCTGTGGCAATGGTCTCCCAGCTTTGATTTAAATTCTGCTCTGAGATTTTGCTGGCTCGGTTGTTCTTGGTAGATATCACTCCGGAAACAGGTGAGAAGCCTTTTTTAAGGACGTCGTCCGCGGCAGTATGGGTGACGTTTCGACTGGTATCTGCTTCGGATGTTTGTCTGTAGGATTGTCGGAGCACTTCAACATAACCTTCCTCCTTTCCGGGGAGTAGGAAAATAATGGCTCTCCCATCTCTGCCGAGACGTGCAGTACGACCTATACGGTGAAGATGGTCGTCTGAGCTGAAGGCTGGATCGTACTCGATGACAAGATCAAGATTTGGGAGATCCAAACCCCGAGAAGCAACATCTGTCGCAATCAATAGTGAGGGAGAGGTGGTATTGGCAAATTGCCTGACGATGTTCGTGCGAGTAGCTTGTGGTAATGAACCATGAAGTTTGTAAAGTGTGACAGGGTTTTGAGGTGTTGAAAGAGCGGGAGAGGGTGAGATGGAGTCCGCGTCAACAACGGCAGCAGCTTTTGCTGGGTTCGTGGCTTGATCGTCTTCACCCGAAGAATGGGTTCCTTCTGGATTGTCTTGGTTTTCTGGTGCCTTCTCCAGCGAACGTCTAAAAGCTTTGAAATGAAACTCTACCGAGTCGGCACAAGATACAAAGACAATGGCTTTCATCACAGACCCTTTTCTTGCGAACGTTCGTTTGAGCAGTGCTGTTAAGGTCACAAGCCGCAACTTAGTTGCGCTCACCAAGTAAGACTGTTTGAGCTGTGCCGGAGCGAGGAAAGCCGAATCGACTCCCCCTTTTTGATTTCCTGTGTGCTCATCCTGTCCATCTGAGTCGCCCTTAATCAAAACAGCATCCTTTAAGCTGATCTCACCTAATTTCTGGACATTCATTTTCAGAGTAGCGGAGCAAAGAATCGTGGTTCGTCGGTCAGGAAGGCCGGGCCTGGCGGTCTTTCGTTTCTTTTGGTCCAGTGTCTTGACAATCTTGGTGATGTCTTCTTCGAATCCCAAATCCATCAGGCGATCCCCTTCATCAAGAACAAGCCACCGGACGGATGAAACGTCAAGAACCTTTGTGTGCGCAAGATGGTCAACTAAGCGACCGGGAGTAGCAACCAAGATGTTTAAGCCCTTTCGTAGCCTCGCCTTTTCCGATTTCTTCTTCTCACCTCCAATGACGGTGCCCGCCACAATATAATGTGCAGCACCAAGGAGACGCTCCAACACCACAGAGATTTGTTTACATAGCTCACGAGTGGGAGCAAGTATGATGGCAAATAACCCAGAATCACGATGTAAACTGGGGTCATGGACAGTCTTATTCTGACCACTGGCCTGTTCTGATAGAGTCATGATACGCTGTACTACTGGGAGTAAATATGCCAGAGTTTTGCCAGATCCTGTCTCGGATTGAACGAAAGCGTCACTATCTTCCTTCAACATCTGGATTATAGAGGCTTTCTGGATGGCAGTAGGGGCTTTGAGATTCATCTTGGTCAGAAGGTGAGTGGCAATAGTTGGGGAAAGGCCAAGGGAAGTGAAAGTGTCGATGCCATCAACTAGTGGTGCGTTTGAAGGGATCGCCGGGGTCTCTTCTTGCTGGTTCTCCTGCGGCTCAGACACAAGGGTCGATTTGGGATTGTATGTGAACAGGGAGGAGATCACTTCACGAGGCCCTGCAGTTGTGTTTGCTTCATTGCGCTTTTGTCCCTGGGGCCGAGATTGAGAACCAGGTTCACTGAAAGGCGGAGTGTAGCCGTTTTCACGCCGTCTCTTGGCCGGCCGCGTTTCTGCAAGGTCTGGAGTCTGTGATTGAGGCTCCCTCGACTTTATAGGGACTTTATTCGGATCGTTCTGTCTTGGTTTTGTCCCTCGTTTGGCGTCTCTTTTCGCTTGTAGACGTTCTCTCCAGGACCCACCTTTGAACTTCTGCAAGTGATTTGCAGGAGTCTCATTAACGGAGAAGTTGAGAAGGAGGCCGTCATCAGCCATCTTGCAGTTCAGGAGTGGCTCCTGTGAGAAAGGCTGTTGGAAGAGCGGGAGAAGGGGGTGTAGGTGCAGGTAGATTTCCATCTCTATGTTTAGGACCTGAGTCTCTGGAACTTTTTTTCTGGCAGAAATGCGGAGACATCAAAGGCGGTGTGGAAAGAGTGTGCTATCTGCGCCGCTTTAGATACACCTTCGGATTTTCACGTGACTGTTCTGAAGGCTCAAGCAAAGCAGCGAAATAAACATTTCCTCATTCAGTTGGAGAGGAATATGCCGACCCCTAGCATGCGGAGAAACTTGCCTCCGAAAGCTGCCATCGCAACTTCCCCCTGCAACGACAACTTCACAGAAGCTTCCTCAAATACACGCCGCACTTTCCATCATGCACACTTTGACTCACCGACCGCACAATTCCAACGTGGTCGCGTCAAGATGAAGCTGTTGCCTGTTATTTCACCAGCTCCAAACCTGTCTAGGATACTTTCAATAGTAAACTCCTAGCGAGACAGCCATGGTTCCCTCCAGGTTAAGAATCACCACCACGATGCAAGCAGTCAGGGTTAATGCACGCCGCCAACTTCGGCCTTCTCTGATATCAACCTATATTCAAAGCCAGCGGCTACGATCAGATGCACCTGGGAGATCCAACACTGAATCTTTCCCCGAGACCACTGAAACCAAAGTGAAAGAGCCGTTTGCTGTCTTTCGCGATGTTCCTCCTTTACGAAAATTGCGCCGCACCATGTTCAAGGAGGGAAGGCAAGTCGGACTCGTTCCAACAATGGGAGCTCTACATGCTGGGCACTTGTCACTGGTCAAGCATGCTTTGGAAGAGAACAGTGATGTCTTCGTCTCCATTTTCATCAATCCTACACAATTCGCGGCTCATGAGGACTTGAGCTCCTACCCCAAAACTTGGGAGGAAGACTTGAGCATGTTGAAGCAGCTAGAAGACGAACATGCTAATTCATCTTCACCAAACAAGCACTCCCGAATTGCCGGCATTTTCGCGCCCACTGTCAAAGTAATGTACCCAACATTACCTCCAACTTCGGATGTTGCAGGCGATGGCTCCTTTGTTACAATCACTCCTCTTGGGAAAGTCCTCGAGGGCGCTTCTCGCCCTATCTTCTTCCGGGGAGTCGCAACTGTCTGTACTAAGTTATTCAACATCGTCCAAGCCGATCGTGTTTACTTCGGTCAAAAGGATATCCAACAGTCCGTCCTCATCAAACGAATGGTCAAGGATTTCCATATCCCAACCGAAGTCCGCGTCATACCTACATGTAGAGAGCCTGATGGTTTAGCCATGAGCAGTCGAAATGTCTATTTAGGTGAGCGCCGTCGTGAGGATGTCGCGATCCTTTCCCGAGCCCTATTCGCTGCTAGAGATGTCTATAACTCTGGCGTTTTGCTCGGAAAATCAATCAAAAACGCTGCTTATGATACATTTAATCAAGCAACAACTGCAAAAAGAGATGATGGCCGGCTCGGTGGGCATACGCGCCTCGAGATCGATTACATTGCCTTGAGTGATCCGGACACCATGAACATGATACCCGGTCTGGACAAGATTGACCCTCGTCGCGGTGCTGTTCTCAGTGCCGCCATGCTGGTTCGACCAGTTGACAAACCTCAAACTCTCGAAGAAGTGGAGCAGACAACAGTCAGGTTGATTGACAATGTCATTCTGGAGCCTCGTCTTCCATAACAATTTGATCCCCAAGCCAGAAGAGCTCCTGGGGCAGGATCTTCCCAGGCCGTCCGCCGCCCATGGCAGTGAGCTATGCCTCGATACTATCAGTTGCACATCTGTTCAGTCGAAAGACTCCTCAGTCTCCGGATCTAGCAAGCAGAACATGTATCGGTAGTTCAATATACTTCCCAAAGTGTAATCTTGGCATCTTTTCCCCCAGCGGCTAGCCAATGCAATGATCGTGCCTTGTTCTCTCTCTCCTGTTTGATATGATCAAGTGCCGACATTCTGGTTGCTATCTTGGTGCCTTCACCATGGACCTCTTCCCCTGACCCATCATTTTGGTTATGTATTAGGATTTTCGCGAAGCTCGTAGCATAACATCCGTCTTTATGCCACTTCAGGACCGCCAGCTCTTTCATTGTCTTGCAAGAGTAGACTCGGATGCGACCATCCCACCCCGCCGTTGCAAATATCTTACCGTCGGATCGCACATTCAGGCCTTGCTGGCCGGCGTGTTTCGTGTTTATTGCCTTCTCCGCGTTCTGGCTGGATTCCAGCCGAGTCTCGTTCGGGTCAAGTGAGAACTTCGCAATAATGGCATCCGCACTAGACGTGACGAAATGTCTTTTTGAGGGAAACACATCCAGAGACAACACCGGTTGCGAGTGCGGCTTCCCCATCAAGACCTTGACCCAGCCTTGGCTCTTGTGGTCGAAAGCCCCACAGCAAGTGTGCACCATCACCTGCCCATCTTCATAGCCCGAAACGAGGACCAACTCCTCCTGTAATTCGAGAGAATGGAATAGTGCTACCGACATGACCATTCCCGTGTCGACCGCCGGGTCAGATCGTAGTTGCGACACGCGACGTTCAGATGGTAGCTGGAAGATATCGATGCCGCCGGAGTCGAGCCCGTTCGGGGAGGCGAGCAGTTGCGGCGTTGGGTTCATCGGCGAAGCCGGAGCCTGTTCTGGGTATTGATCGCAGACGGAGAAGGCGCAGAAATTCAGCGCGTTGACATCCAAAGAATGCAGAAGCCACGGTTGCGGGTGCTGGGTTTGAGCGGCTGAGGGGCTCTCGCTCGGCAACTTCGTACTCAGCACCTCGAAATCTTCATTGCGCACTTGCCAAACGCGGAGCTTGTGATCTCGTCCATGCCTGTTGATTTTCTCAGAAACGATGCAACTTACGCGGGCAAGTGTCTCGAGGGAACAGGTGGAGACACCCATAGATGTAGGATCCTAGACACAAGATGACAACTTACGTGATCAGCCGCTGGCCGGTCCATTGTTTGATCTGCATCACCCCGCCCTCATGGGCCTTCCATACAGCGACAGGTCGTTTGGACGACAGTCTCCATATCACGAGCCATCCGTCGGTATCGCCTGATGCCAAGAATGTATTTGAGGCGAAGAATTCTAAGGCGTGGATGGCCGACGAGTGTCCGCGAAGCACAAATGTTGGAACCAGTGGGTCTTGAGACATTTGTTCAGAATGATGAGCGGTCTATTTGGAAGTGGATTGCGTCGAGGAGGAAATTGTCCCGCTTGGAGAAGATACAAAGCAGACAATTCTGGGATTTGGAATTGTTGATTGTGCCATCTCGCTTCAGTGCTGGGTGAAGAAGGAAACACGAGGCTGAAAGGCTATAGGGAGGAAATGATCTGTGGTGCCATGCAGGAGCGTTCGAGCGCTTAAAGCAGCACCCGATAAGGCGCCAAGAGGTTAGCCACCCTCAGGCTTGGCTCATCTTACTATATAATTTTAATAGTCGCAATTTAGCTGAAAATCGATGACACAGATTTTCCGCTTCTTTGGCCCAGTGGTAAGGCGTCTCACTCGTACTATGTTCCGGGACTATGAGAAGGTAAGTCGACTGCTGCTCAACCGAGTGAGAACTATGCTGATATCCCCACGGATCAAGAGTTCAATTCTCTTAAGAAGCATGACGTGACTTTTTGTTGCGCTGGCTTTTTATTTTTCACGTGATCTTAAACTGAGCCTTGACCCCTTTAGGCAGAAGGAACAAATTCATATCGGTGTCGACTAGTATAGAAAGTGCCCCGGCCTATCAGGTGCTGGACGTCGTGTCTCTTTCGCTTGACCATATATTACACCCTACAGGCTTTTATGTCATCTAAACGAATCATCCAGTTACTTATTATTTCCCTTCCAGGCTGGCTGGATCAACTAGGTTGTGATGATGCCAATAAGAATTTCCTGGGCTCACACTTGGCCCGTCGCATTCTGCCTTATCGCATACATGTTTCTATCTATAGGCCTGTAGCTACCTAATTTGTAGTAGCTGATCGCGTTGGGTCTTACTCTTACATATGCTTGAACCAGAAGGCCAGTGGTTGTGTCTTTTTCATAATCGAGACTCTTTCACCTTCAATTTTCGAACTTGTTCACATCTTCTCCTCTCGGGTAGCATTCCAATCTTCAGTGTGCTTGCGTCAAGTCCTACTACTCACATGTGTCCATCTGCGTAGATCGTGTCTTGCTTGGTCGGCGGTTGCCTGCCCAACTAATATAAGGCATCAATCGTCTCTCCTTGAAGTTCGTCTTTTCACCAGCGGCCTCCGGATAGGAGCGGGATTTGGTGTATTCGCGCTGGCGGGATGTGGATCCTTCAATATCAATGACGGTCAGACGCGCTTCGCTAATGGTCTCGACCATCAAGAATTGACACAACGCCTTCTCAAGAGCGGGATTTCCGACACGTGTCTCAACTCATTGGTGAGTTCGAAGGTTTACGTTCTACATTCTCTCGTTGGGAAACTGCATGATCTCCGACTTGGATCGATATTGGATGTTGAGAGCGTGGGTGGAAAACCTTGGGAAACTACACGTCGGCCGGAGGGATCTTGTGAGTTGTGCTCCGAGTGCATTTGCTCCTTTCTCATTGGAGGTCACAGCTGTCTCGTTCTGCTTGGTATCCGAGGAATACAACGCCGATGATCTTGTCAGCGGATTTGGGGATGAGAAGTGTGGCAAGGATCGAAGCATCTCGTGGCATAGCAGCTTCCTGAGGTCAGCCGATCTTCAAGATCAGTCGAAATCCGGAACTCCCTTTAGAGAAGAAAACAGGGAAATATAGAATTAGGGCATCGACGAGATCGTAGAATCGTTGCTGGCAGGGAAGCCAACCAGGCTCCTCCTGATGTTACCTTTGCCCCCTAGCACTTGATGTTTCAATATGAAGAATCGATCTATGCTTTCGTCGAGAAATTCAAAGTACATAGTTACGTCGACTTCAAGGACCCATCACAAGCGCTTAAGCCAATCAGAGAGAGCCTAGCCACAGATAATCCACTCTTTAACGGCGATGCATCGAACAATCGAGTTATTCTCCTATTCTACACAGCCTTACTATACTATCTAGCGGCTACGCCCAGCCTGTTCCCCTCCAGGCATGGTGCAAGGTGAAGGGAACGGATGGCCTCCAATCGAGGAACTACGCCCTTTCATGTACGAAGTATTTGGTAGGAACTACGAACACACCATCTTGACTGGTCTCGTTGACTGCTGTGTTAGTGACGGGGCGCACACTGCAAACTATTAAATTTAAATTCCCTTATGATTGGGGTCATACATATACATAATGGGGGGCAGCGCCGCGGCCGCCTCACAATCGTCCAGGAGTCAAGTCCATCTCGTCCTCGTAGAACCGTCGGTCATGGCTCTTGTCTGTGTGCCCACCGACGGCAGCCTCGTCCGCTTTATCTCGACGGCTTATGGTTGTTAAAACACCACTTCCCACGTCCCCGTGGTCTGGGGAGTCTGCTCGGCCGTTGAAATCGGGGGTTGTTGGCAAGATACTCGATACACATTTATGCTCCTCTTCGTCGCACATCTCCCTGGCCGCTCGCTTGCTTGTGAGCCTGGACCAGAGTCTCTCATACCAGGACGTGCGTCCCTTCTCTTCTGGTTGCACATCCTCTTCGCCGGCCAAATCCTCGAGAGATCTACCCATCGTTTCGGGAATGAGAAGAGAAGTCAGGAGGCCAAGGAAGGCAAACGCTCCAAGTCTTCAGGAAAAGATTTAGCTGTGACCCTCTTCATAAAGAGTTGCCCAGGGAAAAGTGACTCACATTTGGATAACGTGTGGCAGCCATGGAGATGCATCGGTCTCTCCCTCTTTGTAGCCAACCCGTCTCAGAGGCCCAGCAAGAGCCTGAGCAAGTACAGCGCCGAGCTTGCCCGAAGCTGCAGATATACCATGTGCTGTACTTCGATACCTGGTGGGAAAGCATTCTCCAGGAACAATAAAAGTGGTCGTATTAGGACCTTTAAGAAGGACGTCAGTATTGGCCCACTCTCCTCCAGCCTCGAGGCTATGCAGAGCAGCAAAACTCACCAAAATTGACGAAGAACAGAATGAGCACAAATAGCGCAACGCGCGACGAGTCGCTGATTGAGTTGAAAGCACTTCCCAAGATGAGAAGAAGCAATGTCATCATAACGAAGCCTCCGATTTGTATGGGCTTGCGGCCAATTTTGTCAACGAAGATGATTGCAAGAATCGACCCCGGAATCGCTCCTGCAACCACAAGGACAAGGTTTCCAACCGCTCCGTTCCTCAGGTTGTTGTAGATGGTGTGTTCTGTCGCATGGGACACGGAGCCGAAACCTATCTTCTGCAGGAAAATTGTGTTGTTCAAAAGCAGTGCATAGTAGGCCACGTCAAGGAAGAACCACGATCCTGCCGTGCCAACCAAGGCGAGGAAGTTCCGGCGGTTGCCGAAATACCGTCGGAAATCGTGGAGTGAAGACTGTGGTATTGCTTTAACATCGAGTCCGCCGAGCCTTTGATCGTTCAAGCGAGACCGGATATCTTCTCTGTCGGCGGACACCTGTCCCCTGCCGTTCATAGGTCCGATGGTGTTCATGCAGAAAGCTTTGTAGTCGGCAAAACCTTGCTCGACATCTCTGGTCACATCAAAGGTATAGCGTGGTGTTTCAGGGATGGTGAGCCGGTAGTAGAGGGCAACTACTGCTGGGATCGCACCAAAGCCCACGATTATCCTCCACATTCGGTCGACAGCAAGCTGGCCCTCGGGGGTCTTGGTGCAGTGATCTCCATTGCACATGTTCAACGAGTTGTCGATCTGGCCTTTGAACGACTCGATGACAATAAAAGCCACCAGACTTGCCAGAAGTTGTCCCAATGCTTGAGTCGAGAACACCGCTGCCACCATGGTGCCTCTCCACTTGGTCAGTGAAAATTCTGATGGGATTACGCTAGATAATGGGTAGTCGCCGCCAATGCCCACGCCCATGATGACTCTCCAGAATACCAAAAGACCGGTGATACTAATTGCGGACGAAGGTCCGGTGATAGACTGTCCAAGAGTCGCCAGGGTGATAATGAGCAGTTCGTACCCATACATGCGCTTCCTACCAACGACATCTGCAAGCCATCCGAAGAACAATTGCCCGATCAAGGTGCCGACCGATGTAGTGACCTTGATTAGGGTGTCGTCACTCTGTGGGATCTTGTTTCCATTGTTGGTGAAATAGCAAAAGCCCAGCATATCGCTAACGAGGCCAATTGCGAAGATCTGTGAAGAGTCAACGAAAAATCAAATTTATAGCGTAATTGCGCGAACATCATAACTGTCTGTGAGAAATCCCGTTCCAGCAACGAGAATAGCGCGAACGTGAGCTTGACCGAACGGGCGTCTATCGATGTCTTGCAGGATCAGGCGGCGGCGAAGATTGGGATCCTATTGGTCGTTCAGTCGGTGTTTCAAGGTCCAGGGGTTTAAGCAATTGGCTGGTTTGAGGAGACTGGCTGTACCTGTATATCGGCGTACCTTTCCTCCAAGGCAGGAAACGCGGCGTGTCTGCTTCCCATGGTGCCACACAGCAAATAGTAACAGCTCGTATGGGAGCTAGCAGTTCAGAGCTGGGTCGACTCAATGAAGTGAGGAACTGGGTGCCCTTTGATCATCAAAAGCTGTCAGGATATATGGGAATGAAGCTAGGACTGGGCGACTCCGTCGATACGAAAACCCCTCAGGAGTATGCCTTGCCGCCAGCCTTACCAGCTGGGAAGGGAGTTGCCAGAAAGAACCAAGCATGGCTTTAGCATTGGCCAAGAAAACCGCTTGCAGGAAAAGCCCTCATGATAGACCGACCACCTGCACATTTCAATCATGTGCCGGTAAGGGGGCTATGCTAAGACATGGCTTCGATGCCGTTGCTTGCTTTGCGCCCTGTTGCCTGTTGATTCATGACGCGAAAAGATCTGGGTATTGAAGGGTTACTCCGTCCAGGCTTCGAGCTCTACATTTGGTCAAGGTTTGAGATCAAGCCAAGCGTACGGATGCTCCGCCCCGGTCCCCTAGAGACCGCTCTTCGGGGTTTTTTGGTGTTTGGACCGCCGAAGGCAACCTCGCTTGACGCTTCGCCTTTCCCATTGGAAAGGTTGCGTGGAACCACGTTCCGGGGAAACGCGTCCTTATTGGCTGGTTTCCCACTCCATAGCTGTATAATAATGCGGACGAGTATGTCCCACCTTGCGGCACTCGCCTGGCACACGTGGAAACAACGAATGGAAATGAGGTCCCTTTGAAGATTGTCTGCTAGACAGGGTTTGGCAGTGCTGAGTGGAGTCTAATGTTCCTATCGTGGGAGCTCCTGATCATGGTATTTCGTACATAGTTGTCCTACCTTTGGCTGATGTCCGTTTCCTGTCAATGTCGCGTGCGCCCATTTACTTTATTGTTCCTCGGTGAGACTGAAAGATTTTGGGCATGATTAACGGGTTGGGAGATATATTTGTTTTGATTCAAATCACAGCTGTAGTGGCCAAGAAACTCAACGCCGCCAGGCATGCACCCGCCGAGGTTAGAGACCTAATCGAAGACGCCGAAGCCTTTCGATCTTGCGTGGTGGACGCAGACGACAACATCCGCCGGCATGGAGCCATATTGAAACCGCACGATGGATTGAAAAAGAACATTGTTTGGATCCTCCGGCGGTGCGACGAAACGGCGCACAAGCTACACAAGATCGCTGTCGCGTATGAAGGGATCGTGAAAGAGGAAGGTGTAGCAACCGCGGACGAGACCTCGCGGAAACAGTGGGCAAGAGCTTTGAAGACGGTCTACCAGTCAGTGAGGTGGACCACAATCAAAGACGCCGTTAAAGACATCCGAAAGGAGCTTCTCCATCACATACAGATCTTGCATTTCATGAGTCAACAATTATTGAAGTAAGGCCTTTCCCAGGGTCTCGGTCAAGGCGGTGCGAGAAACTGACAGGAATAATTCTAGCCGGCAAGTGGATCGCTTGGTTGAAATGATGGGGTCTATGGGCATTACAATCGAGCAAATCGGCCGACTCTTCTCATCCACGATGTTCAGTCCCTCTATTCCACCGGTGTACGCTTCAAATCCTCAGTCTCCGGCAAGTTTGACACCCATTTCGAGCCCATTTGTCCTGTCACCGAATGAAAAGTTCGAATCCTCATTCGGGGGACTGAGTAAAGCGAGCCCCGCTGTGCTAAATGGCGCCCAGCAACATCCAGTTCCACAGATGGAGGAGTTGGTGCTTCCTGACCCCTCTATCGACATATATGATTTCAAATTTGCACATAAGCTGGATCTTGACCTGCCAGGGAGCTTTCCCAGGTCTACGCCAGGTGATGAATATCGCAACGTGAAACTCGCCTCGAACAAGGAGCAAGACGAGTTCATCAAGGCGTTGACTGATGGGATAGAATATGTTGAATAGTAGGTTCAGTTCTTCGACAATTGGCAATGCTCGTCGCACTCACACAGGACAGTCCCATTGAAGGTGTGGAGTTTGTCTATCAGAGAACACCCAGCTCCAACGCGGTCGTCATCACGGCAAGCGATGCAGGGAAGGTCTTGCTTTTGAAGAACGGGAATGCTGTGGGTGATGTATGGACTCTCAACAATGAAAAGACGATTCGTTTTCTTCAGAGAGGTCAGTCCTCTTGTGCTTTGCGAACGCCTCTGCAGGATTCCGGTGCTGACTATCTGCAAAATTTCAGTGCCTCTGTGGGATGAAATAATCCCGTACTCCAGTATTGGGGAGGAGTCAAAGGCAGTAATCGAGCAAGGCGCTGGGCTCCTTTTCGTCACATTCGAGAGATGCAAACAGGTCACGCATTCAATTCCGACAACCTGGGTGACCTACAAGTTTAGAAATGCTGAAGGTGGGAGCACAAATTGGCATTGGCCGTCATTATGAAGCAATTTAGCTGATTCAATGTGCGGTGGAAACAGACTGCCGACAGTTCCAAGAGCATTTATACGGTTGGGATCTTCTCCTCACCGTACCAATTCGCGAGATATATAAGCGCAATAGGATCAAGGACGATGACCACCTCGTCGGGTGTCAGAACATACGGATTTGGAGGAGTAGGACAAATGCGGAGATTCGATTTATGGTTCGACTATCCAAGAAGAAAGGTCGCAAACGATACCTGGAGTTCGATTGTAAGTCGAATAGCACTCACCCTGCTTCCACAGAGATAACCGAGACTTGAAAACTGATGATGATATAGTGATGCAAGAAACCGTCAAGGTCGAAGCCAAGGATAATGGAAGGCACGCGAGGCTGGCATTCTCCGGGATCACCGTGGCGGTGGATGAAGGAACACTCGAAAGGCGAGACTCGATGAGTTCTGCGTCGTCTGTCTCATCAGCGTCTTCGAGATCTTTCATTATGCGCAGACTCTCTTGGGGAGATAGCGCTGAGTTTGTGCAAAACATTGTGGTTTGTTTTGATGATCAAAAGCGTAAGTCCTTTGACCAACGAAGCGCATCTGCAGTGGAGTGTTTGCATTTTTGGCTAATATTCCTTGGATCCATCTAGATCGTGACCGCTTGCATAGACTAGTTTTGAATTGCCAGGCTCATGCTGGCATCTAGTCATTACTGGGATGGTAGGAGTAATTGTGAGGAAAGCAGAGCGACAGTACTAGCGATTAGCTTGAATTTGACATGGTTCCCTACCTTGGGGGCATCGAATAGGATACAATGCCTTTGGTTACGCAAGTAACAAATGGAGCAGTTGGATTGCCCCTCGAGTTCAGGTACGGGGACATTTTGTTGTTGCTATAATGCGACGTAGCAGTACTCGCGAGCATTGAACCATGAAGTGCAAATCTGGAAAAATGATTATCCGACACCAAAAGGAGGTCATTACGCGCGCGGAGGGATCAGGGCTCACTTAACCAGCAGCAGTCTCAGCAAAAGCGTTCTTCATGCTCCAACAACTACAGTGGCGAGGGCATGGAACGGCGGCAAGGTGACTTGGAGCAGCTGGAACGAGTAAAATTGCATGCGTTGTAAGCGAAATATGCAAAACTTCTGGGCACCCGAAAAACTGGCGGGACAATGGAGGGGCAACATTGATGCCGCTCGTTTGGCTGGGTCTCAGGCTCGTGGTCACGCGACAGAGGAACCAATCTGGATGGATCCTTGGGAGGAAGCAAAGCGGTCATGCTCAAATACATAGCTGGACTAGGGCTCGTAGACGAGCCTCGTCAAGGACGAGGATGCTGAGGCTGTGGAACAGATTGGCCTGAGCTGGAGGACGATCACGGGATGGGACGGGCCCAAGTTTGTCCGGTCCACAGGGCATTCGGCGGCAGGTGGAAGCATTCGTGATGGACTCGCACTCGGTTGTGTGCCAGCCTCAGCAGGGAAAGGATTGAAGTAGTTACCACTAGGGGCAACTATCTGGTACTTGACGCAGGACCTTGGATTGTAGGCCCCAGTTATTTATTGCATGACAATTTACTAGTGATTTCGATGTCTTGAATCATGTAGCCAATGAGACTTAGGACCATGGAAAACACTCTGAATCACGCTCGAGAAGGGAGCACTCGGTAGCCCATATACATTGGTGATTCCACTTGTGGAGGCAAAATGTACGTCAAATAATAGCAAGGGGCACACGTGCGGTAGCGGTTTCGTCGGAAATGCAAGAGGCGATTCGTGGAAAAGCTACAAGCATTTCAGCAGGCTGTTGAAGTTTGGGGCCTTGGGGATAGAAATTTGCAGCTGAGGGTGAGCTGGACAAGGGTTCAGTGCGAAACCAGCATCCTTTGGTGTTCCCGGCTGCGCTATTTGTATCAACTCCAGCCGGGGGGGTGGGATTTCAGACTTAGCGGCGATAGTCGCGAAGCCACCGTGGTCCATCACTCGCATGAATAAATAAAGTGCCACGTGGATGCGAAAAGCCACCAAGACCAAGATAGAGCAGGGCGGGCAAAGAAGCGGATGCCATGGGCAGATGCAATCAACATCAACATCCCAGTCTGGAAGGAAGCGAGATGACATGGGAACAAAGTCGGTATGTCGAAGGAAAGTTCCCTGTTCGGGGACGCCGACGACCAGGGGGATCAATCACGGTTGACAGGTTTAGGCGGAGGACAATGACCGAAATGGAATCAATGGTCTGGCCGTTGGAGATCTGGGATGGAGCCGGGGAATGACGGGTGACGAATGACGAGCGACGGATGGCGGGCAGATAGTCCCAAGTGCTTCATACTGTAGACTTCAGCTGGATTCGAAGTTCCAAAGTACGGATGAGGCGTTGAGGGCATTGTCCCTTGATTTCGAATTAAGCACTGAACCAAATACGGTGGGGATGAGGCGAGCGGTGGACGGTCCTTACTGATTAGGGTGCGTGGTTAATGGTCAAGCGAGTAACAGGCGAAAGCGTCCGGGTTGTCCAAGCACAGCTGATGATGGGTGTTTCCTGGCGAAGCCAAGCGAGAGCTCTTCATGAAGCGGGATGAATCACCAGGGTGGACGAGTACGAGGTCGTGGTTGAGGTCGAGCTCTTCCGGACTTGATACGAGTCCTGTCCGACTGGATGGACGAAGAAACGAAGCGAGACCTCAACCCAAAAGTGACAGCCCGGGCGGGGGAGACCCCGAGAGGACGACGAGGACCGAGCAGCCTGATAGAGCAAAGAGTGGCATTCGAGTGCGCGCAAGAATCGTAGAATCCGAAATGAGCGACGCCTCTGGACGGATTGAGCAAAGATGGAGCAGCCGGAGCCACAATGGAAGGACGCAGCAGGGGGATCGCACCCGCGATGGTCGTTGATCCAGAGTGACAGAATGATAGACCGTCTAGACTTCCCCTTCGGACGACGACTTAGCGACAATCAATGCCCAACAGCCATCAAGACCCTCACGAAATACAAATCACGGGGGTCCTGATGGGCGTCTAGACCTGCCCAGCAACCAGTAGTCAGTGGCCTGCCCTCGGTAGCCCTGGCTCTCCGTAGATCTGGGGGCATCGCCCACGGTGAGTAGATTTCCAGCGCAGGGTTGGCCCCAGTAGACCTGTTGTGCTTGTGCTTGTGCTTGCGCTGGGAGCCGGGAGCTGGTGCCCGTCGATAGCAACAGGAGCCAGTGGGCGAACCTCGACTGTCACTTACGAGTATAACTGAGAGTCCCCAATTTACTATGGTTAGGCGGGAGGCAACTCCCCTGGCGTCCAATCGCACACTGAATTCCCCCACTAGCATTTCAACGACTCCAGCTATAACCACCCCCCCCCCCCCCCCCCGCGGAACAGCCTCTATCGTCCCGAGGCCCTCCTAGTCCTTAGGCCCTAATCATCCCTGTATCCAGGCCCAGGCTTTTGGTCCCAGGCTGCAGGCTGTAGGCTAAGGGCCGCTAGTGGTGACTTGTTCGGCCATCGCCTTTACATGCCGGGGGCCGGCCTTAATCCTGGTCGGCAACCACCACGCTGGACATGCTTGGGGCGTGTCCATCTTGTCTTGACTCAAATCATTGAGCTCTAGGCAATCAGCAGAGATAGATGGACGACGACTTGGACCGATCCAGCCGACATATACATACTGGAGTACTTACGGTTCAGCTGGCTTCCTTCCTTCTGCCTCTTGATGACGAGAATAACCATATGATTGTAATACTAATACGCACCGTCGTGCCTTCCTTCAGAACCACTCGGTGACACGTACCGCACCACCGCGTGCCTTCCCACTGCCACTTGGACTGTCAACACCACCTCTGGTGCCTTGCTGTCTACCTGCAACATTCCATCATTTTCATTTTGTTCTCTACCACCCGCCGACACCAGATCACACCCTCAACCACAAGGTATGACCATCTCCATCAACCCCTCCTCCATCTACTAAGCGACAAGCGGCAAGCCGTGACTGGTGCTGTGAGCCCGGCGATGTCGTCATTCGTCGCGACACTCCCAGTCGTGCAACACCTTGCGTATCCTCCAATTTTGCCCAGGGGTCCAAACTGCGACAGTCCATTGTCTGACTTTTCTGCACAATCGTTGATTCAGTACGCACAACTCGCACTGTGCGATTTCGATATCAATCTCTAGAGTGTCGCCGTTACTCGCTCTCTTCCTCTCAATCCAATCACTCGTCGAACTTCCACGCTCCCTCTTGGATTGATATTTCTTCTTTGAACGAAGCTAACACCACCGCCTAGCTACCAGACTCGTCCAGACCACCACTCATTTCTTCCCAACTCGATCGCACTCGCAGCGGCGCCCTGGAGAACCTGAATATACATTCGCCGAAACTTGACCATCACGCTCGTCTCGAAACAGCCGCTTTACCCGCGTCCTCCCACCGAGCTAGCTTCATTCCTTTTGAAAAGACGGCAATGAAGCCGCAATAAACAGTCAAACTGGCGCCCACTTACGCTTCATCATACCCGCCCGTTGTGGCCCAGTCGACTCCCAGCAGCCATTTTCCTAACACACCATCCACCACATACCTATATCAACACTCCAAACCTCAGCCTTCAGAATATCGGCCGCAATCGCAACCTACACCGCAAGCTAAAGAGCAGGACTCTGAAAAACAACTCTACTCGACCCCCACTCTTTTAACACCCCCTTACGCATCTGCAGATGCGGTCGTTAATAACAATTCTCCAGTAAATCGGGATCGCTCGAATAAGACGACACCCACCTCACAGACTTTACAGAATAGTCCCCTTTCCATGACTGAGCCTGAGGTAGTCCCTCACCAAAAACCGGACGAGGTCCCTGTTGTGAAGCCGAAACGTGTTAGGACCGGATGTCTGACTTGCCGAGAGAGACACCTCAAGTGCGACGAGGGCTTGCCCAACTGCCAGAATTGTAAGAAGTCAAACCGGAAATGTAAACGTGGTGTCCGCTTGAACTTCATCGACATTCAATGTGAACAGCCTCCCTACTTGCTACCCAGAACCCATGATTGGAAGGTTGCTTTTCAGGATGACTCTCGCGACATCGCCTCTGAGTATAGGGGCGGCTTGGAGAAGTATCACCCTCTAGAGCCTGAGCCAAAGCGCCAAAAACGCCTCGATGTATCCAGGCTGAGTTACGACTATGGTCCCATCTCTGGCCCCATCGTTTCTCATCAGCAGCTTCCTACGCCCGCTTCCTATTCCAACTCCTATGCCGAGCCTTCACAACCTATGTATGCAAGCTCAACCAATCAGGCCTACAATCCTGGACCAAATGCGCTCTCATATTCCGAGCCTGCACATGCTGTACGACAGCCTTACGAGCAATCCATATTGATGCCGACCGACCACCATCAATCCCCGCCATATCTGGCAGATCGCAATGAAGTCTTGTACATGCAGGTCTTTGTCGAAGAGGTTGGCCTGTGGATGGACAGCATGGATGCCGAGAAACATTTCTCTCGTCGAATCCCTTTCCAGGCGCTGAGGGAACCAATGTTGAAGTACGCCCTGTTGGCCTGCGGAGTTCGCCACTTGACTCTCGTCAATTCAGCCTACCCGGAAGAACATGCTCTCAATTACTACAACTCTGCCACACAGCTGCTCCTCAAGTCTCTTCAAAACCCAGATAGAGACAGCGTTTTGTGCGCTACGACAGCTACAATTCTCAACGTCTACGAGGTCATGTCGGAGAAAGCCCTACAGCGAATGAATCATATTGCCGGGGCTCGTGCCCTTATCAAAGAATGCCGCTGGGACGCCACCGCTACGGGGGTCGGCGCCGCATGCTTCTGGCTAAATGTTGGCTTGGAGCTGTTTAGCTGTTTACATTTCAACTGGGGTGTGGCTTGGGATCCAGACACCTGGGGTATAGATATGACGATGAACCCTCAACACACGGGCGGAAATGAGGATGATTGGACTCACAAAGTCCTTTGGATCTTATCCAAGATCACCAACTTTAGATCCGCTGCTCAACCACGCTTTCAAGAGCCCAGTGTCCATGCTGAACAAGTACGCCTACATCAGAGGCATCAGCAATGGCTGGGATTGAAACAATTTTGCGACAGATGGCACCAATGCATTCCCCCGACTATGCACGCCATGGCCTATGTTCCACCGTACCTGACTACCTCAAAGAGCTCTTTCCCCGAAGTGTGGTTCATCAAGAGGACCACCATTGTTGCAGCCTTGTTTTATCACACCGCCATGGCTCTACTTGGTGCCGTTCACCCGCTCAAGGACATGCAGCCTCAAACACAGGCCGAGATGCAAGAAATGAAGTTGTACCATTCGAGGCAGATCTGCGGTATTGTAGCGCATGTCAAAGACAGAGGCGTTGCCTCGGCTTCCATCCGATGTCTTGCCGTGGCTGGCGAAAGCTTAACGGATAAGCAGGAGCAACAGGAAGTTCTTGCCATCTTTGAGCGCATAAAGACCGAGACTGGTTGGAGAGTGGACTTTATTCATGATGATCTTCGTGAGAAGTGGTCTTTGAATCCTACCCCATCCGCTCAGAAAAAGGTTCCATCCGGGATCACCAATCCTCTGTATAAAAACGCAGACTTCTCGGTACAGGGTCGGCCATACGCCACCCATTATGTTCCCCCGTCATCCGCACATATCATGCAACCGGAATACTCGATTGTGGATTTTTAATTGGCGATTCATCTTGTTGGAATAACTCGGGCTAGCAGTCCCGCGAGCGTTGGAAGCAAGGACGAATGGCTTTTGGAATATACCAATGAAGCACATGTGTATATGGGACGGGAATACCGTGAATCCTTACTTAATTGACAGTCCGTGGAAAGGGACAGGGGGAGAAAGGGCCGACTCAAGCTCGAGGTCGGATGGTTCCTCCGGAAGGATTGCATTCGACCTATTCATATAGCTTGCGCCATCTATGGAATCGGACAGGTACCAGTCTCTTGAGGGCTTGAATTCTCTCTTGCGCCTCTAGAAAGCTGACAACAGCTCAGTAACAGGCATCTCATCCAACATGGCTTCCACTGCCCATGCTTCCTTATAGTTCGTCCATACCCCATTGTCATTTCCTAGCTTCCCATGCCTTTCTAGCAGCAAAGACATCAGTCCCATCTTGTAATCATGTAGAGTGAGTATTAGTTTGGAACTAAGTTCCAAGCATCATTATCCCATCCGAGACCTTCTTCATTTGCTTTTTCGTTTCATCTCCATCCTTTATCCCCGTCTTTTATCTTCAAGCATCCAATGGGACAGTGATGTTCAGAACTCGATTCCACACTGCTATGCTACTAAATCTGCATGGTGAACGGATACGTTAAGGATGTCTTTTGCTGAACAGCATGGGGAACTGGCAAGGGGCAGGGATGGAGCACCTAAAAGCGTGGACAGAGTGAAGATATGGTATGGTCGATGCGGATGCCTGATACATAGTACTTGCACACTATCGGATGGTCGTCGCCTTATGTCATTGTCGGCTGGCCGCAACTCAACCAGTTGTAGAATCAGCCATCCACGTTGCTTTCTACTACTAGGTACCTAAGTATTCAATGGGCCACTGAAGAATGCGATCCTCAAAAAAATATCCTCCAGATGATAGCGTGCCTCTCGCTTGCAAGCCAACTCACGCGTATCTCAACTTCTTCTCATCAAGGATGCCTCAAACGGGCAGAGCCCAGGACACAATCCTTCCAATCACGGCATTTCTAGAGCCTCCTTGAGCACCGCTAGCGCTCCAAACAGTTGGTTGTCTGCATACTTGTACGCGTTGATCTGGAGGTCGATAGGTGCGTTGGTAAAGTTGGACTGCTCATACAACTCCTTCACGTGCGCGCACGCATCGCTCAGAGGTTTATAGTCAGATGCATAGACATCCTTCGCCTCTGCCTTCACGGGAGTCGGGAAGACCACCCCTGGGAAATCGACAAAGTTGTACAGAGAAGTGTATGTCCAGTAAAATGCGGTGTCGTGGGCAGACGCAGGCCCGACAAATGCTGGGCCGATGACGACGTCGACATCTTGGTCCTGCCAGGATTTCGCGAAGGCGATGCGAAACTTGTCACGCGCGGCTCTCATAGCGCTGACCTCGGCCGCCGTCTGCATACCGTGCGGTTCAGCGTCTTTCATGATCCACGTGCTCAGTGGGTGCATGGGCTCGCCAGCGGCAGTGATGGGATCGATCTCCCCTTTGCCACCGTCGGGCCAGTACATTCGCCGAATCTTGGTCCACGCTTCTTGCGCGTTATAAGGGTGGAATGGCTTGACTTCGACGATCGACGCGTATTTGGGATCAGACAGCTTCTCACGTGCCCACGAGACCGCGCGCTTCACTGGCGGTTGCGGGTCAATGAAGCCATCGTGCTCGATGATTCCGACCTTGAGACGACGAGTCATAGGCGTTTCTAACCCAGTCCACGGTATCGGCACAATCCGTGGGTCTTCGAGATGAGGCTTGGCTGACAAGATTAATCGCGTAAAGAGTTCCATGTCTCGCAGCGTCCGGCACATTGGACCTGAGGCACACAGCACATTCAGCTCTGCGGGAAATGATCCAGCCAAGAAGTCTTTCATCGGCAAAATGTACGATGTTGGCTTGAAGCCGTAGATGCCGCAGAACGCTGCTGGTCTATTTTGAATGGTGTTAGTCAAGTTCGCTTGGAAATGCGCGACGGGGCGTGGATCGGACCATGATCGGGGACAGGGTCCAGCTGTCGGCAATGCTGAGGATCATATGTGAAACTCACCCACGGATGCTTCCACCAATGTCAGTGCCAACGCCCATGACGGAGCCTTTCATGGCGAGCAGGGCAGCCTCGCCGCCAGTCGAGCCGCCAGCCGAGAGATGGATATTATGAGGATTGAGCACTCGTCCCCAGTGGGAGTCGCTCTCGAGATGCATGATCGTCTGTGGTTGGTTCGTCTTGCAATAAAAGACGGCCCCGAGACTTCGGAGGATCTTGATCATCTGGCTGTCTTCGTCGTCCTTGACGATGCTGCTGAAGAAGCCCATTGATGAATACGTGCCAGCAATGTGCATGTGTTCTTTGATGCTAACGGGCACGCCGTGAAGAGGGCCGATGGTCTTGCCATTCTTCTCCAGATACTCGTCGAGCTCTTGAGCTTGCTTCTCCGCCATCTCCGGGTACCATTGTGTTAGGCAACACGTCAGTTGATGCGAGATGATGGCGCGTTTGGAGAACGCCTTTGCTACCGTGACCGCGCTATACTTGCGAGTGGCAATCGCCTCTGCGAGGCTGGTGGTATCATGCGTTTCGGTGATTTCGATCTCCTCCGGCGTGAGGATCCCACATGTGCTAGGGATTCCCGTCACGTCCGCCGGCGGGTTGTCGATAATGTCTTGGGACACATAGTACTCGCGAGGTATCTTCTCATAGAAGGCCCGCAGTAATGCTGTCCGCTTTTCCTCGAATTCAGGCGTTCCTTGAGGCACCGCCTTGGGTTGCACGAGAGGATATAGTCGGGCAACCATTATTGGGAAGCTTCTTTGGGTTGCTTGGTGAGGAGACACAGAGAGAGAGGCAGTCTTGTTTCGAGGGGAAGGGAAAGGCAGGTTGTCCTTCAGCAGAAACTTACGCTTTTACGTATGAGAAAATGCCCGATGTCCGGATCGGCCACTTGGTCAACAAGATCAAGAGCAGTCGTCTTCACAACATGCCTTCTGTTGGATCTAGGTTTGCGGGGTATCTCCCAAGACGTAGGGCGAGCTGGAGGCGGAATCGCGGCATCCTGGTCCCATGGCGAGATAGCGGAAGTCGCACCTTAAGAAAGGGTCTTGGAATGGATTCCGTTGCCGCCTCGCTGCAAAAGACAGCGATAACATGAAGTCAAACACGGTCCTACGAAAACCTCGCGGGAATGAGCGACCATCTCCTAAACCAACCTCCCTTGTGATGGCGGAGATGATAGCCCAGACGGACCCAGGAGCCAATAGCATTTATTTGCGACCCCTGTCGATTGACCCATGGGCATCGGCATTTGCGCTTAAGAAATCCACGCAGGACTATGGGGAGCAGGCAAGCCACCTAGCGAATATGCTGGCGTTATCTTGGGCATTATCGACCACTCACAGCCATTTGCGGCCCCTGCCCCTCGAAAGCTAGCCTTGATCGCTGGTTTGCCTCTGCTATCTCCAACGGTTAACACCAACTAGGTAATCTTCCCCCTCAGTTGAGTATAATGGTATGAGGGTATAATCGTTGGGATCCCAAAGCTGCAATCGTGTGTGCAATCAAACAAAGATTCTCGGCGCACCTGGACCATGGCTACCCCTTATCAGTCGGAATGCTGAGGACTATCTCCACTGGCCCGAGAATCTGAGAAGACGAGGAGGTCTTTGAACTTGTTGACACCGGACCAGAAGGCTACACTAACTCTAGCAACGCAGGCCGTCACTTGAATGAGAGCCATTATCCCTAAATGAGGAGAACGTCCGAGGTATATAAGTCACCTTGATAGCCATCAGACCCTCCTCTCCCATCCTTCTTCCAATCCGACACATTGTCTCGAGAGACTCATCAGACCCTCATTTCAAGCCATGGCTATCACTACGGAGCCCACGTCAAGCGACATCCCCGGAACCATCCACCTCGTTGACCTTGATCATAGCATGCGTGCACAGCATGCTCAAGGGTCGAGTGACATTGTCTTAGATCCTTCCCCTTCGAAAGACCCAGATGACCCCTTGAACTGGTCACCTCGCCGGAAGTTGATGTCCACTATTTGTGCCAATCTGTAGGTCCCCAATCCTCCCAAGCATCAAGTACAGATTTTGGCTCATTCTCGATCAAGCTACACCTGGTTCACAGGTATCGCTGTCAGCACTGTTTACTCTGTCTTGGTACCCCTCTCAACATCGAGTGGGGTGTCGGTTGCAACTTTAAACCAAGGAACGGGATATATGTTTTTGTTCCTTGGCTGGGGATTACTGGTATGGCAGCCGTTTGCTCTTCGCTATGGTAAGAGGCCGGCCTACTTGCTCAGTGTCCTTGGTGCCATCGGAACGAGCATTTGGAGGTAAGATTCTTTCAAATTCTCCACCCTTTCTACCGCTTATTCTTTCAGTGCCTACGTCAAAAGCAACGGGGAGTGGATAGCCCGGTGCATCATAATGGGCATAGTTATCAGCCCAATTGAAGCGCTTCCAGAGATATCTGTGACAGACATCGTGAGTACCTCCAAAACTTCCCTTCTCAATTCTGTTCCATGAGATAAAGGACGTGAGGATGGCAAAGACATCATTCAATTTCCATAGTGGTGTCCCAGCACCAAAGAGAGAATTACCAACATATTGCATGACTAACATATTGGCAGTATTTCACCCACCAACGAGGCACATACATGGGCTTATACGCCTTTAGTTTAGCAGGTTCGAACTATGCTACACCTATAGCTTGTGGCTGGATTGCAGATTCTCTTGGCTTTGCTTGGGTATTTTACTTACCCGCGATATTTCTCGGGGTCCTGTTCATCTTTCTGTTCTTCTTCATGGAAGAAACCAACTATCACCGGAAAACCTCAGGGATCGTAGCTGGGACAGAAACTCCTCCACCCGAGGCCACGACTGAGGACGACTATGAGAAGAATCCAGTGATTAAGAATACTGCTACGCCCACCGAAAATGGCGAGTGGACTCCCGCGCCGAAGACTTATATTCAAAAACTGTCAGTCTGGAAGCCCAACCCTGGCCAGAGTATGATATCGCGAGCTATTCGAAGTCTGAAATATTTGACCTGGCCCGTCATCTTCTACTCCGGCTTCTCCTATGGCTCATACTTGATCTGGTTCAATGTACTTAACGCTACAGCTTCAATCATTCTGGGTGGTTCCCCTTATAACTTCAGTGCCTCAATGGTCGGGACAAGTTATGTGGCCTGCTGCGTAGGCGTGGTAGCAGCTTCAGTATTGACAGGCCCTTGCAGCGACTGGCTCACCATCAAATTGGCACGACGGAACGGTGGTATCATGGAAGCAGAACATCGTCTCTGGCCGTTTGCTATGTGCGTGATTGTGGTCCCAGCATCTCTCATCCTATGGGGCGTTGGCGCTGCCAACCAGGTGCACTGGTTCGGATTAATATGTGCCATGGCTACATTGGCATTTGCTGTGACTTGCGGGGTTTCTCTTTCGATTAACTATAGGTGAATGATGTGATGAATGGTTGAATTCACTAGCTAACTATCTGAAGCATCGATAGTTATCACGACATTAGCGCAGAGACGATCACTACTGTCATAATCGTCCGCAATACGATGAGTTTCGCGATCAGCTATGGGTGAGTTCAGCACCCCCACCTCCCCCGTCTCGGCACAAAACTGACAGAATTTCTAGTATCACTCCATGGTTAACGAACCTCGGCTATCAGAATTGCTTCATTTCCGCAGCGTTTGTGGGAATGGCTGCCTCCTCAGTCTTCTTGGTGATGATCTTCTTGGGGAAGGGCTTTAGGATCAGAAGCGCCGCTCGCTATAGAGAAATAGTTGCGGAGAACAAGGCCCTTGCTGAGGCGATGTGAACATAGGCTACGTGGGACAATTGGGAGGTGGTCGTGCTTCGATCGATACCGAGCATGCACGAAGAGATAGATTGCCGCATGATTTAGACTGCTCTGCAGCTCTGGACAGAAGGGGGAGGTACCGTATCTCCGTGCAGCTGATTTCAGTTAAGACGCAACATCTATATAAGAATTCGGCTATGGTGCTACGATTACGGGGATCCCTCCCAGAACGTGGCGATGCAACGAGTGGCTTGAACTACATGTCACTGTAATGCTTCTCGGACACTAGAGCGACCCACCAGAGTAATTCGAGTCTGTCTGCGGGGTTTAGCGATTTTGCTGGGTAAGGAGGTAGAAGCATTTGTGGGGGCATGTCGACCCAGTTCGGTAACCGGTAGCAGGACTGCTTGAGATCTCTTATCTCTTGGTCAGGCCCATTGCCCTCCTCTTCTTTGTTCCATCCATTTCGAGACCTTGCTTATATTTTCCTGGGTCATACTGCGGGCCATGTACTGCCATCACTTTCAAACTTTGCATATGGGCATTGTGTATGCGATCAAGTGAATGGGCCACATTTCCAGTTAAAATCGGGATGGGAAAAGAACCCAGAAGGACCAAGTTACGGGCAAAAACAGGGTGCCTCACATGTAAGACTTCAAGTTTGGTTCTGCAGGGAGACTGCCTAGATTCCATTTCTTTGTTTGCCCTGTCTTGCGGAGTTTTGAGTTAATGCGACTCACGGCCCAGGTCGAACACGACGAAAGAAATGCGATGAAGTATATCCAGCTTGTAACAATTGCACTCAGTCACTACGTCGCTGCCAATGGCCAACATCTGACGAGTTGATTGATCGCCGCCATGGTTCTCACCGCTCAAGGCGGTCATCTTCTCCAAATTCAACGATTAGCGATGGCTGCTCCCCTCTCAGTACTACTAGCAGTAGTACTGGCCACAAGAGCGACGTCGGGACGATCAAAAAGCCCGCCATGATGGACACCGCCTCAATACTGGCAACGACAAGCCTCTGTCGTCTATCCGAGGCGACAGCATATCGGCTTATATGCCATGATCTCGAACCAGTCATATGCCGGCATTTCTCAGAAAATTATTACGGGTTGTTAATTCTGCCCAACTGTAGCCCCGAATTCTTCTATGGCTGGATCGCGGACATCCAAAAGTTGATGGTGCAGTATAAGAGCCTTCAATACTCAGTACTTGCTTGTGCGGCGTCACATCTCCATTTTGTCGACGCCTCCTCTATGATGCAGGAGCTTTCTTTGACCTATTACTCGAACTCAATCAAGGGACTGTCTGAGCTTTTGGGTGAGCTCTCCGGACTAGAAAGTGACAATGGCATCCTTATGAGTGTTATTCTGCTGTATTTACATGGAGTATGTCCTCGCCTGAGAAAGACCTGTCCCTTCTGCGCGAGGTTGATTTCCTGACCCAATTTCTCTGCTGACATATGGTCTTTTCACGGTCAATAGTGTATGGGAAGGGGCACGTACAGTGATATCCCACGCCATTTGAATGCCGCGATGCGGATCGTCCGATTACGGCTTCTCGAACGACCCTGGAGTCTCAGTCGACCTTTTGACAGGCTCGCCGTGGAGTCTGTGCTGTATCAGATTTTTCTCGTCGCGACGGGATCTTGGTCCGATACCCACCAAATGGACCTTCATTTTGACTCGGACTTCTGGCTCCAGGCAGAGGAACTGCTCGCCAAATCAAATCTATATCCCGGGCGGTCGATTAGCTTCAACAGCCCTGTTATAGGAGTCCCCTTGGCGCTTTTCAGGGTAGTTTTGTCTTTGAAAAGACTATATCAGAACCCCTCGCAGTACGACAAGGACACCTTGGAGGGCCTAAGGAGCGAAGTGGAAGAATGGGAAGGCGTCGTCCTTAGTGAGGGAGAGATCGACTCCCCAGACGAGTATCAGAACTGCAATCCTCGAATCTACAGAGACGCCGGTTACCTGTATATTTTGGTTTCATCCTTGTTGATGGACCAAATATCTGTTGGCGATTGGAGCCCTGGTGCTCCACGCGTAGCGCCGCCTGACAGTTGGCAGCTTATAAAGGCGAAGGAGATCCTCCGGGCACGGCAAGACGATCCTGAATGGGCACGATGCTTCATAGGCAATTGGCCAGTCTACTCGCTGGGATTTTTTCTAGACGAGCCTGACATCGAGCTCATCCGAGCTGACTTGCATTACAGATGGCAGGCTGTTAAGTTCTCGCAGATTTCCCGATTTCGGGATGATCTTGAAGCTACCTGGGCTGCACGTGGATGCAGTTGCAATGCTCCGACCTGCCCCGAGGCCCTTACTGTTATTTCAGCCCCTTCGTTGAGGAGAGCTTGGATGGACCTTGAGGGTTGAATTACGAAGTTGTGATTCAGTCATGGGGTCGAAATCCCACTCTCTCCGATGGCTGAGGTAGACTTCGCGAGTTTCCTCTGAGGATGTTTTAAGCCCGGCCTTCAAGATTTACTTCATCATCCATGGCAGCCTCATTTCACATCTCCTACTACTATGATTCCTCGAATTTTCGAGAGAGAGAAAAACATGTCCTATTGCGAGCCATGAGTGCAGTATTTGGGTGGCAATCACTGCCACTGAAAGAAGCGGCATAAGCTGAGCGCGTCATTTATCTCGGGCCTCTTCACACATATCTTTGGGGAGCAAGCGGGCACCATCAAGAAGAATGCCAATTTGAAGACAATGACCGCTCGACTCTGCCAACACAGAGCGACATCTCGGCGGAGGTGGTATCCGTCCAGAAAGTGTGAAGCTTGAGTTGGTCGAGAACTGAGACAAGTGCGTTAGGTTACCACGCATACACTACAATATCGAGCCGGTTAAAGGTACTCAGAGCTCAGAGATAAAGCCTCGGATTTCGTAGCGTTGAAGAAAATGTATGGTGGCGATGGGGATGTTTTATGAAGACTCTGAATTGCATCTAAAGTGCACAGTTCCATGTGAAATATCACCGGAAGAACGAAGGATAGCAGATAGTCTGGTGCACTCCACAGACAATAGTGAATAATGAAGGCATGACGAAGTCCTCCAAGCTCAGCCTTGCCAGCAAGGCTGAGAGCCAAGCCTTTACATTCCGCCAATCAGAAACAGCCCCCTGGCCGCTCCCGCAACGCAACATCCCAGTGATCATGGGCTCCGGGTTCCACGGTCAACAACCACACTCACAAGTTACAAGCGAAATCAGCCCTTTGGAACGACATACAAGTCCCACATCCCCGTTCCAAGACGGTCTCACGCCTAGAACCATTTCGCTCTTGCCTACGAGGATCCACAGCTCCCCGAACACAACCTCCTGCGCTATCCTGCCCAATACCAATCCTCTCACAACACACCCCTCCGCGACAACGAGCAGTTCCGTATCGCAGACATGATTTCCGACAACCAGCTTTATTCCCTTGCCATATTTCTGGGCTCGGCAGCCATGCTGATGATAGTCTTATACCATTTCCTGGAGGTGAACTCGCAGGACGACGAGGGGCTTTCGGGCGACCTGCAATCCGAGAAGAGCGGTGTTGGTGCGGTGAAACCTACGGCGGCGGCGATGTCGGGTACAACGGCCGGAGGCGGCGCTGGTTTTGTCGGGGATGAGAAGAGATGATGGTCGTGGAGGGGATGTCAGAGTGATACTTGCGATTGGGTGGGAAGGAATGCATCCGGAGGATGGAGTTGGTGGCCTAGGCTTGGGATGAGATACCATCGAAACCAATGGGTGCTGGTGGTAGGCTGCCACCTTCAGCAGAATCTGCCGTATCAAAAAATTCGAGACCGCGGGCACCCATCTACAATCTGGGCGCTGAAGTGACGTGGTGGCAACGTACTCGAGAACCAGTTGGGGCATTTACGCTGTCAATATCCAACTACATACTGAGGACATGAACTCCTCCTGCTCCTGCATGAAAAATATTCCAAGCTACACACGTGTTCACGGCGACTTTAGGTTCAAACTATGTGCACTCTCTAAATGGTTAAATAGTCTGTAGCATCAGATAGGCGACTGTCCACTAATACGGGGTATATCTCCGAGAAGGACATCAACGGTCAACGGTCACTGTAGTCAGGCAGGTAGAGCTTCCAATATCAGACTGTTAACTGGTGCAAGCACCATCCCCTTGCAACTGATATTCGTAGAGAAGAGCAAAGCATCACATAATTATGCATTTTGCTAGCAATCAGAATGACATGATCATGTTGTGACTTGAGAGCAAGGCCCAGTGCCCTCGTCCATCAAACAGCCCTCACATCTCATGTATGACTTATGTTCATTCTCACGTCGCAAATAAGCCATGGCGGGGCTGGTTGGCGTCATCAATCGGCGGCTTCTGTAACCCTGACAATGCCCGGATTTTGCACAAGTCGAGATTTGACCGATTCTCGAGCTAACACACAGCCTTCGTCTTTCATTCCCGGTCCAAATTTCGCCTTGTTTGCTGTCAACGCACGTAGCGTTTCTTCCGCAATAGCCTTCGGGCTGCGTTTATCATCCCGGTGGGTCCTGATGAAGCTGCGTTGCGCAGCTTGGTCCGCGTCCTCATGGCTAGCTGCAATGAGTGTCATGGTGTCCCGTTCGAGGTATTTATTGGATCGGTCCGACACCATAGGAGTGGTGGTTCTGCCGTCTTTGTCGGAAAGGTAGCGGGTTCTATCCATGAGGATCGTCTGGGGATCTAAGTAAGAAAATGTTCTAGTATTTGAAGCAAGTTGGGGATGGAAACGAAATCTTGACACATCCAGCGATGATTTTGTGGGCTTACCGATATGTTTAGTTGAGGGTCCATCTCCTTGCTTCAGGGTAATCGGGTAGATATGATCCTGCTCTATGTGCTTGAGCCAGTTTTCTTTTGACGGGAATGTCTGAACGGGCAGCCACATCCCATCTGAGTCTTCTTCCAAAAATCGGCACTTTTTCCACCAGCAGGCATATTCATCAATATTCTCCTCCAGTTGGCCGTGAACCTTGGATATATGTTGATGAAGAGTTTCACTGTTGTGAAGATGGCTCTTGCAACCTTTCCAACGACATCGAAAGATGGGCAGGTGAGGACCTGAGAGTGAAGGTAAAGTGACGGACGTGACTTGGCGCGCTGCACGCTGCATAGCAGCTACCGACATGGTCTTGCTCTTAGATCCCGGGGGACGCCCGCGTCTCTTCGTAACGGGCGCGTCGCTCGTCATCATCTTCGGCTTATTGATGAGTTGAGGCTGGCTTGACAGCTTTTTAGGAGAGGACTTCGGCTGTGACAGTGGGCGACTCGTGGAAGAAGTTTTCGGTGCAACATCCGGTCCTGGCACCTGAGAATTGCGTAGACCCGAAAGTCTATTGACCCTAGAATCGGCAGCTTTATCTGGGTGTTTTAACCGTGACTGTGAAGGGAGAGAAGTCAAGGGCGCAGGTGCGGGAAGCACGTGATTAGGCGAGTACGCTCGGTCATCGCGCTTGTCTGAATTAGGCACGCAGCCCGCTACCTCTTTTCTCACATCTCCAAGTTGATGTTGAGGCGGTCCTACAACATTGGCATATTCCACCACAGGCATTGGCGGGCCACCAGGATCTATAGCATCCCAATCAAATGTCGCCAAATCCGAGTCAATGTCGATATGCCTTCCCAGAAGTCCTGCCATGTGCGCATTCAGGGGTCGCTCTGTAGGGTGTCGACCAGCAGCAATCAAAATGTCCCGAGCAACTGTCTTCGGGTCGTAGTAGATCTTCAGCAGCCCTTCAGCCCGATTGATGGCCTTGGCGAGCCTTCTGCTTTTTGTGGCAGATAAGTCTATTTTTGAGCCATTTAAGGCATTATCCATCAGAGAAATTTGAGGTAGCCGACCCACTGCGGGATCAAATCTTAATGGCTGACCAGGTTGCATGGGTCCTGATGCGAATGCCCGTTGGGATGTTGGTGCAGAGCTCATCTGAATTTCATACTGCTGAAATAAGTCAAGTTCTGTTGGCGGATTGTCCGTGCGAGCATGCTTCTTGGAGAGCACGTAATCCTCATTGTCACTTAGAACGGTCAAGTCAATCAATTCGGAAAAGTCGCGCTTACGGGCCATTGCTTCTTTTGAGCCAACTTGGGGCTCATTGCGCGATGGAACAAAGGCCCGACCTTTTGACAGTCGTTGCGGTGTATTATACTGCTGCATAACGGGAATACGCGTTTCAGGCTTGACGAGCATGGATTCTCCATTGACGGCACGGAACTGACTTGGGGGAGGAGGTGGTGGAAGATGTATGGATCCAGGGCCTGGCGGTATCGGGTGGATAGGCTTTTCATGAGATAGATGCACAGCCTGAACGGGTATGGCAGGAGATGTAGGTAGGTTTGGCGGCGACGACGGACCTCCTGCAGTAGTCGGTGAAATGTAGGTCGGCATAGCCGGGTGTACAGGTGGTTGTATCTTAGCTGCCGTAGGAGTGTTGAGAAAGGGAACTTTTGCTAGAAGCTGCCTTGCAAACTGTCCTCGGTGAAACCTGAAGCCCTTCTTCTCCAAGGTTTCACACAGGTCAATATAACTTGGATTCGACTTTAAAATAGCGTCGATATCTGCTGTAGTGATCTCGATATCCGCATTGCCAGGAAATCCTTTGAGGGCGAAATCTTTCAGCGATCTCACCGCAGCTTCTGCTAGTGCTGCACGCTTGTCCTCTGGCCAGATTGTACCTCCGTTAAGAGTCCTGGGAGGTAGCCCCTGAGATAATGGCGCTGGCTGGGGTGGCTTGTCACTGTTCATTGGTCCAGATGCAGGTCCTGGAGTCGGTGCTGGATCAGGTATCGAAGTTGATACAGGAGTATCGATTTTAGCAGGTGGGCCAGCACTTACTGGAGTTGGAACAGAATGATCCGGGACAGCCTTTTCCGTGTTCGCAGGCTGTTTTGATGGTGTCGCTGAGTCGGTTTCTTTCTTTCGTGAAGGAGGAATCCGTCTTCGGGCCGGAAACTGGCCAAGGTCGGGAAGTCCCTCGGGATTGCTTTCCACTACAACCATATATCCATTAGCTCTAGCTAGATCGGATTCTTGTGTCTTCGGGGTAGAGTCCGCTTCAGATATCGCACCTTGCGATGTAGAATTTTGGGTCGCTGGTGTAGCCTTTTGTTGAGGTGGTATCATCGATTGCTGAGTGGTTTGAGGAGACGACACTTGCCCTGTAGCAGTGCCTGAACGCGAGCCACGCATGCTGTCCAATAGTTTCTGAAACATCGACGGATCTTTGGACTGAATCTCTTTCATCCTAACCATCATCAACTTCAACTCATTGGCCATGTCATCGTCGTTTGACACCTGAGCATCTCCAGCGTGTGTAGTAGTTTGAGGTTGGTCTGATTCAGTGGCTTTTCCTTGAATTTGTGGCTTATGCTTAGCAGCTAGTTTCTTCGCTGCTTGCTTCTCACTATCTCGTGCGAGGGAGGCAGCCGCTTCGTCCTCTGCTGCCCTTTTACCCGCTTCGGCCTGCGCTTGGGCCTCCGCGTGCTTCCTCGCCTCGGCTTCGGCTTCCGCTCTAGCTATCTCCTTTCTTCTTTGTTCGTGCTCTCTATAGAAGGGATTGAACACCTGGGCGGGGTCAACATAACCAAGCATGTCACTTTGTCCATCGAGTGACGTGGTATACTGGATATGAAAACTGTCATCGGTATCTGTATGGGTGACCAAGTTAGAAATACTGTTCACCGGATGACTGAGCTGCTTTTCGCTAGTATTTGCTGGTTGTTGAATTCTATTCTGGCCGCTTTTCCAGCTTTGTGGTCGGTTTTGGGTCGGCCGTTGGTTTGCAGTATTTGAACTTGCAAGGTTTGCTTGCGGAAGAGCAGGAGATTGGCGTGCTTTCTCCGGGAGACTCGCAGCATGAGGTGGCGACTTGGTGCGTTGAGGTGCAGACAACGCTGACCTGGGATTATTTATCGAAGGAGAGCTGGAAGATTGTCCCGTAGACCCAGATGATTGATGGTAGCGGTGGCTCACAGTGCCAGCAAGAGCTGCAGCTGTGGACAACTGATCGTGACCAGGAGAGACTGAAGGAAGTTCGGAGGCGTAGGGGTAATTCACAGAATGACCGGCTCCATATTGATTCGTCTGCTGATTGACTGGTGATCGTAGCCTCTGTGACGTATTTGCGATGAGCTGAGCGGAATGGGTTGAACCACTCGTGACGCTCGACCGTTGCACATGATGACCTGTACCTGCCACATCCGCACTGTCAAGGCGCGCAGCGTAAGCCAAGTTATTTAGTCCCTGTGTGTTCAACCCCGTTGAGCTGTAAGAGGAACCAGTTCCTGTACTTGTTTTAGGCTGCGTCAAGTAGTTGTTTGCTTGAATTTGTCGTTCATAAAATCCATTCCGCGCACCGCTTTCATTACACGATTCGTTCTGATACACTGATGGTCGCGAAGTGTTGGCATAATTCGTCGAGTTCTGTGTTCTCCAGTCATAGCCAGAAGAGCCGTAGTGGGATTGACCTGGCTGTCTCACGACACGGGGATTTGAAGCTCGGGCGGCGTAGGTATTGTCGGACGTGGACGGCTGATTTGTGTTCTGGGAGTGCTGGACTTTGGTACTTTGGTTCGCAGAATCATAGTACTGACCATAGCATGGCAAGTTCGACATGCCGGTCTCTGCGAGCCGCAAGTTCTTGTGCTAACCCAGCTTGCACATGGGCTTCCCTAGGCATTGATACCATCAATGTGCAAAGGGCAGGTCGCATGCGATGAGGATCCCGATCGCGGGAGGGTGAAACTGAGTTGCCTCAGTTGAGCTGATTCGCCCGACCAGGACCAATCCGAGGTAGGGAGCGATTCAAACGACCCTTGGGCTTGAGATTGATACTATTGTCGTTGCTTTGGAGCGACTGTCGCCGAGCACAACGACTTTGTCCGATCAAAGGCGCAACCATCGACGCGCATATGGAGAATCCCTGCTACAAATTCCATATACTGCAGCGCATATCACTCATTTGGGCATATATTACGGCGCATCATTCGGCCATCCAAACCAGGGATTTCATCCAATCAAAACAGGGTCTCAATTACGAGGCGGGAGCCCACCGTAACTCTTGGCGCACTTTCCTCCCACGCAAGCTGCAAATTCAGTCCCAAGACAATCACTGAATCACGAATTCCCTTGTCGTCGACACTCATTCTTTTCGCTGAACCGCAATCATGACCAAAGTAAATTCCGGTATGTATTAAAATACTGGACACAGATCTTGTCCGATATATCTACTAACAGTCGTCCCAGGGTTGGCAGCCTCCAGGCGCAAGTCCCGCAAGTTGCACTATGGCGCTCCATCTTCAGTCCGACGAACTATCCTAAGCGCTCCCCTGAGCAAGGAATTAAGAGAAAAGCACAATGTACGACACCTCCTATCCTTAGATTGAGTCCCAATCATTCTGCGAAACCATAATCGAGAAAGTGCGAAGGCGAGATCGAGGAGTTGAGTCTAACAAGAGCATAACAGGTCCGCAGTATCCCCATCCGCAAAGACGACGAAGTTACAATCGTGCGAGGTTCCAACAAGGGTCGTGAAGGCAAAGTGACATCAGTCTACCGATTGAAGTTCCTCGTCCACATCGAGAGAGTCTCCCGCGAGAAGTCCAACGGTCAATCCGTCCCCATCGGCATCCACCCAAGTAAAGTCGTCGTTACAAAGCTAAAGCTCGACAAGGATCGAGAAAAGATCCTGGAGAGGGTCGGAAAGGGTCGTGAAGCTGTCAAGTCCAAGTCACAGTAGATGATGTTTACGTCGGGGAAGGGCGTGGAGAAAAAAGCTAAGGGTGTTACGACTTGAAGCATTTCCAATGGGTTTTTCCACAAGGGGTTTTCATCGGAAAGATCACATATCAACATGGTTTGTAGAAGCAGCGTCTCAAATACCCGACGTGGCATCTCAATCTTACCTGAATGAGAAGAAACCATCCAACCAAGTACTTTTAACAAGTTGGATCAAGCTCACCAACGAAGTTCTCAGCCACTGCACATCGATTGTTCAAACCTCACTGACTCCCACGATATTCAATTCCAATCAGGTCATCTCGTTTTGCCATGAATGGACCAAAGCCCGCCAGATTTATCACCTTGCTCATCCCCTCTCCATGGTTTGATAAGGTAAACAATGGCGTAGATTGATTTTAATCATGCAACGATGGCGCGTCAGTCTTCACCCTCACAGGTGATGATTTTCAACTCATTAGCATGACTCGCCGGCAGACTGCCTACAGGAAATCAATCTGTTGCTGGGATTTGATGGCGAGAGACAAAAAAACAACCAGACGCCAGCCAGGTATTTGCTAAACTGACTCTTGAAGATGGGCGAAGGTCTGAATTGATGTTTGTACGAGTACTATTTTCTTATTTGCAAAATTCTCGCTTTCCACCACCTCTACACATGAAACGTGACCGTGTCTGTTCCCCCTTTGTATCATTCTTAAGGAATCTGTGGAAAATCCTGTTGTCTCATCAAAACTGCTTTTCAATGATCCCGTCACCCACAGCATTCATGACTCCACGATTACTTCGAAATTCGGTGTCGTTCGAGTTCAACTGTTTGGCTCCCACACCAGTCACCTTGGAGATATGTCTCTGCAAACCCTCCTCACCCTCGGCGTGCTCTGCGTGGCCCTGGTGAATCTTTTGCAAGCTGTCTCTCATCAGAAACTCGTAGTATCCAGTGGCGAAGATGGTTGCAGGCACGTTGACCAGGATGGAGATCCACGAATACGAGTTTGAGTAGGTGAATGCCTCACGGCCAAAGAAGATGGCCGCAACAATCCTCGTACCAAGATCCCTGGCCAGATTCGTTGAGATCGTGTTCCCAGCAAAGCCCCAGACCATGGTAGCGTATGCAAGACCAATGGTCCAAGGTACAGAATTAGGGCTGACGAACGGGTTGGCTGGGTCGAGGCACGCCCAGATGATGATGCCGATGTAGCTGTCAACGAAGAACTCCTGGAGGAACAAGAAACCCTGGTTGGTCTGGTCCGGATTCGGGAAAGAGCACAAGATACTCGCCACGCCGCCGTTGTACACGGCTGTGCCGTGCTCGCGCAGGTCGATTTCCTTCGCGGCTTGGATCTGCGGCCAGTAGCACGCCATCAGCATCAGTCCGGCCATGAAGGCCCCGAAAATCTGCGAGAAAATGTAATGGGGCACTTTCTTCCACGGAAATCCCTGCCAAATGGCGAAGCAGACTATTTAGACAATCTAATTAGCTATCTCGCGCTGTCCTGCTGCAAAGAATCAGGACGCTTACGAGTGATTGCAGGATTAAAGTGACCACCGGAAGTACTTGCACAGGTGATAATCGCAAAGGCGATCCCGAAGGCGAAACCCCAGCCAATCTGAAAAATAGAGCCAAAGACGGGAACGCCTACAGCCTGGCCCACGGGATTTGTCGTCGCCAGAGTGAACGAGGCTACCGACCCGATTCCGGCAAAGACGTAAAAGAATACCCCTGTTGCCTCGGCCATCATTTCTCGGAGGACACGAGGCCGCTTGTGCTCGAAATTCAACTTCCGCTCAGACACCGGCTTGGGCGGAACGACATGGCGAGTGATGTGGCGTTGGAGCACGTCGGTGACGCCGAGTTCGATGTCATTCGTATGCTGTCTCGCCAGAGGATCTGAATGGTGGCCTTCGCGTTGTGCCATTGTTTGAGTAATCAGGATTGGTGCAACGAGACCCGATTAAGACGACAAGGCAGATGCTCTGGGGAGTAGAGAATCTGGGGAGGAAATGTGGGAGATAGTAATCAACAGAATCTGGGGGGTTCCATCGAGCTTCATACTAATACTTGTAATGTTATCCGACCAACTCCACCACCCCTCGACAATCTTGAGGCATGGACCTGTACTCCGTAGAGGTTGCCGGACATACCACAACCGATTCCGAATATCCCCACGAAGATGAGATCCATGCTTTCGTCGTTTCATTTCCTATGGGTGAGCACACGGTGTTGGGCGAGGGACTGGTCGGGTCATTTGAGTCCGATGACGACAAGGCTTTCCCAAGAACAGTCTCTGCACTTGCAACGATGCATCATCTTCTGGGGCCACAGCGTTGGTTGCTAAGGATAACCGGCACGCGAGAAAGTGGCATTGCTTGACCCTCAACAAGCTTTAGCCGGAAGTCAAGGCAGGGACAAGCAAATGACACGGGCAGCACGATAGGGTCCCAGCAGGGCCTTGCAGCGCAAACCGAATATTTCTCCAATATGATTGGGCTTTTACCAACCTCTGATCAACTTTTGGAAGGTGGCATTGAGAATGGGTCGGCCAACGGCTCACAACAGCGAGCGAGGCGACCCAGGCGAATGGGAAGATCGGCGCGGACTTTGAAAGCAATGCAGTTCAATTCGAATGCCATCCTGCATAAAACGTGCCTCGGTGATTGTGTAAGCTGGAGTTCACGCGGCAAAGTACACGTCACCGTGGCTCATGCGGGCAGGAACTTGACAGACGAAATAGAAAATGGTGTAAGTGGCGGAGAAGTAGACCTCCCCATGGGTCGCCTCCTCACCAAATGTGGAGAACAATCGAACTGTGGTGAAGCTCACTCGGTGCGGTACGGCAAGGTTGGAATCAACCTGGCTGACGGATCGTGCATGGTTCGAGATTCGACGGCAATCAATGGCGGCATTCCTGATCAATAAAATGGTTCGGTCACTGCGCATGTCACGGATCGCTGAAGAGATAAACCGATTTCAGCCGGTAAGCTTAAAAAATTGGTTCTTTTAATATGTATACTTGCAGGGAGCAGGGATCTCTTTACCACTTCTCAATGTAGGGTCGAATATCGAGCTCGTTGGTGAAGGTGGTTCGAGGCTGAGTGTGTAAGTGCCAGTAAGAATCCGCGATCTGTATCCGCCACACGTCTCATCAGTAAATTGTCCGCCAGCACGGCGACTGGTCCAGAAAGTCAATATGGCTTACCGCGTCGGGTGAGATCTTTGCATCTGGATGGTCAAACTTATAATGCTTGGTCCGTTCAATATCGATCACACCATCAATGATGGCATGAGCGACGTGAATTCCCTTCGGACCGAATTCTCGGGCAAGCGATTGATATAAAGCCCTCAACGCGAATTTACCCGTGGCAAACGAAGCGCAGTTGGCGGAGCCCCTCAATCCTGCCGTTGCAGAGGTGAATATCAAAGTTGGTGGGTGTTCTGTTTTATCTACTGCTTCAAGTAGCAGCGGAATCACAGCCTGAGAGAAATAAAAGCCACCCAACCTGAGGGTTTGTCAGTGAACTCAGTGAGATTGATATACTTGGGGCTTAGGCGTACCCGTTGGCTTGCCAGCCACCCTCATATTCTTGCGCTGACAACTCAAGGAAAGGCTTTCGAATGAACGCTCCACCTACATTGAAGATAGCCGCAGCGAGGGGCGCACTTCCTCTTTCCTTGTTGATCTGGTCGAAGGCGCTCTGGATACTCTTACCGTCCGCGGTGTCAGTACTGATACCAATCGCTTTGCCGCCTGCATCATTGATCTCTTTCACAAACGGCTCATAGTTCTCTGGTTTCCGTGCTAGCAAAGCGACTGCATAGTTTTTGGCAAAGCGACGTGCCACGCTTGCCCCTCTGCAACAGGATCAGCGCCGGAGCATTATACTCTGACAGAACAAACTCACGTTCCAGGTCCGATACCAATGACAACTGCCCAAGCCTTTTGAGACATTTTATCGGACGTTGGCTTCACGATGATCGGCAAAGGAGTCGTAAGTCTTTAAGCTTCTGTCGAGATTCTTTCTAGGCACGTGTAGTTTGGTAGGCGTATTGATTTGAAGCGAGGCCGTGGGTTTGATAAAGAGCAAAGCAAAGAAAGAGAAAAGGGATACTTGACCCGAAATAACTAACACGCCACAATTTACTGCAACATGAAGATACTTTCAAAGATGCATTTAACCCCACGATGGTGGGCTCGCTGGTTACAAATCCAGGCCATGACCACACCGATAAGTAATCCAGAATAGATGTTATTGGGAGATGAAAGGCTCCCAAGTGGTGCCCCTCAAGATGATTTCCCCCCGCAGCCATGAGATCCGCCCAGACCACCATGGGATATGGTCACAAGCAGGGACAGGCACCCAACAGGAAAGACATTCGGTAATTAGTAAGCTTGACATCGAAGAGCTTCAGATATCCAATCAACAATGAATGGGAAGTCTAGGTTAGCAGCGTCCGACTATCGAGGCGTGTGGTACCTACCGATGATGTCATGGGAGAGGGAAAAAAAGGATCGAGGCTGGCCTGGCACTGCTTTTTTAGTGCGTCCGCTCAGTTTACTCACTCCCGCCCAAGGTCTACCTGTTCATAGAAGTGCACTGTGTACATACTGATGAGAGGGGTCAAAAATCAACGAGTACCTCGTGCTCGGTAGAGCAAGTGGCGAAGGGTTGGATTCCTAATTGAGCTGGAGCCTACATATCCGATTTTGGAGCGTATAGCGCATCCTCCCCTGAGCTGGAAGAGGTTCTGGTGGGAAAGAGTTATGCCACTGATAGAGTAGTCATCGTGCTGCCTTTAGATCACATTTCCCAATAGCCAGGAATAGATGCGGGGACATCAAGGGACATGCGATGATGCAAATGGTGTGCAAAAATCAAACGCATTCCCGCTCATTTCAATTCTTATCTCAAGGAATAGACATATACATGTCAAGAAGTGCGCTAACATTGGCTACTTGGCGATAAGGGATTTCTCGACGTGCAAGGCTGTATGCATAATGGCGTGGTCATCGAGCACGTGAATCGACCTGGAACCGTCAACGAGGCTGAGAGCCTTGCTGGCAATTGACAGCGAGGTGCAATATTGTCTGTTGACTCACCTTTGTCAAGACATTCTTTTCTTGGCGAGCTCAACTGCAACGGAGAATCTCATATTTCACTTTCAATGTATTCAAGACACATTACTCGACGATGACGGTATGATTCAAAGTTCGCAAAACAAGCGGTGTACGGTGCCTTGCGGGACAGGCAACTAGGCAAATAGTACCTGCAGGAAGCGTGCGGCTCATCCGTGTCTTGTTTCGACTCCTATCCCCCCCCTTTCCCTTGCATTGATGCGAGCCTTGCATCAGGGTGAAAGCTGCCTCAAATGATGAATCAAGATGCAAACATTTGCGTTTGAGCATCAGGATTGAAATGAAAAAGAGAGCACATCGGGAACTTTGGACAGGCGAGCTGCTGATCGGGATTCGCGTCTTCCGGACCTTTGTGAAACTCTCTCAGGGCTTCCCGATCCCGTGGGGAGTCGTCGTCACTAGTAACTACTGGTCCAAGAACGGTAACGAATAAACCAGCTGTCAGATAAGATCGGAAGGTCAAGTCAAGCGCTGGCCGCAGGTAGGTTAGGTTGCAGTGACACTTGCTGCAGGGGCAGTGCAACTTATTCCATCGTCTGCTGAGGGCCAAGCAACATATCGACGCTGCTCGCTTTCTCTCTGAACGAACAACAGGCAGACCCCTGCGTTAGGAGACGGTTGTTTCAGACTCCATTAGTGGCCATTGGCCATGGGCCATGGCCCATGGCCTACCTGATGACTCTTCCCCGCGAAGCCTCGTGGGAGGGGCTCTGGGAGGGGCCTCTGAAGCCGGGCGTAGGGGCCAACGGGCGCTGAACCAAATGACGTGGAGGCCTGCTCGGTAGCAAGTTGATTGGGCATCCTTCTTCCCAATCAGCCTTCTCACGCGCGAAGTCACTCGATGGTGGTGGAATACGAGCCCTCCACTCCGGAGGCTGAAACGCATCTCTATGCAAGCGAGGCATGTGAGCAACCGGAAAGGAATGTTGCTGAATCTAGGCAACATCTTGCGACATATAGGGCCCCCGGTGCAGTGTGCTGGTTTCCAAGGCATGGCACGAGGCGTGGCAAAAGTCACTCAAGGACACCCGATGCAGAAATCACGAATCACGCAGAGAAGTCGCCTCTGTCCAGCGCTTGAATCGCACGAAGAGGGATGTGCAATAGTTTCCTATTGGATTGTCCTTGTCTCCTCGTGCTGACTTGAACGAGCTGGGCTTCGGCTACGGATCCGTTTTGCGAGGATGAGCATGTGAACCAGAACAAGAATCCAGTCTTTTGTCCCACACACTGCATACTGCACACTCCAACGCATCGCAACTCACGTTGGTGTGAGGAGTTCATGCAGGCTGCTGAAAGGGTGCAAGTGTGCGCTACACAGCACCTGTTGGAGGGTAGCCGAAGCTCACCATCCATTCGTCACCGTGACGAGAAGATCGCGGCACAGGATGCCCCATGGAGGGCCGTATCGCTGTCGCTGTTGCGTGCAGTCAACTCACAGTACGGACACCCGACAGGTCGAAGATGAAGTAGAGCTCATGTCAAGTCGACTATGCGTACAATCCAATACGAATATATCGCCACCGGCTGGGGCCCAGGCAGCATAGTTCATTGTCGAGAAGCCACTTTGATGGCAAACTTCCAAGCCAGCTCTTCGGAGCAGGAAATACGGAGTCCTCATGTTCTGACTGGCGGGAGTGAGGGACTTGTGTGTCCGTACGAGGAGATACTTGCTAGCCTTGAGCTAAGATCTGATTCACCCTTTCCATGCGACTCCGGACGGACCAACCTTTCTTCTTTCAACTTCGGCCCTATCACCGGGGAGAGACAACATAAGCGAGTCCATAGATGGAAAGTCCTATTTGACCATCATGCCGGGTTAGTCTCCTAGCCGTTAACCAACGATCCATCTACATGCAGAACATTCGACCAGACGTTCTCCCATCCACCCACAGGACAGTGATGTGCGCAGTGAGCAGGCCATGCCAGGGGGGAAGTTGGGCTTGCCATTCCTTCCAGGATTTTCCCATCCTTTCCCACGCGGATCCGCCACGCCATATCCAGGAAAATCCCTGCTGATCATGAGTTGAACGCCGCGCGTGCATGCATGCATGTGGCAGCCGTGATATGTTCTACAGGCGCAAAACTCTATCCGTCCATCCAGTCCTGTACGAGGCAATCGCTACCTCCGTGCAGTTTCTACAGATATCAATGGCTCGCTCAGCTAAGCGCCCGCATGTTCCATCACCCGCGCCCGCACGCACCCAGGGACACACCAATGCGGATTATCGATGGGCGCACGATAGGTTTGGTTTGGTACCGCCTAGACCGGAGACCCTATCACACGTATATTGACTACCGTGGTCTATTGTGAAGAGCCCACAGACCACCGCGCACTCACCAATGAATATACGCACCCGACATGTTCCAATTATGCATGCACTTCCACCTCGAAAACTCCGATGGGCCACCCACCTGCACATCTGTAGCATCAGCTATGAGGGCCTTATGTAGGGGATGCCCCAAAAAGCAACTGCTATCAGCCATTGGACCATGATGGCAGGTGCTAGTACCACGTAATCCAGGCGCAAAGTATGCGCCGAAAAATATACGCCGACAACTTGAGCTTGAAATATGTGCCGACAAATATGCGCCGATGCGGCATTATGTTCGTTCGTTAGTCAACTGGTATGCATCGTACGCAGCTAAAACAACCCACCCATCCAGGAAACAAGTAGCGGAATGATGCTAGAGCAGTGTCTCTGTAAATGTGACCTCTCGTCGACTCGTAAATGTTACATACATACATACATACATACATACATACATACATACATACAGTACGGATAAGTTAGCCAATGCGTTCAGTGCTCCTCTCTCCATCCCCCATGCCGATGTTCTGTTCTCGTGTAACACCTGACCTCTCTCGTTCTTGTCTCGCTCTGGTCCGTACGGACCACCACCTCGCGAGGGGTGCAAAGCGCGAACTATTCAAGATTAGCAAAACGCAGCAACGGGACTAATGACCAAGCGGAATGTACGAGTAGCGATTGCTCATAGAGGAGTTCGAAGCCGAACCACCACCACCACTTCTTGGACGTACTACCACTAATCAACCAAGTGACAGTGACTAGCGAACTAGCTACAGTAGTGAAGCAGACTGGGAGAATGTGACTCAAATAGCCAGCCCGCCCGCCCGCCCTTGAGAGCCACGCTCCCTACCTCCGACGTCACTGACCATGTCACGCGGGGTGCGTGAGTGGTGACAATGCCTGCGCGTTCGAGGACGTGATAAGCACGGGTAAATGAAGGGTCTTATGTGAGATCTGATCTGATCCGATCCTACGGCAAAGCGGGAGAGCCATGCTCCAGCTGCATGCCGAGGGTGTGCTGTTCTACTCCTCTATTGCTGAACAGAGGCAGAGGCCGTGGTTCAGCCCGTTTCTGGATCCATCGTAATGTAAGCACACTATCCAATACGGTGAAACCAGGTGAATCATATAGATGGTGATATCGAGTGTTCTTGATACTTGAAGCTGGGTACATAGCTTTGGAGCATGGAGTGTTCAAGGGGTTTCATAAAGCAGTATAAGGAAAGACGACCTCAGTTTTGATTTCGTTTTCTGTATTTGTAAATATTATGTGATTATTTCAAAGTACATCAGAAACTGTTCCAACCCCGCCAGCTCTCGCGTTAGACTGGAGTATGATCTAGGTGTTATCACTTCCATATCAATCCACCGGACTGATGACCATCGACCAAACTCTCCATCTTCAGCAAAGGGCGGAAGAAACTCCCAGAACTCCATTTGTTCTTGCGAACGATACCGTCTGTGTATCTATCAAGAACCCACAAGATCAACCAATTCCAGTCGCGTCGCAGTAATATGTAATAATCTCAAATCAATAAAATAGCATACAATACAGGGTGCCCACATTGGGGACACACGGGGGTATCTCGTGCGTGCAAAGAAAAAAAAAAGCAAATCCAATTATCAACACGTGACGCATTCCATCCTCCTAAAACGCAATGCAACCCGACGCCACCGATAATAACAAGAAAGTAGACTCGGCCGTTGGACATTCCATAGGACACATGCTGTCATGTCGCTTCGTAAATTGAAACTTTTATGGGCTGTTGATGAATGAGTGTCCCGATGCCTTGAGAGTTGTCCTGGTTTCCCACTTTCTCCCCCAGAAACATTACTTTTGGGTGTCGCCACAGATGACAAGTTCCAGTTGTTTGCCTTGCCATTCCTTTCCTGCGCCATGCTTGGAAATATTGGAAAACAAAACGATTGGTATCTTTTGAAACAACGCTAAAGTCGAATGACTCACATAAACCCTTCCATGCAAAAGTTGAGTTGGTTCAATGAAAGACAATTCGTCACGGCATGGTGTTGTTACAAGGCCCAGATTAGGAGCCCGTCTTCCCAGGTACGCCAAGAAATGATCGAGTTAATGCTGAATGATGTTCTTTTGTTTTTGGTGTTGGGTTGTCATGTTGGTGTGGGTTGCAAATGTAATCAAGCCGAACTTGCAACCCGTGACACCCTGGTTCAAGGCCGAGGTGCTTCCAGTGATGTTGGAGATAAGCATAGTATTGCCACCTCTAGGCAGCAGAAGGTTTGCGAAGGCTTTCCTCGCAGTTCACATCGAAGCGCATGTTCCAAAGTCTGATCTGGTTCATGATCTTCTCGGTGGACTCGAGATAGCGATCTCGTCCGAAGATGGAATCGACGAACTCGGTGCCTGCCTTTTTGCCCATGGTCTTGGTGCCGTCACGCTTGGCTGCCTTGAGCATGTACTGTTCACATTCCTTGAGAAGAGCCTTGAATTTTTCCAGGAGCCTCTGGCCACTGACAATGAAGTCCTCAACAGTCTCTTGCTTGTCAGTATTGCGGATGCGACCTACACACTCCTCCGCACGCTTCATCTTGCCGGCGAGTTTAATCAGTAGTAGCCAAAGTTCTCCAGCCATGTCGGCCATAGGGGTGGATGCCCCATGATGGAAAACGGTCCAATCGTAGACCCACTTGCCAAGAGAGTTGGCATCGAAGACACTGCCCAACAGGATAATTGGGATTTCTGTAGGATCCCAATGCTTTACCGAGTAACCTGCGGGAATGCCCTCACGGGCAGCATCCTTTTCCGTAGCTTGGGGAATCGGCTTGGACTGGCTAGGCCTAGATCGATGCGTTGGCTTTTGTGGTGTTGTTGCAGTAGTCGAGGAGCGTCGGGCTCTCGATCGCTTTGGCTGTTCTTCAATGATCTGACCCTGTGCATAGTAGAATTTGCTATCAGTACTTGGCTTCCGTGTATGCTTGGACTTTGATGATTGTGGTTCTCGGACAATATATGTCGCCGGCATTTCTGCATATTCAGCGCCATCGGTGTAGACATAGATGGGCTGATTCTGCTTGCGCGAAGATGAACGGGTGTGATATCTTGAGCTAGGAAAGGTGTGATAGCCCTCGTTCTTGCGGGGTTTGCCCGTTGCCTCACTCACATATATGTCTTCGCGTGGAGCGGCATACTGAACGTTCGCCTCGTACCATGGTGGAGGCGAGCCTGCGGGTGAGTACCAACCGCCTACGCGAGGGGATGGATTGTAGCTCGCCTTGCGGGAGTGCTTCTTTGGGGTAGTGGTGTATTGTGGTGCATAATGGACATATTCGCCGTTGGCATATGGTGAGGCGGAATCACCATAATATTTGGTGTAATGCGCTGGTGGAGCGCCGTAATGGTAAGACATGGTTGACCCTAACCGTTCGGTTCTTCTGCTTGATGACCGGGCGTCACTCCTCACTCCTGCCCGTACTTTCTCTACAACTCCCCCGTATCAGGATCTATGTCTGCGTAATCTGGTTCGGTGTTTTGTCGAGAAAAAAGGTAGGATCGGAGAATGTTTGACTGGCTGAATCTCATAGCGTGGTTGGCCTCAAACAGTCGTTGGGAAGATTTAGGTGTAATTGAGTCCGGAATGACTCAATTCTGATGATTATGTAGTTGAGGGTTCGTTTGAGCAGTCTTGTATGACAAAAGTGTCGAAGAGAGAGGGGAAAAGAAAAAAAGGGCGAGGCTGGGTATGCCGAGTATAAAAATCCTGAATCCTGAGAAGAGTCGGAGGTGACAAGCCCAGGGTGATGACAAGTGCAGTAAGCGATCTAGACTAGTGGCTCCCGGGTGCCTGGCTCCGGTGTGAGTCGAGGGACGATGAGTCTTCGAATGCTGAGTGTTTATGGGTCCTCGATGAGGGGGAAGAAGGCTGGCAGTTGGCGTGTTTGGATTTTTCAACACGGCTGCAATGGACTTTGACAAATCCGGCTTAGCGACTCCTAGAAGGTGGTGGAAGGCACTCGGACCGACAGGAACCAGGAGGCACCAAGTCGGGGCAATCCAATGGCAATCTCAGGGTAGTGAGAGAGTTTGCAGTGGAAAAGGAGATTTGATCATAGCGATGGGAAATCAGGGGCAATAAGAAGTGGTAATGAGGAGGTTCGCGGCGGGTTCAAGGAGGAGCCCAAGTGGGCGTTTTGCTAAGTGGACTCTGGCGGGATTGATGAGCGGATCCAAGGCTGGCGTTGGTGCTGGGGGCCCATGCCCCAAGGAAACAGGCGTGCAGGGGTAAGAATTAGCTTCTGGCCACCCTGGTCGCCGTGATGGTGTGGAAGCTTTTGGGAGGTGTGGTTCGATACGGTACAATACGAACTGGTAACCGGAAGAGGGTGCAAGACTTGTACTGGAGACTGGACGAGCAGGCTGCCGGTCACAGTGACGACGAACGGGCGGTTGGAGGGTGATGGATGGTATGAAATAGTCGACGTGATTGATGGCAGCCTGCGACGAAGTTGGAGGAAGTTGGAGGAAGTTGGAAGTTGATTGAAATTTGCCGCTGATTAAACCAAGGGAAGGAACTGGAAAGAACAAAGAACGGCATGGAAGGAGCGCGCCCAGCAAGGCGATGAGGAGCAGGAAGGAGCACCTGGGAGTCTGGGCAGCCCCGACTGGCAAGTGCGAGGGCGAGCCAGAGCCAAATAAAGCCTCTGAAGAGTCTCCATGCCTCGTCCGTTCTTGCCTGGTAGCGAGTAGCGCGTCAGCGATGGAATGGTCTGCGAGTATGGCCCAAGGGCAGCTGCAGACACGGTGAGGAGGTCCCAGGCACTCGGAAGCACCGGCCGCTTACAATTCACAAGACGCGGGCAGCGCGTCTGCAGAGGGCTGTGTTACGTGTGCTAAACCACCTCTCTTCCATAGGTGCACCAGAACCCAACCAGCCGAGACCTGGCACGCACAATGACGATGACGATTTGCTTACATACTTGATCCAAAACGCGCAGCTGCTCGTACTCCAGTAAAGTGCTCAGTGCCCATTGCCCAATTCTCATCCATGGCCAGAATTCATGCACCCAATGGGTAACTGTTGACCGACATTGCAAGCCTGGATGGTTTGCGTACGAGGAGACAGCGAGCAGTTCGTGGTGAGTCTCCCTCCTTCGGCTGGTTGAAGGTTCGAACGGCCGAGCAGCGAGTTCCTCGTAATTTTCATAGACTCATAGCCTATACGGGGTAGGTGAGGGGCCCTAAAAGGCCTGAAGCCTGCCACGAAGTTTGGCACTTAGGGACCCTGGCTGCCTGCAACACAAAATCGATCGTTATGCCCGTCATGCCTGGAAATCCCTATGGGGACCCTTGGGAGTCACTGGGAGCAATGAGAAACCCTACCTCGGGCCCCTACGGTGCTCCCAGTGGCCCGGACCAAGCCCCAGCGCCCCTAGCCTTTAACCAACTCATTCGTAAAGGTCAGCTTATTCGGGTCCTGCCCTGCCACTCAAACCCTGCCTCTTCTTGTGCCTCTGCTCGTTCTCGTACCCATGATCTCATCAGATTCAACAACATACGAGTCGGCCATCCACACGGATGCTCCATCCAGCTGGCCCCGAACTCCTTGGCTATTTGTTTCTGCTGATGTTAGTCGAGCTGAGTATGGAGTGCGGATTCAAGGTATGTGAGAAAATCCACCGAGTGCAGTATGTTTCACAAATAGCGTCGGCCACTTTATCGTCATACGGTCGCTGCCTCCTGATCCCACTCCTCGTGCCAAAGCTCCCGATCTAGTCACTTGAGGCTGCATCTGCGGATGTAGGAGTATTCTTGTGATGGAGTACCGATTACCGAGAACAGAGTACCCTTACTCATACGGGCCAATGCGTCGCTAACAATAACCCAAGTCGTGGCTGTGAGCATCCTCTACCAACCATTCTACATAGGCTCCTTTGCGAGCTCAGCAACGGGTAATCGTGTCCACTCAACTTTGAACCCATCCTGCGACTTCAACTTGGCAGGACGAAGAAATGTCAATGACGCCTAGCCAGCACCATTTCGTCAATTATGGATCGCACGAAACTTTCATCTTGGAAATCGAATCCATCGTTCCCCGTTGAAGTGGCTTGCGATGGTCTCAAAGCTTTTCATATTCTTCTCCGCCTTCCCGACTGAAAGACGGTCGCTCAATGTATCCCACTTAAACGGTAAACGGTGGCCAACCAACCAAGGTACCAAGCCTTCAAGGTTCACAGCTGAATGGAGCACCTGAACTCCTGTCGAAACAGGCATAGCAACATGCGCGTTGTAGCCTCGTCCGGCTCGAATCGTCCTCACCAATCCTTCAGCTGAAACGGACAGGATGGCGCGGCTGGGTGTTACAGAAGACATCTTGACTAATTGTTACTCCTATTCTCACCTCCTAAGGTTTCTCAAGGTTCGAAAAAGCATACATCGCCCAACGGCAACATGTCAACTGTCTCGAGCGATTGGTTTCCGGACGTGAAATGAACACACACCAACCCGTTCGTGTTGCCCTTTCAAATTGGCAGCTGACAGCTACCTAACAGAAGGACCCGTCTGTCCCGGACCAGGCATGCAGTTGACCTTTCAATAAAAGATGAATCAAATCGATAGGTCCCACCGTCTAGGTAGTCTTTTAGGTTGCGCGCTCGGCATCGTGCAGATGTCTGCGGCGCGGGTTCTGCTTGGTTGCGACTGGACAACGAGTCAACCGGTCGTTTCTACTCATTGTGCGCACAAGCGTTGATGGTCTGTCCACCCTTTCATTTTACCCAGGGTTGCACCAAATGGCTCTTCCAAGTCTCTACTGACAAACCCACGGGCTCGTACGGTACCTGTTCAAGCCCGAGTTGTTTACCTTCAGGCTTGAACAGTATCTACAGTACGGATACGGAAACTGTTTTGAATGTTACTATACTGGTACGTTACGGAGACAGAGATTTGGTTCTTCGCCGGGCTCCTTCCAAATATTTAGGCTGCTGGCCGCAAAGGAAGCGACGAGTCAGGTAGTGACAGCACACATCGCGCTTGGCATCCTTGGGCACCAGCGCCTGCTTTTTCAACCACTCCTACGCACTTTCTGCTTACCGCCAGAACATTTTTCGCAGCGTCGGTGCAGTAGTCTACCAACACTCTTCCATCCCGATCCATTTTGATCCATATCGATGCATACTGATCTACTATCATGGGAAAATGAGGCAAACTCGCGTGCGCCGGCACATTCTGCTGCTTCGCCCCGATCCGTTAGCGCGAGGCCTTGCGTACAGACAGCACTTCCTGGGAGAATTATTGCTATCAATACACCAATGGGCAATGCTCAAGTAGAAAGTCGATCTCGTTGTCCAGAGCCTTGCGACCTTGATGCAAGGCCTTGCAAATGGAACTGTTCATGCGCTTCCGCAATGCATTTCAACTTGGCCAAATCAGCCGTCATTGTGGGTAATCTACTCGATGTTGAAAGAAAATGCGAATCGCAACCGTGGCTTTGCTGGCAGCAGACATGGATTCAACTCTAAACCAAGTGGGTTCTGCCGCAACATGCTCCATTCTGTTTGTTTTTCGAGTCATCAAACGATCCCACACAGTAATCCAAGCCACAAGCACACGCGTGAATGTTCTTCTATTGGTTTGTCGGAAACTGTTGGGACTATTTTGGAACCATTTGGAAGCTGCCCAGATGCCCTGGTGGACAATGGAATCTTGGGAGGCGTCCTTGATGATGAGAAGAGTCACCATTGATGATTGCCAACATCACTGCAGTTCTTTGTTCCCTGCTCTGAACAGGGTCTATCTAGCATGGAGACCACCAGACACTGCGAAAACGATGAGTCAACACTCCGAAGTTTGAAAATGCTGGTCGTCGTCCCGAGACAAAGTCTCTGTTTAGTGTCAAACACCCAATTCTCTCTGCTCAAAATTTTTGGTTCATTGTGCGCCGAGAAAGCCAACCAGGTTGTCACAACGAGGCTTGCCTTGGGGCCACCTTGAGTCATATCCTTGTTGAGATGGAATTACATTTGCCAGCCAACCCCGGATGGCAATTTCGGCCCCGCTTAAATCCCCAGCCACGTTTGTGATTTTCACTTACCAGCGCATGGACCAGGACAGCGAGCCTCAATTGGCAATCTCGTGATCAGGCTCTCGCACCCGCTTGCAAGGCTAGGTTACTACGTTTCGGAAAGGCATTTCCACTTCTTGGTGATGGAGGTTGGCGCTCTGCGCTTTTAGACATTGTCATCATTATCATATCATTGTTGGGACCTCGAGCATCCCGTCTCGAGGAAAATATTAGTCAACCTGCTCTCTCATTTATCTAGCATCTGATCTTGTTTGAAGTAAGTCGTCAGCCACAAACAAAAAGGAGTAGACCTGGAGCATCCGAAATTCAGCACTCGCTCTTAACACAGCCAGCCAGCTGGACTGTTTGGGGTGACTGTGAAGAATGTGAAAGGGACAGCGACTGACACTGACATTGATCGACAGGTGCGTCGGACTTCCAATTGTCCGTGCATAAGCGGTGCTGACTATGGGTACTCGGTTGATAAGCCGGCTTTACGGAGGGCAGTACTCCGTACACTGCTTCGTCTGGCCATTGCAAGTTGCAACCCGGCTTTGGATAATATTGTGGAGCCACGAAGTGGAACTCGATCTTGCAAGCTGGCGGGGGAGAGAGGAACAACAAACCATGATAATAAACAAGTCGTCCCTCGTCCCCATCCCCTTGTTATTATTACAGCGCTTGTGGTTCAAAAATAGCGAGCTTGCATGGATACGTGCCTCTGTCCAAATGTAACTAGGACATTATCAGAGCGGTAGTGGTCTTCTGCCGGCGGCTTCTGGCCTCAGATCAGCACGCTGACGAGTCCAGAGTCTGGTTTTGCCTCGCAGAAGCCAATCTTATCTACGAGGAGTTCGGCATGCAGAGTACGTACTACTGTGTACTCCAGACTGGTAAGTGTTCCTAGATTGTGCATGTCTGGCTGATAGACGCTCGACAAGGTGGCTTTTGCGATGAAAGTCGCCAGCGTATATCACGAACTGCCCGCTCTTCGGTACCTCGTAGGCATGATTAGCCGCACTCTTGTTTTGGAACTATTTGAAGTTAGAAGATAGTAGGGTCGCAGCGCGGATGTTCTCCGTAGTCAACCTCTTCGTGCTCCTGTTCCTATCGGCGCTGCCCGACCAATTGCCCGGCGATCTTTCTACCCTGGTGGATTAGTCGCCAAACGCTTCTGGGGGCTTTCCGCCGGGTACCATTCCCATCCGTTCTTAGTTTCACTGACGCTTTTCTGGTGCCGATTGGGTGTTCTCATCCTTTGACTTGCCGGCGGGGCCCTCCCGGGGGGTGGACGAGGCCAAAGAATCTGTCATCCGCAAGACTGTCTAACAGGGGCCTTGAATCTGATCCTCCCTCTCTCTTGATATTGATAGAGATCCCTCGGGCCAAACGTACGGCCGGCTCATTCAATTGGTCTCTCCACCGCCACTCCCGCACGCCGCTGCTCTTCTATTTCTCCATGATTCCTGGTTCCAGTACTTCGATATTCCCACACCTTCGACTGTGCTTCGGTGCATCGCTGTTTGTCCTCTGCATTGTAGATCTTGCGTGATGACAGGCTAGACTGGGCCCTGATTTCCGCCCATTTCGCTTTCCTAACGCGCCAACTGCTGGTCTTCTCCTTGTCCTTACATCCTCGTCTATTGAGCACCAAGACCAGCACGACTATACTCACCTATGACCGTGACTTCTTCCATTGGCTTTCTGTCCAGGTAGTACGTCGTTCAGTACATGTCGATCCAAACAGAGATGCAAACTTGTCTACCTTGCTCGGCCCGGTCGATGTCGAGTCAATTCCTTCAATGACGTCGTGCCTCCACGTTATTCTCTTCCCTCCATCCCATCAGATGTAAGCTTGAACATCGTGCAGAATTATGTCAGCGCTTGAGGTTGGCACCCGACCTCCACTCGCATCTGCTCAACCAGACGGCAATGGACCTCGAAAGAGAAGGAAGCGGGCACCGGCTGCTGGCGCGGCCACTGATTGTTTCACCTGCACCACTCGCAACGTCAAGTGCGATCGAAGGCGCCCTTATTGTTCCCAATGTCTCGACGCCGGGAAGGACTGTTCGGGATACAAGACTCAGTTGACCTGGGGAAATGGTGTTGCCAGCCGGGGCAAGCTAAGAGGTCTCTCGCTGCCTGTAGCGGGCACTGCGCAGGTCGCCACACCACCGTCGCCACCAAACAATAAGCGAAGACAATCGCAATTACAGCCTGAACAACCGCCGCAGCGTCCAAGGGTCTCTATATCGTCACAAGACGCCTCAAACATTTCCCCTGCTTTCTTGCTCGGCCCTGGTTCAGTAGAAGGCAATGTTGGGATCAAACTTGAACATCCTATGGTTTCTCCCGGCCTGGCGGCTCCGTATTCAAGCGCTTCATGGGCCCCAACTATTGCGACAGCACCTGGTGGCCCTGACGTGATGGAGACGGAGGAGATTCTTGCATATCCAACGGCAATACCAATCCCGCTAGCATCGCCACTAGAACCCTATCATTTTTCTCAGCCACTCGATCCGCACACTGCGTTTGCCACGAGTGATCACATGTCACCTGTGTCATATTCTGGATGCACGGAAGGTTCTGCATATTTTGGACGTGTGACAAGCCATGGTTCAAGAGGCGTACCAACTTCTGCTTCTTCATATGCCGCCTCCCCCCAATATTCGGCATCATACAACAACGTATTCCCTACGCAAGCACAGTACCCCGTCTTCAGTGGACCGCCTGAATCATACGGGCAACCAGCTCCATACCGGCTATGTTTTCAATCTCAAACACTACATCCAGGGGTAAATCAAAGAGAAGATGTTCCAACAGAGGAGGATGTAGAAGAGATGCCCCGTCATGGCCAAGGCTTTGAAGAGTCCTGTGCGATTGTGGAGGATGATTCTTCAGTGGTCTTACAACCGCTGTCGAGAGTATATCGCCTTTCATTATCCCCTCTTGCTGGAATGGGATCCATCGGTACTACACCAAGAATGCAATATTTAATCAATTACTATGCTGAAGTTATCTCGCCTGTCATCGTGGCCTTTGATGGGCCATCCAACCCCTTCAGAACTAAAATCCTTGAGCTCGCCGTGAGGAGTGAGACTTTACAACACGCTATATCTGCATTGTCGGCAAGCAATCTCAGACAACGACGAGAAACTGGCGCATTATCTACTGGCAAGACCGACCCAGCGAGACGCTCTTCTATGGCACATTTGTCCTTGACGAAAGAGTCTTGGCACAGCGCTGGTTTATTGACACCACAAGAACAGGCTCGAGAGGAGTCATTGCACAAAGGCATGGCTATCACGTCATTGAACAAGCAATTGGCAAATCCGGTACATCGGAAGGATGACTCAATCCTGGCAACCCTTTTGATGTTGTGTCTGTTTCATATTTGCGATACCGGCATTGCAAAATTCCAGACACAGTTCGCAGGTGTGAAGAAACTTCTTGGCCTTCGCAAGGACGATCTTCGATTGAACACGAAGGATACTAATTGGATCGCCAGACTTTTCACATGGTTTGATGCCATGACAGCAACGGTCAACGATCGTGAGGGCCAACTGCAGGGTTCCTACCTTGATATGTCAGCCTTTTCAGACGAAGAATGGGCATTGGAAAACCTTGCAGGCTGTGACGGGCAGCTGTTCAAGATAATTGCTCAGCTCGGTCGGCTGAACGTGCTGAGTCAAGGGAAAGGAGTTACAGAATACCCAACTGTTATCTGCCGACCTCTTCCACCCATGCCACCAGCGGTTTTGCTCAATCCCGATTTCAGTAACTTCGATGGAAATGGATGGAGGCAAATTATCGAGGACGAGAGTTTGTTTACTGCGGAACCCAAAACCTCGTCCAGCAGCGAGCCGGAACAGCAGACACAGTTTTGGCGCGAGTGGCGTGAAATCCGACGTGCGCTGCAAATGTGGCAGCTTGACACTTCACTGTTTGATGCAACCAGCCTCGCCGCACCATATCTCACCGCTGACCAAAGATTGGATCTGGCAAATATATCTGAATCATTCAGATATTCTGCGTTACTCTATACAGAGCGGCTGGCCAACCCGAAGGTGCCTAGCACAGACGGGCGCATCAGGTCATGGGTTCACCAGTGTCTGAGATACATCAAGGCTGTCAAGAGTGATGTCTACCTCCTCTGGCCTCTCTTCATCACGGGAAGTGAGTGTGTTGATGAAGCGGATCGCAGCGTGATCCGTGAAAGGTGTCTTGATATCCAAAAGGACAGTGGATTCCTGAACAATCAAAGTTGCTTGGAATTGCTAGAGAAGGTTTGGAGGCGGTATGATGAGGATCATCCCACAAGCCCTCAAGAGGATGGACGATATCAAACCCGAGAAGAGGAAAGCGGATTCCGGTTCACGACCATTATGAAACTTGAAAATAATGAGGGCGAATATATTGTTGTTTGATGAATGTGCGCTTGCATCTCTCGATGTGGAGCGTAGCAGCGACTCAAGGGCCTTTGGAAAAGCAACGAGATCTCAAAACTATCTATAGAGAGAGTTACAACGGAAGGACAATTGGAGAAGTCAATTTCCCCGTATCCTCCTCTTCGCTGTAACTGTCTGATGGGGGGGGAAGGGGGGGTAAGATGGTTGGCTCAGAAGATTTGGAATGGAAATGACGATATTTGATGTGCAGGTATAATGGAAGATGTCGGGCTCTACAGATTACCTCGGCAAAGATAGGATACAGGACAGCTGGGCATCTCAACAAGGGTTTGAAATGCTATCATGGAAATTACAATGAAACTTTCTGGATGAAAATGCACGACTTCCCTGCGCTCTCTCGCTGCTGATTTCCCTTCCTCGGCTGAACTCGATCCGTAATATCAATCAATTTGAAGGCTTACGAATCAATTGCGCTCTCGTATAGACAGAAGGCCGAATGATCACAAGATTTGCTGTTCATCGGGGCGGTGTGCTGTGACGGACTCATTTATATGTTTTGTCACGTGACACCGCCCCTGACCTCGCGGCTTAAATTGGTCAGCCTCGCGGAGTGCCGTGGCAGCTTCAGCCTTGTCCATATTTTGATCGCCCGCTTTTCGTCATAATTCCTTGAACAATCCTTTATCCTCAACCCATCGACGCCATGTCAGCGTCCGAGCCCCAATCGGGCACTTCGACCCCTCGAGCATTCACAGGGCAAACTGCAACGGCAGAGGACCTGCTCAAATCACATACCGTTGGCCTCGTGAACCTAGCCGATTTCCGCAAGCGACGCGCCGACGTGCTTGAACAGAAAGAGAAAGAAGCGCGTGATGGCTCGAGTGGCATCGCAACACCCGATGTAGAGGATAGTGACGGGTGAGCTTGTCTCTTCCCCTTCCATCCGCAAGCACATCTGGCAGGACTAATTTACCAAGCACAGTGCGTTGACTCGGCGTTCTGGTTTGCCTCCTAAAAAGAAAAAGAAAAAGGCCGCCAAAGGGCTGCTCTCATTTGGTGGAGACGACGAGGAAGAGGAAACGCAAGGGGACAGCAGAACCGCGACTCCTGCAAGAAGTGTGAGGACACCCGCACCCGCCGAGGGTTCAGCGTCACCTGAACATAGCGGCTCGTCTGTCCGGCCTCGAAAGCTGGCTCCCAATCCGAACTCAACATTACCAGCGCCAAGGGCTCTCACAAAAGCAGCCTTGGCAGCAGATGCTGCTGAAAGAGAAAAGCTGAGAAAAGACTTCTTAGAGATTCAAGAGGCTGTCAAAGAGACCGAGATTGCTATACCTTTTGTCTTCTACGACGGGTCCAATATCCCTGGTGGTACGGTGAAGGTCAAGAAAGGAGATCACATATGGCTGTTTCTGGAGAGGTGTCGCAAGGTCGGCGCTGAGCGAGGAGTGACAGGCACGGGGTCCGGCACTGGGACTAGCCTGAAAAGCAGGGAAGACAGCAAGAAGCAGTGGGCTAGAGTTGGAGTGGATGATTTGATCTGTGTGCGGGGAGAGGTTATCATACCACATGTGAGTTGTTCTCATGCACTCACTGGAGAGATCATGGAATTGCTGACACGAGCCCCCATTTCCAGCATTACGAGTTCTACTATTTCATCGCCAACCAGGTCAAGGACCCAACGCGAGAGGGCCACCTGCTCTTCGAGTATTCTGGCACAGCAGCGAAAAGGGACGAGTCAGAAGAGGCCAATTTGCTGAGAGTGCCGGGGAAAGAAGAACTGGAGGGCCACGACCACGACCCCGGTCTGACCAAGGTGGTAGATCGTAGATGGTACGAGAAGAACAAGCACATTTATCCCGCGAGTGTTTGGAAAGAATTCAAAGTCGGCAAGGAGTTCGAGGAGAGCGTCAAGGGCCGCAGAGACGCGCAAGGGAATGCCTTCTTCTTCAGCCAATGATGAGGATTGTTTTTCTGTTCCCATTGCAGAGTCACTTCACTCCTTGTCCCAGGTTTATCACATACTATATTGGTCGCTGGCAAGGCTGTGGTGGATGAGGATGGCGCAACATGTGACTTCATCGTTGCTGCTTTAATGTTTTGGTACAGATGGAAGGCGCACCAACTCCCACAATGGTTTCTCTCTGGGCCACAATCCCACGCTTCAACTCATCCTGCTTGTCCGATCAACTCTCTGTACTTGCGTCCAATGTCTCACTCTCACTCGTTCTTGCACCGGCCTCATTCGCAGCGATGGAACAGCCCTTCCGATGCAACAACCAGACTGGAGGCTACTGCCGGGGGATCCTTACAGAGGAGGCGGTTGTCACCACCTGCTCGTAGGTGCCCATCGTCATACTGGCCAAGAATCTATGCCTCCATGCCTTCATGTCTGACTCTGTCTGTCTAGGCACATCTTTTGCATTGCTTGCTCGAAAAAGGTTGGCTTGTCCGATGCCCGCCTTGACCACCGAATCTGCCCAGTCTGTTCGACGAGACTTCCAAACACAGACGATGCTGTGCAGACCACCCTCAACCCGACCGAAGAGTACAAGACCAGTGTTCTAAGTGGCTTGGGTCCTACCTCTATCATCGAGTGTGCGGGAAGGGCTCTCGCTTTCTGGACCTATCAGACTACGCAAGAGATGTGAGTCGAGATGCAGAGAGCAGAATTTCCACACATGCTCACAATGGTCCAGCTCCTATCAGCAGCATGTCACCAAGAACCTGACTGAAAGATACAGCCATCTCAGTACGGCTATGGATAAAGTCATTCATGGCGCAAATTCCGAGATCCAGAGCCTCCAGACCAAAGTTGAAGGTCGGTATACTGATGAACAAGACGGAAACAATCTAGGCTAACTCTGCCACAGGCCTTACAGTCGATTATACAGCCCTGGAACAAAAGCATGCAGAGGTAGTTGACCTGTACCGCGAAAAGAGCCGCAAGCACGCGCAGGCTCAAAAGCTTTACGACACTCTCAAGCAAAAATACCAGGCAGAGCAAATGCAGACAGCCGCCTCCGCCAATGTCGCCCAGGCGATCGAATCCATTGACGCTGAGCGACGTCCCGAAACTCTTCGTGCAGCCCCCTCGGCCGCGAGGCATCACCCCGGATATGCTGACACCACCATTCCACATCTCGAATGCAGGCCATCACGGCGGTCCTCAATCCTTGGAACCTTGGAGCAGCTTCACCCTCATCAAAGGTCTGGTAGCAGTGCTATTGGAAGCACAGGCACAGGTGATCAACAGGTCATGCCACCTCCAGAAAGACCGAGGATATCGAGGATTCGTGAGTGCCTGAGGAGCGAGCCTTTCGGCACTGTATTGATTCTTCATAGCAAACCTCCAGACATCCGGAACTCCAATGCACCGTGTTGCTTTGCCCGGAACAGCACGAGCAAACGCAAGTCGATCCCAAATTCCAATGGCTACTAGTCGAAATCCTCTCCTCCATGCCCAAGACCCGAATACTGTGACACGTGGTCATTTTGGTCATTGCCAGAAGATTGCTGGCGCAACTCCATGCTTGAAGATTGACAAAGGTGGTACATCCGGGTCTTATAACAATGTTGCTTCAACGTTTGATCAACATCGAGGTATGTTCTCTATGTATCAAGGTTAAATAGTCATTAATAATCATATTTCTTCCAGTATCTGGAATACATGTATCGAATCGGGCCGGGAATCGTGGCGATCCGCACATCCCTTTTTCTGCGGCATATTGAAAATGCCTACAAGGGGCGAGATGAGAAACGGCATGGGACATGAACATAGTGAGTAGTGCCATCTGGCTCGCAACAAATGGGGAAAGCAAAAAATGAATGTACAAAAATATGGCAATATGGTCGCGTCAACACTATCTGAATCTGGCGACACAATCCTCTAAGGTAGCCAATCAAAATTCCGAGATCACATCGAGATCAACATTTTCAATGCATCATGCTGTGCTGCTGCTTTGAAAGTCGTGTATGCCTTTTCCATGTCCGAGAAGGAGAAAGAGTGAGTGATGAGTGGACTGGGATCAATCTTGCCGGATGCCAACAGCTTTAGAAGGAGTGGGGTAGTGATTGTGTCTACCAGCCTTGTCGTCAGGGAGATATTGTGGCCCCAGAGCTTCTCGATCTTCAACTTGCAACTCTTGCCATGGACACCGACATTGGCGAGTACGGCTGTTGGGGCCAGGAGATCTTGTGCCAATTCGAGCGTTTCTGGATATCCCACTGCTTCGATGACTGTGTCGCAGCCAGTCTGATCTGTGAGGCCCATGACAGCTTCCTCGGCAGACGCTTCACTGATGTTGACCGTGTGATCTGCACCCAACTTCTTCGCCACTTTCAATCGGTTGGGATCCCGGTCAATCGCGATAATGAGACTTGGTGAATAAAGTTTTGCAGTCATGAGTGCAGCGAGCCCAACTGGTCCAACACCAATAATGGCCACCGTCGAACCAGGCTGCACCTTGCCATTCAAAACCCCACACTCGAGGCCTGTAGGGAGAATATCACTTAGCATCACAAGGCTCTTCTCATCGACACCCTTCGGAACATGGTGAAGACCGCTGTCCGCCAACGGTATCCTGACATATTCAGCCTGAGTTCCGTCCACTGTGTGACCCAGGATCCAGCCCCCTTTAACACAATGACTGTAACACCCTTTACGACAATATTTGCATGTTGCGCAGCTCGAGATGCAATTGATCAATACTCGATCTCCCTTTTTGAAACGCGAGACAGCTGAGCCCGGTTCGTACACCTCACCAACACCTTAAGTTACGCTTGTAAGTGGGTGGACATTTATGAAAGCGAAAAGGAAGGAAAGCTCACCTTCATGCCCCAGGATGCGACCCGGTTTACAGGTTGGTACATCTCCATGCAGGATGTGCGTGTCGGTTCCGCAAATTGTCGTGTAGATCACTACGTTCGTTACAAAGTGTCCTACTCTTTACCCCTGGTGAACCCTTCTCCTACAGCTTACCTTTCACGATGGCGTCCGTCGGATCTTGAATTTTGGGCACCGGTCGATCCTCCAGGGCACACTGGCCGTTACCTTGATATACAAGGGCTTTCATGTTTTCGAACGAGTGGTTTAAGTCTGGAACTTTTGGTACTTTTCAAGTCCTAGTATCTTTTCTTTGAGCAGGGTTCTCGTTACAGGCAAGTATGGATCCGAAAGATACTGAGGACTACCAAGCAACTGGCATTTATAAGAGACAACAACAAGGAAGAGGGGTTCCGGGACGTTCATCTCCGGATCCGGTGATCTGTAAAACATTTCTTCTCGTATATGCAGCACAAGGCTCAATCAAGAGAGAATACATCTCAGGCTCCGCAAGACTCACACCACTGAGACGAGATGATTGGTGCTTGGTGCGGAGCCGGACTTTGCGGACACTCGGATCACCCCCTCTTTTGTCTCACAACCTTTCAATAATGATGTATTAAACTAAGGGAAATGCTCATGGACATTGAATGTAGACTGAGGAGACATCGATTGTGGGACATCAGACCCAGCAGAAAGAGCGGTGGTTGGTCAATATTGGCTGAAATCGCTTTAGGCTGCTCATCCTCACTGTAGACCAACACCCTTCTCCTGTATGCCCGTAGATTGGTACGAATATGCAAAGTGCAAGTAACTTAAATGGCACAACGTGCCGAATGAAGAAGACTTTCGATTATTGGGTCGCCGGTGAGATCGAGCAGTCCCTGCGCTGGAGTGAAAATCAAATTGATGATCCCGTGACTTTCCCACGGCGCGGGCGCTTGTAATGTTCATGATGTTCTTCAGTATTGTGATTCATTCACATTGGAAGCGATCTGTCAAGCTTCCTGATAGTAGCTTAGACTTACTTTAATACGATTTCGTCAATGTGGATGCCTATCTGCAGGGGAACATCAGTCATGAGTGCATTCGCTTCACTGCGCTGTGGTTTCCTTGAAAACACATATGGCCCTAAATCAATACTACGTTGTGATCTTCAACTCTGGAGACACTCAAGAGTCCATGAGTAGGGGGAATATCGCTATTTATCTGTCTCCACGTGCATCTCCGAGGTGCTATCCGCGAGACCTGCATTCTCAATCAATGCAGCTGGCAGGTGCTATCATTCTGCAGCAGTCCTAGTACTTCTCCGCACTTTTTGAGGAGATAACGGAACCCCGGCGGTCAACAATAGCTTGGATTGAGCCTCGTCGATCGTCTTTCTTGGTTCGCTTAATGCCGACCAATTGAAGCATCTCCATCCAGAATCCGATCGGGGGTGAGAGGAAAGAAGCCTCGTAAGCATCAACAATTGGTCGTTCCCAGACAAGATCGCATTCGCTGGATTTCACAATCTTGGTGCGCTTGAACAGCTTCCAGAATACACCCAGCACAGGTGTAACGATAAGCATAGTGTAGTTACTGAAGAACTTATCGACACCTGGAGGCGTAAAGCTGGAATATCCGAAGAAAAAGACGATTATAGACATCCAAATAAGTCCGGCCCAGCCACAATAAGGTTGAAAGTAGCCATAGTAGGGGAAAAGCCTGCGGTCGACTCCTTGAGCCTTACAGGCATAGAAGAATCGTAGATAGGTGACCGACATGATGACATAATTAAGGATTCCACCGGCGGTGACCAAAGCAATAAGCCAATTTAGGACCGTCGCTGAATTGTTGGAGAGTTGAAGGAACGACAAGAAGGGAAATAACATAGTGATGAGAAAGCAATAAATAGGCACTCCACCCTTGGTACATTTGCGCAGTAATTTCGGAGCGCGGCCCTCGAGGGCAAGCCCATAAAGGGTCCGACTAGCGCAATAAGTATAGGTATTTCCGGCCGAAAAGATACTGGTGCATAATAACGCGTTAGTGATGTGAGGCAACACTCCGATCCCGAGATTTCCCATGGCAATAACGTAGGGAGAAGCCGCGGCAGTGCCTCCGCCGCCAGACGTGCCACTGACGATCGCCACAAGTGTAGGGTCATTGTAAGCAACCACGATCCCGACACAGAGTGCTCCTCCGATGAAGAACAGGGCGAACCGAATGTACATCGTCTTAAAGGCGGACTTGATATAAACACGAGGACGCTTCGCCTCTGCAGCCACCATGCTCACATATTCGGGGCCAACGATGGTGAATGCAGCGCTCCAAAGGCAAGCTAGGAAGCCTTCAAAGCGCCCGAGGTCGCCAGTAGTGTGGTACACTGCAAAGGGGCCTGGATTCTTCCAGTACCGAAAGCCATATTTGTCGTTCTGGGGATTTCCTCCCACCATGGTGATAAAGGTGAAGGCGAAAAGCATGAAAATCAGGATCACCTTGCCGCCAGATAGCCAGAACTCAGCTTCGCCGTAGGCTCTGACCGCCAGAACATTGATTGCGCTAGATATTGTTGTCAGCAAGGCTTGTGCGACTTATGAGAGGAGGATGGGAACATACCCATAGCATACGATACAGCCGACACAAACGGCCGCGGCAGGGACGTTGTCGCTCCAAAAGGAGATGACGAGAGTCAGCGCCGTGATCTCGAACGGAATGATCAGGGCCTCGTAGAGAAAGAAATTCCACCCGGCCGCGAAGCCAAATGCATCATCAACCCATTTTCCAGCCATTCGCACAAACCCTCCGGAGACAGGGTGCAAGATGGTCATCTCGGCGACTCCGTTGTTGACCATGCCCAGGAAACAGGCATAGATCACATAGGCCAGGAGCAGACTGATCGGCCCGCCTTTCGCCAGGGCGCCGCCGACGCTGACGAAGATGGCAGTGCCGATGGAACCGCCGATGGCGATGAGCTGGATCTGCCGGTTGTTGAGCCGGCGCTGCAGCTGGTCGGCGTTGTCGGAGACATCACCTGGTTCGATCTCGACGTATCGGCTGTCTTCCTTGTCCAGACCATCAGGGGATCCCGTTCCACCGTCGTGTGGGCCGACCTGGTCAGCGTCGACATATTTCATGTCCTTCTCAGCCATGATAGGTTAGGCCTACGGAATTAGGGATGTATGCGTTGAGGTTAAAGATGAGGAAGGGTGGAGAGGGAAATGAAAAGACGAAGACGACATACAGGGTCGGCTTCGAGCTTTCTATATGGTCCTGGCGCAGGCGCTGGGCCTGCTCAGCTCAGTAGTCACCGATCGCTCATTTCGCTTATCACACGATTCTTGTTTGGATAAATCTAGGTTTCTTGTTTCTGGGGGAGCGGCTACGGAAGCACTACCGATCGTCGCTCGTCGGGCTCGACGGGTGGCTTCAAGGTGGAGAGTGGCGAATGGCCAGAAGTGAAAAGCTACGGATGCGCTACCGATTTTGTGGGGTCTTTCGCCAAACTGAAGGGGGATGACTGGTCGAAGCTCGTGCGACTACGATTGACCGGGTATCTATGTGGGCAACCTTTATCGTCCCTCTCGCAGAGAGAGCTCCATGCTGCAGCCAACTACAGATAACAACCAGCCGCAGCTCCTCGTTCATCTAAGGCGTAGTGTGAGCGAGGGAGAAATTGCCACACAGCTCTAGGATTGAATACGTCATAGTATCAATGTAGGCGAACTTCCAAGATGGAGGCTTGTGCACGAAACTTGTTGTAGTTTCTGGCGGAAGAGCAGAGATAAGAAGAGGGCCCCACTGCAATAGGCACTAGCGGCAGCTTGGCATTTCTTTTATACGAACCAAGGTGCGGGGAAACCGAGTCAAGGTATTTGTCCTTATCCCTCCTCAGACTTGGAGACGGCAGGTGCGACCGACGGATGGCATACGAAGCGCCATCACCATTGGCAGACCTGAGGGTTCTGATCAGCGTCGATGTACATTGCATCCTACTGGAATGAGGCTATCTTCGTCCGAAATTGTCGCCACCGTTTTCCTTATCTATCGTTTCACGGTCCAGGAGGACAACAATAGCCCTGCATGCCGCAGATTGGGTCGTGTTGGCAGCATGGATCCTAGTCATGCCATCACGGCACGCTGGTAGCTCCAAGGAGCCGTGGTTCTCGGAACTAGATTTTTCACCAACGACTCAGTCGCCTAATGATGACCAGTCAACTAAGATACATCGCGCTGCGGGCTGTGCAGGGCTCGGGTACGCTACGACATTCCACTTCCAGACAATATGGGCCACAGCGAGGCTCCGTTCAGGATCTTGCATCCCTCGCCATGTCATGGAAGTCTGGTGCGGTTGTTTCCTGAGGGGACCCTGACGTCTATTTCTTGATGTGAAGATGAGTATGTCCTCGCATTCTGACGGTGGTGAAACACAGTGCGCATAGGATTAGCTCCTGCGGGACTGTGGCCGAATTGGTTCATAGACTGAGGATCATTTCCTAAGGTACGGAAGAAGGAAATAATTACTCGCCATCATGGCGCGCCGTCTTTGAATGCGCTCTTGCCTTCTGCAGACTGTCAAGTGTTAACGACGAGGTGCATTACACGTGGCCACCCTGCAATGCTGTTGCCACAGCCGCATCTATCTGCCCATCAGCACCAACGTTGACAGGAGGCGGCTCATTCGGACCACGCCCCCCTCCGCATATGCCTTACCCCGGAGTCTGGATCATGTGGCTGAATCAGGAGTAAACTCCCCACCCCTGGCTGCCTCATACTGTGGATAGGCAATCCTAAATCGGGCTACATATGCGGAGCAATGTTATTCCAGTCGCGTTGCTATCTTTGTTGCTACCTGAAGCTAGTAGCCCAGTATCATTGATAGTCATAAGTTCAATAATCAAGACGTGAAGGGCGAATTTTCCTTTCCCTAGGAAGTCACCTCGCGAATATGTGGTCTTAGGCATGCCGATAAGCATCTTTTATCGGCTCAATTGCCTCAAACTGAAAGTGTAAGCACTAGAATGAACGCTGAATTTTGTTGAATGATTGCCACGGCGGCGGCTCAGGCTCGAGCTGCCTTCATCTCGCCCAAATTCGAAGCTTCCCTGAGCTCAGATAACGTCATCAGACATTTTGTGCCCTCTGGAGCCAATAGATGGTGGAGACAACACTGACAGAAGACAAAACCCCCGACGAGTAGGGCCAGGCTGTTGCCACGATGTGCCGAAAGAGATCACACACTTATTCTCGGGAATGGCTCATTTATGGGCGCCAGAGTGCCAGATCGTGCCTGAAATACTTACTATCTGACTTCTTCCCAAGCGCAGGATTGTCCAAAGTAGGTCGACAGACTGCAGTCCGCAAATGACCTGCGCAACTGCAGCTACGAAGTCAGCACTGATGAAGAATTTGCGTTTCAGTCTGAACGACTGACTGATGGACAGCAAGCCGAAGACTACCAAGAAAATAATGGGTACCAGGGATCGTGACGCTCTGATGATCGTGTACCAACTCTTGCTGTTCTCTAATTTGCTGATGATTACATCCGAAGCCTGCACCGAGGAACATCGAATGTCTCTCATTTAAGCAGCCTGATTTGAAGCTTCGATTTTATCGCCTGGACGTGGCCCTCCTTGTTCAGTCTGAAGATATTCGTGACCCTCCCTTACCAACTCGTCTGCACGTTCCTGTGAGACGGTTCGCTTGCGGCGGATATAATTACCAATACCTGGAATTTTGCCCAACATTCTTCCTAGTGGCTTCTTCAGGGGTAAGTGGCCAGTTCTCTCCTCATAGAGCATGCACGCAATGGCGAATGTGATGAACATCCAGTATACGTTGTAGGAGATGACGGAACCGTAGGTCGCGGTGTTTTGCCAACCTAGCAAGGCGTTGAAAACATCCCACCCATTATCGGTCTCCGGGTTACAACAGTCCACATGCCAGACCGTCTCCCTGACGTCGTATGAGCCAATACCATTTCCAGCCTCTGCCACATCGCCGCCAACCTTGGAGGCGAACGTGTGATATTGCAGACTCCAGACCGCCTTCGAGAACATACCAGCGGCCAATAGATACAGGATTGCAGTCGCAATGATTAGGAAAATCTTGATGGATAGTTGGTTGCCACCACGGTACAAGAGCCATCCAACCAGAAATCCTGAAAGGAGGCCAGTGATAACGGGAATAGGGAATGCTGTTGCGGGATATCCCAGTGAGACACCTCCGATGAACACCACAGCTTCCAGTCCCTCTCGAAGTGTGGTGACCAACGGAATGAGTAGCATAACGTATCGGCGTGACCAACTGCCCAACCAACTCTGGCCCTTCTTCTTCTCCACCAGGGCCTGCGCGATCTTGACACGCCACTTCTCCTTGGTTTTGTTGATTCGGAGAAGTGCAAGACCCATGCCGGTAATAATGATACAAGCGATCAGATAGAAGATTCCTTCCCAGAGGTCTTCTGCATTCGCCCAGATATCGTGGCCCAAACCATAGAAGACGCCGATAAAGGCGCCGCCGATGACTAAGCAGATACCAATCCCGAGGAAAGCACCAATCCAGACATGTCGAACAAGTCTCTTGTAGACCTGCTGATCTTGCTCAGGCTGACCCAAGCTCTGCTTCAGAAAGGACAGCAAGACGGAGATGACAACAGAGGCCTCGAGGCACTCCCGGAATGCGATAAAGAAGACTTGAGGGGCAAAAACGTTAGGCATATTGGAAGACCCTAACCTAACTGTTTCGAGGGATCAGAAGGTCGCTTTGAAGCTGGAGTTCATGCTTCAATCACCAGATGTATATCATGCGTGATAAACCCGTCTATGGAGAACAAGTCCTTGAGTAACAGATCCACGAGTCCTCCGACGTCGGCGTTGCTTCTGGTCCGCGTGGCCTCGTCAAAAGCAATTTGTCAAGCTTTTCTCAAGCTTTGCATCTGATAAGCTTAAGTGCAGAGCTTTTTCTGCACTATCCGCATCGCAAGCCGTTCATTCGCTTCTTCAACGAATGAATGGCTTGCGATGGATCAGCTGTGCCGGCGTTATCTGATAATGGTCTGATCTTCGGTTGCACTCCTGGAGTATAGCGCCCAAGCTATCAGAGACCAAGTCCCTTCAGAAGTCGACTTGACCGTGACACAATTTATCACGACTTTGCAGCACGCCAAAACTGGCACCATTGAGACTCCAGTCGTCCGCACGCTCACCCCCATTGGATGCTGATCGAAAATAATCTTCGTGTCACGCGATGAGCTGAACATAGAGATTTTCCGTGTCAGAAAATTGTCTCATCTTATCTGATTGCTAGTGGCTGCCGCCCATCGTGGACGCGTGTCCTCCATGCACGCCCTGGCACACTGTCCCGATCGTTGAATTCTCAGGTAAGTCTGCAGTATTGCTTGTACGTGCGCTAATTGGGCAGGATTTTTGGGATTCGGCGGAATCAGGCCGGAGCGGTGCAAGCCAACATAGCCGCAATGCTGGCAGCATTCATCTTCATATACTAATGAGTAGCTCAGACTGCCGATGATTAGAGGGACTGAGCGGGCAGCGAGCCTCCTGTAATTCTTTCCGGGCTGAGTGTTGTGGTCTTCCTCTTCGTGTTATCGCTTTAGTAGCGGAAGATGGCCATGAGCATTTCTATCCTGCTGGGTGTGATACATCTTTGGGGTTCCCTATGTTTGGCAAGCACCGTTACTTATGATTTCAACTTGACTTGGGTCATGGCCAACCCCGACAACCTTGCCGTGCGCAAAGTCATTGGTGTGAATGGAGAGTGGCCACTCCCAGTCATTGACGTCGACAAAGGCGACCGGCTCGTGGTCAACGCCCTCAACAGCCTCGACCGTGATGTCAGTATGCACTTCCATGGCATGTTCCAGAATGGCACGAACTACATGGACGGCCCAAACATGGTTACCCAGTGCCCGATCCCGCCAGGAGCCAGCTACGTTTATAACTTCACTGTGAACCAGAATGGAACCTATTGGTACCACTGTCACACGGATTATTGTTACCCTGATGGCTACCGCCAGGCTCTGATTGTACATGACAAAGACGCATACTTTAACGAAATGTACGACGAGGAGTTTACCATAACCCTGAGTGACTGGTATCACGAGATGATCGAGGATATAGCACCTTCTTTCCTCTCTCTTTACAACCCAACAGGCGCTGAACCTATCCCGGATTCCTTTTTGTTCAACGATACACACAATACGAAAATTCCAGTAGAGGCTGGCAAGACATATATGTTCCGACTCATCAATACAGGCGCTTTCACTGCCCAATATTTTTATATTGAGGACCACACATTTCAGATAGTTGAAGTTGATGGTGTTTACACCGAGCCGAAGGAGTCTAACACCGTCTACATCGCAACCGCGCAGCGATATAGCATTCTAGTGACTATGAAGAACTCAACCGACAAAAACTACGGCATCGTGACCATCGCCGATCAAGTTCTATTCGACTCGATTCCAAGCAACCTCGTACTGAATCAAACCAATTGGCTCTTGTACAATAAGGACGTACCCACTAGCGAGATTATTCCAACGCTGGATGTCGCAACCGGACTCCCTGCCTTCGATGACTTCACACTAGTGCCTTATGATCATGAGGAGCTTTTCCCAGAGCCCAACCACACCATTCAACTTGATGTGGTCATGCTAGAGCTGGAGAATGGACTGCCTTATGCCTTCTTCAATAACATTACCTACACTGCTCCAAAGGTGCCAACACTTTACACGGTCCTGAGCTCTGGTGGATTTTCTACGAGGGCGACCATCTATGGCGATAACACCAATCCACAGATCCTCAACCACATGGACGTCATCGAAGTGATTTTGAACAACAATGATACTGGCTCACATCCTTTCCATCTCCACGGCCACAACTTTCAAGTAATCTCACGCACACCCTCTTATGGATCGGACTTCTACAGCTATCAAAATCTCGATGACCCTGTCAACTACAGCCCGGACAATCACACGGCTTTCCCTAAGTTCCCAATCCGCCGCGACGTCATCGTCCTCCCACCACATGGCTCCGTCGTGCTACGCTTTGTTGCCGACAATCCAGGCGTCTGGTTTTTCCACTGCCATATAGACTGGCATTTATCTCAGGGCCTTGCATCTGTGTTCATCGAGGCTCCTTCGCAAATGCAGAAGCGGCTTACCATTCCAAGCGATCACATTGCAGCCTGCAAAGCTGCGGGCGTTGCGTATCAAGGCAATGCTGCCGCAAACACCGAGGACTATGACGATCTGGCCGGCCAGCGCAAGCAGTCGTCTTTTGTTCCGTATGGCGGCTTCACTGCCAAGGGCATCATCGCACTCGTCTTCTCGACTCTTTCAGCCATCATTGGTATCGTTGCCATTGCTATATATGGTATGAGTGAGATCAAATCATATCCAACTAATATAGACCGATCCGAAGATCCTGTGCACCTGATTCCTGTGGTCAAATCAGTGCAGAAGTAAGATCTGCGGCATTTTACCCCTGCCTTCAGGTAGGCCCCCCCTCCTATCTCGTGGTCTCCTGAACTAGATCAAGATTTCATGATGTTCAATATATATTAGCCTGCAATATAATTAAATGCCTCCTCAGCCTGGCGTGCAGTCTTTAGTCTTGCTTGTACGAGCGTACTCGAAGTTGGCTTTGTAGTCTCAATGATGAGTTGTTGCTCTTGAGGCACACAGGTGGATAGCGAAGCACCGGGTCAGAGCTGAAAATGGACACATTTAGATATCATGGCAGTGAGTAGTCAGTTAACTACTCAACTTGCTAAGTATGTCACGCTTCGTACAAGTCTTCCATTCTTGCAATACTTTTCTGCCTAATTTCTCGTACACAATACGAGCTATAGCTACAGCCTAGCTACCACGATCAACTTCATTACCCGGGATATATGGAACCTTTATACGGCACAGCCGGATCCGACAATCAAAGTTTCTCTCCAGCTGGGGGTAAAGCGTCGGCCAATAAATGAGTATGACGTTGTACGAAAGTCAAATGGATCGAAACGATAAGGGGCTTTTCCGACCGGAATGGTGTGCTAGTAGTCAGCATTGCCGCTGTATTTCTGCTACCTATACAGACGATTGCCCTTCAGGTTGCAAGATCGCCTGAGCCCCTCTAGCATACGCACTTGCGGCTTCAATGAGCATAGTGGATACCCTGCGAGCCCGAGATCTTCCCAATGTTACGGGCCTGGAAAGTCGGACTCAACTCAACGATGAGTGACTTTTGGTTTATATAATATGCCAATATATCGGCCTTTTAGATATAAGAAGAGTCAGAAGTTTGATTCAGAGCTAGGAGAAGGAAATAATTACTTCATTCAAAAGGAATCAAGCACAGTATCGTCACAATCTCAATAGCAAGCACAGCTCTCGACACCATGTCCAAGATCGACGTCCACCACCACACCCGGAAGCCTTCACAACAGGTAAGGTTTATGTCCTATGATGCCACTCAATAGATACTGACACCGCATTGCAACTCTGAATCATGCCGGTGGAGACCCTTCAGATTGGACCGTCCCAGCATGGACCATCGAAGTCGATGTGAAGCTCAACGACGAAATTGGCGTCTCGACCGCCATCCCCTCCGTTACGGCATCCGGTGCGCAGATCGAGCGTGACCCTTCCGCACAGGTATAACCTGCCAGAGATTGTAACCTAGCAGGAGCAGCAGTGCGTGATGCTTGGTCTCGACGATACGGCTTCTTTGCCTCCTTGCTGTCACTCCTCCACACAGAGCTAGCTCTCAAGGAAATTGCACATGCGCTCGATGAACTCCACGCGGATGGCGTGATATTTTTCACCCGCTACGGGGAAGACAACCACTATCTTGGGGACTTCATTCCGATTTGGCGAGAACTCACCCGTCGCAAGGCAGTAGTATTTATCCGCCCTATACATGCCGTGGACATAAACCTCGTCAATGCCACCCTGTCTCAACCTATGTTTGAATACGCGCACGAGACAGGTCGCACAGCCATGGAGCTGATCCTGTCCGGACGAGTGGATCAGGTCAAAGATACCAAGATCATTCTCTCCACGCAGGTGGCACGTTGCCCTATCTTCTCTACCGTGCTGTCGGCATGATTCCACAGACGGTTTTTAGCGTCGGCAAGACGACGGAGGAACTGGTAGATCTGGCTAAAGATTTTTACTTCGATGTAGCCATCTCAAGCAGCCCATTGACTTTGGGTCTGCCCTTCAGGCTCGTACGTCCAGGTCATGTGCTGTTTGGGAGTGATTTCCCCAACGCGCCGGTCGAGGGCATCAAGTTTTTGATCAAGAACTTAGAAGACTTAGCGATGAGCAATAATCAGCGCAGGAATGTAGAATTCGAGTTTGCTTGGGCTTTGATTCCCAGATTGAGCAAGGCATAATGGTGCTCTACATAACTAGTCATTTAAGTCGGGACTGGGAGTATTGATAATCTTGCATGTCAGACACATTTCGAATATTATATCTCCAAGCATTCTTTGGATATGATTTAGAAGCCATCCAACCATCGATACAGGTAGGTCTTCAGATAGTCGAGGCTCGCTGGGAAATGTCCACAGGTGATGCACGCCCCTGTCCGTAGGAATCGGTCCCAAGAAATTGGAACAACACCCGAGCTGTGGTTTTGATTGACCTCACAGAAAAGTTTCATCACTCCTCGATGTTCATCGTCGATTACTCAACATGCTTTGACTAAACAACTGGCCCAAGATCTGGAGGCATTCTCAACCTTCTTCGTGCATAGATATTGCAAGGGATATAAAAAAAAGACCAACAGTACACGAAGAAGCGATTACTTCATCATTACTAATTGGTGGTGATGGCTTCTTATGAGTTCAAGATCTTCAGAGCTGTGAAGGACATAAAAGTGGTTCATGGGAAGCCTTTCACGACTTCGTCTTGTTCCTCATCAAACTAAAGCAGAATTATCACCTGGCAACTCTCCATCCCCGTGAACAATCCACCTTAGAGTGACGACACAAGGCCGGTTCCGTCTCCACTGAACACCATTCTGGGTACAGCAAACGTATAAACCATCTCGGCATCGCGTCCAAGATTTCGTAACTGACAGGACTCCATCAGGTCGGGAACAGTTCCCCTGATGCCACTGCACGTTACGACACTCCCGACGAGGTGGATGTCTACCTCGACACATTTCTCTTGCTAGGCGGTCGTTATCTGGACACTGCTCGTCTATACCCTCCAGAGGCTCCGGGGACGGCGGAAGTAGGGCTCGGCAAGGTCGAGGCAGGGAAGAAGTTCATAATCGACACCAAGGTCTTTTCCCAAGCCCCTGGTAGCGCCGCGACGGAGACGGTTCATGAGAACGTCAATACCTCACTCAAAGTTTTGAATACCCTGTAGATCAATGTGGAGTATTTACACCTTCCAGATAGAACAACGCCGATCGAGGTGCCACTTGAGGCTTTGAATGATACATACAGAGATGGAAAATTCAAGCACTTTGGCTCATCGAACTATACTGCAGATGAGGTGGAAAATGTCATCCGAAGATGTGATGACAAGGGTTATGTCAAGCCCACGGTCTGCCAAGGGCAATACAACCCAACTGCGGGAAGAGGCGGGAAAGAACTGTTCCCATTGCTGCGAAAGCATGGTATCGCCTTCTATGCGTGGAGGTATGCCTGATCATTGAACTCTCTTAATTATCAGTCAGGGCGCTAACGCGGTTGCCAACAGTCCGGCAGCAGGAGGGTTCTTTGTGGGTAACCACAAAACTGTCCACGATATAATTCTTCCGTGAGTATCTTCAACCCTGGCCTTGAAAAGATAAGTTGGGGCACTGCGCATGCTAATCTTTCGCTCAGCACATGCTAGGACAATTATATACATCCTTCTCCATGAAGCCCAACATTGAAGCCGCGACAGACCGAGCACTCGAACTCGCGGCCAAGCATGGCATTAGCGGAAACGCGGCCGCTCTGAGGTGGACCATTTATCACAGCAAGCCTGGGGATGAGTTCCACGACGCTGTCATCATTGCCGCATCGAGTTCTGACCAGTTGGATCTCGAACCTCGATTTGATTGAGCAAGGGCCACTGCCGGAAGACGTTGCGGGCGTAGTGGAAAGTCTGTACAGTGAAATCGCAGGGACCGAAATGGCTTACCACCTCTGATCTCTTCGGCCACTTGCCCATTCTCTCTGTGGGCTTATGGCTGGCTTCATGTGGTAATACATAAATTACTGTTTGCTTGTGTGCCATCGAAGGTCTTTGACACAGATATCTGTGTTGCTGATCGACTTAAAGTTATATATGGTAGCTTTTGCTTTGGGACGTAACATGAGCACTCCTCCGTCTTGTCTCCTATTGCCTGTGTTGAAATCTGCAAGCGTTCATGTTAATTATAACGGGGACTTTGTGCGGTTTATGGCCGGGCCGAGGGATGGGGGAGGCCACTCACTGTTGAATTGTCCAGATTCATGTATTGCAAGTCTCCATTGGTGGTGGTATCAAGTTAGAAGCTCAAGTGTCAAGACGAAACGGCTAAAGAGATGGGCAAGCATGAGGGGGTTCAAGAAGAGTACGAAGCAAGAAAAATTCTGATTCTGCTTTCTTGATTAAAGCTCCCTCCCTCGCCGGTGAGATTCTTGCCGAATGGTCTAGAAATACGTGTGCTGTGGCCTGGAGGCGCCTTTCATTGATGGGACATGTGCATTAATCTAAGTCTCTGGGACAGCAGCATGGTCCCGGGCAGAGAGATATACGTAGATTGGATGGATCACTACCAGACGAAGAACGCTCTGCCAGTGCACTTACCTTCTTCAAATTCCTACCAATTCTGTGGCGTAGGAATATAAACCTTATTACGGTGACGCTTCGGCGACCAAGTTGCCCCTGCCTCTCAAGACGACTCCGGTCTCTTTCCTGGTGATAGAGTGCTAACGTTGAGCGGTGCCTGCGCCATTACAGCTACGAAGGATTTGGCTATGACGACTGCAACTCTCGTTTCCAAATCGAAACCCCCTATGTAGTCACCTGTCCTACAAGTGGCTCGAGGTCATAATGGCACCCTGTTGGTATAAAAGCTGGAAGCTAACTGATAAGCGGAAACCCGCTGTTTCGACCGCTCTGGCATCTTTTCCAATTCAACTTGCGTCTCATACATGTTTTCAACGAGCCCATATATGATGAGTCTTACATCTCCTTGGAACAGGACCTGTTGGAGAATGACGAGCCCATCTGGTGGGCTTTCAGGGCTAGAAAACTGTACTCAGAAATTTGCGATGAAATAGAAAAACTTACGATGCAAGTACACAAGGAAAAAGATGTACGGAAAATCCTCCAGATTTTTCTATGCTCCAAACAGATTTGTTGGGTGACTCCAGTGAGTGCCCTTGTCAAGGGCCACAAGATTTTTTCAGAGGCTCTGATGGTTATTCCCCTCCAAAATTCTGCTCAAGGCAAAAGTGATGATGGGGCATTATGGGTTTTCTAGATTTTCAAGTTTTTTTGTAGGATTTTTGGTTCAGTGGAGAAGAGCAAGAGACAGTACAGAAAGTAAAACAAAGACAGTACAGTAAGAAAGAAGACAGTGCAGGTTCCAGGGTCCAGGGGTGTTGTTGTCCATTCCAGAGGTATTGATGTCCAGTTCCAGGGTTGTTGTCGTCCAGTCCAGTGCTATGTGCATACTATCTCGTTATAAGGCACTCACACACCATAACTCCTGAAGGAACAAAGCCTCTAAGACTGAAATACCTCCAAGTTCATGTCTTCATACAATCACGAGGACCAAAGAGTCACAGCATCTAGGACTCGCAGGTTAAGAAACGTACCCAGCATACTAGACAGTGTTTGTTTTGCTCCAGTCATGTCACTAGAAATCTTGTCGATGTGGCACATTACGAGGCAATGACGACGCAGGGCATACAGTGAGACGTCAGGATCTGTACGCAAAAACACACAAACCTGCAGGCCAGTGGCCTGTTCAGGAGTATATTGCTACACTATAGATCCTAACGCCTCACTGTATGCCCTGCGTCGTCATTGCCTCGTAATGTGCCACATCGACAAGATTTCTGGTGACATGACCGGAGTAAAACAAACACTGTGTTCTGGAATCCTGGGTACGTTTCTTAACCTGCGAGTCCTAAAGTGCTGTGACTCTTTGGTCCTCGTGATTGTATGAAGACATGAGCTTGGAGGTAGCTCAGTTCAGGCGGCAGTGCTGAGCTTTAGGTGGTATGGCTGGTATGAGTGCCTCATAAAGAAATAGTATGTACATAGAGATGAGGAGGATTTTTCCAGGGAAGGGGGAAAGGCAGGGTTTTATAGAGATTTGTGGACAATCGCTCATCGACTGATCGTTGGACTGAATTTGACTGAATAATGTCTGCCTGCTCAAATTCCACTCTTCTCGTCGTTGAAGATAGAGTTTCATTGAAATTTTCACTGATATATGGGTCAAAAGCTGGTGTTCCTGACATTCTTAGGAAGGGACTCGTCGCTGATAGGCATAACAAAATTCAGCTGCGTTTTGGCATCCTGGAGCAGTGATCAGGATTTCGAATATAGCTTCATATGAGTCACACTGCCGCTCCACCTACCCACCTTTACGATGGTTCCGAACAAAGCCAACCAAAAGCTTCTCGCATCTCTCGTATTTCTGATTTTGAGGTCGTGATCGTTACTATTTCAATGTGATCGTCGAAGTTGATGACAGCTCAAGGAAACTGTACCAGATACTACCCGTATTCTTCGCATTTTTGGTATTTCCACTCGTGAGATTGTGGAGGCCGTTCCTTCTTCAATGTGATCGTCGAAGGTAACGACCGCTTAAGGCACCTGTACCAGATATCATCACTCGTGTTTCTTGTGTTTGTCGTATATCTCTCATTTCTAATTGTGGGAATGTGAAGATCGTTACTGTTTCAACGTGATTTGTGGGAATCAATGGCAACTCGAAGCAGCTGTACCACATATCTACCTCAATGAGGACGCAACGTTGGTCCAAACTTACTCCTATACGGCATGAGACAGGCTCTGCCATTGAGGTGCATTGGTTGATTTATGAGTCGTGAGTGGACTCAATGCAAACTTCGCGTCTCAAGTTCCACTTTGGACATCAATACTGTAATTCACGTGTCTCGAAGCCAAGATAATGCTGTGAAAGTTCAGCAACAGCTGTGGACCTGAAGGAGACTGTAATTTGCCCTGATGGGAAGAGCAATGGCCCAAGATCATGATTGATATGCTCGAGGGTCGGGCAGGCCCGAGATGTCCAGTGGTGCTCAGTGATCACGAGGCAATCTAAGCGATCATTGATGGCATTCAACATCCTGCCAGTGGTCACATCAGGTGGAGTAACACTGGAATAGGCACATACAAGGAGCAATGGCTCGGAAGCAAGGCTGGAAGTGCGAGAGTTGTACCGCAGCGGTTTGTAGTGAGCATCAGGTTGAAATATTCAGTCTGGTAATGCACATCTGTAGTGGGATTAATGTTTTGGTGGCGCGAGGCCAAGTGTCTGTCCACGGACTATCTAAGCCTGGTTGTTCCAAGGGGCACTGGCCTTGGCCGTTGGCAGACCACGTGCCCTCGGCCCTTGGGTTGTGCCCAATGCGACTCTGCCTTGAGGAAGGAGTCCGGTGCTCTCAGGACACCTATAATTGAAGTGCCGCCGGGAAAGGCACCCAGAAGGCTAGGCAAGATAGGGATAGTCCCCTTCGGCGCTTCGGGGCGTAGTGCGGGGTCGTTCCAGGTAAAGCTAGGCACCTGAGATCGCCCCCAGCCTCCCGAATTCTCCCCCACAGAGGTAGCCAACCAGCTTCTCCAAGGCGCCAGGGTCACATCGAGCTGCCAGCTACGAGTGCATAAACATCGTGTTCTATGTACGCATCATTCTGGGGAATAGCCAATTATGCCGACTTGTACGGAGTATGGAGCCCCTTCACCACCAACACAGCTTTTCTTTGCCTAACGAGAACCGGATCGGGAAGCTCATGTCCGCGTCATGCAATTGCCGTTTCCCCTCGAAAAGAAGCCCAATCGAGGTGTATCCGGCAGTGCTGCTCCTTTGACGTTGCGTCACTGCGTGCGATGCGCACACCGTATTCGTACAGAGGTCCCTTGTGAAGGAATGCCGTTGATGGAGCTTGTTATGGTGGTAGGCAGCAATGTATATCTGACAGCGCCCAACCCAGTCTGAACAGAGTGCTTGCTGTGAGCCGAGCATCTTCTATCCTGAGCAACGGCAAGACGAGCAACATGCACATCCCAGTTTCCTACCTTTCTGTGGCAACCTATCTACTTACACGAACTGTTCATGCACAAAATTCGTTGCCTCAAGTCGACCTTGGCTATGAGATTCACCAGGCTATCGAGTTGAATGTGTGCTCCACTCCACAGATCCTACAGGACCTTTTCTTTCATCTGACAGGATTAGGAAACCGCTCAAACGTACAACTTTACCAACATTCGCTATGCTCAACCTCCAGTTGGGAAGCTCCGATTCGCCGCTCCTGTGCCACCGGAAGGCAGAGATACAGTTGTGAACAATGGAAGTACTTTGGGGAGAATCTGCCCCCAGGCTACTCCAGCATGGTTTGGAATTTCAGCCCTGTTCACTCCCTATTTTCTCAATGGGACGGCCGAGGAATTCAACTTTACCCTCGCTGAACAGCAATTGGAATTGTATTTGCAAAACACACCGCCTAGTCAACCTGATCCTCGAACCAGCGAAGATTGTCTTTTCCTCGACGTCCTCGTTCCCAAGAAGATCTTCGACAATTCCAACAATCGGCACCGAAGATGGCAACATGCGGGCGCCCCGGTTCTTGTGTGGTGCGTATTCGACCCCCGCTAGATCTCACCGTTAACCAGAGCCTTCAGGATTTACGGCGGCGGCTATACCTTAGGCTCCAAAGACGCGATTCCGAATGCGAATGGCCTCATACAAGCGAGTCAGGCAGATGGAAGCGATGGAATCGTTTTCGTGGCCTTGAATTATCGCATCGGAGCACTGGGCTGGCTTTCTGGCCCCAGTCTGCAGGAGGCCGGCGGTGTTTCGAACGCGGGACTCTACGATCAACGATTGGCAATTGAATGGGTGGCCGAGAACATTCATCTCTTTGGCGGTGACCCTAATCGCATTACGTTAATAGGTGAATCTGCTGGAGGTAAGCTTAGCCTTGTGTTTTCTACAGTTCTAAGCACCACTATCCCTTCACACGATATCAATCCGGTCTAACCGCGGAGTAGCGGGCTCGATTGAACACCAGATCACAGCATTCGGGGGTCAGAAAGGTGTTTCATTCCAACAGGCAATCCCCCAGTCTCCAGCCTTTGGGCCCCTCGTGTCGAATTACCTCCAGGAGAACCATACGCAAAACTTCCTTGCACTCTTAAATGTCTCGACCATAGAAGAAGCCCAGAACGCATCTTCCGCAGAGATCATCCGGGCGAATGCGCTTCAAGTGGCTTCCGCGCCTTATGGCACGTTCGTCTACGGGCCGGTTGTTGATGGGGTGTTTGCGCCCTCACTGCCAGGACAGCTTTTCAGCCGAGGGCAATTCGCTCAGAATGTCACCGTCATGGTCGGACATAATACTCAAGAAGCACCCTTGTTCACCCCTCCTAATGTCCAAACCAATGACGATGTTAGAGCCTGGGCGCGGCTTACTTACCCGGGAGTATCAGCTGACATAGCCGACTACGTCGTGGAGACTCTCTATCCTGCTGTCTACGACGGATCACAACCATATTCCAACCCCATAGAACGCACGATTCTGATTTCCAGTGATGTAGCCTTTGTCTGCAACGCCAATTATATCAACAAAGCATTCAAAAACCAGACCTGGGCTTACGAGTTCCAAGTCCCACCCGCGCTACACGGGCTGGATGTTCCATACACTTTTTACCAGGGCCAAGGCACGAATCTTTCCGCGGGCATGATTGCTCCTGTGGCCGAGGCTTTCCAAGGATACATCACCAACTTTGTGAAGAATGGAAACCCAAACGGGCCCGGTTTGCCGTATTTCCCCATCCAGGGTACGAATGCCAGCATGCAAGGAATCAATGCCACATATATTCAGCCGCAGATGGACGACACGGCAAATCCACGATGTGCCTGGTGGCAGAAAGCGTTGTACTACTGAACGGACTTCGAAGCGGGTGTGAGAAACATATGTAGATTGTAGGGAATCACCATAGTGTGGATGGTTAGTACTTGGGATAGTAGACCCTATGCAATAGCTACTATAATGATTGATGAAAATCTCGTCAATCTCGCAACGCATCCAATATCACAGATTCAACCCTCATCTGAATCTGCATACCATGAAATACTACTACTCAGTAATATCGAATATCAGCACTGGTTCATCGTCGTCTAGTAGTTCAGGATAGTAGGAGGACAAGTAGTCGGAGTGACAGCCCTTCACTACCGCGCTCTGCCTAATGCGAATATATCCGTGGTTTGCATCTCTACCAGCGATTCCGGGCCAATCTCCTAGTAAAATATACATTTAAATGCTCTCTATAATTGAACGAGTGCATTGCGTCTAGCCTTTTTGAATTTGGAGCTGATTTAGTGATGCTGTGGTCAATTATAGTAGCCGCCATGTTGGGAGAACGATCCATCAATATTATTGTTGCATTTAGGGATTACTTGACACTGGAAGTTCGACCGGATTCCACCACAAGACAGCCACTTTGCAACTTTATGGTTCGGTGAGCTCAGATGGTACAAAGTTGGAATATCAATCGACCCTTTAAATCAGCCGGAGCCACTATATTACCGAAAACAGCTGTGCACGGCCTAATTAGGTGCATGCTCTTTCTCTGGTGCAGTTGGCTAAAAGTGCACCTCATGACACAAGGGTTCACCGTAGGGGTTCAATCCAGCGGATCATAGATATCTGGATAGAATGAAATTTACGGCTCGGGGACTAGATCACTCCGGTACCTGTTGCATGATCGTCTGCATCATAGAACTTGGTTTCTTGGGAATCGCCAATTCCGCAACTCGCAGCGTTCATGCTCGCGGAGGATCAACATTGAGCTCCTGGCTCAGATATCTAGTGCATACACACGAAAGCCCCTTCGACCCTACTCTATAGCAGTTGCAGTCATACCACTTCACCCTCCCCGCGACGGTCCCCGAACCATGTCAAGCTCCAACCCCATCAAGGGCTCGTCGAACAAAGGTGACGACTTCCACTTCGACGAGCGGGCGCAGATGAGAAATGACTACGACCGCTTCCTCAACACGGTGACGCTGGGGACGCTGTTTGTCGCGCCGATCCTGATCGCCATGCCGCCTCGAAAGCTCGATTTCTACACCTTCTCGCTGGGGAGCGCGTGGTTCGCGGCCGCGTCGTACCGGAACCTGCCTGCGAGAACGCTGCACCGGTTCCAGGACGTCGGGGGCATGCCGCGGGCCGCCAGAGATCTACAGGAGCGCGAGAGGCTGAGAGGCGATGCACGCGAGAGCCGCCGGCTGCTAGAGGAGCCCGGAGCGGTGCCGGAGAAAACTACGAGTAAGAAGACGCGGGCGTTGTTGGAGGACAAAGCCAAGGAGATCTGGATGGGTGGCGAGACGGAGGGCTGGAAGGAGCGGAGGCTACGAGAAGAGAGGGAGCGCCTGGCCAAGGGTGAGACCTACGGGTCGATGATAATGGATCAGATCTGGGAGGTGTGGAATTGGGGAGGTAAGAGTGGCAATGATGCTGATGGGGACCGGCTCAGGCAGGGACCGAGCTCGAAGAACGGGTGACGTGGAGTGCAGTGAGGTGAAATGAAGTGAATTGATCCCACGTTGAGTTTGTATGGAGTTCCTCCCGCTTTTGGGCCCTGATTGGCGATCAAGCCCCTCATTAAACGAGGCTGACTGCACTGACTACCCGACGCTGATCCCTTGTTCTGTGGATCGAAGTATATCAACCACAATCGTCACCGCGGCGTCCTCAATTCGACCGATCGACCGATCCTCCTGACCTCTCGAAAGCCTGCCAGTCCTGTTGCCGTGCTGCCATCCCCAGGCTGGCAATGTCGCCGTATTTCCTGGCATCTGCTTCGACCTGGAAATCTCGGACTGTGATCCCATGCTTCAACAACTCATCCCTAGCCTTTTCACTCTCCAACGTCTGCGCATTTCGCCTGCTGCCCTCGTGCATAATGATGGGTTGGCCGCGGAGAGTGCTCAGAGCACCATTCGAGTCACGCGGCGTGGGCGTGGGCATTGAGCTTGACGGCCGAGTCTTCATGTTGGTGGTGCCCGACAGATTGGCCGCTGTGGCTGCAGGGGCGGTGTAGGTGGATTTGGGGAGGAATCGGGACGCTATCTTCGACTTGAGTTTATCGGTCATGTCTTGGAGCTTCAGCTTGAGTTCTTCCACGGCCGTGGCTGTGGCTTCTCAACTTACCAGCAATCTTGAGGTGGGTAACCCGTTGTTGTTCGATTTATCGTGGATGTGATGTGCGCTCCGGCAGAGTGGTTGGCTGTATTACGAAGGTCGATGAGCTCGTCTGGCAGCATGACAAGTTGGGCACATTTCCGACTGAATGGAAGAACGTCGTGTCTAACACAAATCTGAGTCACTGCTGTCTATGATTTGGTAAAACAGCACGCGACAAATTCCTCCAAGGCTAGACTCTGAGATCAAATATTGGAGCAAGGATATTGCTGGTCAAATGTCTGGAGTCGGTGACATGGCACTAACTGTAAGTTCTTATGCCTGAGGTGTATGTTGTACAGACGCGGGACGGGCGAGATTAGACAATGGTATGTGACAGCGTGTTTGAGGTCACACGGCACAATTAGAAGAAAGGGTAGGACAATGTCTTCGGAAAAGAGTCTCATCAAACATAAGTCGGAACAATTAAACTTGGAGTTTTGATACTCGCTTCATAGCCAATCTAGGTCGGATTGCAGGTTTGGCTCCAGGGCTGTTGGACCTCACGTGTCGTTTCCTGAGTCATTGGAAGGACGGCTTTCTCAATGGACCAAATTGCCCTGTTTGAGCACGTGTGCAACTGCCAGCGCCCGACAAAGACAATGTTTCTGGTTGTCGGGCCGCCAGAACTGCTGGCTTTTTCAAAATCCACTTCACATATGGCTTCATATCCCGTAGTCTCCGACAGGGAGCCAAGAGAAGCATATCGGCATCCTTGTCATCTGGACCTCTTTCGCTTTTTGTTTGGCGGCGTCCCACCATTCATGGCCTCGGTGTTAGATCTCTTGTTGACATGCTTCTGCCGAACCTCAACAGGCTTTTGCTGTGTCTTATTTTTCTGCCCCAGAGGTTTGAGCTGTTTCTTTTCCTGCTTCCTTCCGGTTTGTCGTCTTTGCCTCTTGGTTTTGGCACCTTTGACATTTGCTGGAGTTGTTGTTGGTGATGTATCACTTTCTCTCTTGCGCTTCTTATTATCTTGTGATCTTTTGCGCTCCTCTTTTGATTTGAGCCTGGCTTCCACTTCTCGCTCAAAGGAGTCGTCTACTTCCGGTATATCTATATCATCATCGCCCCGGTTCCGAGTTCGCTTGTTATTGTGTTGGTGGTCCAAGAAGTCAAGTGTTTCAAGTGGAATATCTAGATCAGAGGCCTTTCTCTTCGACTCCTGCCCAAGTGCTTCCCTCCCGGTAGTTCTGCTTTGGTAGAGGCGTTCTAGGGGAGTGGGATTTGTATCAACCGAAAACAGACCGCTGGCATCGACGGTGGGCTCTGCAGCTCTCGCTGGTCGTGGAGATTGTGCAGTATTGGGAGAAGAGGCAGGGGATTGCGGTTGTGGCATTCCGTTTACTGTACGATTAGTGAAGGCGTCCTTGTTAAATTCAGCGAGATACTAAGTAAACTGAATGCCAAATGACCTTACCAATGCCGCTGAAGATTCTTTGAAGAAGGAAATCAAGTCTTCGGTCTTCTGCAGACGGTATTGGAGTAGTCGTAATGTTTCAACTTCGATGGCAATATTTTGGCCCATGGAATCCAAGAGAAGCGAGGCATGTGTCTCAAGTACAGTAATCACTGACTTGTGTTGTTCCAGGACCTCCAATACCATCAGTTCCCGAACAAATGTTTCAATGGGGTTCACATACATTTTGTAATCGACTGGCCTTCATGATTTATTTGAGTGATGCTCTCGATGCCTGAGGTATTTACCCTGATGTCGGGTCTAATGAATAGTTTTTGGTTAACTGAATAGTCCGTCGAACAAAATGCTTTGAATATTTTGTTCTCAATCGCAGCCAGGAAATCGCAAAGGTATGCTCTGAGATGGGGAATCGGCGGGGGCAGGCACGTGCAGATTCTTCTCCAAAATAGTGCTTATTGGTATTTATACTCCGCCGAAATAGCGGCCTTATGCTACGTTGGAGCGCAGACACTCATGATGGATACAGCTGAGCAGCCACGGCCTGCAAAACTGCCACTGACTTCACGTTCTGTCTTCACTACTGATGACTCTGAGCTGAGAATCTTGTAGCAAGAAAAAAACCATTACTCACGGAAACTGGCCGGCTTGTCACTAAATATGCAATGTGAATCATGTTAGATTACATCGCTAACCTTCACCAAGCAGACCCGCGTTACTATTGACATACACCTCCACCACAATCAGAGAGGCATCTTTGCACCAACATGAGACGTGTCAATCTATTCGACATGCTACACTTTCCGACATTGTGGTATTGATGATGCTTCAGAATCACATAATGGCACGTCCGCCTCGATGGCGAACAAAGCGCAATTCGGCGTGGGTATGTAGGTGCTCAGTGCTTGCCGCCGTCGCCATTGCCCTTATTCATGCTTCTCCTTCCATCTCTTTCTGGTCCCGCCGTCGCTATTGTCAATCCTCGCTCTTGCCGTTGAAAGGCAGCAACCACCAGGACCAGCACCTTCCTCGATGGGAGGATGCCTGCCTTCTTTTCTACCTCTCTACTCCTCTCGCCCTCGTTCTTGTTTCCTCTTTTCCCTCCCATCCTCACAGCTCACATAGTCATCTGCTACAGCTTTGCTTCACCCTCTCCCGCTGTTAGCCCTCCTCCTTTATCATCCATCCTGCACTACATCTTGGCTCGCTCATTGTACAATTCTCATTGCTGCTCTATTCATCGGGTTCGCCCATTCTTCTACCCTCAGTGTCTCAGCAACCATCTCCTTTTGGCAACAGGGTCTCTTGTTGTTACTTGATTAAGAGGTTTGCCTCCTAGGAGCTCTCCTTCATCACTATTTCCATTACTGACACCAGAGGTTGCTCCAGGGACCATGTCTGAAAAGCCTTCCATTCAACCTGCCACCAGCAACACGTACACTGGCTATCCTCAGAACAGACTTGCATATACCGGCTCTACTTATCACCAATTCAACACAGGTACAACCTTGCATTCATCTCTGTCCATGACACAATTTAATCTCTCACAGGCTTGAATCTATCCAATCCCCCTCCGCTCGGCAACATGCAGAACCTCAAGGCTACCTTGTCTCCCTCCAACAACTTCGAAAGTGAGCTGGGTGCTGTCAACCGTCAAGGATACAACAGCCCCCTCATGATGCTCCCCTCAGGACAGACCGTGCCACTCACAGGCTTTTATGGTCCAAATCAATCCTCTACTGGAGAGGTTTCTGCACACCTGCCCTACGTCCCCAGCGGAATGTTCCCAAGCTTCATTGGAAATACTACCATGGCCGGTTCTTCTCTTGCACCCTGGCCTTATGGGATGTCAGCCAACGTTGCCGGGTTTGATCCCTCACGTCGTGGTTCTTGGTCCTCCAACGAAGAGAACGCTTCTCACAATCAGGCTGCTGCCATGACAGGCCAACCAGACTACTACACTGGATCGCCATACCTACCAGCAGCGTTGAATGGACAGCACTACATTGCTGGTCCCATTCAGCCAATGAAATGCCAGGACAACAAGTCTTATGAGATGGTCAATCTTGACGAACTTGTCTCTCGAGAGCCCCCTCTTCCTCGTGCTGTCCCAGCCCTCTGGACCAACCAAGAAGAACTCAGCCTTGCTAAGTGCCTCCAGAACCCGGAAGGGATCACCAATGTCTACATACGTGGTTTCATGCCCGATACCACAGATGAAGATCTCGAAAGTTGGGCATCCCGCTTTGGTGAGATCGAGTCTTGCAAAGCCATCATCGAACAGGACACAGGCAAATGCAAGGGGCAAGTCTACCAACGATCTGACAAGCCATGAATGTCCACTAATGTAACCTAGGTTTGGTTTCGTCATGTACTACTCCCCAGCTGCTGCAGAGAATTGTATTCGAGGCTTCTTCCATCTTGGATTCCAGGCTAGCTATGCCCAGGTTAGTCATGCACTCCATCTGTCCATCTGCCAGCATCTCACTGACTTGGTTAGAAATCTCGCAACTCTCGTCTCAAAGACCTTGAGGATCGCAATTCTACCAATATTTACTGCACTGGAGTGCCGATCGATTGGAATGAATCAGTCTGCTCCCCATCTCTTGCTTGTCTCACAAACTCTGACATCACATAGGATTTGGCCAAGCACTTTCTGCCTTTCCATGCAGTCTCAACCAAAATTTGTCGGGACGCTCCATCAGGTGTCAGCAAAGAAGTTGGCTTTGCGAGGTAGGTTGCTACTCTCAGTACTATGATGTTGATGTTAACTCGTTCAGATTCGAGACTCGAGAGATTGCAGAGCGTGTCATCAAGGAGTATCACAGCGTGCTCACTGACCATGATGGTATCAAACTCTTCCTTCGCTTTGCCGACACCAAGGCTCAGAAGCAGCTCAAACAGCAAAGTCAAGAACGTCGCAATTGGCGTAGTCGCGAGTACAGCTATTCAGTTGAACATACTCCTTCCCCAACTCTGACTCGTCTGCAAAATGTCAACAATCACATCAGCCCAGCAAGCTACCAGTCCCCAGCTGGAGCTAGCAACGGATTCACCCCTGCGACGTCAGTCTCTCCAGTGTAAGTTCAGCATAGCTGCTTGACATTGCATCTACAGCCTCTAACATACTTCTCTCCAGTGACATGCCAGGTGCCAACAAGACAGTTCACACAGCCCGAACTTCAGCTTGGCCAATGCAAGGCGGTCTGCAGTCAATCACCAACACCACGGCCGTTCCCAAGAATAACCCAGCGGCCCCGACTTCCCAATCCTTCGTCGATGCGAAGATCAACACTGCTGCTCCCATCGTTCCAGTTAATGTGGACGCGAAGAAGGCCAAAACCCCAAGCCCCAACAAGGTTGCTATTCGTGTGGAGCCTCCAAGTGGCAAGGAAAACTATACTGGCACTCCACAGTCCAGCAAGTAAGGCTCACCATTTGTGAAGACCACTGAGAGCATCCCCATCCTTCTCATGTTTTGGTGTGCATCCGGTTCTTGGTCTGCAGGCACAACCACTTTTTGTTTTGTTCATTCTTGCTTCACGCATATGCAGGAATATGCCCATACCAAACCAACATCAAGTCACACTTGAAATATTCAACACAAGATATGGATATGTCGGAGGATATGAATACCCGGAACATATCATATGGAAGGCTCAACCATATGTAACCCACGGCATCAATATGAATAGGTCACAAAAAGTTGTTCACATCAGGTATGTGTGTCGGGTGCTTATTTGTACTGGTCAGACTTTTTTTGAGGGAGTTGTGCTTTTCGCTGCATGTATCAATCACTAGATAGCAAAATAATGGCTCTCTGCTCCACTGGATTCTCAGACCTCAGTGCAATCTTCGTTGCTTCTGATAGGACAGTTGGTGAAGCTGCCAGGCTGTTGTTCGTTCAGCGAATGCCCGCTGTCTTCACTTCGGCTACTCCCCAACAACCTCAAAATTCAAGAGACAAGTCTGATCCTTCGGTCTCGAGGCGATGATCTGATCATCGATCGACATATCGGCTTTCATCTCCGGTGCCACGGTGGTGGCATATCGTCCATATACACCACGAAGCAACGTCTTCATCTCGACCTGTGCTAAGCTGTAGAAAAACGTCAGTGATCTAATGTCATGCTCGAAACACAGTTGTCAACCTACTTCTTCCCGATGCACCCTCTACCACCCGAAGCAAAAGCAAAAAAGAGGCGGTTTCGCTCCACCTCGCCTTCTTTCTCCAACCAGCGTTCTGGTAGGAATTTTTCAGCGTTGGGAAACACGTTTTCGTCTAGGAGGTGCAACGAGTAAGCCTGGCAGCTGACAATGGACCCTCCGGGTAGCTCGTAGCCACTGATGATGCTGCCTTCTCGAGGCACGTATCGTGGTAGACTCATGGGGATGGGTGGGAATAGCCTCAAGGCCTCCGTAATTACAGCATCCAGGTAGGGCAAATCGTTGAGCTTGAGGTCCGGATTCTGGACAATTTCCTCATGCAGCCGATTCTGGAATACCCGAGAGCGAGGTAAGGACAGCTCGTGCATGAGAAAGCAGAGTCCATCTCCTGTGGTGTCGATGCCGGCGGCCATGTGGTCCATGCATTCTGCTGCTATCTGGACGACGCTTAGCTGCGATGATTTGGATCGAAGCTTGTGTAGAAGAGATGAATGCTCAGGTTTGGTGTTTTCGGCGTGGTCAAGTACATAATCTTTGGATAGGGGGATGGCTTTTGGGCTGAAGAATGTGTTGACCTTGTCCAGAAGAGGCCAGTAATATTGTATCCATCTCTCTGCATCACGGATCAACATGATATTCAGGACTCGGGATGGCCTCACTCACGTTTAAGACTGTCATGATACGAGAGCTCCTGCATCAATTTGAAATCTTCCGGGTCGTTCAGGGTGTCAGTGCCACCAGGGTTCAGGAGAAAATGAGACGCGCAATCTAGCGCATAACAGTGTAGTAAAACCTTCCGTGTTCATTTAGTAAAGATGGATTCTTTGAGGGAGCGCCCAGCAGACGTACATAGACATCCAGGGCATTGCCCAAAGACGCTTCACACTTCTTCATGACACTGGCCGTGCGTTGTTGAAAACCTTCCACAATCTGAGAATTGATGACATTCGTCATCGCATATTTCTCGGCGAAGAGTTTCTTCCGCTGGGAATGTTCATGTCGATTCAGGGTCGAGAACATCGTCCTTGGGATTGCAAGTCAGCACGTTCTCGGGATGACCGAGAAACTGGGGACCCGTTGAATTTACCGATGGTTGTATTGCTTGAACAAATCGTAGAACTCGGTCTTGTCGTATCCGCTACCACCACTCTGGTAGATTTCTTTCACGCCCTCCAAGTTGGCAAAGGAAACTTCGTTGGGAGACAGGCGGACCACCGGTCCATATTGCCGGTGCAGCTCGTGAATCCACACCCGACGATTTTTTGTGAATTCATGGTACTTGAGGACGATGGTGGTGAAGTGGTTGTACCAGGGTCCAGGCACTTGCGTCCGATATGTTTGCACGGCCCTGGTGACGATAAAGATCACGTATAATGACGAGGCGAAAACGAGCATCAGCATGATGGTACTGTAGTTGAATTTATGTTCAGAACACACACTGCTTTCTAGCAAGCTTGCACTTCAGGTAACAGAAGCATGGCTTGGAAATCGAGAGATCTCGGGTGGCATTTATTGTTCTGATGATGGAGATTGGAAATTGTCCCGTTTTAGAAAGTTGAGGAGATGGAGATAGGACTATTGAAGTCCATACGAAGTAACATTCCGCGCTATCTATCACTTATCTAAGACTCGCTAACAACTGCTAGATTTCTAGAGAGGCTAAGGGCCTCGGAAGGATTGACGCGCGATTCAACGGAGGCGACGCTAATCTCTATATGGTAAGTCGAGGAGATCGAAAAGCTAGATTCTAGGGCCGATATCTTATACGGAGTAGTATATTATAATGCGAGCTACAAGTAGTTCTAGCTAAGGTAGGATTCCTTAATAGAGTAGATATAAGAGTATTAACTAGGATAATAAAGGAAATATTTAATTAGGCTATATAACGAATTAGGTTAGATAACTCGTTATAAGGGTTTTAATAGGAGCTAATTTAACTACTATAGTATCTATCTATTATAATCCGAGCTATAAGTAGTTCTAACTAAGGTAGGATTCCTTAATAGAGTAGATATAAGAGTATTAACTAGGATAATAAAGAGAATATTTAATTATCGGACTATATTCATCTATATTTTGGACCGGGCAGCCCAGCAAGCCCTGGGCTACCGTGGGCTCGCAGCGCTGGGCTGCAATAGATGCTTATCATGAGCTTGCAGGGCAAACCTTAATTCCTGTAGGCTCGCTGGGCTTAGCCTAAGTGCTGTAGGCTCGCTAGGCTCGTACCTAAGTACTGTTGTCAGAGCGGATGCCATAGCCCCTAGCGATTAAGCTAAAAAGACGTGGAGTATCGACACGAAGTGTC